CGGCGAGCGATGGCTTGGAGGATTGGAGAGTCAATTCGAGTAGTAGACCGGCCCCGAGCCGGGGCGACCACGGGGGGTTGTCCACGGCGAGGGGTCAAGACTTGGACAGGTTGTCCGTCACTAGTGAATAAAGTACTGTACTCAAATTGCTGTTCTTCCTCCATGGCTTCAGGAAGAGTCGACGTAGTTGGAACTGTGGCTGGACCGAAACCGCGATTACGGCGACGTGGTTGACCGATGGCTGAGATAGATTCGGAGAAAGGGGCGAAAGATTGGGCTGTGGTGAAGAAAGTATTTTCTTCGGAATTAGCTCTAGATTGAGCTCGAGTTTTCGGAGGCATAAAAAATGATATGTCAGTACGACGTTACGGATTGAGTTTAATTATACTGTTAAGATCATGCAACCCGTGTAACCGTGCCAAAGCCACAAGGTGTCTAAGTGCAGAAGACGAGTGGGACAGTAGTGAAGTTATTAACAACACCGCCGTTACGCCGTTAGTCCCCGGAGAGCGAGAGTAGAGAGAGAGAGGCTAAGTAGCAGCCAGGTCGGAGCGGCGGTATCGCCGATGACGAGGAGCGAACCAGAGGACGTTCAAGTCCTAAGGTCGAGGGGAACGTACTTCGAGGCGTTGAGCCTGAAGACTTAGAGAAGAGTTAAGTTGAGAAGGGAGATCTAAGTTGATAATTAAACTGAGGAACTATGGTAGCGTACAAGCAGTATTTATATCTACGGAGCGGCGCATCGGTGCGGAGCGCCAGACTAACTACTAGGAGTTATACATGTAGTCCTGCAGGGTAAAGTAAAAGACAATAAGGAGGGACTAGAATGAAAGGGTATGTGTAGCGAGAAAGAACAATAAGGTAAAGATTACAATAAAGATCGATCTTCGGAGTACCGAGCGGCGGAATGGAGGCCCGAGGCATGGGCTTGACAGATTGTACATTGACGACTTTCTGCTTGCAAGCAGAGTCAGTTAATGCCAATGGTAAACAGCGTTCAAGTGCACCAAATGCGAAAGCGGGGCCTTCCAAGGTGGCTAGGACCACCGGGTTGGCCAAAGACTGAAGGCCACGTATAGTTGTCTGTTTTTATTGTTTATGTATGTTCGTTTTGGTTCAACTCCTTGTAGTCAGGCTGTATTGTTTTACAACAGCTTCGATAAGATATGTATCTGTATGTATTGAGCTTGCTGCTTCACTGCAGAGAGGGGCAATTTGCATGTGACTTACCAGAACACCTCAAGCAAGGTTTGTGTCCCCTGCGGGGGCAACTAGTGTACAGTGCTTTGCGAAATTCTTTGCTTGCTCGACTTTTTCACATCTATTTGTATTTATTTATTTGTCCAATATATTTTTACCCCAAAAAGGATTCATCAATCACTTTTTGAAGCCCGACAGCCCTGGTGGTCCTTAAAGAGAGCCCTCTCGAGCCTCGGCCCAAAAATGTATTGGACAAATAACTAGAAATAAACAGCAATAAACACTTGGTAAAAAATCCATACAAGCAAACCATTTCGCAAAGCACTGTAATATTTCGAGTTATCTTCTTGAATTCCCGCTTGCAAGTGTATGACTACCTGGGATCTGTACAAAATTCTGAATTCTGAAGTCTCCTCAGGAAGAGGTTGGGCATAGTTCGTTTCGGACTGAAGCTTGATGGTCACAGACTCAACTTGTCAGACGGAACTATTGACTCACATGTACATAAATACCTATAAATACCTTGAAAAACTTATTATTTTTAAGTTGATGATGAGATGGGACGTTTTTCGAAAGGAACTGGGAAGGAAGTTCGAATGATAGTGGCCGATGGACCCATATGGACACCTAACTACCCAGTTTAATTTCCTGTCACTAGTTATGTACACAGGCATTGTCAAGTCCATGCCTCGGTCCTCCATTCCGCCGCTCGGTACTCCGAAGATCCACTCTTATTGTAATCTTACTCTTATTGTTCTTTCTCGCTACACATACCCTTTCGTTCTAGTCTCTCCTTATTGTCTTTTACTCTACCCTGCAGGTACTACTCGTATAGCTCCTAGTAGTTAGTCTGGCGCTCCGCACCGCTGCGCCGCTCCGTAGATATAAATACTGCCTGTACGCTACTGTAGTTCCTCAGTTTAATTATCAACTTAGATCTCCCTTCTCAACTTAGCCCTTTCCTAAGTCTTCAGGCTCAAACGCCTTGAAGTACGTACTACTCGACCTTAGGACTTGAACGTCCTCTGGTCCGCTCCTCGTCATCGGCGATACCGCCGCTCCGACTTGGCTGCTCCTCAGTTCCTCCCTTCTCTACTCTCAATCTCCGGGGACTAACGGCGTAACGGCGGTGTTGTTAATAACTTCACTACTGTCCCACTCGTCTTCCGCACTTAGACACCTTGTGGCTTTGGCACGGTTACACGGTGTACATGATCTTAACAGGCATACAGTTCAATGAAACAGTGTTTAACCATAGGCAATTGTTGCTGCGGGTAAAATTTTTGGCACGTAACGCATAATCCATAACATAGCCCAGAGCTCAAATGAGCCATAGGCCCAAAAACTCGAAGCGGGGCTTCAACGCCGCACCGCGCGTTCCAATCGAATCCAACGGGCCTTTTCTTTCTGTTCCTCCCCAAGACATAAAATGAGAGAAGGCATATCCATATTGACTATGTACATACCATGAACATAACAAACATAACAAACAACTAATACAAGAAATATGCTACCAGTACGCAAGAACAAGTCATGGTAAATGTACCTGTAATTGGATTACATAATCAATCACAAATGACTTTGAGAACTTGAATTTGCACCTCAACATCCCAACAACAAAGGTACACAGACCTGGCATGTCGATTCACATGTCAGGGCTATGGCCCTAAATACCATTGATCCCCTACATTGCCAATATCCTTGGCAATAATTCCCAGGAATTCCCAATTTAAGTACCTATACAATACTTTGTACATCAGTGCTCGGCGCTCAGAGTAAATACAATTCATCCCGACTTTGATTCCCGCCATCCTGACCAACCCCGCCCCCCGTATCCTGCTCTTTCCTGTCCCGTATATTCTTTAGTACTGCATTGATATATTTTGCATAATGGCATTGACATTCTACCATTAGAGCGTGAGAAGCACAATGGACGCACACAAATAGTGTATAAAAATGCGGACCGTGGGCGCTTATGCGCCGCTTTGTCGTTCTCAGCAGTGAGCTCAAGGGAGATTATTAGCTTAGATTGCCCTCGGACCTCACGGGAACAACTGGCAGTATATTTTAGTATACCTTTCTACTGCGACTGCATTTAAATCGCATCAGAGTATTAGGTTACAAGGCCATCTTTGATCAAGGGCTTGATTAAATGTGAGTTCATCATGCTAAATGACGAGCTCGAGCATGCAGAAAATTTCTATTTGCCTTCAAACCTTAATACAATACTCTTGATTGCTATATGTCCAAGATACTGCAAAATTAGGTGCATCCCACTTATATAGGTCATGGTACAGTGTTTGAACACTTTATGGATATGAACCATCAAGGGCAGCTGTTGCTTGAAGTTCTCGAACACATTATTACAACCTCGTATAGCTGCAATATATCTCATTGTACAATATGTTAAATGTACATACATTTAGATCATTCTACCAAAGTTTGAAGGCAAATGGAAATTTTCTGCGTGCTCGAGCTCGTCATTTAGCATGATGAACTCACATTTAATCAAGCCCTTGATCAAAGATGGCCTTGTAACCTAATACTCTGATGCGATTTAAATGCAGTCGCAGTAGAAAGGTATACTAAAATATACTGCCAGTTGTTCCCGTGAGGTCCGAGGGCAATCTAAGCTAATAATCTCCCTTGAGCTCGCTGCTGAGAACGACAAAGCGGCGCATAAGCGCCCACGGTCCGCATTTTTATACACTATTTGTGTGCGTCCATTGTGCTTCTCACGCTCTAATGGTAGAATGTCAATGCCATTATGCAAAATATATCAATGCAGTACTAAAGAATATACGGGACAGGAAAGAGCAGGATACGGGGGGCGGGGTTGGTCAGGATGGCGGGAATCAAAGTCGGGATGAATTGTATTTACTCTGAGCGCCGAGCACTGATGTACAAAGTATTGTATAGGTACTTAAATTGGGAATTCCTGGGAATTATTGCCAAGGATATTGGCAATGTAGGGGATCAATGGTATTTAGGGCCATAGCCCTGACATGTGAATCGACATGCCAGGTCTGTGTACCTTTGTTGTTGGGATGTTGAGGTGTGAATTTGGGTCTTGATGACCAGGTCTTGTCGCTTGAAGCTTGAAATTCTTGCGGTTCATTGCTATCGAAAATTTGAACATTGAGTAATTGAGCATTGAGGTTGGAGTAAAGTGCCTCCTTCATGAGAGAAGTCATCTTCTACACATGATATATTGAAAGATGGTTTTGAAGTGCACGCAAATGTCCTATATTTCTTGTGTTTGGAGTTGTTGTATTTGACAAGATGTTGAGCGTGAAGTTGCATATAATAGTGGTGTATTCAACCTTGAGGTGGCCAATTTTGATGGATGGGTGAATCTTTCTCCCTGCAGAGAATGCAAGTTCATAAGAGCATTGGAGGTGGTGGTGCGAGAGAAAGAGACGACGACGAAAATTTTACAAAGATCACATGAGCAAAAAAATTCCCATTTCGTATTCTCACATGACTAGAATTATAGACTAGGGATGAACAGACAGAAATTGAAGCAAGAGATGGCCTCAAGAATGCGCCGTTGCTTATTTTCGGGCATTGAGCCATGGCATCAATATTTGAAACTCAGTTCAAATGAGTATTTCGTACCTTGTTCATACTCAAACATTTGAACATGGGTTATATGAAGGTCTGACTGTGTATGGAGCCGAAAGACGATGCCCTTGTTATCTGACCCGAGTCCTCCCGAGTCGAACCAAACGTTCCACCAAAAACAAAATTTACTGCACTAAATACCTTTAAATTACTGACCACTAGAATACCTTGTTGAAAGAGGAAATGAAAAACCGAAAAACCATCTCTACTCAGACTGTACCACCGTGACGACAGGAAAACCGACCACAGTCATGTCATAGTTCTCTTGAGTATATGACACACCACCAACATTTCCAGAGATGTTCAAAAAGTTCACACTTCCACTAATATTGGCCGTGAAGAAAGTGAATCCTCCTTCTGCCGGATTGCTGTCGTCGAGTTGCAAATTAGTTGTGGTGATCGTAGGCAAGTAAGGAGGAGTCGTAGCATCCGAATTTGGATCAAACGTAGTAATTGACACGCTGGAAGAAGCATCACCACGGATCTGTTGAACGTCGACGTCAATTGTTTAGCTTTTCCAGTATGTACTATGCAAGTCAAATCACATACCGCCACGACGACTTTCGTGAATTCACTAAAAGCGGGAGACACAAAAACATTTTCGCTTCGGCGGTCATCTACAAACACCGAATCCTGTTCTATCACAAAGCCAGAGCCGCCATTATCTACTATGATGGGGTCGGACCCGTCGTTTTCGTTGATTTCGAACCAGAACTTCGAGATAGAGGTGGCCGGGTTGATGGTCGCATTGAACACGTATCGATCCGCGGTAAGGCCTTGCATATTACCGATGAAAGTGAAGAAAACCTGGATATTGTCTATCGCAGGCGTGGTGCATCCAGTGGACGGGCAGAATGATCCCTGTCGATCCGCCCAGAGCATGGTTACTGTACGACTGGGGTTGTCTGTCATGACCTGATCCATGTTTCTTGTGAGTAACTTCTAAGTGTTGAAAGAAATCTAAAGAACGTGCTCACTCGCAAATGGGTGACCATAGACAATGTACCATTCCGATAGGAGAACAAAGGTCCGGCGACAACGTAGTCGAATGGCTCGGAAATAGGTTGAGTGAGTGTCACACCGCTGGGAACAGTGTTGATCATCCGCTCAATTAGGTTGCCGCAAGTTTCGTTGAACGTGTTGGAAGAAAGGAAGCTAGCCAGCGGCATAAACAATTAGTTCTGGAGGATAAAACTAACAAGTGCATACCTTTGCATGGTTTCGTTTCCATCACTCGAGAAAATTCGAAAATCCGACCTGGTGGTGACGTTCGGTCCAACGACCAAGATATTTTGAGTCGTGTTTTGAAGGTACTCGGATACACTGCAGCTTTTTAAATTAATATTTCGAACAGAAGCGCGTCTCACTTACACTGCGTTATCAAAATTGATAGTGGTGTCGAATGTTTGAAGCACATCTTCAGTATCCGTTACAACCAACGGGAAATCCACTTGTCTAACCCCTCCAAGGGTATGTCCGCATGCAACAAGACCTATCATTTCTGTGGGAGTGAACCCCTGGCGCCGGAAGGCTTCTGTGTGCGAGGCGAGATCCTGTTGGGGTTCTGGAACGGTTGCTGGGCCGGCTTCAGTCGCGTCGACACGACCAGCACTGAAAGGGATAAGAGGACCTCCACATCCCGCGACAGCAAATATCGCTCCCAATGCGATTGTATCCGCCACTAAAAGGCGTTAATGAACACAAACATTTCAGACTGAGATTCCGAAACTTCATACTTCCAAAAAACGGAGCGATAATATCGAAAGCCTTGAAATCATTCAGCGAATCGAACATTCCTTGGCCAATATTCTTCGACAATGGTCTGTCTCAGTTCAAATATCCCCAATAATCATCTGCACAATGAATACCTGAGGTCGATCGAGCTCATATTGAATCGATGCATCCAGCCCGCCTGTTCCATCATCAACATCATGTGTAGACATGTCATGGTACGCCTACAGCAAATTCTCAGTACAATCACGATGATAGGCAAAGAGGAGGCTCACAATGCGAAGCCACTCCGCGTTTATAGTTGTGTTCTCTCGCGCGGGGCAATTTTGTGCTAGAATGTCCAATACACCCTCGTAGAGCTGGTTATCCGCGTACGCCAGTTGAGGGTTGGGCCATTGGAATGTCGGAAAACTGTGTGCCACGCCAACCAAACCACAGGATATGACTGTGTATAAGACACGGGGGGATTGCAACATGGGGTACGAGAAGACTTGGGTCCTTGATAATGCAAGCAACTCTGGCCAACTATTTAAGCACGCCCTAGTAATTCATTCACTTAACTCATTGAAAGCATGACACCCGTGTGCTTTCCTCTGTAGGAGAAAAATGGCCGTAACAGAGAAATCCCAACGCTGCAAATACCTAAATTGTTTACACATATCCGCTTGAATACGTTCAGTGACCATCAATTCATACCTTCCCATGTTCGGGCTTTACTATTATGAGTAACCAGGAACCGAACGCGCCAGATGAGATGCTACGGGCGCTACAGTAAAAAAGGTGTAGAATTTGATAGCCTGCTACACACGATTTCAACAGCATTTGGTATCGGTGTATTACTGACGTACCGAAATTTCCCTTGCCTCTAGATCTGGCTCTCCTTCAAGAATTGACGCGAAAGTAAAATACACAAGACGGGTTCAAGGTAGATATTCCATTGATACTGGCAACTGACCTGAGGGACGGAGATGTGTTATCAGAAAATTTGTTGTTGTGCACAAGCACCTGGTTACAAAGAGTTACAAAGGCCGTGTTACATAGTCCGATTCAGGTCCAATTACACAGAAAATAATACACATTGTGGATTCATTATAACAAGGATTAATTAGACACTTTCGATGACACGGTCTTCCTGCAGAGCAGACGATAGCACGATATTAGGAGCATAGATGTGTGGGACTAGAATGGCACGTACCCAGACATCTTCTCATACTGATTCCTTACGCCATCGGTGATCTTTTCATTGGTATCACGACCAAGCGTATGTCCGGTCTTTTTTTCGATGAAGTCAAGAGCTAGAGAAAGAGAAAGAGTCACAATGGAGTGTGGAAAGGTAAGTTATCCTGACGACTAACCTTTGTCACCGTAGTCTTCGTTCTGGTTTGACCCACTCATACCACCGTTGGCGCTTGTTCCTGTCATTCCCCCGCTCGAGTTAGCAGAGGAGTTTGTGGTGCCAGTGAGCTTATTGAGAAAGGAAGACATTGTTAACGTTGAAAGATTGAAGCCATTGTGGATTATAAGCAAAATGTATGTACATGACGTAGGAGGTTGACGTCACGCGTAGAGGAGCCAAGCTACCGCTTATAGAAGAGGATCGGCGCCGCTGCGCATTGATAAATCGATGATCCCTGCATCACTTATTTGTCGAACTTGGAGTAGAATGGCAATTCTGTCATGGGAAATATTCCAGGAACAAGCAACCTGCCCAATGAATATTTCTTGGTCATAGTATCGTTTGCGTTCTAGCCCACAAGCCCAGAATCATAATCTTCCAAGATCCAAGAAAAGTTAAAACAACGCATCCCATTCGTGGGCGAAGTTCACGACAATCGGCGAACGTTGGACGATCGAGCCGGTAGGCAAATCCAAATTGTATAATCCTTAACAAGCCCTCTCCCAAGGTGAGGTGCTAAGAGTTTGGCCAGGATGAGCAAGAGCACTATGTAAGGTGGTTGTGAATTCCGCAAGAATCTGCCCCATACATTATTCGGGAGTATAGTTTATTTCATCTACATTGAACTTGGATACGCACAAATGCCCGGAACGGAGAATGAACGTGCTGCTGCACGTGAAAGCTTCGGGTGGATGACATTCCTCCTCATTCTTCGGTATCGGAGAATTGAGGATATTGACGGATGGTCTTTGCGAAAAGCGTTGAAATGCTATCTCTCAATGGCTGGAGATAACCGAGTTCAGTGAATACTCCAAAACAGAATCCTTGTGAGGCAGGCTTAGTCTCTGAGGAAAGCAAGTTGAAGATGTATGCCATCATGTAATGTGAGTACGTTCACTGGTCGGGATCAAACGGCCGGCAATCCAAATAGAATCGCACGGCAATATTAGGCAAAACATTACAGGAACCTCTTTGCGCAAGAATGAGGTGCTTTTTTGACGATGCATTAAATGTGAACATGAACGTCCCGATTCTTCCTAGCTTTTTCCACTACAGTGAATCGCTGCCCTCTTAGGTCTGTTCATTGTATCCTCACATCGATCAATTCTGATATTTCATTCAGCGTATCGTGATCATGTCCTCCTTAAGCACCGTAGCACGCATTGCTTACCTTGCATCTGAGACTGTAGTCGATTCTCAACCTCCACTCCCTTTGAATTCTGAATTCGCCTCTTCGTTCAATTCGGTATCTCTGTCTTCAAGGCGGAGACCCAATGTCATAGCAGTTCCCCATGGTGGTGACCCTGCTGCAGCACTTCTCAGAGCTACCGGATCAGCCTTAACATCTTTCACCGCTTTATCAAACTCCCAGACTATTGCGAGATTGGTCCTACGTCTTCCGGAACTAGCATCTTCCCCGTTAGTGCTCCATATAGCTCTACTCAATGACCTTTCGGATGTCCTTCTACTCCGGAGCGTAGTGCCATACTTCCTAGTTTCGACAAATGCTCAGCAAGCTCATGACAATGCTCTGCTGGCAACAAAGCTGGCTCGGTCCCAGAAGAAGGCCGTCGTCCATGCATTCTTTTCAACAAAAGATGATTCAGATACTACAACAGAGCTTTCAGAAGAAAATTTACTAACTCTTCTGTTCGACGAGAAGGGACTTGTGAACGGCTCCAATGGTCATACGAACGGGGTGAATGGTCACTCTAATGGAACCAATGGGCACTCGAACGGTGTCAATGGTCACGCTCATGGGACAAACGGATACGACTCGCCAGAGGTCGTGGAAGACGACAGAGTTGCGTTACAATTGTTCAAGGACTACGAGGTGGCCGCATTGAGCGTCCTCAAGGCAGTTCGTCGCCCAATACTCCCACTCACATCTACGGGTTCATCAGAGCCTACTACAATTATATTCACTTTAGGCAAAGCCACGTTCGATGCTTCCGTAGAGGGTGTCTCTTTTGTCAATGTATCCCTTCTATCTCCGCTTTTGCCCTCTCGTATTCTGGGTGTTATTCCTCCCACTGTGACCTCCGTCATTGTCTTGGAGCAGGTACAGAACTGGTCTTTAAAGTGGACCCCGTTTTATCTCGAAGTAGTGAGCGCACTGCAACAAAGGAATCCTGTCGTTCGCCCTGCGGTGCATAGCGGTGTACTGGGGGATTCCACTCCGGTCACAGAGGGAGATATCTTGAAGCTCCTTTCAAAGGCATCTAATTCCACGTCTCATTCCCGCCTTCAGCTTGGCTCTAGCAGCGCAGAGAAGGTCGCTTCTCAGGGACCTCATATTCCGAAGCACGAGCTTTCTTACACTAAAATCTTGACGCATTTATTCCGGGAGCGACTCGAAATTTCCAACTCTCCCGACTTGATTCCTGTTCAGGGAGATTTGGCTACTAGCCCCGAATTTGCTCTAGGGCGTGTTCGTGGTCAGATCGACGAAAGAGCTAAACTGCTCGTCGCTGTTCGGGACTTATTACAGTCCGGGAATGTCGATGGCGAACTCCACTCCCTTCTTAGCAAGTGGGTCCTCGCCAAAGATGATGGTATCAAGAGTAGAAGTCTTGGTGAGGAAATTACGGAGAAACTTGAGCTGGTGAACACCTCAGTCGAAGTACAGCGTGTGCTTGCTTTGAAATCTCATTTCCCTTCCGTATCCCGATGGATCATTGGCTCCGATGCATGGTCGTATGATTTAGGTTCTTCCGGACTTCACCACGCCGTTGCTTCGGGCTTAAACATCAACATCTTGATACTTGACACCCTTCCTTATTCTCAGAGGAATTCCGCTGACCCCACTCGTCGCAAGCAGGATGTCGGTTTATACGCAATGAACCACGGCGATGTGTACGTTGCCAGTGTCGCAATCTACTCATCTTACGCCCAGGTTCTCCAAGCTCTCATCGAGGCTGACAACTTCGATGGGCCTTCTGTCATTGTTGCGTATTTACCATACGAGAGCGAGGATGCTCTCGCGCTAAATATATTGAAAGAGACGAAGCTAGCCGTAGATGCAGGCTATTGGCCGTTATACCGCTGGGATCCCAGTAAGGAACTTAATGGCGGAGAGCCATTTACGCTTGATTCCGACGCTGTTAAAAACGATCTTCAAGCTTTCTTGGACCGACAGAATCATTTGTCGCAGCTTGTTCGCTCCAAGCCCCAACTGGCAACTGAACTAGTCGGTAGCCTTGGCGAAACAGTGAAGGAAATACGGAAGAAGAAGGCTCTCCAATCCTATAACGATCTCCTTACCAATCTCGACGCGCCTCCGTTAACGATTCTGTATGCCTCGGACGGCGGCAATGCAGAAAAGGTAGCTAAGCGGTTGTCCAATAGAGCTCAAGCCAGGGGCTTGTCCACCACCCTTGCAACTATGGATACGATGTCACTAGATAGTCTTCAACAAGAGGAATTCGTCGCATTCATTTCTTCTACCGCTGGACAGGGAGAGCCTCCTCAGAACGGCAGACAGCTCCTCAAGGCAATCAACGCCGCGGCTGTGCACGAGCAGGTCCTTCTTCCCAAACTCCGCTTCTCTGTCTTTGGAATGGGGGACAGTCATTACTGGCCCCGCCCTGAGGATGCACATTACTACAACAAGCCAGGAAAAGACCTCGACGCTCGTTTGGAGAAACTCGGTGGAACTCGTGTAGCTGTTCTCGGACTTGGTGATGACCAAGATGCTGACGGATATCAGACGGGCTACAAAACCTGGGAGCCTCAGCTCTGGAAGGCGTTGGGCGTGGATTTTATTGAAATTACGGAGGCTGAACCGGAGCCCATCACTAATGAACACATCAAGGCAGCCTCCAATTTCCTACGTGGCACAATTCTGGAAGGACTGGAGGACAATTCAACCGGTTCTCTTGCCCCAAGTGACGGGCAGTTGACTAAATTTCATGGTATCTATCAGCAAGATGATCGCGACATTCGAGATGAACGTTTAGCTCAGGGAGTTGAACCCGCTTTCGCTTTCATGATCCGAATTCGAATGCCAGGTGGTGTATGCACGCCTGAGCAGTGGCTGACAATGGACCAGATTGCGGACGAGCATGGCTCGGGAACCTTCAAAATCACAACGAGACAGACCTTCCAGTTCCACGGCGTCATCAAGCGTCACTTGAAATCCGCCATTCAGGATATAAACAGGGTCCTACTCGATACTTTGGCCGCTTGTGGGGATGTGAATAGGTGAAACATACCGTTTTCGTCGTAGACTAAGTTTTCTGACCAAGTCTTACCCAGGAATGTCGTTTGTTCCTCAATACCTACGATGTCGAAGCTGCACGCTCAAGTCCATCAGTTTGCCGTCACTGTCAGCCAACATCTTGTTCCTCGAACCACCGCTTATCATGAAATCTGGTTGGATAAGAAAATGGTTGCCGGGGAAGCGTTGAAAGATTTCGAACCGCTTTACGGCGAATTTTATCTGCCCAGAAAGTTCAAAGTCGCAATCGCGGTACCGCCCACTAATGACGTTGATGTCTTCGCGAACGACCTTGGATTTATTGCAATTGTTGACGATAACGGTGAACTTGCTGGCTTCAACGTCACCATCGGTGGTGGTATGGGTGTCACTCATGGTAACAAGAAAACCTATCCTCGAACTGGAGACCTTATTGGTTTCTGCACTCCTGAGCAGGGCAAGTACGTCGCTGAGAAGGTCATGCTCACTCAACGAGACAATGGTAATCGTGCAGAGTAAGTCGCCTTCGATATTGTCGAATTTTTTCTTCTGATTGCGCCCCTCTACTATAGCCGAAAGGTAAATTATATCAAAAATTTCAAAACTACTTAACTGATAGCGTTTCCAAGAACGCTCGTGTCAAGTATACCATCGACCGAATGGGCTTAGATGTGTTCAAAGCCGAGGTCGAGAAGCGACTAGGATACCAGCTTCAGCCCGCGAGGCCGTTTACTTTCGACCGCAACGTAGATGACTATGGTTGGTCAACAGGCGAAGACGGTCGCCATCACTTCACAATGTTCATCGAAAATGGTCGGATTCAGGACGAGACTGGGAAAGAATTCAAGTCTGGTTTAAGGGAGATTGCGAAGATTCATAAAGGCGCTTTCCGACTGACCACGAACCAGCATTTGTTGATATCTGATATTCCTACTGAGAACCTCCCTCAAATTAAAGCCATCCTTTCTAAATACAAGATGGACAACCTATCCCATTCAGGACTTCGTCTTTCATCTTCCGCCTGTGTTGCCTTCCCTACTTGTGGTGAGTGTCGAGCTTGGAAATTGTTGGACTCTCGTCGCTGACATCACTACCAGGACTTGCTATGGCCGAGTCAGAACGAGTAAGCAAAGCTTATATCTATAAGTCTGACATGTTCCAACCGCGTTGTAGTACCTTCCTCTACTCGTAGATAAAGTGGAGAAAATTTGCGAAGAGAATGGTCTTCGCAACGACGCAATTGTTATGAGGATGACTGGTTGTCCAAATGGATGCGCAAGACCCTATGTAGCTGGTCTGTTATTTATACCTCTTGCTCGTATGTCCTGACTACTTACCTTTAAACAGAAATTGCCTTTATTGGAAAAGCTCCTGGTACATATCTCATGCTCCTCGGAGGTGGCTACTATGGACAAAGGCTCAACAAAATTTATCGAGGTATGAAAACTCATGTTGTCCATAAGTCATCTCAATGTCTTGTAGAAACTGTTACGGAACCGGAGATTTTGGATATCCTCAAACCCATGATCAAGCGATATGCATTGGAACGGAACGATAACGAACATTTTGGGGATTGGACAATCAGGGCAGGATACATCGCAGCTACTACTTCGGGCAAGGAATGGTATGACAGAATGGGCGGAGAAGAGCAATTTGCACAGTAAATCACTAACATGCCTTGTAAATCTAATCCTTGTTGGCACGTCGTATCTTGCAAGTGCAAGTTCTTGTACATTCACATGAAAATTTCGACAATGCTTTTTAGGATAGTAAAGGATCCGGAGCTCCTTCGAGTATAGATTTCCGAATCAGGATTTATGTGTAAACGCCGGACGGGTATCCGTTGCTTCGATTATATATATAGATAGCTACTACCTGCTAAGACACTACAGACACCACTAGTACTTCCTCTGTTTATCCCCACCGCCACACACCACACACCCTACTGAATCAGACTATAGCTATCAGCTATTTTCCAGCCAAGATATCATAGTGGATCCAACCCCAACGGTTAGTTGCAACTTCACTTTTCCTTCCATGGTACCCCATCCGCTATATCCGGGCAGCACAGCATCCTGCCGACAACATGCTACAATTTGCTACCAAGTTCGGTGTACAAGTTCTCATTCAACCTGAGTGAGAAATATTTTCCTTCAAAGTCTTGCTTTCATCATCAGACCGTTATCTTTCAACGGTCCGAATCTATCATTAGCCTGTTTCAGTCTGAAAAAAAGAAGGAAGCGTTAAGTGATTTGCGTTCATTTTTGCTTGTCTAGCTAACTTGGGATTCTACAGAAAAAATCCAGCAAGCGCCTCGTCGTCCTTACTTTTCAGCAGCGGCTTCTGCCAGTGTCTCTCCCAAAGCTTTGACGACAGCGTCGACGTCGCCTCGTGATTTCTCAACAGCAGTGATTCCCATGTGCCCTATACGGAAATATTTATCTGGAGGGAGACGGTCAAAAAGCGGAATAGAAAAGTATGCAAAACGTCACAAACCCTTGACGTCAACGTGCAAGCCACCGGCTACAACAATGCCCTTCTTCACCAATCGCGGAAGAATGTCTCCTGCACTCAGACCGTCAGGATACCAGAGCTTTAATTCTCGTATCAGGGCAAAGGCACAAGGAGATAGCGGGACGACATACTGCGGTCATTCCATTGGCAGCAAATGCAGGATCTAGAGGAAGCTGTTTCAATCCAAGCTCCTGCGCTGCTGCCTTGACTCTCCGGCTTGCGTCTCTGTGCAGTTCGTAACGTTCTGCGAGTGAAGGAGAAGACTTGGTGATCTTGGAAAGAGAGGCGTGGAATGCGTAAATGAGGTTGACAGGTGGCGTAGCAAAGTACGAAGGTTTTCCACTTTCATAAGCCTGCATGACTGGAAGCCATCTGTGTTATGTGTTCAGACGGTAAGAAAATTTATCGAGCACAATTGTGTATTCACGTACTTCTTCCAGCTACCATAGTATGAAGTGGGGCGGGACTTTCTAGAGCTGAAAACCTTTAGATAATACATAGGTCAGGTAAGGCTAACGATGAATAATGACTACAAACCTGCATGGCTCGGACGCTAGCGACAAGAATGCTGAGACCAGGGGGAGTTCCGAGGCCTTTCTGACTTGCAGTTATGATAACGTCTACATCCCATTGGTCCATATGAATCTCTTCACTAGCGACTGAGCAAACTCCATCCAAAGCGACCTTCGATTGAGAATTTAGATATCTGGATCATCCAACTGTAAGCCCACTCACCAGAGTCTCCGGTGATACTCTGCGGACTGTTTCTACGATTGCTTTGGCGTCCGAAAGGACAGCTGAGAGCTTATATGAGTTACCGTGCGAGTAAGTCTGAGTTGGAGTTCTCATACCAGTTGAGGTGTCAACGTGAGTAAATGTCAAGAGCTTGTATTTCTTCTTCCCTAGTGCCTCCGCTATGGCCTCTTGGCTAACAGCCGCGCCTATTTCTGCTTTTAATTGGTCGACGTTCGCTCCGTAAGTTTCTAAACTTGGGGACTATTAATTCCACATTGTAGGAAGCAAAAAGATGCACACCATTCCGCAAAGCTGTCTCCGAAATAGCCGGAATGAAGGACTAACGCGTTCTCTCCGGGCTCGACAAGATTAGCTGCGATCTGAATGGAAACGCGTCAGTAAGGGGTTAATTTAGTTGATTTTACCACGAACTTGGTCCCAGCCTAGAATGGTAACGCGTTAGTGAGAGGCTGGTAAAGTTGAAACTACTACAAACCTAATGTCCCACTTCCTGCTATCAAGAATGGTTGACCTTTCGCAGTGTCTACGACGGTTCTGTACGAAATGTGAGAAGGAAGAGTATTGGGGGAACGCGAATCAACTTGCCGCGTCATTCGAATGCAATCACCGAGCACCGGGATAAAGTCGGGGGAAACGTGTGACATGGAAGGATGGGCATTGGCAAATAAAACCTATTGAGAAGGTCATTTTGTGAGCATTCACGCCATCTGTTATTGAGCCAATCTCTCACCTCATCCGATACCTCGATTGGCCCTGGAATGCTGGAGGTAATATAAGAGGCGCGTCCATCAAGCGAGCATGCACTTCACTTACACCAGCAGCCTGCAAAGACAGTCATCATTTGAGAATTACCCTCTTAATAGCACGATCGGATTAACTTACTTGTGAGGGGACTACATATCACTCAAATTCGAATGAATTCTCCAGCCATGATTAAGAACCACACACACCTGTCTGAACTGTTCAATAGAGGACATTTTCCTGATAGATATGGAGGTAGAAGAGCGTAGTTGAGTGAGGATGGGGCCACGTATTTGGGAGACCGAAAGTAGGAGGCTCATAAACCTGATGAAGATGTGCGCACGGACATCCGAATACGTGACTTTCAGCAGCGGAACGGGACACCGACCAAGTCAAAATGCCTGCCGTCGACCTTACCGCGGTCACGAAGAGCCTCGACTAAATGTCGTTCAGCAACGTTCAACTGTCGTTTCAGTCAGCAAAATTCGCGATTTCATACAAATACAGGCATCAGAAGATGATGTTCCCGCTCATCACGCTCTTTTTTAATATTTTAGATGATCCGCGATGTGTCCAAATGCGTGTTGTACGGGTTGTAAATAGTAACTGCGTCAGTTGGTTTAAAACTGGACCACGAGAAGCTGGATCTAGCCTGAGACCGAGGTATTTAGTCTTGTGGAAGGTTGCTTAAGGTTGCATGCCCCGAGGATCTGCAATTTACCAATACGTCGGAGGACGATCGGAGAAAAAAGGCGCGTGTTAGGTCCGAGGCCGAAGCGCGCTAAAATTCCAACTGGCGCTTATGCTACTTCTCTTTTCTGCAGCTTGTCTTCCTTCTCGATTCACTGAATCGAAGGACCTATATTACCATGGCTCGTCCGTTACTAAATGCATCTATTTTTGCCCGTACTCTAACAACACTTTAGGAATATCTCTTGCTCAGCAAATCGCTGACTTGGATGCACCTGCTCCAGTCGGTGTGTGTCCTTCTCCCGATTTTGCATACTTGCTGAAAATACATCATACTATCCGTAGACATCGATCCTGAAGCTATATTCAATGACCTTCATATACAATCGTCAGATGTCTCGAGGGCTCACTATGTAAATGTCGGGTAAGGTCCTGAACTTTTCTCAATATGTAAACCGCTTTGAATTCCTTGTCTACAGGAAAAGTACCTTGCGGAAATTTCATGATAATATTGCTGATCCTAAATACGACGGAGTGAAAGTGTCCCGCACACAACTCTTAGAGGAAGATGACGGTCATTCATTCAAGTCTAACGGCGAGGAAGAAGAAGAAGAAGAAGAAGAAGAGCAAAATGATGAAAGTGGTGAGGAAATATGGCAGGAGGAAACTGTTCATCGTCCGAGTGACGAGGGAGCTACCGCAAGCGAAGACAGTAAAGAAGATGAAGCTGAGAAGATTGTAACTGAAGATCGCTCCGCTGCTGTAGACATAACCCTGGCTCTACGAAAAACACAAGACGAGGACAGAAAGAAGGGTTTAGCTGTCTCTCGGCAAATTGCACGTATCAACTATCTTCCTGCTATGTTCTGTTCTGACGGTCCTTCAGGGTATTTGGGACTCCTTATTGGATGCACGGATTCGGATTCAAAAATCTATATCTTCTTCAAATACATTACCCTCGGTAATAGTCATCACTCTTTGCTAGCCCCATGACACAACTTACCAGCATTCAGAGCTCCACGCTGATTCAAAATGATTCTCATTACGGAGAATCGCTGAGTAGGATGCTGAACGAAGCCGCATCGTTGTCTGAACAGATGTTCGAATTACAAGAAGTAACCAAAGTTTCTGTCCGGTGCATATACCAGTTTCTGATGTTACTTCTAGCTTCTTCTCCAAGCTGATGATTTAATTCAGCTTCCTCCTCAAAAACGCAGAAGGCTGGAAACCGTGCAAACACTTTCTCAATCAGACATCGGAGGATACCTAGTCGAAGCTTGCGAAGATGTTTCACACCTGGAGAAGATGTAAGTTTTTCTCATCGAAAGCACACAGCATATTAATGCTTTCTTTAATGTATAGGTATCATCCTCATCTCGTTCAAACACTCTCGAAATGGTCTTCAAAAATCCAAGCCGTCGCACCTTCGGTCCTCCTACCCTCTAACCGCAATGCATTCTTCAAAGACCGTCAACATCTCAAAACTGCTGTCCAACTTGTCGACGAAAGTCTTTCTACTCACGATAAACTACTTCATCGCACACAACAATGGCGGGGGAAGGGCCAGCGACTGGGGGTCGAGACTCAGGAAGGAGGTGTAGCAGATGCGGATGGGGAGATATTCGACGATACCGACTTCTATCAACAACTCTTACGAGACGTTATCGATGCGCGGAATGATGCAGGAACGAACGATTGGATGGCCGTTCAGAAGCAAAAGAAAGCTAAGAAGAAAGTGGATACGAAAGCCAGCAAAGGGCGGAAACTCCGGTGTGTACACATGCTGTTGCTGCAATATTTCTGATCGTCCTCAACACCCCATCTTTTACACAGATATGACGTTCATGAAAAGCTTCAAAACTTCATGGCACCCATCCATGTCAAAGGAACCTGGCATGAAGAGCAAATTGATGAACTGTTCACCTCGTTGCTTGGGAGAGGGTTTGAGGATGCAATCGATGCTCAAGCAAATGAGGTCATTGGACCTAGAGAGGATGCTGGAGAGTTATCAGGTGCTCTCGAAGGTTTTCGGGTTTTCGGATAGCAATCGGCGTATAGAGTATTACAGTAATCATCATTTACAGTAATGCACTGGTAATGAATCTGATTTGCTTACTAAATACTGCTTTGTGCAAGCGCCCAGCGTCAATAGAACTTGTATTGGCCGTCATTCTTTCCTCTTAATTATGGAGGCTTTTGACGACGAGAACCCTTTCGACACAGAGTCTGACCGTATTCCATCTGAAACCTCTTCTACATCTAAAGTGGACATATCAGAACCACCCTCTCCGCCTTTCAATCCTTCCCGACAACTGTCATCAGAAATTACCAGTCCAGAACGCACATTTCCTTCTCAAGGGCCCCCCAGACAGCCACAGCGTTCAAACTTCAAGAGTGATTTCTGTTGCGCACGAGACAGGATACTTCATTCTGGAGATGATGTTGAGATTCTGGTGTGTGCGATAGTTATATCATATCATGCACTCCATGGGCATTGAATCTTCCACATGTAAGATTACAGACGCACAGAAGACCAACCTCGGAGCGACTACGCCGTATATCACATATGTCATACAAACAGGAGTGAGTGGTTGATAATTTTCATTCCATTTCGATGTTGGCTCATTGTCATCTGCGTCTTAGAATACGGAATCTCGACATAGATACTCTGAATTTGAATCGTTGAGATCAAGTCTAGTGAAGCTCTATCCTACTCTCATAATACCGCCAATCCCATCCAAGCAAACCCTCGGAGACTATGCGGTCAAACAGGGAAAGGCCAAAGAAGATGCTACGATGATTGCAAGGCGGAAACGAATGCTGCAGACATTCCTAAATCGACTCGCCAGACACCCTATCCTTTCCAACGAACATGTATTTCATCGCTTTCTAGATGGTGAAGTCTCTTGGGTGCGCAATTTTACATTACGCTACGTCGAGTTTTTGTTCTCATTCCAGTGATGTTTACCAATCATAGCATGAAGTTTTGAATTCCCCTCCCATTTCACTGCTTCCTAAGAACATCCTCAAAGCCCCGTCGCACGACCCAACGGACCAGGAAGCATCTCCTGCGTATACTGCTTTGCCCAATCCTTCCGCTGCCCACCCACTTCGAAATCCAGACCAACGGTTTCTCGATTCAGAAGCTTTCACCAGTAAATTTGCTGTTCATCTCAGTGGTCCGATGGAGAAGGTCACACGGCGGACAGTAAAACGGTGGTCAGGTTGGTGATACTTTTACTATACTTGAGATTCATTAGCGACTATTAAGAAATACTAGAATATGCGCAGGACCATGCCGAACTTGGTGCAGCATTAAACGGGTTCAGCTTGAATGAGACTGGGTCGCTTTCCGGCGCTATTGAGAAGACTGGTCAAGCAGTTGATGCGACGTATATGTCCACCACGAAATTAGTGAGCATCATATCACTATGCTGTTATTATCCGTTTTTCGAACAACTCATATGTTCTAGGCTCAAGAACTCGAACAGAACTGGGCAGAACCAATCAACGAATATGCACAATTCTCGTCCATTATTAAGAAGCTGCTGGCTTATCGCCATCAAAAACACGTTCAGTATGAGATGACTCAAGACGCGCTAGAGGCAAAGCGAGAACAGTTAGAAGAACTAGAGAAAAGCGAGCATGAAGCGCGACGACTGGAAGCGGCTCTTGGAGGGCGAAGCACAGTCTCTCTCCCATCTTCGCCTGATCAGGAACCTACCGAGGAGGAGTCGAGCATCCAAACACATTCTGCGTCTTACGTGCCTCCACATCCTGGTCCCAATCCTGCAAGGCGAAACGCTAGAGCTCCTGGTATGGGATTCCTAAATGCTCTTAGCTACACATTGCATGGGATGATGGATGTTGATCCTGAAACTGCTCGACGCAATGGGATTTCAAAGACAAAGGAGACGATTTCACAGGTAATTTTCCGTTTTCTTTTTGAAACAAACAAGATTTCGATTCACAGTATTGATTTATAGTTGGAAGATGCGTTACATTTAGCTGCTCAAGATCTAAAGTACTCCAGTTCTACAATCCAAGCTGATCTGGACAGGTTCCAACGGCAAAAAGTCGCAGATATTCGGGAAATGGCGATTAGCATGGCACAAAGTCATCGAGATTGGTGCAAGAAGGTACGTAGGTCCCGAGTAACGAGTCCATGTTCAATATCCTGATCTCCTTATCCAACAAGAATCTTGAAGCATGGGAGGAGGCCAAAAGAGAGGTCGATATGATTCCGGACCATCCAAATAAGCTTCCTTCTCCTTCTGCTCCTCAACCTTCTACATCTACGAGGAGAGATTCCACGACTACTTTAAACGGGAGATGATGCTTTGCGTGTAATTTTGGACGATGGACAGTACTGGGTTGCTATGAGACCTAATTTATGTACTTGAATTTTGCGACCCTAGCTCTATAATCGTACCCAAGAATACTTTCGAAGGTCGCATGTCAGTGTTGCATCCCTAGAACATATTAACTTGCCTCTTGATGACGGATCAGTGAGCCGCCTAACTAATAAACCTTGCAGATACAGAAGACTGAGCCGTCCTGATGTTCAGGATGGCAGCTGTGCAAGGAAGAGTCTATACGAGGTTTGTTTTCGGATAACCAGAGAGGTTGACAAGACCGGCAGTGTATTGGATAATGCGAAAACGATGAAAAAAGGTGAAACCGAAACTGTGGGAGAAAGGGAGAAAGAAGAAGAGGTGTCGCAACTTGAAGATGACTTCTATACTGTAGACAATGGAGCGATGATGTAGTCTCGCGGGCCATAATTCACCATAGGGATGGAAAGTTCGTCCTCCCATGGGAAGCGATGATGGAGATGAAGCTTGATGAAGATAAGTTACAAAGAACTTAATCTAATCTGGAAAGCTCAAGCGCGAGCGCTAATAAAAAATATGTCATTTTTCTAGAGCGGTTGTCACCCCCTTGTTTCCTCATGTCCAATCCAGAAAAAGTTGTTTTGATACTTGTTGGTCTGGTCGGTTCAGGAAAGGTAGATTTCAAAGATTTTTTCAGCTCAACCGTGACTCCGAACTATTTTTCAGAGCGCCTTTGCGACAGCCCTTGAGAGTCATTTTCCACGTCAATGGCGCAGGTGCAACCAAGACGATCTTGGAAATCGGGCACAAGTGGAAATTCTTGCAAAAAACTCACTACGGAAAGGTCTTTCAGTTTGTATTGATCGAACAAACATTGACGAAAGGTGAATACTCATACATAGATCTCGAGTAAAAAGAGACAACTTTCTGCCACTTTGATCTGTCAGTCAAAGAGCACACTGGATAAGGTTGGCACACGAATTTCCTGGAACCAGAGTCTGGGTAATCTTCTTTGATACTCCATATGAAGTGGGTTAGCATCACTATTGCTTTCCGATCCATTCATTTATCGATCTTATTTCAGGTATGCGCCTTGAGACTGCAACGAAGTAAGTTTCTTTACTGGTTTGCTATTGGCCTCTAAACTAGGCTCACACGAATCGTAATCAACAAGGAACTTCACATCCCACAATTCACAGTCCTGTAATGGGACTTTCTGTTCTTTCCAGGTTTGCGAGAGACCTCAGTGTTCCCTCTGCGAACGAAGGTTTCCATTGTATGGTTTCGCTAGAACCCGTTGACACAAAAGTAGAATATTCAGATTCAGATATTGTCACTATATTGGACCGCGTTCGTTCTTCGGAGGCAGTCATGCAGTCCAGACCGAAACCAATCCGCATTTCTTGGGCAGAAAGGCGTGGCCAATCTCGTGGCGGTCCAACAAGAGATATAAAAACCCAAAGCAATTATTTGAGTAGAGCATGGCAGCAAGGGACAGTGTTTCCAACTCAGAACACATCGAGTAGTATTCAGCCTGCTACTGAAGTTGACGGGGATATTGGTGTACAGGCAGGACACACTCATGGAGAAGTTTCTCCGTTGCTGAAAGACTTGCTAGGTGTGGATTAAAGTATTAGCCTTGTACACCAGTCCGATCGAATGGACCATCAATGAAAACCATGTAGACAGCGAGCAGTACGGGCATAGTTGTAATACAGCTAAACAATAAGACAAACCGATTATGAGCATGCTACCTCGACGACGTTGAAAAAAAGACAATAAGCCGACCTGGTTCACCCGAGAAACTGGATTACCACTACCTCAGAAAACCTGGGACCTGACCTTCATTCGTCCTGTTGACTAGGAATTTGCGCAGATTGCACTCGCCGATTCAGTATTTTAGCAGTGACCTGTAGCTTGGGTAAGGTTGACTAAACGAAGCAGTGAATAATGATAGAACTGACGTTGCGAATGTGTATCTGTGCGCGTTCCATACCGAGTGCGGAACACTTTTTGTAGTATTCTAAGCTTTCTTCCAAGTTCTCCGCTATTTTGGTGGGCCATGAAGAAACAATAAAGAACGGGGTAAAGAATAGACACAAACTTGCTTCCAGAACAACGGCAAGATTAAACGCAATTTCCCGGTCTTCTGGTGACAGTGAGGAGGCAATACTACATTTGCGAAACTTGAGTGGCGCAAAGTCGAAAGTATCAATGTCACCATTACCGTAGGTGGTGTAGTGCAAGGTCTGGTCGAGGGAGAGGTGATAAGACGTATGCATTCGCCAAATCTTCATATCAAAATCATTTGAACAACGTTGATGAAGGGGGTGAATCGTAATGGCGTACTAGTATGTGTGTCAGGACTTGCCGGTTGAAGAGCAATAGACTCTTGCCACGCAGTGATAGCAGCATCAAAGTCCTTCAAGCAGTAATGAGTAACGCCCAAATTATACAATGAGCTAGCGTTTCGATTTATTTCGGCACTGCGAGCATAAAGCCTCTTCGCACCCTCGACGTCTCCCTCTTCCAGAAGTCGTGTTCCTTGCTCAAGACAATGCATAGCCTCAACCTCAGCGGGATCAGATGCGGTAGAATGTGGAGTTGTGGATGATGCAAAACCTGAAAGATCGGGGGTCATTTAGATTAGATGACAATAAGAATCACTAGAAAAAAAACAATAACGAAAATGCTTGTAGATTGAAGAATCCATAACGGCGGGATTGGGATTGGCAAGTACCGAGAAAGAAGGACGGGAGTTTCGGGAGACCATCCTTAATGTCCGAGACGTATACGCAGACATCCGGGTCGAACAACGGGCTCCTAAATGGAAGGGAAATTTGGCGAACATCGTGTGAGGAAGTAAAGGTTAGTTCAGTGACGCAATAGCCAAAATTCACCACGTGATCACTTTCGGTAAATTTTGCGCCGCGTTGAGCTCACTGTTTCGTCTTGTCAACCTCTTCGACTCGCCGCCATGTCTGCTGATAAAAGTGCGTCCAGTCAGGCCTCTTCATCTAGGGACCCAGCGGAATACCTTCGATCTGCCACTTTTTCAAAGTCTGAAGGTGCTCCCGTTTCACCCGAAAATGCTGTCACAGCTTCAGACCTGCTTTTGGGTTCTTATGATCCCGCAAAATTACACCCTCTCGCCGACCTTGGCGACAAACTGGACTATCTTCTACTCGATGATGACAAGACAAGCGAGCTCCCTGGTTCTGGGACTGCAATTCCTTCTCGGGGCTGGAGTGATGATTTATGTTATGGCACTGGAACCATGTATCTCAGTGGTAGGTCCTTCGGATCTCTTTCGAATTACCTCTTTTGCCTCCATCCAGTCCTCCCTGACTTTTCAGGACTTCTCTCACCTTATCTTTTAACTCGTGAAACGGCCTGCTCTTATTGTTTTTTTTGTTTCATCACATGCTCACCCTGGGTTTTCAGGCCTTGCTGTTGGCGGTGCATGGGGATTGCGCGAGGGCGCAAGAAGGCCATTGGCTGTATCAAATAGCAGGTTACGGATCAACAGCGTTTTGAACTCGGTGACTCGAAGAGGCACATTTATAGGAAATTCAGCAGGTGTCCTCGGTCCGTTTGGCTCGTTTCACTCGATGGCATCTGTACATTCTGACTGCGCTCTTTAGCTCTCGTGTATAACGGAGTGAATTCGTCGATAGACGCCGCACGAGGAAAACACGACATTCTTGGAAGCGTTTCCGCAGGGGCAATTACGGGAGTACTCTACAAGTCAACAGGTAAAGTTGTTTTACGTTCATAAATCTAAATCATTCTGACAATTTTGTGGTCGTTAGCCGGAGTTAAACCTGCTCTCTCTGCGGCTATATTCATGTCTGGAATGGCGGGTTTCTGGAGCTATGTGAAAAAAATCATTTGAACCTCTCATATGCTATATATTCTACATTCTCGCTGATTACCCCCGCTCAAGGTCTTGGTGCCGCGGCATAGGCTCCCTCTTAACTTACACGATCATTATGCGAATCCTATTAAATCTAATCCGTATCGACTCTGCCATATCAGGGTACTCCGATCTGACAAATGAACTTAAGTTGGCGATCTTTCAATCTTTTCAGACTGTACTGCTTGTGTGTGCCGATGTTATAAATGCTTACCTCTCATCGCATTTCCTTGATCATTCCTGCACGATACTGACGCCGGTCTGTCTATCAAGCATGGTTCACTCCTTTGCTCTGTGTATTTCGTCCGACGACAAGCGGATTGTGGACTCTTCACTCACCATTTGCTCTTTTTCAGCAGATGTGCAAGATATGCTGATTACCATGCCATTTGTACCTCGGGTTGAATCTGGTCGTGGAGTACCTCGGAGGAATAAGGTTTGGTCTATTGTCTTTTTCTATCAACACGCGAGCGAATTGTGATACGATCTTTTAGCCACGACAAGCTACTCTTTCATCGGTAGTCCCAAAATTAAGATCTGTCCGCCGTCGTGCGTCTCAATCGCCCCATCGCATACGAATCGAGAGCGATACCAGCGACCCAAAATCTAAATCGGTTGAAACTTCCCGGTCCCCTACTCGTAGGCTTCCTCCCCTTCAGTTTCCTCGTGATAGTGGCGGCAGCAGCGGTCACTCCTCCCCACAATCAGTATATTCTTCAGCTAGTTTCTTTTCTTCGAACGGAAGCCCTACTTCTAGCCGTAGTTCCCCTCCTTCAAGTCATGGATCATATCAGCAATTTTCATCGATGCTTCCTGAAGGGTACTCGCGCAACCATCTTCCTCGTATTCAAGTATCTTCGCTTCTTTCCGATCCTCGGAATCTGTGAGTCCGACGGCCTTGCATCTTGACCATGCTCATATGTACACTTGAAAATCAGATTATATCATCTTGAAGTCGTCCAGCAACCTCAGAGAGCAGCTGAATTTTCCAACTATCCTCTCTCTCGTCTGCCTGTGACTCCCCCAATCATCGTTCGACTTGACATTCACGACGCCTCTGGCAACCCTGTTGTACCGTAAGTAACCTATACCACCAAGTACCCGAAAATTTTTCAACGAGGAAATCATAGCGAGGCGGAACTGCCCTTTCTCATCGCGCATTTGTCCCTTTACAACGAAAACGGACTAGAGAGAGTAGACAGAAGTCCAACGCAGAGTGGGTTTGGCTCCGCACCAGTTCTGTACGGTAATCTTGTGTCATCGGTTGAGCAGCTTGAGGACCTTCAGGGAAATCGCGGTCTTTTCTTTTTATTCCCCGATGTTAGCATACAGTGGCGTGGCCGCTATCAATTGGGAATAACCCTTTTACAAATTTCCAGGTAAATCCTGCTTCATCTATTGTGCACGTACAGTTCGTCGAATGGCTAAACTGAACAGCTCCAGCGTTAGTCCTTCCGGAATTATGGGTCTTGCCCAACACGGACAAGCATTAGCAGAGACGAGAACAAGAGTTTTCGAGGTTCTACCTCGACATCAATATTCTGCTGCCCGTAAGTTTCACTGCTTTGGATCCAGAGTCCACGATTAAAGACTTCTGGGTATACAGAACCAACCCGCCTGACCCAATCCTTCATTCGACAAGGGGCGAGAATGTTTACCTTCGTGTCGCCACCACACCCGTGATCGTCTTACCGCCAGAGAGTCCGTTGTGGACGTAACATCTTGCTTGAACTTAATCGTGCACACACTATGCGAAAATTCGATCTTCGCAGCATAGTTGTTGTTTTTTCTTTATAGATATAATCGTGAATGAAATTCTGAGCAATTGCGAGACTCGATATGCAGCACGTATTATGATTGTAGTTGAAAGTATTTACACCAAGCCGGTGTAACTTGAACTTGTATTTCCGGAAAATTGTGTCCTTCATTCTCCCGCTATCTTTAGGTGCTTCGATTTCCATGATCGCATTTCCAAAATAAAAATTGGATCAAGCTAATATTTGAACCGCTTTCAATATTGTCTGCAAAATTCCTCCAAATCAAATCCGTGTTGCATACATGTTTTTCGTTCTTCGGTCCGATATCTAAATGATCCGGAGCCTGCCTCGCATAATGTGCCGATGTCGACCCGACATAGCAACAATAACCACCCGCTCAACGTCCCGACATATTGTCATCACGTCGGTGCCTCTCAATTATCTGAAAGCCTCGATATATGCTCGACACTAAGTTCTTCGAACAATGTTCACTGAATCCTCTTATAATTATTTTGGCAGTTATTTTGAGCTATTTTGAGAAACTCAGGGTGCAGGAGACCTGAGACAGCGAGCAGAAGCATGGAGCTATTGCTGGCACGATGCCTAGCGGTAAACGCTAGCAGCTGTCGATGGGCGGAGACTGTACAGAAATCTTCCCAATGTTCACGGAATTATGCAAAGGCTGTCATGAGGCTGTGTCGCTCACCGATCAATTTTCACAGCACATGTGTGATGCAGTGTACTTCCACTTTAATCCCTTCGGCCACGTGCCGCATACTTAAGCGCAGCGGTTTCGAAATTAGAGAGTGAATTGTTTCTAACGCCCCTCATCTTTTGTCATGTCGGCCAACGATTATTATAACAACCAAGGGAAGCAGTATTATCCCCCTCAAGGTCAGACTTTACTGCTTGAAGTTGTAACGCCTGTCGAAATATTCTCAAACTGCGTTCACATTGTTGTTAGGTCCCCCTCCTGGTCAGGGTGGATACTACCCTCAAGTATGTTATCAAGCCAATTAACCCTCGATATTTTTGCCCTTATATGCATTTCCTCTCCTCAGCAACCTCAGCAAGCATATTATGGTGGAGGTGGAGGCCCTCCTCAGGGATATCCCCAACAAGGTGGTTACCAACCTCAGCCTCCTCCACAAACCGTTTATGTGTATGTCCACGAATCAGCTGTAAATTCCATCTCACCCGCAGAACCCTCATTGTTTACAGACAACAACCACAGCAGAGCTCAAGCAGTAGTGGTGGATGTGGTGCGTGTTTGGCAGGAATGTGTTTATGCTGCTGCGCTGAAGGTGCGTGACTTGCTTCTCGTTGGCGACCAGCCCCTAATATCAACTCACTTAGAACTTTGCGAGTGCTTATTGTAACCTTCAAGTTGCGCGTTGTGGAGCTTGGATCGGACCATTATGTTTTGTAGATTATTTGCGTGTCTATCAATCGTTCCATTATCTCATGGCCCTGTATTTCTCTCATCGTTTTATGTTTCCTCCCTACCTTAATTCCTCATGTGGTGTTCAACACCCTGTATCATCGTAGGCATTAATGAACAACTGAGTCCGAGTTGTGTAATAACGGAACCGATGTCAGGCCGTCATCTGAGGATGTATTTCGGGTGCTGGGATCGTCAAATTCGTTGAACTACTTAAGAAGGATTTTTGCAACAAACTGCGGCGTGCTCAGTACCGGCTGCTCGTAAATGCTGGATATAATTACACGGAATAAAACATGCACGAAAAGAAACAAGGAGCGGACCATGGTCGGAGCAGTTTGCTTACACGTGAACTATAGCTGTTCTTTCGGCGAAATCCGGAACGAGCCGGTGACAAAATTTGACAACGCCTGCAAACGACTTACTTTTAACCTCCAACTTGACACTCCTTGTCAACCCTCCCCTCAGGGAATCAAGCCCCCTAGACTTTGTATTTAAACTCTTTTCTTCATGTCTGTTCCTACGAAATGGGACGCCAGGTAAGTTTTTCTCTCTATAATATCTGTTTTTCTTTGAATCTCAAGGTTTTTTGCTTTGTTTAAGGTACCTCGGACCTGTGCCTCATGATACCTCCTACTACGCCAAGTGTATGCTTGGTGGTGCCCTCGCTTGTGGTTTCACCCACGCAGGTATCACTCCTCTGGATGTTGCTAAATGTAACATGCAGGTACGTGTTTCTCTTACTTTCTTGTCAGAAGCTTGGCCAACATTCGTACTGCTTAGGTTAACCCTCAAAAATATTCTGGAACGGCTGCTAGTTTAAAACTTCTTCTGAAGGAAGAGGGTTCTCGTGGTATCTGGAAAGGGTTGGGCCCTACCTTTGTAGGCTACTCACTCCAGGGAATGTTCAAGTACGGTCTGTACGAGGTCTTCAAAGACACCTACATGAACGCCGCTGGCCCAGATATCTCTGAAAAATACAAGGGTGCGATCTGGCTTGCTGGTTCTGCCTCGGCGGAAGTATTCGCCGACATCGCTCTATGTCCTTTGGAAATGACGAAAGTCAAGATTCAAACCAGTCCTACTGGCACGTTCCCCATTCCCTTTGCCACTGCACTTTCGGAGATGAACAAGTTGAAGGTTGAGACCCGCTTCCCCTTCGGTTCTCTTGTCCCTCTCTGGTCCCGTCAGGTGCGTTCGCGAAAATCACAAAATATACAACGTTTAATATTTCCTGTTATAGATCCCTTATACCATGGCGAAGTTCTTTTTCTTCGAGAAGATCGCTCAGTTATTCTACACGCACGTGTTTACCAATCCCAAGGAAACTTATAGCAAGACTACGCAGCTCGGTATCACTTTCGCTTCTGGTTACATCGCCGGTGTTGTTTGCGCCATCGTTTCGCACCCCGCTGACTCTCTAGTGTCACTCCTCGGAAAGGCTGAAAACAAGGGCAAATCTGTTGGAACAATTGCCGGTGAGGTTGGCTTCGCAACTTTGGCTACAAAGGGTCTCAGCACTAGGGTAGTCATGATCGGTGAGTGAATCGTAGTTCTTGATTTCACATCTGGAGTTAAATATTGCTCTAGGTACACTCACTGGTTTCCAATGGTGGATCTACGATACTTTCAAGTCCACCATGGGTATGGGCACCACTGGTGGAAAGTAAATGATTTTACCGCTATAGTACGTGGAGTTCAGTTTCAAACATCGATACCTCATGCTCATAGCGCCGGTCAGGATTGTTACTTTACATTATGTTATATCCTGCTTGACGCTACCAAGATTGTTCATAAATACTTGTTTTTCATCTGCTACTTAGAATGCATAGTGAATTCCAGGCAATATAAGAACTTTGTTCGGAATAAATTCTAATCCAACATAAGACGTAGAAGTTGAAAGAACTATTGCGGTCCACTTCAGTTGAAGTACATACTAATAACTCGAGCTACATAGCTCGAAGCAGATTCAATAGCGAGTATTTGATTGGCTGGATAAGATTCCACTTCCGTCTACTCCCGAGCGTCACATTCAATCTGTCACATTTAACCCGTCACACTCTTCTTCCATCCAAGTTGGTCAAAAATATCTACTCCTAACATGTTGTCGAGGTTGCGCTCAGGAGCGTTGAAGCAAGCGGCTTCAGCTCCCAAACGGAGCCTGCCTTCATCTGCTTCAGGCTCACGGGCCTCGGTGAGCTCATCCACAAAGTGTAAAAACCCTCCAACTAACATTTTGCCAGGTTCGTTTTGCGTCTTCAAGCGCTTCGTCTTCGTCAAATGTATTCGAGGTGCGTATCAATGAACTTTATGCTCATTTTTGGTCCCAATGATTATTAGTCCTTCATGAACTCCCGTCTAACTCTCGCTTCCGCAACTTTATTCACTACTGGCACCGTGGCCTGGTATGCACACTTCTATGGCACTCTACCTTTCCTCGGTGAGGTACACGCCAGTCACCTCAGCGATGAGGGGCTGCATCCTGTTGCCTATCCTTGGCCTCACAATGGCTTTTTCGACACATTCGACCATGCTAGGTAAGAAATCCTGCCCTCTACGCATTCCAATGGCCCCGTCATATTTCTCCTGTATTCTATTCTAGCATTCGACGAGGCTACCAAGTCTACCGCGAAGTCTGTGCAGCATGCCACTCTCTTGACCGTATCGCCTGGCGTAATCTCGTTGCCGTCTCCCACACCGCCGATGAAGCTCGCGCAATGGCAGAAGAAGTTGAATACCAGGATGGACCGAACGATGATGGAGAGATGTTTCAACGTCCAGGAAAGCTCGCTGATTATATGCCTGCTCCTTACCCCAATGAAGAAGCTGCTCGCGCTGGCAATGCTGGTGCTCTTCCTCCTGACTTGAGTCTGATTGTCAAGGCGCGTCACGGTGGTGCCGTGAGTGTCTAGTATGTATTTCGACGCGTACATGATATCTGACATCTATCTAGGACTATATTTTCTCTCTTCTCACCGGTTACGTCGACCCACCGGCTGGTGTCGAAGTGCGTGAGGGCATGAATTACAACCCATATTTCCCCGGCGGTGCCCTTTCGATGGCTCGAGTCCTTTTTGATGGCTTGGTCGAATACGATGATGGTTTGTCTATCAGTCGCGTTCGTTTCTCTGTTGTTCGCTCTAACACTGTCTGGTCAGGAACCCCCGCTACTACTTCTCAGATGGCTAAGGACGTAGTGACTTTCTTGAATTGGGCCGCTGAGCCTGAACATGATGAACGCAAGAAGACTGGAATCAAGGCGGTTATCCTGTTCTCTACTTTGTTCGTTCTTAGCGTGTACACGAAACGGTTCAAGTGGGGTCCTATCAAGAACAGGAAGATTCGTGAGCACATCTTGCTATTTGTTTAAAGCTTGGCATACTCACGCGCTTATTGCAGAGTACAACCCTCCCGCAGACAAAACAGGACATTAGAGTTAGAAATAAAAATTTCCATCGCATATGCTACGGGAGACTTAATTTTGCTGAATGGAATCTTTCTTTATACCTCGGTTGAAATCTTTCTTCACTTGAACACTTTATGGTAGGTGCTAACCCGGCACTCAGGCTGATGACCAAGCCCATCCGGGCAACGAGCTTGCCTGCAATGTTGCCTGCGGGACATGACAAGTATCGCTCTCGCAGTACTTATAAGGGCGTCTCGGTCTACCTGGCAGTTACTGCAAATAGATACGTTAGGTTAGTTTACGATCTATCATTCTGACTTCAAACTCGAAGTTGAAGTTATGACATGACCGACCAGATTTTGAATTCACTAAGTATGCTTGCAATATTCATCCTGAGGGCCTGCAGTCACCACTTTCAAAAGTATTGTATGAAATATAACTGGTTTCGTTGTCTATGTGTCATGAAATTAAGGCTTGCCTAAGGTGCAGTCTATGGCAGTGAAGCCAGTTATTTTAATTGCTCACAAGCTTTAGAACCCGTGCCTTCGCCACGGTGGCTCGCTCTGCTCGCACCGTGTGCTACAGCAGGGTTCACAGCTTGTTGGGGGCAAGCCCCCAAACCCCCCTGAGTCGGTGCCTTGCGCCTCCATACTTCAACATTTATTATGCAGTATTCTGAGCCATTTTCATTGCAAACAACATACTTTTCCTATCTAGAAAAACTTCTGGGCACACCAAGGTACACCATATTTGTAGTAAGGCAATGTCTATCTTCTAAAATTCAAAGTCAAAGTTAGAGACTTGCTATGAATTGAATATAAAACTTACTTTTACCAAACAAAACTTTTATTACAGCCTTCTTTATCATACTCCACATCTGTAAAGCTTGTATATTTGCCAGTCCAAGGGTGCCAGGTGAAGAGCACTCTCCATTACCCTAAGCACTTGGAGTATTTTTGACTTGTTCTAAATGGTTTGGCTGCTGGGAAGCTCTTTCAGGTGCTCTCAGACAATTAGCCAGTACCATTGCTCTGGAAAACACACAGGATTTGGAAATGCAACATGTTTTACAGATTTTCCCTGTAATTTATTTATTATCATTGCAAATGTAAGTCATACTGGAATCTGGTGCCTCTTCAAAACCTGATGAACTGAGTATAATACAGGGAATTGATTTTCCAGATTTATCACAACCCAATATTCCTGCTTCCAGAACTCTGACTCATCTGCAAAACCTGAATATTCAGCTAAGGGCCAAGAGCAGATCCCAGTGCTGCAAGCACTGAATGTAACATGCTTTGGGTGCTTCCACTGTTGGGAAGTGCTCTCAACTGTTCTCAGACCCTTAGCCCAAGATGAATATCTGCAAAACATGGATGTTTGCCAGAGCAAGGATACTGGCTGGAGAGCATTGTCAGCTGCTCTCCAGCTATTAGCCAAAAACCCAGGTTTTACAAATGTCAGGTTCTATTGCAGATACCTGGAAGTAATATTTCAAAGTATCATAATAGGTGCACCAATCTTGAGCTCAAGTTTTACCAGTGGAAGACCTGGTTCATGGATACTATTTAAATACCCAACAGGGTAGTGAAATTCATTGTTGTTGTCCTCTCCTTCATTTGCACCAACACTATCAGCTCTCTAATAGGTGAATGCATTTCCTGCTAAAGCATCCAAGTAGTTAATATACTACAACATTTCTGTGGCAAATGATAGTACATTCAAGAACCCATGGATCATTGTTTACTGCAGGATGTATTGAGTTGAGACTTGTAGATGGCAAGCAATTTTGCTAAGTCAGAATTCTTCTTCATAATGCCTTGCAAAGTTTGAAGTGATTTCTTCAATTTGTAGCACTTCTTATATCAATACTGTAAAATAAGGCAGCAGCCACAGCATGCAGTATACTCAATGCATACATATGAATGTATCATGTCACAGAGTTCAACTGTTAAAGTACTCGTGGTGTTGACCCTCACTTAAAGTAAAAACTGCCGGAGAACACGGCATTGATTCCGGCGACTCCGCAGCACCGTTTCGTGGTAAAATTTAGGCGTTTAATCTGCTGACCAATTATTGGTAATCATGCTAAGCGCCCAGTTAGTCTTTTATAATATAGGATGCTAGTGATTATGTAATTTCCCTCGATTCAATCATCCAGCTAGCAAACAACCACCTTCATTAAATTTCTCATATCCAGCTAAGTACGAATATTCCAACTTCCATGGCGTCAGCCTCGTGGCCACCACAGCTCAAGTAAGCCTGCGCTTGACTTGCTCGATTTCTTCGTTCTTATGTTGACCTCAGAGATTGGGTTGCGAAATGTTTGGGACAAATGACCGACAGTAATAGAAAGGAAGCTCAAGATGAACTAAGGCAGGTAATTGCTGACGCTTTTGCCGCACACACACTTTGGACAACAGACTGGAACGGCGTACAACTGGAAAGGTTCGGGCCCCATCGAGATTTGGTATCTTCACCCCCTCATGCAAACTTCAGTCTTTTACCAAAACCGGCCCCTACTCTTAAACGCAAGATGTATGTGTCTCCGAGATGCTGTTCTTGCCAAGAATTCTGACTTAATCGATAGAAATGATACTGCCCCCGTCAGCAAGAAAGCCAAAAAATCATCTCTCAAGCAAATTACAGCTGGCACTGCATCTTTGGACTTGAATGATCAAGCAGCCCTCAACCGTAGAGCAGAGCGTTTTCAACGCGAACACGAAATTGAGCGGCAGAAGTCGAGAAATTCGTCGTTGAAGGCAAACGTTCACAATAATCATCTCTTCAATAACAGCTCTTGGAATGCTTCTCGTTCAGCATCTCCTTTTGGGAACTCCGATGAACCAGAAGCGGATCCGGTGTGTTCCTGCGCTTGAGTATATTGTGTCGCTGACAGAGTGAGCAGAACGTCATCGACTGGGACCGTTTCACAATAGTAGGGACCTCGAGGGAAATTTTCAAAGATTATTTAAGATTGACAGATGTGCGTTCCTGTTCGTGGAAATCGGGGCTAGCCTCAGTCATATTACTAGGCCCCAAAACCAGAAACAATTCGACCTTATGCTGTCCTTCAAGAGACACTTGTACAACTCAAGAAACGATGGAGAGAAAAGTGCTCGTACGACTGGATATGTAATCAGTTCAAAAGTCTTCGTCAGGATCTTACTGTGCGCTGATCTCTTCCTTCCTTATCCACAACCGGTGCTTTGCATGCGCTTCTAATTGTCTCCGTCCCCAGGTTCAACGCATCAAGAATGACTTCACGGTACAGGTCTACGAAATCCATGCGCGTATGGCACTTGAAAGCGTACGCTTTTGTTGCCTCTTTTGACTCCGCCTCAACAAGCTCTGACTAGAACGATATGGTGGAATATAATTCATGTCAAGCAACGCTCAAGACGCTCTACGAATTGGGAATACCTGGAAAAGTGGAGGAGTTCACGGGATACCGGATACTCATGCTCCTACACGGGCGCAACAGAAGCGGTAATTGTTCTGTTCTTCAACAGTCGCATTGTTGATTTATTTTCCCCTTTGATACTGGACAGAACTCAATTTGTACGTAGGTCAACTAACACCTAGACAGAAAGCGGATCCGGCTGTGCGACACTCTCTCGATGTTCAACGCTCACTTTCAATGGGCAACTATCATGCTCTCTTCTTACTGTATTTGAATGCCCCGAACATGGGTGCTTACATTATGGATCACTTCATTCCCCGAGAAAGAGTCAAAGCATTAATGGTTATCACCAAAGCGTGGGTCTGAACTCATTAACTTATTTCATGATCTCACACCTATTCCCTAGTTACCGGACAATATCACTATCTTTCATCCAAAACGAGCTCGGATTTGACGACTTGGATTCTACTATTAAATTTTTGGAAGAACACAAGGGCGCGCATTTCACAAACCCCACTAGTTCTAATAGCCAGAAAATTGTTGAATGCAAATCGGCAGCCACTTACCTAGGGCAAGTGTATGAAGAAAAGTATCGCAAAGTGGGGATAAGGGGTGCCGTATAGTTCTGTACTATACTGAGTAATAACTGTCTTGTGTTTGAGTATGTACTTCCCATTATTTGGATTTTACAGAAAGATGGCCACAAATTTCAATGAAAGTTGAACTAATCAAGACAGATTCCAGTAAATTAGAAGAACGGAACAGGCAAAGCGAATTTAATTGATACAGCAAATGCGACGCGGGGTCTGCGTTGGGGTGGACCTATGTACATAAAAAAGTAACTACGAGATATTTTTCTGGTAAGAGAACTATTATATGTGCCGGATATGAATTTCAGGAATGTGTGAGATAACAGAGACGCGCTATTTTCCCAGTAAGCCTTCTGCCTTCAGTTGGTTTACACGTGCACTGAAAACATTGTAGTCCATCGACGAAGGTGGCATATGACCCAGATCTTCGGCAGTTTGCAGATGAAAGAGAGTCGAAGTCTCCTTCTTCCAGCTCTGTGGTCGCTGCCAAACTATCCAGTCTTCGGGAATCTGCGGGGACGGACGCCACTCGGAATTATGAGTGGAAGCATTTGGAGGCAATTCGCTCAGAGTCGGAAGATCTTCAAACTCGTAAAATTCCTCTGGTTTTGACCAGTCTTCTATGCTCTCTATGGTGATCTGCCGCGGAATGGGGCGACGGCCAGGTGAATGGAATGAGGGAGATTGAAGAGCACTAGATTGGACAAGACGGGGAAACTGGTGAAATACGGGTGAAGCGGGAGGCGTATGGGGTGGTGATGGATGCGGTGACTGAGATGGATAAGGATTGATGATGTCTAAATAGTTCACAGGGGAATCAGGCCACGGGGGGGATTCAGCAAATTGAGGCTGACGATACGGGGGCCACCATGTAGTACATATTTGACCCTCCAAAGCCGTTGTATTGTGCCCTGAGTGAATAGAATCTAGATGATCAATCAAGGTAAGCTCGCTTTCCAAAGGGCGGAGGCTTTCGCATATCTGGAAAGGGCACGAGAGTGGGACTTCCGACATGTGAGCAACCATATGTCGCTCCAGACTTCGGCGGGACAAATGGATACGATTGAGACATCGGAATGCGCAACGCCATTCTTTTCGAGTGATGGTCCGGGATGTTCCAGCCTGAAAATAGAATTGGAGAGTGCAGTCTAACGTTAAAATCATTAAACGAGGAGAGAATTGTTGTTTTTGAAAACTCGCCTGTCCATTTTTCTGAATCTTTTGAATAGTCAAAGAATGCTGTCGAATAAGATGCTGCATGAAGAGAAATCAGAACTTTTATTGACAATATAGTTCGAAGTTCATTCCCAAGTAGATCAAGTGTATAAAGACAAGTATGATATGCTCTGAATGTTGAAAGTACATTTTAAATGACCGGAAGATGAAGATCGTAGGTCTCCGTTGCAGCATGAGTGTAAACCTACCAGTCTATAGGCCTCCCAACAAGCGAGGACAGCATTACAAGGTTCTGGAGTTGTTATTTGACATCTCACCCCCTGGGGCAGCATGGTCTTCTTTGCAATGTCAACTACTGAGTTTGCAGTATTAAGACTTGCAGCCAATGTGGACATTACACATGAGCCCCTGATATCATCAAACAATATTTTGCCCCGAATCCCTGGACTGGATGGGATTTGGGCCTGTCGAATGGAAGTGAACAAAAGAAAAGTTGAAAATGTCACGTTTTCGTTGATGACACAGATGTCATTTCAGGCACATTGTTGATGTACACACTGTACTATGTATGTAGAATTTTCAGTATTGGGTATCAAGGCCTGGGTCAGAGACTGGGAAGTCATGTAGGTCTGATATTTTATCGAATTCAGTCAATTTGACTCCAGTCACATTCAAGTATCAAAACTATAAAAAACTGTTGGCCCCGCTGAAGCAAGAGTTGCACAAATCCTAGTTATGTCTGGACCTGGTTCCATAGAAGTCAGAAAAGCATTGCACTGTTCCTAATGTACTCAAAGCAGCTGCCAGAAAGACATTGTGCCATTATACCCTATGATGAATACTGCTTTAATGTTACTTTTTTAGTCGTGCTTCTGCAGCTCTAGCCCTCCTCTCTCTTTCAATCTTTGCTTTCATTTCTGATGTCAAGCCTGCGGTGCCTGCAGTATCACCAGCACTGCCTCCAAGTTTATGAGGACCAATTGATGGAAAGGAAATGAACGGTGCACTTTCTTCCACTGTTGGCTTCTCTTTCTCCTTACCCTCTCGCTCTTTTAACCGATCTTTTAATCCTTTCCGTCGGACCTTCTTTTTTTCATCGCGTTCGTCCTCCATCTCTTTGCTGAGTGCACTCGGAATATGTGCAGCACCAAACCAGTCCCACCAATCTGGATGTGCCCCAGCATTACGACGGAACACATCACGAATGGAACGAGATTGGGCAAGGTCATATGCAGTACGTCGCCGCTTGGAAGCAGATTCATCCCCTTCTACACTATCAGCTTCGTCTTCCGAACGGGGAACGGGTATGGTGGGATCTGCACACATCTCCAGCATCCAATTCGTCACATCCTCTTGGCCCGAGAAGGTTGCAAGCTGCAGTAACGTCGCGACACGTTTCTCCCCGATCCATTCTGGTAGTCGAACATTAATACCTCCAAGATTGTTCCCTTCACGCTCCCAGAAGGCAATCAGTGGCTCTAACCGCCCTTTGCTGACCATCTCCACAAGTCGTTGCCATTTTTCTCGGAGTATTTCCTCTTCCTTACTTAGCTTGACCTGTTTGCTTTTGGGTTTTTCGGGTGCCAATGGTGCCGGAATAGCAGGTATTGGTTTGGGTTTCGGGAGGGATGCAAGGTAAGCTTCATCTTGAGCTCTCAGAACCTCTTCAGTGAAGTGCGAAACTTTGACCCTTGTCAACTCCTGCAAGCAACGAGACAGTTCAGATTGTGTCTACGGAAATAATGAATTTCCAAAAAGTCTGCCACAGTAAAGAGGGCTCTTACTGGTCGCCTAGTTGGAAACGGGAAAGTGCGTAAACGTTCGTCAGTTTTGGAGATGGGGCTTCCTTCATAGTCCATGAAAATTTTTCGATTGGGGCCGCTGGCTCTGATGAATATTATCTCGCAGTCATGAATTTCTTCTTCCCAGGCAGACAAAAGAGCCCGAATGTCCTGTGGTGACGAGGATTGAACGGAAGTATCCAGTACGGAATAGGAAACCTACCTCTCGCAAAGCTTGCTCCCCATATCGTCGTAGCTGTGCACCGGCACTCTTTGCATTACCTTTGGCGTTATCGTTGAGACTTTGTGAGCCACCTTGCTTCCTACGAGCTAAATTATCGTCAGTGAGCAGGATGTGAACGACCTAGCCTCAATAGACTGACTGGTATATCTATGAAACGTTTTATGCCTCAGCACTTCCATATCAGATACTGGTTTCTTAGTTTTCTTAGACTGTACTTCAGACTCTTTTCCGGCGTTACTGACACGAACGATAGCTCCAGCAAAATGACCACCAGCGACCATGAACATGGCCCAACTGCGGCCACCGGATTTTGCTTCCTGCAGGTCTTTTAATGCTTGAAGGTGATCATCCTCCGGTATATCATACGGAAACAGTACGCGATAAACCCCAATTTGAGTAGACGGGGAAGAATGGAACCAGGAAATCGCAGTACGAGGACTTCGTCTTGTAGAAAATTCTGGGGAGATCGACCTTTTACGCGGCTTTTGTTTGTCGACGAGGGTAGAAACTGCATCGTGGCCAGAGTCAGAGTCTATTTCTTCGTCAGATGATTCCGATCCAGACAACGAATCCTCGAGGGCTAGAGAGACATTAAGTTCCTCCATTTTATGTCTACGAAAATCTCACCGTCAATGAGCTGGTTAAAGTCGGACTCTGATACAGGTTGACCACCATTCAACCGATTTTTGACATTGTACCTATGCCAATCCGATCTGAAATGAGTTCTCTGTTGATCGACATCGGCAAAAGAGACTCCTAGGCAGATATTGCATGCTGTTGTTGCAGAAGTTGATGACGGCGGAATGGCTTCTATCGATAGAGGAGCAGGCTGATTATCACCGACCGGGGAGTTTCGTGGTACGAGTGATTGCAGGAGGTCAGAAGGTAGCGAATAGACATGGTATATAGACATCACGGAAGGATGCGAAGTTAATATTTTGAAGCTCTTGACTGTTATACTTATCCTCTCGAACGGTTCCGAATCGTCGTCAATGGCCCGGAGATGACTTGTAAGTAAGTATAAGTTACCCACGTGGCGTTTAGCGCTCATCTCCTGTTCTAGTGACACGACTTTTACACGACTTTCTTCTTCACTGGTACATACACGATGGTTTCCTCAGAGTTTTCCGATAGGCCCTTGAAGAAGCTCGTTCTTTTCGACGTTGATGGTACTCTTAGTCCGGCGCGTCAGGTATCCCCTATGTCGTTCACGCGTTTTGTCCACAAATCAAGATTGAACGATCTAGGCTGTATCTCCGGCGGTCACCAAAGCCTTGCAGGATCTCAGGAAAAAAGTAGTTATCGGATTTGTTGGAGGCTCAGATTTCGTAAAGATTTCCGAGCAGCTCTCTGTATCTGGTAGCAACGGTGAGAATCTTTATTTATGCCTTGATTTGTTGTTGAAAGATTCACTGTCTATAGTGGTCGATGATTTCGATTACGCCTTTGCAGAGAATGGACTCACGGCGTATAAATCGGGGAAACTCCTTGCCACTCAATCCTTCATCAAGTTCCTCGGCGAAGAAAGATATAAAACACTCGTCAATTTCATTCTGCACTATGTTGCAGACTTAGATATTCCAATTAAACGGTTCGTGTTCTGATACTTGGAGACACCGCCGCGCACCCATAATCCCCAGTGGAACCTTTGTAGAGTTCAGAAATGGCATGATCAATGTCTCTCCCCTCGGGCGTAACGCGACGTTGGTACACACTCTTCACGAACGGCAAGCATGATCCTGATATCGATATTTTAGTATCGCAGAAAGGAACGAATTTGAGGCATACGACAAGGTACTGCTTGATCCAAATCGTCTATCATCTTTTCTACGACCTCTATCCAGAAACAGGGCATTCGAGCGGCGTTCGTGAAGGTCTTGCAAGAAAAATTCGCTGATTATGGCCTAACCTTCTCGATCGGCGGTAAAATCTCGTTTGACATCTTCCCTCAAGGCTGGGACAAGACGTACGCGTTAAGACACGTTGAGCAAGAAGGATTTGAAGAAATTCACTTCTTCGGTGACAAAACATACAAGGTAACGTTGTGCTCTCTTTATGCCATCGCATTCGCCAATCATTCGTTAGGGTGGCAACGACTATGAGATTTTCTCGGACCCCCGCACTATTGGCCATTCTGTGGATAACCCTGATGATACTATCAGAATACTGAAGGAGGTTTTCCAAATTTAATAGATACGGGCACGATATGGTTGTTTTGTGGGGAAACCACAACGCGCATACTTTAACCAGTACAGTACATGTGTCGACGAAATCGAGGATGTTTTGGTCTACATAATTCTGATCATAACATAAACATACGCTAACGATACATGGGCAAGATAAACTTAAGACTAAATTCTAGACATGAAATATCTTCCAAAAAACGCTACCAAGAATCAGTATCGAAGCGCTCTAACACAGCATTTGCATCTTCTACATCTTTCTGCGCTTTCTTTCGCATATAGAAGATGGGGCAGTCCTTACTAGTACATAAAACGTCCTATACATTTCAATCTGGTCAGTGCAAAAAGAAATATATCAAATACAGAACTAACCTGATGAAGAGAGCCTTGACAACGTTGACACTGCGTCCAGAGTCGGGAAAACCTGATCTGAAGCTCTGAAGCCGAAGAAACCTGCTTTTGATATAGCTCGCCCATGCGAGGCCTACAATTTTTGCAAACAGCACCATTTTCTACGTATAGTGATCAATGCACGGAATTCGAAAAGTGAGGTTTTAAGTCTCACTATTCGTGCTGTTGTTGGCACGAAGGGCAGTTTTGCACCCAAGGCAAGTCACGGTCTTAACTGCGAACTTCATCAAACCGCCTATTGTGGGCGTAGCAATTTGGATCGTCCGAGTATGCTCGCCAGTCACTGAGAAAATGATGAGAATTCCGAGCAGAAGAAGGATGGCATATAACTCACAAAGTGAAGAGGCTTTCTCACCGAGGATAGGTTCGAAAATTCTCATCAAAGGCTTGGAGAGTTGATTATCCAGATAATATCTGGTGTCGATCGGGATATTGTTGTCTAGCACGTACAGCGGGTCCTCAGCATTTTCATACGCCGCAGCACCTAACGAGATATTGAACATCTGCTTGATGCAAGATATCATCTAACTGCCGACGCACCTTTCATACCCTTTACAATCACATATGCAACACGGTCGCCAAGCGCAGGAGCAGAACCGGCGTCTCGCTTTTTCATCCTTTTTGCAAGTTCATCATGAGCTTGTTTGCCGGCATATTCTGCAAATCACTCAGTAAGCAACCACAAGAAGTTAGGTTTGCACATGCCAGTCTTAGCCAATGCCTTGGTGATAACGAGTTGAGACATGTCAATCTTGTTTTGAAGTAGATCAGAGATGGTCTGCTTCACATATCTGAGGAATTGTTGAACAGAATGCGGGACAGGTTGTGGGATTTGAACTCACTCCTCGGCACCCTTCACGTCACGGTTGATTAGCATTTTGTTAAGGCACGTTTCGATGACAGTAGACACCAGGCGGCAATTGTCTCGTCGAACCGTCTGAAAAGAATGAGAGTGGGTCAAAGGCGGAACAGAACAACTGATGTTTTACCTCGATACCCTTGGAGTCCATCTTATCATGCCCCTCTGGCCGGGTCCAATAGAGGCCCGCGTAACGCTTTTTACTGATAAGGAGATATGGATAATAAACCTTCTCAAACTCGAGCTTGATAGGTTTGATGAATTTTGCTGTGACGAAGTCCGCAGCTTGGCTGCCTGATTGACTAGCATTAAGCAGACGCACTCCCGCAGTGGGCCAGGGACTCACCGAGGGCCATCACGGTCTTTAAGTCAGTAGGACCAAAGCGCACCATGACAGAGTCTGTATCACCGTATATAACTTGCGCATCATGTGAGTGGCCGTTAGCAGTACTATATTCGGCCTCAACTTCCTGCAAGGACATAAATTTATGTTGTCTCTCGAATTTTAAACGTACCTGTTTCGTCCTCTCAATCATCTGTCGACCATAAGCAGTGACACTGGAGGAAATGGCCAAGCACGGCAATTTACCAATGGTGGCTCCAGTAAAGCCATACACGGAGTTAGCACTGACCTGTGAAACCATGTGAGTATACTGTCATCGACGAGCGGAGCGATATATGTGAAGGCACCTTCAGTGCCAACTGACGACCGTCCAAAACAGCACGCTTGAAAGGGTCAATCTCCTTCTTCAAGTCCGCCTTGGCGCGCTTACGCGCAGCAATCAAGTCTTCCAAAATCGTTGGTAACAATCCCTTTCGCTTTGAAGTAGTGACGAAAAAGTCTAATAAGAGATTATGTACGCTGTCCACTATCAGAAAAGAAGTAGCATACCATTGTTGGGGGTTTGGATGTAATCTCTGTCTTTGACCAACTCTAGCCGTTCAATTGTAGGCTTATCCAGAAGCGTCGTGTAACACAAATTGTGAGCCATCATGATCGAGGGATATAGCGAGCTAAAGTCAAGGGTGGCGATGGGGACGTCGTAATAACCTTTATGAGGCTCAATGACAGTTGCACCTTCATATTGGTCCTCGGAACCTAGAAACAAATTTAGTCGATGAGAAAAAGCAATAAAACATAACTGTACCTTCACCCTTCATCGCAGGAATAACATAGCCTTCATCATTCGCCTTGCGGAATAATTGAGACAAGACTTTGATTGACTGTCCTCGCGCGAGTAGATAATTGAACGGGACACCAGTAACACGAGCCATCTCGATATAATTGACAAAGCACATAAGTTTGTCAAGCAGTCGTTGTGGCAAATAGGCATCCTTCAGGCAATAGACAGCTAAACGACGCCTAGATTCAGGGGTCCCATTCTGGAGCTCTGTAATGACAGAATGGTGCACATCTTCTTTCTGCTCCCCGAGAAAGTGTGAGCAAACAGAGTTCAAGGTATAGCTACGAAGTTTATGCTCTCGTTGCATAAACTGCAGAACATCAAGCTGTAATCGGCCATCGAGAGGAGTCTCTTTGGAGTCCCGCTGTCCGTATGCCTTAGACGAGAAATGAGTGTCCTTAACTCTAGTCTGGACATCTGCCGGTTTATGAGCGAGAACTCCTCCGACGAAAACATAAAAAGGGTTTCACCTTTCAAGCGTCCCAAATATGGGAACCTCTGCGAGCCCAGTTCTTTCGCGCGATCAATGAGATATGGAAAATCGAAGCCTGCAATGTTGTATCCAATGATAAGATCGGGGTCGACTTCTTCTACAAAGTCTCTCCATTTCTCCAACATTTGTTGCTCGTCATCAAACGACAAAACCTGTGAGCCGACAATGTGCGAACACGAGTTTAGGGTGAAGACATTACGAATGAATGGCTGAGTCTCTCCTTGACGAGTAACCATGTTTGCAATCTGGATAACTGGGTCCTGATCTGCAGTGGGGAAACGACCGGGTTTCCCAGCGCATTCGATGTCAAAGCTGAGGATACGCAGAGGTGCGATCTTAGACCAATCTCCTTCCGGGGCATGAGAGATGAAAGCATTCCACCGGAGTTTGATCTCGATTTGACAGTGCGACTTCCGTCTGTCTGGAGGGACTAATTCGTATTGTCCTGCAGGGACCTCAATCCAATTCATCCCTACGACTTGGGTGTCAATCATGAATCGAAGCGTGTAAGCAATATTGCTCTCGAAAGTTGGGTACGAGTCTCCAATCGAGGTGGCAAAGAAGCCGCGGAAAGCGCATTCGCCTCTCTCAAAGAGACGTAATTACCAAGGGCCTTTTGTCAGTCTAGAAGGAAAGTAGTAAACACAGAGCACTTATCTCGAACTTTCGGGAGGGTCCTCGGGTCTGAAATCGTAAGTTTCAGAAAGGGACTCTTTGATTCGCCTCGATAACCCCATAAAGTGCGTTTGTTCACGGTCTCGATTTTCCGGACGGCACCATTTATTGTTAGACTCTGCTGTTGTGAATGAGTCGCTACTAGGAGTAAAAGAGGTATCTCACATTTAGATAATCTCTAAAGGATTCTATGTCTTCACCCTGGAAGCCACGCGGCACTGGAATGTAAAAGTAGGGAAGAAAATCGCGAATGTGAGCGAGCACACTGTGTCCCGTCTGTGGAGAATAAGCGAGATCCAACATAAGTCGTCGAGACGCACTTCTGTTACTCCGAACATTCTCAGAGCCGTGAAATTGCCTTCTGTATTCTCCTCGACATCAATTTGCTGAAATACTGGTGGCCAATCTAAGAATAAAGTGTGGGAGCAGGGTGCATTGCGTACCAATCTTGTCTACTTTCTCGTTGATTTTGTGTAATACAGGACGCGTCCATTGATCAGCACCTCCTTCTGCGGCTGCGACAGTGCACACACACATCAGAGCTGTGTCCCAGTGTCACTCGTATGGTCAATGCGCACCGCGTTTTCCATCCTTCTCCTCTTTCAATCTTTCCAAAACCGTGGCGAATGAGGGCTGATTCTGGGTCTGGGACCTCTGCGAAAATGAGGTCTCTATCTTTCGTTTCTTAGCGGCTGGTTCGTTTTCAGTATCTGGTCTTGCTCTATGTAGGTTCAAGTGTTAAAGCAGCGCGTCTTGAGGGAGGTAGCAGCAGCAACCAACCTTGAGCGAGACATATTAGCCTGAGTCGGGGTTAATGGACCTGGGGACATGATGGACAGTTGGTATTAGCCAGAGTCAAAAGACAACAAAGAAGAGCAAAGAAGGCGTTTAACCAGAGGAGAACGCGGTGTGACTTGAAGAGACAAACGTGACCTAACGTGACTGAATACTTAAATATGTGCAATAGAGTCTAAAGCAAAAAATCACTTTTCGTCGTTCGACGTGAACTAGAGCCTGTTGAAGCTGTTCTCAGCCAATCAAATCAGATCGAATCCCCTAGAAATCTGTTACTCATAACCTCCAATGTGCATCCAAAATTCAAATCGATTCATCAGACTACACAACTGAACTCGTTATGATCCTAGTAGCTACAGAAGTGCGGGGGACATCTCAATTATTGAATGTGGTCCTTTTTGACTGTAGTCCGCCTTGGAAACAAAATTTTTACCGTGAGGATCGCCGAATGTGAGCTAGTCGATAGTATATGAACATGAATTAGAATATCAGGAAAATATAGTCAGACGTACTTTGGCAACAATACTGCATCCAAGGAAGGCAGCAAATCCCTCCCCTGTATCACGGTATTCAGGATAATATTCAGGCAAGCTAAGAATTCTTATAGATCGAGGTTGTACGTCTGTCTGCAATTCTGGTTGGGCAATAAAGGGAGACAAACGAGATTGTAATGCTATTGCAATGCCTGTAAAGACGTCAAGATTGTAGTCGGAGAAAGGAGCTTATGAGGTCCTTGCCTTTGACATGCCGAGTCAGATCTCCTGTGACAAATAGACCCTGCCAGATATACTGCCTCATATCCAGCTCCGTTTGACGCACAGCATGCCCTGTCGCATTCTGCAATGAGACTGAACTTCTGCGTTTGCCTAATCCATTCAGCAAGGTTGGATCAAAGAGCGGTTCACAAAGCCTATGTCTCTCTTTTCCCAAAGTTACAGATTTGTCACGGAACTGGACGGTTATCAAGTCTAAGGCCTCGATCTCTCTTGCTCTGGCTTGTTCAGCCGCCGAAGCCTTTGCGTTGGCCTTCTTCTTCATTCCCGACTCGATGACAGCTTTTTCTTTGCCTGCGACAACAATAGCGGCTATGTCCGTTACCCCTTCATCATCTGGTAATGCTGTCTCTCCGTCAGAAGGCACTCTAATATGACCTTCCTGCAAAATTTGTTTCACGAAAGCGAGCAGCGTCTCTTCGATAATCTCCTCACTTGGCGTGATTTCAGAATCTGGAGGGAAAAGAGTCTTCATCAACGATGGGTTGGAATGTCGGAGGATGTGAACGAGATATTCCTGGCAATCTCGGATACCCAAAGGAATGGTGTCGCATGCGGACCGTTGAATGAAGCCTTCGTAGATAGGTGTTATATCTGTTTTATCATATTCAATGTCAACGACCACGCCGCTGAGGCTTGTCGTTGCATATAGTTGCGCCATTGGACGCTCAAGGATGGAAAAACCAGCGACGTTGAATCGTTCAAAGAACACTTGGCATGTCCTCTCGTAAGTATCTCGGGAAAGCCCGGGGTACATTGAAAGCAAAACTGGCGATTCGTTCTGTGCACGTCGTCTTTCCAATTGGTTGAATAACACATATTTCCTGGATTCACGTTGATCAAACCTCTTTCAAAAGAGCAATCCATCACTCACCAAATGGCTTCAGCCTGAGTCCAGTCTCTAACATCGCCATCCGCAAAAGGCCATGATATCGCTATATCTTGCCCAGCGGCCAGCGCGTCATCTAGTTGAGTACCGACCAGATAATCACCGACAGTCGCGTTCGGCGGAGCTACCAAGGGTAAAGAAGATGCTCTACTAGTCGATGCGCCAGTTTCTGTGCGGAAGTCGTTGGTGTTCGCGCTTTTTCGAAGGCCAACGCGTGCTTGAATAATCTACATCGACGTACGTTCTCGAAGTCCAAGAATAACAAAGACGAGGACTCACCACCGAAGGAGTTCTCAAGAGCTCGTGAAGACCTAAGGCGGCTCTGACAACTGTTCTTGCTGTCTCTATCACAACTACTGAAGCATCTCGAAAAGCCATTTTAGCAAAAGGCCTTGTCCGAGAATGAAAGAAGGAAAGATGGCACGTGACATCAGTACCGAAGTTTCCTGTGTAATATGTGTTCTCATTTGGGGTCTCATTGGCTAATCGCTGAACCCTCCTCAGTGATCATAACATATTGTCAGTGCCAATTGCAATGTACAATTATGAATTCTGGAATGCATAACTCATATATACGATACATGTGCATAGTGTACAGGGCCCGATTCCCATTTATGCACTGTTCTCAGCGAAGTTGAGTAGATCTGAATCGCCTTGATCACTGACGGTCATGACACTAAGAGTGGATGTAAGCTGAAAGAAAACTCGACAACCATATCACACGCACCCAACACGGAACAATTTCCCTGCAGCAGTACCCAGAGCAACATTGGTACCACCAAAGTGGTGCACCTGGGTTTTTGAAAGCATAGCGTAATACTCGAGCTCAGACTTTCGGAGAGGAGGACAATTTCCAGCGATTAGGACGAGCTTGGCTATAACATAAGGTTAATCAAAGGGACCTTCTCAGCCTCACGCTCCAGCCCCCGTAGAGACAACGACTGAAAACTCACCTTTGCCATTACGCATCTGCTTGAGAGCCGACTTGTATCCAAGAGTGTACTTACCGGACTTGACGACAAGACCAAGTCTGGCAGTAATGGATTCGGTATTCTTGGCGGCCTTGGACTTTTTTGTGGGTGCCATTGCGGTAAGCTTATCGTTCTTCAGCTGCGTAGGTGTGATGATTTTGGATTTCTGACACCTATACAGCTGGGAAAGCCATTTCCACGATCACTGGGTGTGAAATCATAGCTGCTCGTGACTTGATCAATATTGGTGACTCCTCGCGAGCTGACTCTCACGTGGCCTATTTAAGCTTTGTTGAACTTCAAGACCTTCATGGCGCGCTCAGCCGACAAATCTCAGCCTCTCTACGACGATAGCGATCCGGATACTGAGCCAGAGACTTTCAAGCCCCAGCGTAATGGAACGCGCAAACGACTCAGCGAGGCTTATAATCCAGACAACGATGCTAGCTTCGCTTCGGATTCAGGAGTCAGAGCCCAAAAATCGTCTGTCGACATTAATGACGATGCTGCTGAAAAGCGTAGACGTAGAAAGAGCACCAAGATTGCTGTCCCAGAAAATGCTCATGCCGGCCCTTCTTCAGAAGGTAACGATGAGGTGGACAAATCGAGAACAATCAAACAGAAGCAACAGCTTACAACTGTCGCTCCATTGGCGCCTCCAGAGAAGGAGTCAATCGACATCCTGAGCTCGAAATTTGAAGAATGGATGAAGTTAACAACTGATAATGTGAGTTCACATCACGCTCTATGCAATTTGACGCGACTTATCTTCGCCCCTAGAAAATCACGGCTGCCAATACTTGGGAATTTGCCCTCATCGACTACTTTCACGAGATGTCTCTATTGCGAAACACGGACGACAATACCATTAATTTCCAGCGTGCCTCTTGTACCCTCGATGGTTGTGTCAAAATCTGGACTAGCCGTGTCGACAGCGTTGGGACTGAGACCGCTAAACTTGCCTCGAATTTAGCATCAGGAGGTACCATGGACGAAGACGAAGAAGCTGGCTCTGATGATCCCGACAGGGAACAGACGAAACAGAAAAAGAAGAGAGCTTCTCGCCGAGAGAATAATTTGTCTGATGCGTCTCAACTCAGGAATAAAAAACCGGATTTGGAGTTCAGCGTAGATCCTCTTTTCCGCAAAACCTGTGCCGATTTTGATGAGGGAGGTGCTCAAGGCCTTCTCATGAATCATTTAAGCTTGGGAGTTGGTCAGGATGGGAGTCTGCGAGTCGTGTTCGACGCGAGTGATTCTATCAGCAAGGAAGACGAGGACGACTTGCACGAGCCTGAAGATTTGATTGACTTGACTCAACTACGCGGTTCGAAACCTTTCACCAAAACTCTCAAGCATCTTTTTGACCACTTCTAATTTTCAGCCGAGTTTATTCCCGACCTTGACGGTCTACAAAGCAAGGCGATATCACAAGAATTATCTGATTTCTCGTTTACACAAAATCCTTTGATGAACGATGATACCACCTTCTTCCAAGATGACACCATAGCAGATGGTTTCGATGACGACGATGACGATGGCTTTGAAGCTATGATGGTTGATGGCGCCCCTCCTGTTGAAGACTTCTTCGTTGGTGACGATGCAGTTGGTGATGATTACGGGGCCGGTATGATGGATGGAGAGGATTTGGGGGATGCCAACTCCAATGGATCTGTTGGCCCTATGGGTAACGGGCAAGGTGGCACAGAACAGTTCGTTCCCTTCGATCCCCGTCATGCCCCGAACCAGAGAGATCTTATGCTTGCAATGAACACTGAGGATGGCGGAGGAATGATGGACTATTTCGACAATACCTTCCTACAGAATTGGGCGGGACCCGAACACTGGAAAATGAGAAAACCAATCCGGAGACGTAGGTTTCTGTATTTTATGTATTTCAGAAATATTCAAACTCCCCATTTACTTAGCTGATGCTGATACTGCCCCAAAAGTTGCCAAGCCGCGCAAAGAGAAGAAGGAACCCAACAGGATAGATTTTCTTACCCCATCAGATCCTGGAAAATCCTGGAAAATCATCGCTGATGAACTGTTTGCTCCACCAAGTAAAGGAGCCTCAATTAATTTGCCTGGAACCAGTGCTGCCGCAAAGAAACGAAAGGCGAAGGACGAGAAGAAGCGGGACAATCATTGTCTTCCTGATGATATGCATTTCTCCAGTCGTCAGCTCGTTACGCTGTTCTTGAAGCCCAAGTTTTCGGTTCGTGGTTTCTGACATAGCCGCAAGCGTTTGAAGCTCATTTTGTATAGCTTAAGATGCGCGGACAACGAGCACCGGCTCCCACGAATGCGGAAGGTGAAGTAGACGAGAATTTCTGGGCCCAAGCCGCAGCTGACCAAGCTGCTGGACGAAGTGGAGGAAATGATATGGATGATAGTAAGCTGGATTCCCCTGATTATTATCACTTTATTGATGATATCGAACAGCTGCCGCAGGAGATGCCATCCCATTTAACACACAATTCTTCCATGACGATTATGATGACGGACCTGGGTTCGATGATGCTTACGATGGTGATGGTGGCGATGGTGGTGCAATTGATCCAGGCGAACAGGATCTTCTTGCCGCCACGCAGGGTCAAACCCGGAGGGTTAAACCCGAAGCAGTGAGGTTTACCAAGCGCGCGAAACGAGTCGACGTAAGAAAATTGAAGGAGAACATCTGGAAAGGTTTGGATATTGCCGTACCTCCCCCCAAGAACGCAGATGACGAGAGAATGGTAAGTACCAAGCCGTACAAATTCAGCACCGTCTTTCACCTACATGGCTTTTAGGACATAGACGAGGACGAACCTCTGCTCACGAGCCCTACTGAGGCTAGGCAGTTCACTTCGGTCATTTCTAACCTCCAGAGGTCATATCCTAGAGACAAAATGGAGGAGATCAGTACCAGCTTTTGTTTCATATGTCTTCTTCATCTAGCCAACGAACAAGGCTTGAAACTCGAGAACAGCGCAACCTCGTCATCAAATTCTGATGGGTCTACCGACACAAAGATTGGCAACATATGGGACCTTAAGGTTAGTGTTTGTATGCATGTCAGCGTTTCTGGCGTTAATTTTTTGCAGGTCTATCGTGATCCAGAGGCCGCTCAGACGGTATGATTTCACGGTCCGTTACTATAGAGCTACACATATCTTCTCTCAATCACTCCTCGTCACTCTATCCTTTTCATCTATTGGTTTTATCTTAAATTTGGTACGTATATATAAGCTGCTTCTCGTACCCTTATTCTAAATAACACACTACATACTGGTAACGATGTATATAACTTATGTTGGATGAATATGTTGTATCTTTACCTGCAAAGTTCACTGAACATTGTTTATTCCTCTTCGAATTTATTGTAGTTCTGTCCTTATATACGTTTGTCTTCGCTCAAAATGGGCATACATATATGACAATGTGATATGTACGATTAGCACTGCACTGCACTACATCATTTACTTAGCTGAATAACCCACTGAATATTTTTGAAGTCTTTCAGCGCGACGAAACTCATATGCATGCGTACCTGGGTGTATAATTATATCGCTTTACAAATTGCAAATGACGGGTTGAGGACTGGTGCTCTCTAATCGCAATACAATTGGTTTCTCATCTTCTCATGCTGCCTCCTACGACCTCATGTTAATCGCCAGATTATCGAGTTCCTTCCGAGTTGATAGGTATGTCACAAAAAAATCCGTAAAGCTAGGAACCTCAGTGCATCTACTTTTATCAAATCTGCCCTGAGGGTTCCATCTACCGACGAGGACGCCACACTACAAAAGATATAAATTGCAGAGACCACACGGTGTCGCTACGTCGCTGATTCCTTCCGCCGTTGTTTGGACTTACTCAATCAAAGACGCTCAGCACGGCTACTCATCCTGTCCGAACTCAGTCGGAAATAGTGCATCGGGGCTCAAGCGCTCAACACTCAGCGCTTAGCCTTTCAACCAGAAGGCTGGTTAACATGTAATAATCCGAGTCATTGATTGCGAACCAGACTTTGTTTCAGTTTAATTTCCTCTTTAAATTTCTCGAGCGTCAAATAATGGCCATGGGGCTCGAGTAATTATAATTGCAAATGTTGACCACAATGTAGGGAGGTCTTGAACGGGACTCAGTAGTCCTCAAAAGAGTCAAAACTAATACTGTCGCCCTCGGAGCTTCAGGTGGGGGTGTCCTCGAAGCGTTGAAACGAACCTAAACGAACACAGGACACGATACAGCCACACGTACGATCGGTATTCTAATATAAGCAGCCAACAGTCAATTTACTTAAATCAAGCACATGGGTATTGAGCTTCTTCCTGATTTCCTCAAAGAGGTGATTGCTCGAGTGAATTATACTACATCACAGCTACATACAACAATGCTCTATGATGATGATACATATTGCATGGAAGACCACGGCATTATTCTTGAAACATCACAAAAAGACAACGAGGTTACAATACAAATAGGAAGAACACTCAACGACGGATTGTATCAAGGAAGGGACTGGGAAGATGATTGCGATTACAAAAACAAGCTAGAAAAACCACGGCCGGAGGGCACGGAAAAACAACGATATGTAGTACAGTACAAATCAAAAATCGAATGTAGGGTAATGAGAAAAATTAACGAGGACCATGAAATGGTATCGGATAAAATATGGAATTTTGCGTGAATACATAAATCTTACATTGGGAGGGGTCGAGAAAGCCTCAGTTGTGGCTGCCAAGAACCCATGGATACATGGTGCATGCTGACCAAAATAAGATCTTCAAGCTTGATAAAGTCTTCCCCAGTCCCGCTTAAACCAACCCGCCAGCGAGAGTCGGACTCATCTTCTAACGCTTGATTTTGGCGCTCCTGTACATACAGTGTGAGATAAAGAGATTCGGCAACAGAGAAAAATAGACCGACAGATATAAATCTTTGTACACATTTTGCAACGTTCTTAGCAAGCTTCGCCTTGGTTATCGGTCCAGGGGGAGTTCGAAAATCTTTTGTAGGAATTTGACGACTCCATTGGCGATAACCTGGCCACTGAGGAGGTTTTCAATAAGTAATCACGGGAAAAGGATGAAAAAAAAGAAATTATTTACCTCCAGTCGAATGGAAACACTAGGTCCTCTGCCTTCGAATACAGTCTGCTCTCTATCTAACAGTCGTCTCACGCGAGAATGAAGGGCATCGGAAAGCGAGATGCCACATTCACTGGGATTTTCCATCCAGAAGTAAATAGGTCTATCGAGTTCTACCTCGTTGACGTAGCGCCTTTGATCCGATATGGTATGCGGTTTATACATGGGCTGAGGTATGAAAGGGTATGCAACCGATGCGCTAGGTAAGTTGAGCGCATTCCTGAAGTCTAGCGCTTGATCTCGATGAGTGTATTGACCTGAGTTATCCTGTATTTCTGTTGGATTGTTGGTTATCTGAAGAACGGGTGTGAGTCGGGTTCAAAGGAGGAAAGTTAGATGAGGCTCACTGGTACACGAGACAGCAGCAACGACTCTTCTTCCCCACCCGAAGAATGATATGGGGCTTGGTCAACTGGCGGCGAGCCACCAGGCGAAGAGAGTGGGATAGAACCCGTGCTGTACGGCGAAAGCATGACTTCAGACGACCCAGGTGTTGACAATTGAGCACTGGAGGGCCTTGCCACATACGAATGATACTGATGATGGTCGGTAGGAAGATAACTTGAAGACGCATAAGAGGAAGAAGACGCATAGGAGGAAGAAGACGCATAAGAGGAAGAAGGGTAGGAGGAAGGGAGGACGTGGGCATTCGACAAAGGAGAGGGACTGGAAGTCCACGAGGTCGGATGCGAGGATATAGAGTATGACGTGTAATTAGCAGAAGGGGGGTACGAAGTGGGAGGATACGAAGAGTAACGCGTGGGATACGCATGGGGTGCTAGACCGTGGTTGGAGCTAGAGAAGTCTGAGTCGGTAGTATAACTTGAAGGAACTGTTAAAGCTGGGTCTGAACAAGTAGCTGGAGTATGAATGTGAGAGATGGTCGAGTAAGGCTCTTGCTGTCGGGTGTAAATAATTTGCGAGGCTTCTTCCTGGTGCTGAGGGTAGTTTGTTGGTGAAAGTTCTCCTTGGTGATGAGAATAATTTACACGCGGTACATCCTCAAGGTAATTATCTGGTAGTACTCTTTCTTGGTATTGGGGATAGTTAGTTTGTGTAATCCCCTTATGTTGATCATTATAATTCGCTAGTTGCTACGGATATAAGTCAGTGATCTGGGTGTCATTAAAAGGCATCAACCTACAGAATAATTATAACGAGGCATATCCGAAGAGAACGTATGTTGTTGTGGGTCTGATTGAGGATACTGATGACTGGGATATTCGGAGGCGGTCCCGTATGGTGCTGTATCGAAAGATGAGGAGACGCTAAATTCCTCTTCGTTTTGAGAGTCAGCACTAGCAGCAAGGGATCAGTCAAATACAGCACGACCAGTATATAAAGGGACATCCTACTGCTTCGGTACTGCCATGTCGAGGAAATCTATATGGAAGCAGCAGAAACTAGGAACGAGTCTTATAACGTTTTATTCACAGCCATCTTTATGACTTTCCTAGTTTGTCTCGTGCCTCGGGAGTTCACGGCGTGGTAACAAAACCCGAGGGAAGCTGTGGAGTGTTTATTTTAACGTTAGATAATTTCATTGTGACAAGGAGACCTACCGAATAAATCGACGAAGGTTCGATGAGATGGCTACTGATGCAGGGCCTATCCGGCGTAGATATCTCCACATCAGGAAATAGCCAAAGAGGAACGATTGCGGTCACAGCATATGTAGGTCGGCGAAAAGTTCGTCTTTACCCGCGACATGATGCAAGTCTGTTTTCTCCGGAGAAGCTAGCGTTTCTATGTAGTATATTTTACGAAGTGGAAAAAAACCAGCCTGAGAGGGTAATGCAGTACATCTCGAGGCAAAAAGGTGTGGATTAAAGATGTCGGAGAACGATGCGCCCATACACAGCATTAAGAAGGGGTCCCGGAGGAGTTCTCACCTGTGATTAAGACCAGTACAAGCCAATCAAGGCATTACTAGGCAATGGTGGATGAAGGCAGTAAGCAAAAACAGTCACACTGTTGTAGCTCACTTCTCGCGACGAGCTCAACTGAGAATTTCAATCAGAAAGTTTCCAAATTTGAACTCATCCACGTGCTCGCACAATTTGGACCCGTTTTCGGCGGTGGTTGTTTTGAATTCAGCTCAATTAATCCAAGGTCCTTCTTCACCGCTTGTAATTTTTACCTTGTTCGTCATGTCGTCTTTAGCAGGTGCTCTGATCCCTCCAGAAATGTCTTCTCTATCCTCCCAGGCTCCTAGCGACCATCTATACGATAATGTTGATGTTGACATGAAGCCAGCACTGGAGCATATAGATCCAACAGCCAATGAAGAGGATGAAGAAATGACCGATTTATTCGGGGGTGACGGTGAGGTTGAGAACGCGACCCGCGGAGAGTACGTGCGCACCCTTTTAACAGAAGTTCCTCTAAACTTTTGTAGCCGACATACATCTCTAGGTGATACGACGGATGGATCGGAGGGGCTAGGTTCTGCAGAGGCCGAGCAACGAAGAGCTCTTGAGTACGAAGAGGATGAAGTTCCACCAGAAATAGCCATTGAAGAACGCGAAGCCAATGTCGCTTTCCCGAATTTACCTGTTCCGTCTAACTCAGACCAAGATGTGAAAAGAATTTCATCGCTCTCTTAGATCCCTCGAATTTAATATTGTCTTAGAACTGGGTCATACGGTTGCCCAACTTCGTCAGAATGGACTCAAAACCATTTCATCCAGATACCTATGTTGGACCGGAACAAGAAGAAGACGACGCCATTCAACAGGCGGAAACACTGCGTGAAAAAAGCATGTCAATCAAACTCAAAGTCGAAAATACTATGCGTTGGAAATGGATCAAGGATGAATACGGCGGTGATGTTGGTCGCACTTTTCGTGCGTTTCTACATTTCATTGAAACTCTCTCTAGCGCAGACAGTCCAACAGTCGCATTATACGGTGGTCTGACGGTACTATGAGTCTCAGGCTTGGGAAGGAACTTTTTGACATTACCAAAGACATCGATACGTCTGGTGCTATTCCTCGTAAATCGTTCGGTGGATCACAGTCGCAGTCACAGTTACAGCCACCTCCCTCGACGCCGGGAAAGTCTCACGGCCTCACTTATCTGGTCGCCCAACATAAACGATCTCAGGTTTTACAATCTGAGGCTGTCATCACCGGTTATATGTCTTTACGTCCAACCGGTATGCAGTCTGAGACACATCGGATGTTGGTACGTGCCGTGGGCCAAAAACACAACAAAGTTGCGCGCCTTCGTTTAGTTGAGGATCCCGCCATAGATCCGGAAAAAGAAAAGGCGGAACTGATGAAGACTGTGAAGAAAACGACTAAACGCAGATCAAATGCTGTTGATTCTCTGGGCGGACGAACTTCCAGGAAATCATATGGGAGGAGACATGAAACGTCAGATATGGAACAATCTGATGAGGATGAGGAAGGTGGGGGGATGAGTACACGGAGGAGAAAGAGCCGTGATGAGGATGATAGCGGAGGCCATTACCAGCGCGATGGATTCGTTGTTGAAGACGAGTCTGAAGAAGACGGCGATTTCGATGCTGGCCGTAAACGCAGACGGGATGAGGAAGAAGATCCCCTTGATCAACTTGAAGCGAAAATTCAGCGACAACAAAATAAACGGCGACATGAATCCGATGACTCTGATGCCGTTGAAGGTCATGTGGAAGTTGAGAGCGAAGAGGAGGAGGAACAAAAGGTCCGTCGTGCTGGCGCGACTAGACGACGACAAGCGTTATATGATGACGACGAAGACGAGTAAAGATATCTCAAAATACCCATATGAAACAATATCTGCGAGTCTCGAATTACTAGTTCAGTAAAAATCACTTTCTAACTGCCCTAGGTGTATCTTTCAGTACACCATTCTCGTCCCATTGCCCCGTCGGCTTTATTTCCTCTACTACTGCTTGGTTGGCAGGATTATCCTTCAATAAATTATGTAGAGCAAATATCGCATGCTCTCGAAGATCTTCCAAAACGAAAATTCAGTCAATCGTCCATCGTCAGAAATTTGAATAATTTCCTCCCACTTACAGGGATTTCTTTCATCAATGACACATAGATTCAACACGAGTTCAATTCCCCCACATTTCCGGAGACGATCTTGTACCGCTCTGTCTTCATTGCAGAGAATTCCCAAAAGACGTACCAAATCTCGTTTCAGAAAATTGAATCCCGGGTTACCTGGTGCCGGTGTTGGTGCTTGCACTGATGGCGCGGGCGTCTCCTTTTGTTTTGTTTGTTCCACAGTGGGCCCCGCAGAGGTCGCTACCGGTTTTCCAAAATTGATGCGCGGAAGAAATCTGTCCAGAAGACGAAGAAGTTCTGACATACACAGGTTTAATAGATAACATAAAACTAAGGGGAAAATATCAAACGCACCTACAAGATTCTCCACGAGGCCAACGCCTTCAAGGTGTATTTGATTGAAGAACGCATGGATACTCTCGTGCGTGGAAGCTGTAGAGTTAGAAGAAGTCGGAGAGCTATGGTGATGACTGTGGGCAGCCAAAGTGATTGTTATGATACATTGAGCGGTAAGCACTAGCGCTTCGCAGACTTTGGGAAGGAGGACGTCCAACTGCGCGGGGGGACCTTGTACATCTACAACTATGCTATGGTCTTGTACTGCGTTGGGAACAGAGGGAAGAAGCGATCTTCGCATCGCTGTTTGAGCGTAAGTTGACAGCGAAAAGAATAGATTGGACAGCATGGGACATAGTTTGACATGCGTTTTCGTAATTCGCGACTGTGTGCCAGGAGAGGAAACTGGCGTAGATTGAAGATACGAATCCAATAGTTTCAGGAGAGTCGTTTGATGCGGGGTGACAATTTCGTCCATTCTGGATAAGATTCAGAATTTCTTAACGTATGAATAGCAGAAAACATACATTGCCAGTTCGGTGTAAAGATCAGGCATCAAACCGGTTTCGATAATTCGAGTGAAGATGGAATAACTGCAATATTTCTCGAATGTGAATATGAGATTCAAAATAAAAATTTAAGTGTCAAACTTGCCCTACGTCGAACGCCCGGGCTCCTTCACTGCCCTCATCGGCGTCATAGAGTTTTACCATATCATCCAGTAAAATGATACAGATCCTTGCTCCAATGGGCGTCCGCGTCAGCATTTTTCTATGAAAGTTTTGGTAACTGGTTCTCCATCTGTCCAAAAGACCTGTCACATCGCCGTGTTCAAAGTTTCCCCTGGCATTTTCACCTTAGGGAAACTTTGAACAGAGCAATGTGTTACACTCACGTCCGTGATCTGCTTTCGCGCACACAATTGATTATCATTGTCAGCACTGCGAGAAGTATCCGATTGTCTGGCGACGCGAGGAGCCGTCTATCTTGAGTTGATGAGACAAAAAAAAGTTGTTTCAAGTCATTCCAGCGAAGTTCACATACATCAAGATAACCTGGTCTTCCTGCAGATTTAGATATGTCTCCCAAAGATTTGAAATCAAAGCTTCATTGCCGGTGATAATATTTGAGAGCATTTGTGTCAATATCCTGGCAGTAAAGCTTGCTGTGTGTTATCCAACGTCAAATAAAAAAGACAATCGATCAGCAGCTGCTTTGTCACCTTCTTCGTTCTCTATGGATGACCAGGAAGTGTAGTAATGCAGCAACCGTCGAATAATTGGTTCATCCTCGCTATTCAATAATGTTAATAGGGCATTCATCTTCGTCGAACAGAGATGTGTACCTACAATGCCTTGATTTGGTTGCCTGAAACGCCTGCCACTAGATTTCTCATGAACCTAGCTAGACTGACGCATAACGAGCTCAGAGAATGCTGTTTCTTCCTTTCTTTGATACTACCCGCATCGTCTCCGTCGTCCGAGTCATCGCCATCCCAAAAAGTTAACTGTGCATGCACGAGATCTCGCCACAGCTTGTGTATCTCCGTCCACACCTCGCCTACACCAAACTGTATTCTACAGCGCAATTGTAGTTGAGGAGCTAGTGGATTGTATGGCACGACAAACCTAGTTTCTCCATCTTTGCCCAGATCTCCGGCAAGCGCGTCAAGAGTTTCACAGAGGGCCGTATGACTATCTATCGCGTTGATATCGTAGTTTGCGCAAGCTGTTTTGAACTGGGTGACAAGTTGCATAACGTCGCCAGACATCGAAAAGTAAGGAATCCGATGGTTGGAAGGATGTAGTTAGAAACGAAAGGCAGTGACAGGCATATGGTAAGTAACGCGGGATTAACGAAAGACGTGAGCAACATCCATTATAGGAAATTTGAAAACATTGACATTATAATCCCATGTCATCCGAGCATGCTGTGAACGTTTCACTCGAAACTCACCTCGTATCAGCACTGGAACCGTTACTGCTCATTACTGACTCCTCTCTTTCCACTCGACTCGCCCAACATCTATCAGATCCAAGGGGCATCATTCCATACGATATTCTTTTATCTGTGTCGCGATGGTCTCGGTCTGCTACAGGCTCCAGTGCTCTTCGTGCTTGTTCGCCACCTCTTGATCCAAACTCGTATACGATGATAGCCCTGCTTGCTGGGACAACAACTTCACCGGAACGGAAATTTGGTCCATACCAACCGCCACAAGAACCAGAGCGATTAGTAGCACAGGAGAAGCGAGAGCGCAAAGCTATCACCACCATAATTAATGGGGTTCTCAGCATTATTGGATCTGGTGCTGCTGCATGGATAGGATCGGAACGAACGAATTGGAGGCAAGAATGGGTGAGCCGTCAGGCTGTAATTATGTTGTTTTGTGCTGACCCTGGTCAGCGTGTTCTCTTTGCTCTGTTCGTAGCAGTTATAGTGGCGATCTCAGAAACGGCACTTTACATTATATGGCAATCCCGCTCTTCCCTTCATCCGGCTACTGCTAAAACGCGTAAATACATACGTGCCAAAAAAGAGGACAATGAGAACTCAAGTCTTCCTAATCATCCCTACACTAACGGAGAGGATCGTGGCCGGCTACGTCTGCGCATTCAGAAGAAATCTACGAGCAACGAAAACTTACAGTAACGAGGTTCGAGTGCAAGGACTCAGATTCTTATGCCTCTTATGATCTCCTTCTACGTATATATGTCCATCTTATTAACGATACAATCTTAATCTCTTCATGAGCAAATACAAATACCATCCTGTTAAGCCCCATACTTCCAGATTGCCATATTTTCCTACTCCAATTTCAGAGTCATCCAAACTGTGACTTTCCTGCTGCTTTGGAAGATCTTCGATAAGCGCCGGATTTGGCATTCCATTGGGTACAAGGTCCTGGACTCCGATAGCCCAATATGGTCTATTTCCTCGAAACAGAGATGCACGCAGACGGGCAGGGGAAGTCAAAGCTGAAAAAGGGAGGTGAAAGACGGCGCCAACTTCAGTTTGAGATACACTCCTTCTAATAACATCCAAATCACAGGAGGGGAGAGGTTCATCGTCTACGTCTGCCATATTATGATCGAAGCGTGATGGACCAGCGTGCACAAAACCCTTGGGAGGGACATCGATTCTGTAGCGTGAAATGCGCGAGTAATAGACAAACTGCGCACCACAAAAGGGTGAACTACCATATTTCCTCGTAAATTCACTTCAGGAGGTCCAATTTGTCCCAATATTTCTATATTCTGTGCTCCGATGCCGAGTTCTTCGTGTGTCTCCCGTAACGCAGCATCCAGGTAGGATGGATCGGTCTTCACAAACAGATGGTGTGAGAAATAGGTCAGAAGTGAATCAAGACGTACGGCGTCTACGCGTCCTCCGGGGAAGCTGGTGTAATATCAATTCCAGACCATTTTTGGAACAAGACTTTTGCAGGCGATCTCGAAATAACTCTTACCTCACCTCTCCTGAATGACTTCTCAATGTTTTCCCTCGTACCTCTAATAAGATCCCTGGTACGCCCATGGCATTCGCCAGTGGAATCAACACAGATGCTTGACCTTTAGCAGTCTCTGTTGGAATTTGATCATCAAGGCACTGCGCAGAGAGTAGTCCATTTTTTATATCCAGCAAAGATCTCCGCGTGAGTGGCCGATTTATTGCGAGCGAAGCGAAGCAATACTGGCTAGAGGGCTGAACCGGGAAGTAAACAAATACAAATTGTTGTCGCGCAAACTCCCACGGAGTCGGAATACCCGCGGATGTGTACGGATGAGCGGATGCTGGGGCGGGGAGCTGTTCCTTTTTAAGTAGTGCTCTGTAGCCCCGTAACAAAAACAATCATTTAATTAATCATAATCAAACATAGTACGGAGGTGCGCCAGCACCGACCAAGACTATTGGATCTAGCACTTCGAAGCGAGCACCCCATGTGAGCCGTATTTGGATCGGAGGGGCCGAAGGCCCCCTCCGAGCCGGACGAAGGAGGCTCACATGCGAATGCATGTTATGAAAGTAAGGTGAGCTTCCGAACGATTGAGGTGCTACATGGAAGCGCATGTTCACCGAAAACTACGCAGCAAAAGAAAGGGAAGAAAGCCAATGGGCACATAACGTGTCATCACGTAAGTGACAATTTGTGACATTATCCATTTCAAGAATGTCAAAGCGGGGTATCGCAACCGCTCCCAACCGCCCTTGGACTCGACACCGATGCTCCTTTCATGTTCCCAGAAGTAAGCGGTCATACTTTTGCTTCAAAAGCTACATATACCCGGAAAATGGAAAGATGTATAAACTTAGCAACGTTCTACCGGTGGGAGAAAATCGGATACGCCCGGGTTGTGATCGCTCAAATATCTGGAGACCGAGTATCAATCGTGTTAGTCGGCTGACTTGAGAAACTGCGACAACGACGGTGAGTTGAAGGGCTTTGCCAGCCAGGTTGCCGCAGGTATATTGCTTGTAGATGCCGCAAACGTTCCCTTTGATTTCCTTCGAACTTCAAGCGATCGCCGTCCCGTCAACCAGCGTCAACCCCGTCGTCATTGTATGAGATTTCAGTTCTCAGTTCTAACATAGATATCTCAACATGATTAATTCAGGACGGCTTTCGAGAAGCACGGTTGCAGATGGTTGCATGAATGAGTTTTGTGCATTATCAAGCATTATCTCATTACATCTTAGTACCGTGACAGTCAGCTACAGAAACCCGCATGCCGTTTTTTCCCAATCTTTCTTGATTCGAGCAAGTCAAGATAGTCGCGGTATCTTCGACTCTGTAATTTGCTGTCGAAGTGCGGAACACTCCGCCACGCCTTCACCACTTTTGAATCCGGGGAGGTAACGATACTGATGCTGCAAGATTTCATATATCCCAAAACTTGTTGAAAGTATGCGGCTCTTTTTGCTACAGTAGTGGGCAGCCTCAGTCAGCGGCGCATGATGCGAGCTCCATCGCACAGTACCATACATATGTATTTACATATGGCAGGTAGCATTAGTATACAGTGACAGCCTACTAACAATGGTCGCCACTGGTGATATCAGACCTAATTAGACGAAGACAAAAGTCAAACTAAGTCAAACTACCAGAATTCACGGGTCCCAGACCCCATACCCACTAAGTGTGGTTCATACATTCATCCTTCCCACCACCTTGACTTGGCCGCTGGTCATGGCATCCCCGCTTTATGTGTGGAAGTGGGCTAGCGGATAACAACAAGTTCTCTTATTCCAGGAATCCAGTGAAAAAGTGATGTAAAAAGCTGTAAAAAGCAATCTTCAACGGCCCGGGAAAACCGAACGATCCTCTTCTTTAACGTTCATGTCGACTCTATAATGCACGGCTTCCACGTTCGTATCGTCTTGAACACAAGAGTACAAAGCCCATTCGACATCTCCATTCCAAATACCATATTCGATAAACTCCCGGTTCATCGCCCAAACCCCACCAATCGAAAGAACGCGACTTTTAATCCGTACCAAAAAGACTACAGATTTGGACCTATTCGCATCGACTGGATGGATTCAAATATGCCAGCATCCACCAGCTCAACTGGGAAAGAAAAGGATCGTGGAAAGGATGGTACTAGTGATGAACAATCATATACGACTTCATCTACTGACATGTATAGGCTCTTAGGACATGCAGTTGCACATTTTGTCGCGAATGAAACTGTCTCTGGGTCTACGAATCTGCCTGAAGGCGTCATACATGTATACCGAGAGAATGAGACACCCACAGGTCAAACATCCACTTCGAGGCCTGTTACGGACAGTGTAATCTTGGGCATTTTAGCTGTTCCATCCTGGATGGCTCCCTCAGATCTATTGACTTTCGTCGCTCCTGCCGCTGAGACAATATCCCATCTGCGTATACTGAGGTTCGTGATTTTTATCTATCAGTCAACCTCCAATTTACACCGTTGATTAGAGACTGTGTACCAAATCGTTCAATTGCTCTCATCAAGTTCCCGAAACCGGAAGATGCCTCTGAGTTCATCGAAGCTTACAATGGCAAACCTTTCAACTCCATGGAGGTGAAATTTGACCCCTGCGTTTGATTCTCTTCCAAACTTAGCTATGGCCCTTCGTTAGCCAGAAATCTGCAATGTTGTGCATGTCCTGTCTGTCGAGCTACACGCTGAAGATACTGTGTCGCAAGGCGTTGCTCAATTTGTTGGCTCACAGAATAACATGTACGAGCTACCTACTTGTCCTGTTTGCCTCGAAAGAATGGATATGGCTGTTACGGGCCTTGTCACCGTTCCTTGTTCACACACCTTTCACTGTACGTGTTTAAGCAAATGGGGTGATAGCCGGTAAACTCTTTAATTCTTTGTAGACGATATCATTATCTAATGAAAAAGCTAGCTGTCCTGTGTGCAGGTATTCCCAGAACCTCATGTCCTCTCATCCATCCTCAACTTCTACTTCCACGCGACCTACCAAAATTCCATTTGCCAATCCTTCTACGGCTAATATGTCGGCTTGCGCTGCTTGTTCTTCTACGACCAATCTATGGATCTGTCTTATATGCGGAAATGTTGGTTGTGGGAGGTATGGCCGAGCTCACGCTCAAGCTCATTACCAATCCACTACCCACCTCTATGCACTAGAACTTGAAACACAGCGTGTATGGGACTATGCAGGTGATGGCTACGTACATCGTCTCATTCGAAACAAAGCTGATGGTAAAGTGGTCGAACTGCCGAGCGCTGCTACGGCAATGAGTTCAAGCCCTCGAGAGGGTGGTCTCGGTCCAAGTGCGGCTGATGCCCTCAGTGCAGAGAAGATAGAAGCTATTGGCATCGAGTACTCGTATCTGCTCACATCCCAACTGGATTCACAGAGAGCTTATTACGAAGATCAGACAGCTGAACTTCAGATCCAGGTCGGGGAATTGAGGGGGTTAGTGGAACGGTTGACGAATCAATCAGAGAAAGAACAGATTGTGTCGACGGAAGCGGAGAGGGAACGACAACGGTTGGATGAGGAAAGGATATTTGAGCTACTAAAAGCCAAAGCTAAAGCTGAAAATCGTGCTGAAAAGATGGCAGAGCTTGCTCGAAGGTTGGAAAAAGATTTGAGGGAGGAGAGAGCGGTCACTGAGGGTCTTATGAGTAACTTGGGAAAAATGAAGGAGAAAGCGGAAGCCGTGGATAAAGATAGGGAGGAGTTCAGGTCAAAGATCAGCGAGTTGGAGGACCAACTCAGGGACGTCATGTTCTTCTTGGAAGCCAAGACGCAGATTGAAACCGGTGGAGGTGTGGTGAGTGAGGCGGCAGGGGGATCGATTGAAATGCCTCCATCAGGATCGAACAAAAAGAAAAAGAACAAGAAATGACGATGTAGGTGAATTAATTAATGTACTACGATACAATGTACAACACGAACAATATAAACATTAATGCAGTGGATATGGTGGTCTAATATTCTCTCTAAACGGTGTCTCTGCGATAGCATAGATTCCGGAGTCAGTTCGTTCTAATTTCATGGAAATCTGGCCCATATAGCACCATGATAAGTGAGAAAACGCGTTTGCATATAGCTCAGCAAGCTTAAGCATCCTTTGTTGATGCCATCTTTCCCAAGCAGCCTTCATCAGTCTACTCTGCAACGAACGAGCTTGTTCGAAGGACATATCGATATAATTCGCTAGGCCGATGGCTTTTTCTAGTAGAGCTCGTTCGTCAGTCGTTAAATAATTTTGAAAGTTGATGTTACGGGGGAAAACGGCATTGACATAGTATTTTTCGATAGACGAGTCGAGTAAGGGATGTCCATTGACTGCATACGAATCTCGGGAAAATGTAAGAGATTCAAGTTGAGCGAGGGGTCGCAGTGAATGTAGCATAACGTCATGCTCGATTTTCCAGTTGGTGCACCATCCCAGTTGATTACCTGCAGACAACCAAAGCCTTCGTAATTGGTGCAGCGATCCGATAACGGATAGCGAATTTTCAGGAACAGCAATAGCGTCCCAAACCAGATGGAGCGAGGTGAGACGAAGAAAGCTCAATTTAACCACAGGTAGGATTCTGGTATCGATGGTTGTTGGAGGGAGCGATTGAGCAATGGACAAGGAACGAAGCTGACAGTTGGCCTCGAGAAAGAAGATAACGTCCTCATCTACAGTAGCGTGTTGATTTATCCACGAAAAGGATTCCAGGGCTTCCAAATGACCTCGATGTGCTAGAAAATCGGCGGTATTGCGATCTGAGCTGCTGACTTCCAACGAGGTAATGCGGTTACTGGATGACAAGAAGGATGAGAGAATGCTGAAGTCCGCCATCGGAACCGCTTCCAAGTACAAAGCACGTAAGCGCGGAAAATTGAGAGTTTCCCGACCAAAGGATAGGTAAAGAGGTAGTCTCATCCCCTTCCAGGACAAGCTTTGTAGCGTGGGGGAAGCGGCTCGAAGCATATCTGTCATAATATTGGTGACAGAGCTTATGTTTTCCGAGTTGGAAATCATCCATTCCGCATTCAGAACCAAACTTTCAATGGGCCAATTGGGACTACTATAGAAGTCGAACACGTCCAGATTAGGGTCGAAGGATGCACGATTTATTGAAACATGGCGGGCATTCGACATAGTTATGGATTGCATCAGCTCTGCGGAAATCACGATTCGGCTTTGCCAATTCAAGCTTTGCAAATTTGGCAAAGAACAGCTCAAAATGGTGGCCAGAGCTCCAAGTAACGCGTCTTGCGCTCTTTTCGGTCCAGGTAACCGTTTGAGAAGATCATTTAGATTCGGGTAACGCGTCAAACGCGCCTCGGTCAAACTGGGGGTACCAAGTTCGATGGTAAGGTGTCGAATACATAGGCCTAAGGCTTGAACAGATCCATTCCGAGCTTGCATTTCCGCGAGGAGCGTCTCCACAAGGCCCAAAGACGCATCATTGTATGTGAGTCGCACGTTGGAGAATTGTACGGAACGCGCCAGCTGTCGGCAGTCACGGTCCAAAAAAGCGAGCGTTTCCAAATCCAACGAGGGAATATAGGAAGCTACATCCTGTAGAACTTCGACAGGGAGTCGAAACAGTGGGAATAATGAATTTACCGGCCTCCCTCTATTGGCACGGTCGAATGTGAGAGGTCGAAGGCTCTGTGAAGGAGCAGTTGGTTGAACAGTCCAAGTCATGGGGTACCGCGTAACGACGAGTGATCTAGATTTTGAGCCAATATTAGAGCGTTCTGTAAAGTGCAAGTGACAAGAAATATACATTGATAAGCAGCTGTGGTCGGGGTAGGGTTTGCTAGCTGGCTAGTACTGAAGCTGAAGCCTGAGAGTGGTATGAAAGTAGTACGGAAAAATCATACGATTGTCGTGTATGTCCTTCAATCGCCAGCGCACAATACCATCACACGAGGCTGAGTGGTACGTAAAAATAAGTTTTCAAAAATCAGAGTAAATTGAAGAAAGGGTCGACATATGTACTTAGTTGTACTTGTAAATCCTGGCATCGGGGACACCCGTCATTAGACCGAATGTAGTGACAGCTAGGACCACTGGAACATCACGATGGGGAAAGACAGGGAGCACCGGGACTTTCATCTTGATGTTTGCAAGTTTACAAGATGATATTTTCTGGTGGTGCTGCTGGCACTTGTCGGCAGAAATTGTACTTAAGGGAGTTGCACTTCGGTGAGTCACGTGATACCTTGAGTCCAGGTCACATGCCTCAACTACGCTAACTTCTAAATCTAAAGCTGTCTTCTACATTCTCAATGAGTATTGCAAACTCTGACCGTAGAGTGTCTGACTGGGACGAAAATGATGTTCAGAACTTTCTAACTGGCCTTGGTCTTCCTCAATATGAATCCCAAATCAAAAGTTAGTTTCCAGATTGTGTCTCTTTAAGCCTCCTGCTTACTATTCTTAAGCACATCGAATATCCGGCGACATTCTCTGTATGCTTGATGCAGAGATCCTTAAGAGTATTGGAATTGCTAGTATTGGTCAAAGGCTCGCCATCCTTAAAGCTGTTTACCTTCTCAAGATTTCGCACAATATTCCGCTGGATCCTGATTCCTACGTACCTCCCTGTTCGTCTCCCCGTAATTTTATCTCCAAATTGCCCTAACTTCTACTCATCCAGCGGAAGCTCAGGACCGTGCAGAGAGCGTGACGGTTGAGAAACTACATGCAATAGTCAAGGATCAATGTGCGTCATTGTATCATGTTACATTTAGTGATACTCAGCTGTACCATAGCCGAGCGACTTCGTGTGCTAGAAGAGGAGAATAAGAACTTCAACTCTACATTACAGTCATTCTTAGACGACTATAACAATCTCAGACAATCCTTCGTCTCCCGATCTTCGGTGTGTTATCCGCTGACTATGCCCGCAAACATTGCTAATGACAATGTAATTCTCAGGACGACTCTAGTCCATCATTACATCGACAACCATCATTCAAATGGGCTCAATTCAAACCGACGAAATCACCCACTAAGCCCGAACACGTCGAGTCTCCTCATCCCTCTCCTCAGCAGCTGGATCACGACATCCCTCCTTACACCAGAAGCACACCACCCTCTCAAATTGCTTCTACCTCAGCCTCTACCCCAGCCCCTTCTGATAAGCCAAAGCCCCAACAGAATATTACTGACTCCCCAAATCTTACGCAGGGCGCTCCTCCGAAGCCAGCCAGGCAAGACAGCACAGACAACCTCAAAAGTTTTAAAGTCAGTCTAGAAGACCCCACTTGGAAAGTCCTTCCCGCAGCTTTGAAGAAATACCGCATACATAACGATAATTGGGAAAATTATGCGATGTTCATATGTTATGGCTCACCTGGTGTGTTGTGATCCCTTTAGCATGACGCCGTCCTTGACATGCAGCATGATTTTAGGCAACCGTATTGAGCGCTGCTTAAGTTACGACGAGAAGCCACTCCTACTGTTCCAGAAGCTTAAGGACGCCAAAAAGAATCCTGTTTTTATGCTCAAACATATCAAGGATATACGTTCTCCGATTGTCGTTGCCCAGCAGAAGCACGCAGCCCGCAAAGCATCATCTGTCATCAATAGCGGTAACGAGCAGCCCTCTGGTGCTGGTTCATCTACTGCAAATGCAGCTTCCACCACTGCTCCCGGGCACACGAAAGCGTCTTCGCGGACTATCACACGTCCACCCAGGTTGGAAGTAAATGATCTTTCTGCGCCCGCTCCGTTAACTTCATCGGGTGTTGGTGGGCTCAGCCCTCAGCCAAGATGGCCCGAGCCGGGAATCGCATCACCTATGGTTGAAACACAGCGGCGGGCAGGAGAAGGTGGAGGCGATGATTCATTCTTGGGTATACCTCCTACCTCCGCAGGAACGTTGGCTCCCCATGGATCAGTATCCAATCTATCTGCAGGCTCGAGTAAATTACGACTTGCAACAACGGATTCACCTCCGTTGAGTAGTGGACGAGAAATGCCGGTGGCGTCGGCCGGCGTTTCGTACGCTGTAGCGATTTATCCTTACATGGCAGAGCAAGAAGACGAGTTTGATGTCGTTGTGTGAGTCCTCCAATACCCGTATGAGTCCTTACGCCCTCTGATGCCTTCTTGCGTGTTGTCTGAAAGGGGTGACACATTTGTTATTCTGTCTAGAGCGAAAGGCTGGTGGGTTGTGCAGCGCGATCCCAATGGTACTGGGGTTGTCGATACCGACCTCGCGAAGCAAGGATGGGTGCCCGCTGGATGTCTTCTCGAAACCAATGTCCCCGTCGCATCTGCAATCGCCGAAGCAACGGCAGCCAAGTCGGCAACAGGCTCTGATACACCTGTCACGTCCAAAACACCGATACTTCCACTCAGTATCATCTCCACGAGCTTCCCAGGTATTGCACTCATGGATTATAAGAAGAAAGGCGAGGAGGAGCTGGACTTAGCTAAGGATGATGTCCTGCGAGTTTTCAAGCGATACAACCATTGGTCATATGCGAGTATCCTCAAACTCCGATGTTTGCTCAGTAGATCTGATTGTCCTTGCTACAGGCTGTGAAGGAAGAAGGAGGCGACCGTGGTTGGGTACCCGTGCGTGGGCTGATCTGGTTGCCTTTCCAGTACCGTAACTAATGTTCCTTTTTCTAGTCATGGTTCATTGGCAAAGTTGCAGCTGTGCCTCCTACACCTAGTACCAGCGTCCCGCCACAGATGAACAATCTCAACCTAGAGGAGAACAATGGTCAACCCCAAGTTTCGCCATTATCTTCCGCGTTTCCCCCTGTGCAGACACGCGTAACTACGGTTATATGATTGGATTAGCAAGCCAGCTCTGGAGGAACTGTCTTTGCTGCTTGTTGATCTTTATCACTCCTGGCCTACACATAGTTATTCATTTGCTTTGTTTTTTGCTGTCAACATTGCTTTACAAAACACCTTCTCTTGATCCCTGGTCATTCTACATCTAAATCAATCTTCCATTCGCTTTCATTTTTACTCTCGAATTCCAACGTTCTTTATCATAACTTACAAGTTACGACAGCATGTATTAGTTGTTTGTTTTCATCTTCCTTCCTACGGCTGTTGCTGTGACAATTCCGTTGACCTTTATTCTGGCTCACAGGGTGCTAGCATCTTACGCTTGTTTGAAGTTGTTTCCTTTCTCTTCGTGTCAATGTACAATATCCATTATGTTTACTTCTCCTCGTTCATCCAAGTGTCTCTTTACCTCCTGACGACTTTGTTATGATCATCATTTATCTACAGATTTCCTACTTACCATTATATTTTCCCAATACGTGTACATCCGTCTGGCATGTGTGTGTTTAGAGCCCTCACTCGAAATTAGGAGTCTAGTTTGCTAGCTAGGTTATGATACATTTATGCCCCTATTCCTGTATGTTAAGTAACAATGACGCCGGTTAGAATCGAACTCAAGAGGTGAGGGAGATTCAGATCGGGGACACGATTCTCACGACCCCCTCCAGAGTCCAGGCAGGGTCTATTGGCTGGAGGTTGCAGAACTGTCTCGAACGACATTCAAGCTCACATATACCTTCCAGATTGTACCTAAGTTGGATATCATCAATAAGTGACACCAACACAGGTATTCGAAGATTTCAACCAAGTTTTATGTCCCAAGCCGTCATAAGATGCCGTGCAGCTCGGCTTGGGCTTGGTCAGGGCCTTTCGCGTGGCAACATAAGTACCCCCGATCTGAATCTCCCTCACCTCTTGATCGAACTGCTGAAATGTGCATGTGATGCGCGGAATCACACTGAAATCACCTTTCTCAGCAGACAACTAATTAACATGCATTCGCATGTGAGCCTCCTTCGTCCGGCTCGGAGGGGGCCTTCGGCCCCTCCGATCCAAATACGGCTCACATGGGGTGCTCGCTTCGAAGTGCTAGATCCAATAGTCTTGGTCGGTGCTGGCGCACCTCCGTACTATGTTTGATCATGATTAATTAAATGATTGTTTTTGTTACGGGGCTACAGAGCACTACTTAAAAAGGAACAGCTCCCCGCCCCAGCATCCGCTCATCCGTACACATCCGCGGGTATTCCGACTCCGTGGGAGTTTGCGCGACAACAATTTGTATTTGTTTACTTCCCGGTTCAGCCCTCTAGCCAGTATTGCTTCGCTTCGCTCGCAATAACTGGCCCAAATCTCCATGGCGGTGAACAATACGGTAGCAACGAAAATACCACCATACCCTTCTTCCAGTGCAAGGAAAGATTTATCTCCCACCCAGATTGCAAATTTGAATCGGACTATATTAGCCTGCATCGGAGATGTTCTATCGCTTCCATCTACTAAACGCAACACCCCCGCGGCACATAATTTCGTCTCTACATACGCCAGAGACGCCGCTGTACAAACACTAGAAGCTCTGATATGGGGTAATGGTGCTGTTAGTACTAAAGTGGAGTACGCGATACGGCGTAGAGTTCTACAATTGGCGGAGAAATTAGACAAGCTGGATGTACAGACCCTTCTGGATCTTGTCATCGTCTATGCGAAAACGAATCTTAATCGATTACGTGCGGTGCTCGAACTCAATAGTCATAGCCTGGCAACCTCAGAACTGGTGTCATCCTTTGTCCTCCTTCTTCAGTTCGACAATTCTCCCGGCCTCTATGCACTTCGTAAAGCTTCCCATTGCATTTCGTCCCTTCTCCATGTCGCCCCTTCTGCCACCCTCCGTGCATTTGCCCATTCCAAGGCATTCGTTCTTGCCTTGGCGACTATCTACCACACGGGAATGAACACTGTTGCACAGTCCTATGGTGGTCTCAACCTGACCAGAAGTGACGAGCCAGATGCCGACGATTGGGAGAAACTCTGGCTAGAAACCAAAGTATCTTTCATGGATTCATTCCATGCATGCATGGTGTGCTTGCTCAACGGCCTGGCGTCGGCGTCGGGACCAAATCTTGCAGCAGAAGCCGAGGCAACGTTCGACATCGTTTTTGCTCTTTTCGAGAGCAATTCAAGTGCTGAACAATCTCAGATCCCATTTCTCAATCGATCTATCCTGGCTGATTATCAGCAATCTTATGATCTTATGCGCACACTTTCCTCTTCTCTTCAACGCGCAGTGGAACGTGATGCGCGCTTAGAATTATTGGAAGCAAGTCTGCGGGAATTGGAGACTCAGTCAGGACCAGCTGAAGTCGGAATGAAGAACCCAGGTGCATTAAGACTGTTGTTACGCTCTTCCGGTGTTCCTCCCGGTATTGACAACCGGGGTATTGGCAGTGGTTGGAGCAAGGAAAACGGAAAAGGAAGGGAAAACAAGAATGGAGTATCTATCTCCACTTCCGCTGCTTCTGTTGCGTCGACTTCGCAATCCATATTAAAAAATGACATCGATGTCAAAATCAGCCAGGTCCTTGATATCTTTCCGGACAAAAACCCACTTTATATTCGTGATCTACTTTCGCATCCTTCTTACCCATTCGCTAGTAATTCGGACGGGGCGGAGAGAGTCATCGGGGCTTTATTAGAAGGGACTGCACCCTCTTGGGATGAAGTACGAAATGCAAGCAAAGCAGTGGCAGCAGCTCAAAAATTGGATTCCACTCCACCAGTAACCGAAAGACGCAATATATTCGATGAAGAAGAAGTGGATATATCTAAGTTCAGAGTTGGAAAGAAGAGGTTTGTGACTGTTTTATCGGCTTACATGGGGGCGATTTATGTTTCCTACGTCATTTTAGTGAGGATGTCCAATTGCTCTTCAGGGACCGTGAAACCGTTGAACAGATGAAGGCAGATATACTCAGACGGGTAGAGGAATTCTCGTCTTCGGAAGACGAAGACGAAGGCAAGTACGTAGACACAGACGATGACCCGCTTGCTCCTACAGTGGCTAACAAAATCAAAATTGTTGGAGACGGGGAAGACAGTGATTCTTCCGACTCTGAGGGTAGTCATAACTATGACAGTGATCAACCTGCCAAATTGTCCCCGGAAACAATATTGGAGTTGGCATACATTGAGAATGCTAAACTCTTCGATAGAGATTCAGCCACAAGGGGCAGTAAAGCTCGGAAAGATCTCAAGGAAAAGACGGGGTGGGAAGATGAGCAGATTGAGGGATGGAGAATCATGTTGGATCGAGATGTGAGAAGTCTTTCTTCCTTGCAATCTATTGTCACTGACCACCTGCGCAGCCGAGGAAGAAAGAACGGATCTTGAAGAAACATGAATGGTCTGGGAACAAACCTTTATCTCCCATTGAACAGCCTGAAGCTTCCTCCAGCGGAGATGGCCGTGGACGCGGAGGAGGTCGAGGAAGGGGCGATAATCCTTTAGCGCGTGGAAGAGGTCGAGGTCGAGGTGGTAGGGGTAGAGGTGGTGGTGGCACGGACAATGCGTACGAGCGTGCGTGGAAGGAGAAGAACAAAAATCGCGCTCGGAAGAGTGGCCATGATAAGAAAATGGCACGATCGGGCGGTGGACCACCGACATGATTGATTTAAGTGCCGGGCTTGAATTCAGCGGAATAGAACGACTTACTACCCACAATCAATTTATCCGTTATTTGGCTCACCAGTCACTATGTAGTTATCACTACCGTCTCACTAGGTCTCACTGGTCTTTCACGGTGTAACACGAACGCAAAATAAGGTTAGTCAAAGCACCTCGTGTCGCTGCGGAAGTGTAATCGTCCACCGTTTCTCTCAGCATCTTATGGTTTAATGCTGTTCACTTTGCGTCCACTGACACATATCCTTTGCTAGTACCGCAGCGCAGACTCTTCTACAACTAAAATCTAGCAAGCGCGCGCCTGAATTGTACTTCCTCCGCTTTTGACGCATACAGACATACTTCTCGACTGCCGCGCAGCGACACCTAGCGACACATGTTCAGACCTCACCAGATTCTATTAGTGCTCTATCAACACATGGTCCTATCGCGATGGATCCATACTTAAGTCGTCTTCACTGTTGACTTTCACTGTCAATTACTCCCATACATCGATGTCCATGTTTAGTGCTAAGAACTCCGCGCGGAGGGGTACTACAACTACAACTACCAATTCGTCGCAGGATGTTGCATCTTCGAAATCCTTCACTGTTATTCCATCACGCAGCAGTTCCTCTCACTCACCCGACAATAGTTCGTCGGGTTTTACCTGGCAGGCGCAATCTAATGCGCACCAAGCTAATCACAATGAAGTTGCGACTTCTGATTATGCAAAAAAATGTAAAGCTCTCATGGAGCTCTATCGAGCACTCCGGTCTATGGGGTTAGAGCTCACTTCATCATTGACTCGCATTCATTCATCAACCTTGTTATCCCATACAGAGCAGAAATGTTCTTCAATCTTCCGCAAATTGCGGTCATCGGCTCTCAATCAGGTATATTCTCTTAAACCCTGGAACGGCTCGAAGTACTCATCCATTGTTCTCAGCTGGAAAAAGCTCCTTGATCGAGGCAGTTTCCGGAGTGAGTATCCTCAAAGCTGCGTAATTCCGAGTCGTCGTTGATGTTTCTCTAGATCAGTGTTCCCAGAGATAGTGGAATATGCACCAGGTTCGTTGCTCTGGTTGGTCCATTTACGAGTTCTCACATTGTGTTTATAGATGCCCTGTAGAAGTCTCTATGATTTCATTTGTTGAGGAATGGAAATGCATGATTAAGTTGCGGATTGAATATGATCCTTCTGGTGAATTACAGGGAAATTCTACCTTGATAGAGTTTTGTACTCTCTCCCCACCTGGTTTGCCTGTTTAGTCTTATGAATCCCTTGACCATGATTCTTATGTCGATATCTTGATATAGATAGAGCAAATGTCGACCTGTGGCTCCGGAGAGCCCAAGCATCTATACTTTGTCGCGAGCGACCCATTTCAGACTTTCAGATCATGAGTTTGAATGAGTTGAAGCGTTTGAAGCCTGGTGAAGGCTCTATGCTTGCGTTCTCCATGAACGTCATACAAGTCCAGCTTGAGGACCCTGAAGCAACAGATCTCACCTTCATCGATCTCCCAGGTACTGCGTTGCTTTCATGACTTGCGACCTTTATCTGCTTATATCTTGATGATAACTGAAGGGTTGATTCAAAATGCATCCCAAAGCGAGATTTCCATTGCACAAGACTTGGTCAAGAAAAATATTGAAGAAATCGAGACTGTGATTCTAGTTACCATTCCGATGAGTGGTGCGTGCATGTGTACTTTGCAGTTGAATTTGCAAGTGCTGATAGTACGACAGACGAGATGGAGAACCAAGAGGCTGTTCGATTAGCAAAACAAGCGGACCCTTTGGGTGATCGTACCATTGGTGCGCTTATATATCTCATCGTTCGAGATTTGTTACATTGGGTTCATCTATTTTTTGGTTTCTTGAAGGTGTCCTCACAAAGCCTGATACCATTACCCGTGGCGCTATAGGGTCTCGCGAGCGCTGGAAAGAAGTTCTCCAGGGCAAGCTCCACCACTTTCACCATGGGTATTATTGTGTCCGTCTCGCTGACGACGAAGAACGTGCCAAAAGATTGTCCAGGTCACAGTCAGAGGTTCTTGCAACTGATTTCTTTGCGAAAACAGAGCCATGGAGCGGTTTCGTGGATCGGAGTCGATTTGGAGTTCCGAATTTTGTCAAGGATATGAGCAAATTGTTGTTGGGAATGATTGAAGCAAAGTAAGCAATAATTGTGGCGGAATGCTAGACTTGAGTATGACAATATCCGCTGACATCCGCCTTTATCCTTCTACTTAGTCTGCCTGAACTTAGGGTTGCGGTGGATCAACTTATTCTGGAGTGTTCAAATGATCTCGAGGCCATACCTATCGTCCCAACCAAAGAACCATCGACTGAGATTCTTCTTCGTATCAGCGACTTCTGTAGAGATGTGATGCAGGCAGTGATGGGTGAAGATCACAAGTTCCTGGTTCAGCACAACAAACGTCACTACGAAACATTCAAAGTGGCAATCGAACGTACGAATCCTGACTTTTGGCCTTTCATTTCCAAAGAAGATCATGTGAATCCAAACCTTCATGTTCAAGGAGGAAGTGTCGGACCGTTAGACTTGGAAGATGTTCGAAAGGAGATTGCAGAGTGAGGAGTTGTACACCGTGACATTCATTAGCTATAATTCTTCTAACGTCCCACTAATCCTTGTAGAGCCTTGACGTGGGAGCTCCCTGGAACCATTCCTTTTGACGCCGTCAAAATGATTGTCTTGAAGTCAACAACAAAGTGGTCGGCTTCCACGAACAAATGTTTCGACTCTGTTTTTCAGACTACTAGCTCCGTTGTCGGGGAGCTCATTGAATATCATTTCAAGCAATTTTCGAAGCTGGAAGCCTTGATTAAGTAGGCAGGTTCTAACTGCTTCCTATAATCTACTGAATCATGTTCAAGATCCCTTGTTCATTTTGAACTCGACACTTGCAAAACAAGAGCTTTGGGTATCATTCATAAGCTTCTTTCTCATGAGAGTGTACCGCTGTACACCCAGAATGATTTAGATCTGGCGACAGAGAAGAGCAAATGGCTTTCAAAATATACAAATGTATATCGAACGTCTGGCAACTATCATCTATCCCGGAACCCACCACCGCCTCCCACAGCCTACAGTGGCGGAGCCTCCCAGCCTCGTCCTCGTGCCATTCCTAAGGGGCGTTCCAGTTCACGTTCTCTTAGTACTTCGCCGGTGCGCCCTGCATCTCCATTGCATACATATAACGATGAGCTATCGGTCATGGCTACCGTGAGCGCCTACTTTCAGGTTGCTTCCAAAGTGAGTGTGGATCATCGCAGTTTATTCTTGATGGGATTCATGTAAAGTAAACAACTAGCGATTCGTGGATCACATCCCACTAGCTATTGAACACGAACTTAATCAATTCTTTGCGGCGAATGTACATCAAGCGCTTCTCCAAGATATGATGTCTGGAACTGATGTTCCCGGGAGGTTGAAGGATTTGTTGAGTGAAGATGAGGGTATAACTACGAGGAGGCAATTTTTGAATGAGAGGCTGACACGATTGGAGGAGATCCGCGAAAAGCTGTCTCAGTTCAATACCTAATGGTAGATACTCTTCAATATTCAATTCCAGAGGCCCGAGTCTGTTCGAGTTTGCTGTCCATCAATAAATGTCCTCTCACATAATCCCTTTCACAATTCTTGCTCTTGTATGTACATTGTACCAATATCTTGTTACCCTTACGTCGTCTCGTTATCTCTGTTCCTCAACTTACCGTGGAACAATGACAACAGCGAAACAAGTTCCCATATACACATCATTGACTCAAAGTTTTCTCTGTTAATCTAGTGGACGAGATGTTGCGAGGTCGAAAAAGAGAATTTTCTAAAGTTTCAGAAGTTAGGACAGACTTGGAGTGTTGAGGAGGTGGAAGGATGGATATTCAAGCTTTTCACAACCGAACAAATTGGGGGGGGGCGAAGATAACATTCGCAATGTTGAGGCAAGGACACCAGAACCAAAGGATGAATGGAGGCGGAAATGGTCGACAGTGTGATCCCTTTCGTTTGACCACCCGTGATTGATGTCCTCCTTCTAGTAGGGGCCTTCCAAGTCGCTGCAGGCCGTGAGGAGCCATAGATATAATCAAAGTCTGTGTTAACAAGGATGAGCATGCCATTTTAAGTCTTTGGCCGCAGAGGATGTATCGATTGGGTCAGTGAGCGCGGAACCAAACCGGACCGAACAACCGGAAGTGCCAGCGCTTGTTGGCCAACAACAGTACAGCTCAATACCAATCTATGATCTAGCGGACGTGTTTAATGGACGATCCATGGGCCAATGCCTGGGATGAGTCACACTCCAAAAACACAACTTCTTCCGTTCCTACTAAATCCATATTTTCAACTTCCACCTGGAGGGATCCTGCAGAGAGCGAAACAGATATCGCCCTGCCGTCTTGGTCCGTAGGGCCAGCTGTAACTTGGAATGAACCATCTGACGATGCTCCAACATTATGGGGTTCCTCTACCTCCAATGATTCTCCGGAACTACCTATCACTTCGAGCTTTAGCCCCAAAGGTGTCGACTGGAAATCCTCGTACGAGAGTATGAGTGCACATTTCGGAGGCTCAAGTGTTGACGAGAACTCGGAAACAGAAGAGGTAGGAGATGCAGAAGAATCAAACGAGGGGGAGGGAATGCATGATCAGATGGATATTAATGTTGATGAATACGAAGCTGTTGCCGCCAAGGGCGAGGCTCCAGGGATAGTGGATCCATGGACACCTCCTCAAAGTACCTTCCCTACTTCCACGTCTCTTAGCTCGGTCCTGGAAATAACCGCGTCCAATTCTCCACCTGCGCCACGCAGTCCCGATGCATTTGAATTTGGTACATTCGAATCTGGCGCTTCCGACTCTTTAGCCGGACCTTCTACGGAGGGAAAAACCTGGGACTCGGGCAGTCTCTCTAACCCAGAATCGGAATGGGGTACTGCATGGGTATCTAAAGAAGCAGATCCAAATGATGTTGAAGATGTAGAGGCTCTGGACGAATGGGAAAGAGCCAAAAGAGAGAAAGAGAAAATGGATCGCGTGGTAGTGAGTTTCTTGCATCTGACTTCTACTCTCTACATTTCGCTCAAATAATACTTATTTTAAGCCTCCGGAATTTCTTGCATCAATTCTGCGTACTTTGGAGGAAATTTCGGACGATTTATGGCCCCCGCCTGTCCAAGCGAAACCAAACGACGTAAACAATGTGCCTACTACAGACACAACGCAGGAGCCTTTGAAGGATACCAGGGATGATGACCCCTTGGACAGGGACTCTCCAAATTTAGGTTCCGTCGTCCAGGTTGAGGATGAGAGCAACTCTTTGAATGATGAAAGTCAACCTGAAGAAACACTTGCTCATTGGAAAGGTGGTATAGATGCGGTTGAGGGCCTGTGAGTGCTCCCCTTCATTGTAACATATCCAACTCATATTCACATCTACCATACAGGTTGGACCTTTGCCAGACTATAATTCCACCTTTGCCACCGCTTTCATCCCTTCCGGCCCTCCCTTCACAAACCAAATCATCGCCTATAATGAAACGCAGCTCAGAGGCCCTCCGCTTGACGCGTTCGACAGTGATTTCCTCTTCCGGTCCTCTTGGAATGTATCTCAAAACTAAAGGATCCATCGAATGGGAGGTTGCAGTAAAAGCACGGCCAGAGAAAACAAGTGAACAAGAACGAGAAGAGATCGTTCCTGCCGGGTGGAGAATTTTACCGAAAGAAAAAGAAGACGAAAAGAAAGTAGAGGCGCCTGAAATGAAAAGGAAAGGATCTAGCATATTATCGTCTTTCTTCGGAAGAAAGGCAGAAGCTTCACCTACGGAGAGTAAAGAAAAGAAGGATAAAGAAGCAAGTCCCAGGCCGTCTTTCGCATCATCTCGGAACAGCATGGATTCTAAATCAGGAACTGCAAATGCAGAATCATCATCAACGGACAAGCTTCCCACCAGTCCTGCCTCTGCTCCAGTCCCTTCAACGTCGGCTGTGGGTGCTTCCACCTCTACCACTCCTACTCCTTCTACCTACGGCGACGGGGGCTCGCCTGATCTTTTCCACGACGCACCAACAACAGCTCCCGCACCTTCAGCAGTATCCCGCTTCCTAAACCGATTCTCCTCCTCCCGCAACAGACCTAGCCATTCTCGGCAGAACTCAAACACCTCATTGGCGTTGTCTACAGATGATCTTGAATTTCTGCAGGATATCGTTCCCAGTGCTAGTGACGTTGATCATGAACATGAACTCGTACAAACAGGATCAAACGAGTTGGAATTGAATGGGCTTCAGAAGATGATAAACAGTGCGCCGCTACCTGCACCGCTGTTACCTCCTCCGCGAGCTCCTGGCCGAGATCCGCAGCGGTCGCAGTCGCAGTTGAGTTCACCACAGAGTCCATCAGATGATTTCATCACTGGGAGAAAGGCCCCTTCGGATGCCTCGCGGCAGAATAAGAACTTTGACTTTGCGTCGTCCTCGAGTCAGATACTGACTCCTTCCCCTGCACTTCCTTCTCAGATACAAACCGCCATTACCCGATCTTCGACACCATCGTCTTTTGCTTTACCGTTATCGACTAGATCTTCCAGTCCTGGTTTAGATATGTTATCTATCGCAGGTTCTTCTGTTGGCGGCAGAGCCTCACAGCTAACAAGTCCTAGTACGGGTATGAATGCCCTGGGTGGGAGTGCCATTTCAAGACCGTCCTCGTCGTCGGCTATGCCAAACATCCGAACTACCTCTTCCTCCTCCTCCACGACGATGAAGAGGCCTACGCCTGTCGCCATCATGTCTCAATCCTCCGGTTCTTCATCGAAAACCCCCGAGTCTGCCGACCCTTTTAGCTTCCTTCCACCTCCGCCATCTATTCGTGGAGGCGGAAAAGCAACGTCATCTCCCACACTGTTGATTGACGATGAGCTGCCACGTGCCTCGTCGTCTGTTTCAGGTGTTTCGAGCATTCCCGCAGCTTTGAACATACCTTCGACCTCTGTGACTTCTGCTCATCTTCCCCAGAACCCCGATGACGACGACTTTTCTGATTTCCTCAGCGCAACCCCGACCGACGTAGTCCAGCCTCCCTTTTCAGCCTCAAACCTGTTCTCTCTTTCCTCTGCACAACCTTTGTTTTCTGCTGGATCTGCAGAATTCAACGGCCGTGACAGTGAGGGCCCCTCGGACGCCTTCTCTGCGCGATATGACAATCCCCTGAACACTTCCGTATCTTCCATCGCTTCTACGAATTCGGTGAACAACATGCTCCTTTCCAGTCGTGAAATGGATTCTTTCGGTGATTCCTTCGATGCATTCAATGATTTTGCGTCCTCATCGTCTCCGGTACAACGCGATACACTCCGAACACCTTCCCCGCCCGCCCTCCCCGATAAATCACCTGGAAAGTTGGCGGCGAGGAGGGCATTCGGTGCGGAGCCAACTAGTGCTGGGGTTTCGAGGAGAGCATCTACAGGGAAGAAAACTATGGGAGGATCAGGTGTGGGAGGTAGGATTCCTCCAGGAAGACTGAATTTACCTGCCCCCGTGTCTTCTTCGGCGTATTCGAGACATTGGGGCTCGCCGGCTCGCGAACCTTCTCCATCGTTCCTTTCCGGAAATGCCGTCAACTCCGCTTCTCCATTGGTCGCTTCTTCATCCGAGCCTGCTCTTGCAGTTACTCCAGCTTCATCTCCTTCCCCGAAGAACCATAAGAAGAAGGTATCCAAAGAAGCACATCAACGTACGCGAAGTTTGGTGGAAGATGCTATGGCTCGGAGTGGGATTTGGCCTTCCCCTGCCCCGAGTGCAGCTTCTTCAACCAGTGGTTATGGATCTGGATATGGAGCATACGGGTTTGGTACGGCTCCCCCTTTAAGTCCTTTGCCGCCAATTTTGAGCCCCCCGCCCGAATACTCTTCATCGAGCAAGAATAAAGGAGGAGGAGATTTACTAGGGGCGCATGAAGATGACGACGATGATGTACCTTTAGCTTCGCTTGCTCCAGGTTCCACCTATGGATCAATCCCGAATTCAAATATCGGTTCGTCTACGTTTGCAACACAGCAGACCCAGGCAAAGGCTGGACTAATACCACCCATGTCTTCTATGTCGTCTTCCCCTCCATACAGTACCAATGGCCCTAATCTGAATACAAATGGTACACTTCCCCCAATACCGCTACCTGGGCCTACACCTTCCGGCCAGCAGCCGGCGTTGCTAATGGGCTTTGGTGCGCTCGGCTCAGGGCCCGGTTCCGGTTCGAGTTCTGGCTCTTTGACTGTCGCGTCTCCGGCTTCTGGTATGTCTTCGCAGTTGATGTCAGTGTTCGGTGCCACTTTGGCATCTTCAACGTCGAAGACAACGACTGGGGGCTTGTCGGCGCAGGATTTATCATTCTTTGAGGGACTATGATTTCCCTGCGCGAATGAAGAGTTGTACATACACTTAATATCCACTTCTGTTTCGTTTAGCTTTCACTGCTGTTTGTTTTTTGTAACGTGTATTCTCAATGAGCTGTCGGACGAGTTTCTTGGCATTCTCAAGCTCCCAAAACCGTTAATTTGGATACTGAGTGAGGTTGTAATCTACATAATCACTATCTATCACTATGTCGTAACAATCTCCAACACCTTGATTCTGAACCGCTTTCAGATAATCTATGCTGGCATCCATACCAAAGACCATTCTGTTGTCGAATCAACCATAATGAATTCAACTTTGGAGAGAAATCTGGAAAGCATAGAACTAGCATTGCAGATTCCACTACCTGCCTCGAGCTCTACGCTTTACCTCAATCCTCCTGTCTCTGTTGCGCTTCCATCTGATGGTTTCTCCAGCGTCGACAACGTACCGTCTATCAACAGGAACCAATCTTTCTTACCTCCAGTAGACAAAGGTTTTGGTGCTTGGTCTTTTGTGCGTATCTTAGTGTGCGCCGTGTACTAGCATGCACTTAATATTCCATCCCTCGTTATCAGTTGACTGCAGCCTTCTTCGTGCAAGCCATTGTCTGGGGGTTTCCGACCTCGTTCGGTGTTTTTTTAGATGGTGCGTATTCGCTGTAGTGAATTTCCGAACCCTCGTCAAATTCACTCTGTCCTTTTTACATAGCATACCTAAATGATACAACATACACCTCTCAACCGAGGGCATCGAGTTTGCTTCCTTTGATTGGTCCAATCTCAACTGGTATCATTTACTGTTCCGGTAAGACTTCGAAGTTTGCTCCCAGTCCTATTCTAATCCCTCAAGTTCAGGGCCTTTCATCACTCCTGTAATAACTAGATATCCCTATCATAAACGTAATTCCATGTACGTCGGCACAATACTCTGTTGGGTGTCTCTCTTCGCTGCTAGCTACACCACTAAGGTGAAATTGCATCATGTACTTTACTCCTCAATTCTCACATTTCTATCCAGGTCATACAACTAGTTGCATTACAAGGAGCCTTGTATGCTATCGGAGGATGTGAATATACACGAACATAATCCTGCAATCTCATTCTTTCTAACATTCGACTCTCTCTCTTCCTCCTCGTAGCATTGCTCTACATTCCCTGCATGTCTTATCTATCCGAATGGTTCAATCGCAAGCGTGGATTTGCTAATGGCGCAGTCTTCGCCGGAACAGCAGTGGGAGGCATCCTCCTCCCCCTCATTTTACCCTCGTTATTATCCTCACATGGTCCTCCCAAAACATTGCGAATTCTATCCATTGCAACAGTTCTTCTTATTGTACCCCTGCTTCCTCTAATCAAAGGCCGTTTGCCTGAATCTCGCATACGAGCCATGGGACCAACCCCACGGGGTCGAGGGAACTCAGAGTGGACAAGAAGTATGTCATTTTGGGTTTTAGTGGTTGCCAATACTTTCCAGGGATTTGGATATTTTGTGCCGATTGTTTGGCTTCCTAGTAAGCCATGTCATACTCCGTGAAAGGACAAAAGGATATCAAATATATTTCGCTCAGCATTTGCCAGTGATCTGAACCTCAGCAACTCGATTGCATCAATCGCTCTGGCGCTACTCAACTGTGAGGATCCTTCAAAACGAAGCTTGTTTATTCTAATCCTTTTTATAGGCGGCTCTTTAATAGGTCGACTAGCAACAGGTTACCTCTCCGATAAAATCAATCCCTGGCTCTTGGGACTCTCAACATTAGCCTCCACATCTGCAGTAACATTTATACTTTGGGGTGTTTTATCATATAATCTCGCTGGATTGCTATCGTTCAGTTTAGCTTACGGGATCGTTGCTGGAGGCTGGTCGAGCACATGGAACGGGTTTATTAAGCCTTTGAGCGGTAAGCAGATGTTTTCATCCACTGGTATCATTCTAAATATTCGATTAATTCCTTCAAACCACAAGTCAATGATCCGAATCTCTCCACCACTCTTTTTGGAGTCCTACTCTTCTCTCGTGGTATAGGGAATATATTCTCTACACCCATTTCTTCTGCGTTGACAAGCTTGGATTCTAACTCTACAACTTCATTTTTCACGCATGCTTTTGATCACTCTGAACACCTTGGTTTCGACGTTGGCGGGGGGAAGTTTGAGAAAATGATTGTGTATGTAGGAATGTGTTTCGCGGGCGCTGCCTTGATCGCGTTGGTGGGTTGGGGAATGGATGCAGCGAGGCGACATAGGTCATCTGAAAGGCAAGCGGGTCAGGAGTAGCTAAGCTGAATGTCACGCTAAGAAATTGGTATAATAGACCGTTGCTCAAGCACTGCCAACTGCGCGATTGTAATTTGTGTATCACTTCGATAACCAGATAACCAGAAATTTTGTTCTCATTGCTCATCGATAGAGCTTACGCAACCGGCGAGAGATCACGTACAAGTCACACCCGCGCTCCTCCGGGGTCCTCTCGTGGGACGACTCTTTGACTTTTTGACCAACCAGCGAACACTACGGGAATTTTCGTTTGGAAGGGCGTATCAATCGCGGAGAGCCGCAGCATTTCGCCTCATGTGACAATTCGCGGCTCAGCGCTCAGTGTTCTAAATTCGAAGTCTCTGTGAACATAAAACAAAGGATTCACATAGGATCTCATGAGCATTGCACTAGAAGCCTTCCTTCCTTACTCACAGTTTTTACCAGCGAAACAAAAGTAAGATCCAGCAATGTCTGCAACGAATGACACCAACAGAACCACCACCAACGGTCATCGTATCAATTCACCAATCCCTCCACCTATTCCCAAATCCTCCTACAAGATTGCCTCCATCCCTGGAGACGGAATCGGCCCAGAGGTCATTGCCGCCGCGGTCGAAATTTTACAAGCCCTCACCAAGAAACTCTCGACGTTTGAACTTGAGTTCACAGAGTTTGATTGGGGCACAGAGAGGTTTCTGAAGACAGGAAGGTATACGCCCGAGGACTATCTGGAGGTTTTGCGGGAGTTCGATGCGATTCTGTAAATATAAACTTCCTTTATTCACTCACCCATCTGAATCTATTTGTAGGTTCGGCTCAGTCGGCTCTCCCTCCGTACCAGATCACATCTCACTGTGGGGGCTTCGTCTCGCTATCTGCCAACCATTACAACAATATGCCAACGTCCGCCCAACAAGAATTCTCCCTGGAACCAAATCCCCTCTTGCAAACTGTCAACCTGGGGACTTGGATTGGGTGATTGTAAGAGAGAACAGTGAAGGGGAGTATGCTGGGCAGGGAGGAAGATCACATGTGGGGTGCGATCATGAAGTTGCTACTGGTCAGTGTCCCTCTTTCTCTCTACGTGGTCGCTCTCGAGTAACCCGTACTAATGACACTTTGCAGAACTCTCCATCTTCACCAGAACCGGGGTCAGGCGCATCGCACACTTTGCATTCAACGTCGCCCAGAATCGTCCTCGAAAAATGCTTACCTACGTCACGAAAAGCAACGCTCAACGAAACGGGATGGTGATGTGGGACGAAGTTGTCCAGGAAGTTGCGAAAGATTATCCAGATGTATCTGTCGATCATATGTTGGGTAAGTTTTGTCAGCCTATCAATTCTTTCAGGCTTTCCAGTTCCTTACTCCGTCTGAGGAACCTTTATACTTACTGTGTATTGATCGTCGTAGTCGACGCAATGACAGTTCGCATGGTCCTCAACCCTCGCTCTCTCGACACCATTCTTGCCACCAATCTTCACGCGGACATCCTCTCCGACCTGGCTGCTGCGTTAGCAGGATCGATAGGTATCGCACCGACTGCAAATCTCGATCCTACGCGTAAGAATCCATCGAGTAAGTCCATACTGTCCTTGAACACGGCCTATCCCCCTTTTACCTTATTTGATCACCGCAGTGTTTGAACCCATCCATGGCTCTGCCTTTGATATCACTGGTCTCGGCCTTGCTAACCCAGTAGCAACTTTCTGGACTGCGTCGGAGATGCTTCATTGGCTTGGGGAATCTGAAGCGGCAATTAACTTGATGGACGCTGTGGAAAAGACCTGTGCAGCGGGTATTGTTACAAAGGATTTGGGTGGGAAAGCGGGGACGAAGCAGGTTACGGAGGCTGTTCTAGGAGAAATCCTCAAGTTGTAATTGTCGTGTGCAGTGGTGGTGAAACTAACAATTTGTAGGACAATGGTCACGGTTCAATCTACGGTTGTTGGATCGATATTGCACAAACATAATACATATATAAAGGATTCTTAGCGTAAGTAGTAGCGTAGGAAATAGCAATACAAGCATATCGAGTACAGAACGGATCCAGGCAGGAAAGATGTTGATTATTAACGCTACAGCATCCATTGAAGAGTTGCAAAACAGCCAGCAGTAAAAAGAATTCATCCACTGTGATGGTTCCACCATCTCTTCTTAGTAGAATGAGGGTGAGAATGAGTCAGGGGGTGTATATGGCCTTGAGATTATAGCAATGAGCTTCAGTTTATGAAACAGTCAAGCACAAAAGATGATTCCCATACCTTCGTTCTCGTAGGCTTGAACAAACGGGAAGAAATCAACATTTGAAGGTGATCATAATACCGATCGACTCACCTCTGTTACTCTCACGGAAAGTGGGAACTACGGGAATCACATGACGCCCTGAAGACGGTCTGGGTGCCACTAAATGAATACTCATGATGAGTACACGACTTTTGGATATGCATCAAGATACTAACCAGCGTTCCCATAATTCATGGCATCGTTAGCAGCGATCGCATAAGGGGGCGGAGGGCTCGAAGTATAGTTATTTCCATTGCCATTAGTAGGAGGAGGAGGAGGAGGAGGGGACTGAATGTATCGCTGTCCTTGGTCGTGTTGCTCTACCCCATTAATTGTGACGACTTTTCGACCATCAGGGTAGGTGCGGGTAATGTGGACATTTCCCTATGAAATGGAGCTTTAGAATGGCCAAGACGAAAGAGACAGTATGTGTAACTGAACACAACGTACATCCCAGTCCCGACGCTTCTGTACAGTCTGTGTCACGCCATTTATCGTCTGTGACATCGTACTCTCTGCAGCCCACCTCCCAGAGCCAGAACCAGAGCTCGTATCCATGACAAGTGAAGGAAAAGTGGGGAAATGGGATATCATTGGGGGGAAACCCATACCCATACCCATGCCTCTAGAGAATCCAGATGCAGAAAGCATGTTCCGGTGCATATCTTGCAGATCCGCCATTAAATCATCCCCTCCAAAATGCATGCCGCGCGCTCCCGATAATCCATTGCCAAATCCATCGAAGCTGTTGAAATCGCCTTCATAATTTGTATGACGGCGGTGAGGATACCTGCTATCACGAGAGTGACGACGGTCCTGAGGGTAAGCGCCGAGGGATTCGCGGAAGAAAGAATCGAAAAGCTCGAAAGGATCGGTGAAGTGGAAATTTGTAAACAATGTGAAGGGATCGGGAGGATTCGGACGAGGATAATCATTCCTCCGGTTTTGATACCGAGTTGAATAAGGATCATAGCGCGAGGCTGGAGGTGGGGTCTCTGCTGGAGGCGGAGGCCAAACACCGTGTCGATCGTAGGACTGTTTACAAAGTAAGTGCAGGGCTACTGAAATAGATATGGGCGACCATTACTTGTCGTTTTAGAGGATCTTTCAGGATTTCGTATGCATTATTGACCTACACTCGTAAAGCGAACGCCACAATGAGCAAACCTTATTTGTATACGCATAAATAATTCTTGGAACACACTTTTCTGAATTTGTCTTCAGCAGCAGCCTTCTCCGCAGGCGTGAAATTTGGAGGAAGTCGATCTGGATGTGTTTGCAATGCCTGTTTCTTGTATGCTTTACGAACTGCAACAGTTTAAATCAGTTGGAAATGGAAACGCAAATCAGCATTTATGTTTCAAGCATAGCAGGGAACTTACTATCCTCCGGAGTTGCTTCACGAGAGATGTGCAAAATATCGTAGAGATCCCCAGACATCTCGAAGGTGTTACTGTAGTGAGGGAAGAGATCAAGAAGCAAGTCAAGCTGTGAGAGCCTCGCACCGGCAATGCGTCTGATAAATTGAATTTTGACGCCGTCAGCATGGCTGTGGCGTTCGTGAGCGCTTATTGCAGCACCCCGGTTCTTCGACGTTCTATTTACAACCTTTTTTGAAGAATCTAATCAAGCAAATTGAAAGCGACGATGAAAGCTAGCTGTAATATCTTGGAAGCAGTAGCGAAGGCTATGTTTGTTAGACCACACTCGAGCCTTAGAGTCAATCCAGTTCATTCAGGACCTTTACCGGTGAGCACATCGATCTCGTTGCAATAAATACATAATAAATAAGACCAACAGCATACAATGATACATTAATGTTTAGTTATTCTTAAGATAAATAGACTGCAAGAAACCCAATGAGCATGCGCCCCGATATAAAATAGCAGGAAATACGAACCTAAGTGGTCAACACTTTACCGCCCCGAGTCTATGAACCTCTTTCCGACATTCCTTCAGACTGGCAGCGAGACGATCTTCCAGCTCATTGGATATCTCCTGCTCGATAAGTCTAGCCTGCTGACCGAGCCTCAGCATTTCTATTTCGGAAAGCAGCTTCTGACGCTCCTCCTGCCACATCACATTCATTTCTTCAACTTCTCTCTCGTGCTTCTCCCTCTCCCTCTTCAAATCAGCCACAAGATCGTTAACCAACTCCTCAACCATACCCTCCTTCCTTGTATCCACCACCATCTGCTTCGCCGATCTCGCTACAGCCCTTACCCGACCTTGCTTTACTCTATCCGCCTCTTCCTTCATCATGTTCCTCTCCTCCTTCAACTTCTTCATCTCCCTCTGCTGTCTCCAAACCATGTTCGCTGCGATCAAACGATCGCGGAACGTCGCGAATGCATTCGCTCGCATGATTTGCTCTTTCTCTGCTTTCTTCTCTGCCAACGCTCCCCTCATTCGCTGCAGCTCCTTCTGCTGCTGCCAAATCTTGTTCGCGAGTAAGAGCCTGTCGAGAAAGCTCACGAACAGTGGGTGCACCCTTTCAGCCCGTTCTTCTTCAGTCTTGCGCTGGAACACCACCAGAGTCTTAGCACTAGTGTCGTGTGATCGAATATTCTCTTGTAGTCGCGCGTTCTCCGATTCGAGTTCCGTGCATTGACGTTCGTACCTCCTCTCATCTACCAACCATTGCCTTTCGAGTTGGAGGTACTTCGCTTGGCTGGCTGCAGCAACTAGTCTAAGCTCTTGGTAGTGAGATTCCTTCTCCGTAAGCTGCTGTTCTAGTTGCGAACATCGACTGAGAACCCAATCAATACTGGTATCAGACAATGTCACTGATGCTGCAGGTCTTCGATTACGATGATACAGAAGTCTATCGACTGCGACCGCAATGCAAATCGTGGCAGCGAAGCCAAATGCAGCCATGCCAGTAGAGCTGAGGTGGGACGGTTGAAAGAATGGATAGTCGCAGCGGTCAAAGAATGAATAGTGGTACATGGAGATTGGGGTTGGATTGGGAGGGATACCGGCTTGGGGAAGTGTATTGTTGGATGTTGGGTGAGGGGCCAGGAAGTTTCTCTCTCCGTACTATATAATCCGAACTACGGTTCCCCTACTCATGGGATGCACAAGGCTGATCATCCTGAATCTATGTAGGTTGGATGTTTGGAAAGTCGCATGGTATACTCGAGGCCTGAGGAGGTGTAATTGTAAATCCTCGAGGTTATAGCAAGGGCATGGCGGTGTAACTTCATACTTGCTGTCGAACAGTATGGCGCGTCGTTTTGCTCATGGGTCTATGTCAGTGGTCTATCCTTCCTCCGGACCAGGCCGGTAATTCGGTGGATAGTTTGGCGCTCGGTCATTACAATCGATTACTGCTTATCTCATCTGATTATGGCAAGTACTTCCGCAAACTTGAACGACCTAGGATTCGATATATTCGAGCACATAATATCTCATTTACGAAATGAAGGTCAACAAGGAATTGTTCCTTTATCTCTACTGTCGAAGCAGATAAGACAGCACATGCTACCAGTCATGTTCCGTAACGTCTGTTGGCCAAAAGATCGTTCGCAGTTCTTACCCTCTTCTCTGTGGCCATACATCAAGTGAGTATGCGCCCTGGTTATAAAACCTGGGCTTTTGATGAGGATAATATAGAAAGTTGGAATTCATATACAAGTCCGACTATAAGCAACCGTTGTGGGTCTCTCAATCACGACATGGACCAGCCATGAAGTTGCTTTCTGCAGCTCTTCCACATATTCCTAACCTCGCAACGTTCGTTTATTCACCGGATTTTCCACCCAACTTCGATCTCATCGACGCATTGGCGTCAACCCCTTCTCTTCACACCTTACACATCCCAACTTCATTCCTTGTTCACGACGCATTGACAGTCTTCAATTCCTTCCATGGAGTCCATGACCTCGTAATCGAACAGGTCGGGAAGGCGACACTCTATGATGCTCCAGAATCAAAGCGGTTGTTATCTGTACAATGTGTAGCTAACATCATTCAAGGATGCAGCGAGACGCTAGAGTCCCTCGAGATTCCTGGAGAGTACTGTCCATTACCGAACCTTTTGCAGAGAATATCGCTGCCAGTGATACGCAACTTCCTACTTACAGGATTCCCGCCATTAGATTCGGATTCTCAAAATTATCCCCTCTGGACCGTTGTGCAGTCGATGCAGAAGTTAAAAGTCCTTGAGGTTCACTGTAGACTACGTGTAATTGGTGCCTCACCTCACAGATACGAGCTGCTGCCTCCGAATGCTGCACAAGACCAAAGCAATTTGTTTTCCTCGCGGATTGAATCCATCACTATCTCCAATCCATCCTTTTCAGACCAAATCTTCAAATTTTTGCCTCATTCTCTAAGAAGTCTGGTCCTCGATTTTATTCCAGACTCTTGGGAGAATATGCTGCTGTCTGGAAACGATACCATGTTGGCTTATCACAAACCCGAGATGATTGTTCTGCTGTTAAAATCTCTGCCTTCATCTCGCCCAAATTTAGAGCAGCTCTGCATCAAAATGGGCTGGTGTGTTACTACAAATATGTTAGCAGGAATCTACGAGTGTTTTCCAGGTCTCCGAGCATTGGAATTGCAGGGCATCCGATACTTCAATCGCGCGGAAGAACCTGAATCGGACATGGTGATATCTTTTGTCCTTTTTGTGCACTGCCGAACTGACAAGAATCCAACTTAGGCAGGGATTGTGGCCGTCCTCGAACAGCTTGAGTTCCTTCATACCCTAAAGCTAGCAGTGGAATTTAAAGAAGACTCGTATCGAGAGGGTTTGCGTCAAGAACGGAAAATTGGATCCGTGGATGAGGCGATGCAGCACTGGGCTAACATATTTCGGAAACGAATCAAGTCTCTTCGTGACTTGGCATTCGAGAAACGACGCCATACAGGAAAAGGGTATGGGCGACGAGCTGCCATTGGGGCTCCTCTGTGGGTCTGGTTTTCATGAGAATGGAAAGACATCGAAAGTAATAGATGAGAGATTCGGTGTTCCTCCTGTACTATCTACTAGGTAGGTGTGTAGTTATGAATGAAACACAGTCACGACGAACGTGGCTTGAAATATATCGATTCTTCTTGGATCTGTACATATAGAACCGTCAGATTGATGAGGTTAAATGTCATCGTTAAATATTGAGACTAACCCATGGGGAATCATCTGGACCGTACTTTCTCGGCGGCCTCTCGAAACAGGCCAAATTGTCGACCTCCGCCATGTCCTTGAGCGGAAGCACTATTCCGAGCTCGTAGTTACGTATCTGCTCGAAATTGTTGGAGGTCGAGTTTTTGCGGGTAATACATGGTGTTTACACGTACATTCATGATAGGATTGAACGCTGATCCAGAAAGCGTCCCCCAAGCGGAAGGAGTAAAATTGTGTGAGCCTAGGTAAATCCAACCAACGTTAGCGTCGACAACCTCAACCTCTTCGCCGCTGTCGCTGTCTTCGGAATCAGTGTCTATGTTGATAACTTCTTTTTGGGGTTCCTTTGTAGCCACATTTTGAGAGATGTTGCCCACAATCATCTATCATAGATATGAGATCTACGGAGTAACGAGTCAACCGAGTTCAATGTGGGTATACCTTGGTGTGCATGAGCGTTTTACCCGCTTTGCTCCTCGAGTCGTAGAACAGTTGGCGAGGAAATTTCTTGCCCTCCCAATAAGATCGTTGGAAAAACAGGTTTCCACCTCCCTAAGAAGACATCAGGGAGGTTTATAGGCTCAAGCAAAATTGGCCTACGCGCTCCCCATGTTGACTACTCCGTACTGTCGCTAAAGTAGGAAATAACACCTTTACTTCCACAGGATATGGGAGTTTCTCTCTCCGACTTTTGGGTTTGTCTAGCCAGTCCTCCGCTGATTCACCTTTGGCTGAATGATAGAATTCGTTAATCCACTGGGTAGTGTATGATCCAATGCTGGAGCCCTGGCGTAGCTAACATGAGAGATAGCAACGGCTGGAGAAACTGTGCCCACCTGACATTCCAACTCGAGTGTTTTCTCCTTTGGCCCCTTTCCTGTTCGAAAACCCATATTGCGCACGGCTTTCATGAGCCTTACATGCCCAGTTAGGATGACATTAGGCCATCCTTCATGCTTTCCAGCAATCGAGGGGACCAAATTCACTTTCACATTAGACCAATCCCATCGTGTACATATTTGTTCCGTTGTTTTGATCGGAAGATTGGGATGCTAAAGATGATCTGTTCAAGCAGATGATTCATGGAATAATGACCATTATGCTCACATCTTGCTTTAACATAGTGGAAAGAGCTGGCATTACGTTGACAGCATCCAGTACTCGTTTCATTACAGATGGAAAAGACTCGTTGTCTTGTCTATTAAACGGTGCTTCTTTCGGCAGTGGGGGGAGATCTTGAAGCCAGACAGCCTACATGGTGATGAGAGGAAATTTACGAGTATATGATTGTGAACCTACATTTTCGATGTCCCGCCAGTCGTACGGTATGAGATTTGCGGTAGAGACGACTACCCGCAGGCGACCTGTTTTATAGAAAATCTACTGTGTACTGATTAGATTCCCTGCAATGACCGATGCATTGCAATGCATACCAGCATAAACTGTAAAACCGTCAGAGAAAAGTTAAAAGCCGGCTTTCAACAAAAGACAGCACACCTTCATGTGCATACAACCATATCCGCCCCTGAGAAAAGGCGTTGTTTTGATCCAATTTGGGAGTGCATTCTTGACACTAGCTTTTCCATTGGAATCTGGCTGAGCGACCACGATAACAGGGGAAGATGGATCAAACAAGCTGTATATCCAAGGAATATCCAGGGCAAAGGATGATAAAATAGCGAAAGAGATGTCACTTTTCTGTAAGGTACGTTGGTTGCGGAAGCTTATCCAATATAGTAGCACTCACATCGCCCAAAACTTCTGACAATCTGAAAGTAGACCTTCCATCCTTTCGAGGTTCAACGCCGAGAGTGGCAGTTGGACGCCACTCCCCGTCCCAGAAGAATGAACCCTGGATGGGACCAAGTTCGGAGCTGGAGGGGACCGTACTGGTCCGAACATTAGTTTGACCAATGTATGATACTGATGACGACGAAAGACGTTGCCTCTTGGCGTTCGGTTGTCCTAAGTCCTCCTCGTCACTAACTGCCCGGAGATCATCGTCACTGTCAGGAAGGCCTTGTGCTTTCCGAAGCCTCTTCTGACGTTCCCTTCTCTCTTTCTCCAGCTGGGCACGCTCAGATAAGAAGGTATTCGTCGATGCGGAAGGTTGTGCAACCTCTCCTCTTTGAACATTGGCTTTCGAGATTTCGATAGCATGTTGCAATTGCTGCTGAAACAAGGCTTCATCTTCGTTTAAGGTTATTGGCCCACTGCTTGATTCAGTGTGGTCCTGGAGGCTCAAGGCAATGGCTCTCGAAGATGGTGTCATTTGAAGAACGGGTAGATAGACCAAATTCACATTACCTCTCAAAGTCATTGTCATTTTCATCCATTATCAAAATTGCGGAACTGTTGTACCAGAGCTGGCTTGGTTGGCCGTCAATTCACGAAGAACACGTTCGTAACCTAAATTGAAAGGTGCGTGCAAGTCACATGATAATAATTGACTGGTTAAATTTCAAATCTGCAGTCTTGAACTTCGACAACTCTCGATTTCTTCCAGGGACAATAAAGGGACGCACTCCACCTTTCTGCGCAATGGGAGCATATTACGACGAAGTTGAAATAGAAGATATGGTCTGGGATCCGTCTCGCAAAGTATACCATTACCCATGTCCTTGTGGCGATCGATTCGAGATTACACGACAACAACTTCGGGATTGCGAAGATATTGCTACTTGTCCGAGCTGTAGCTTAATCATACGAGTGATATATGATCCGGTCAGTGCAGTCATAATAATTCTTCGTCCCCTTGCTTATTAGAAACTGTGTCGGTCACAGTTAGATTTCGAGGATGAAGATAAAAAAGAAGAAGAGCGAGAGGGAAGTGGAGAGGATACAGATAGCGATTGCTCAAGCGATGAAAACTTCGAGGATGCCATGGAAAAGCTGTCGCTCTAAATCAGGACGAAATATATATGAACCAACGCAGCACCGTATCTGAAGGTATGCGAAATTGTTCAATCACCTTCCAATTGGGCTTCGTTAGTGATATTTGTTTCAGTTTTACAATACGGTTTTCACTATCCTGCATTCAATCGACTCATAACTCATACCCTCCTCACGTGTCGCGGAAGCGGAATGCTTACTGTACAGGACAGCACCCATTGTTTTCGATGACTCCCTTCAACTACCTCGACTGCTTCGCGTCCTCGGCAATGGTTAAGGTTCCTTTTGACCACCTATTCACCTCGAACTATCCAGCGGAGGATTCTGAGATCACCGACATCCAAACTGCCCTGCTGGAGTCACGGAACCGGCTGCGTTTGTTAGAGGGAAAACTAAACGAGCTAGAGATCGAAAATGATCTGCATCCTCTTGACGAACGGGCCAATGAGCGGTATGACTCCAGAGCGCAACTTCTTTTATGTCGTGATCAACAACGCGCGCACATTACGAAGCTCCAGAGCACACTCTCATCTTTTCGACGTCTCCCTCCCGAAATTCTTTTGCTTATATTTTCCTTTGCTCTTCCCAGCTGGTGGAAAGGCGTTTCGATGGATCCCAGTTCTGTAATCTGGAGGATTAGTCAAGTTTGCGGCTTGTGGAGGGCGATTGTCTGCGAAAGCATGCCATATCTATGGTCATCGATTGAAATCGACTGCGTGGGGGCTCATGAACAAAATCTTACCAACACATTGCTCGAGCTTGCCCTGCAGCGGTCAGGATCACGTCCCCTCTCCATCAGGTTCTACTTTAGCCGTAAAGACATGTCGGGTGTATTGCCTGAAAGCGAGAAGAGGTGTTTGAAACTTCTTGCCAGCCAGTCTTTTCGTTGGGAGGCGGTGGAGCTGCAATACATCCCAATAGCAGCACTCGATAGCCTCAGTGCCACAGTAAAACACCGCATACCCCTTCTTCGCTGGCTCGTTGTCGCCAACATACCTGTGAGTCATGCTGCGGACACTCCTTCAACAGCAGAAGCATTCCAGGTCGCTCCCCAGTTGCGCCACTTTAGTCTCTCCGGATTCTTTCGACCTTCGAGATTCTACCTACCCTGGCTTCAGCTCAGCTCATATACGGGCAGTTTCCGGGACTTCAGAGATTTTTTGTTTGTCCTAGAATATGCAAAAAACCTAAATACCTGTGATGTCTTTTTGCGAAATTTTCATCCAGGCTCAAGGGTTGATCATCTGAATATGCAGACGATGCATTTACGTGGCCAACTAGTTGGTCTTTCTCGTCTTTACCTTCCCTCATTGCAGACCCTCGTGTTGGATGAACTACTCCTCCAGGATTTAAGTCCCGTGTCGACGTTTCTTCGTCGAACACCTTCCGTCGCTTCTTTGGAGGTCTACATATTTGATACGGGAGCTGAGAATTCGATAAGCCTCCTGTCGGAGGTGATGCATGCCTGCACAAATATCAATTCACTTGTACTAATGGGCGAGTATGACATACGTTCTGTGTGTTCTCTTCTGGATATATCAGAGACACCCAGTCAGGGTCGGATTCTTATGCCTCGTTTGCGGCATTTGTCGCTTTCCGTGTTGGCGACGGCGGATACGGAGGTCGCAAATATCTTGGGTTTGATGCTGGAATCTCGAAGGTATTCCACTCTGCATGACACAGACCACGAATGTGTTCTTCTTTCTTCATTGACTTTGTATTCTTTGCGGGAGCCAAGCGTTATACTTCAACGTTTAAAACCTATAGAAGAAACACTGGGCCTGAGTGTCCTCGTGAAGACTGTTTAATTAGGCTGTTACCGTCTGAATGAATCGGATTATAGTACTCTGAGCGCCTAAGTACTCCTTAGTTTGGCTGAATAGCCACCGAATGGCACTGAATAGCCTCGTTCTCCACCTCCTTCGTGTTCATCCTTTTTTGTTTCTCTTTATCGACGGCTTAACAACCTTAGACTAAACGAACATGGGTACAGAACCCAACTCAAACTCGACGATCCACGTTGACAATAATAAGACGCAGAGCTTACCTACAGTCCCGGAAGCGTCTCAAGAATGGGCGAGGTTCACAAAAGTGTCAGATGGTGTGATAAAATATCCACTCTTCCGTATTGACCCAGATGAAGGCCAAATACTCTACGAGTCCAAGAAGAAGAAGGGCATCAAGATCAGTCCGTATAACTTCTCGTCATCTCTTGTATCAGTACGCTCACATGAGTTGATTTCATAGTTCCCATCGAATCCATCAAAGAGCTTCGCTTCGACGCCGACAGCAGCTACTATCGCACCCTTTTCAAACTTCCGCCAGACGCACAATCGCGTTGGATCACCATCATATACATCAGGGAGGGTGCATACAAAGTAACACACCTCATTGCCCCGTCCGCTACCGTGTTCAAACTATGGAAAGAGTCTCTGACGAAACTGTACGCAGTTCGCCAAGGTCTTATGACAGGAAACTTTGACCATGTCCTTCGCGACGTCATCTGGGAAAAGCAATATTGGAAAACCGCGGATCATGATGGTGACCAGAAGCTGGAGTTCGAAAATGTACAGAATCTCTGCAACCGTCTAAGCTTGCATTTTTCAGAGGCGGAATTGAGGAATTTGTTTAACGTGCGTTTCTTATCGTTTTCGCCTTCCTTTACGATCATCTTATACCGTTCTCTAGGCTGCTGATGTTCACAATCGTGGATACTTGAACTACGTTGAATATCAAGAGTTGATTAAATTGCTCAAAAAAAGGCCAGAAGTTCAAACTTTGTATGAACACGTTAGCGGTGGCAAGCTGGACTTTGCCGCTTTCAAGAGCTTTATGTTGCACTCGCAGGAAGTGTGTCTTTCGAAATTGAATGTGTACATTTCTCTGATCATCCCGATTCCAGTCTAAATTAGATGACAAGGATTTAGAGACTTTATTCACGAAATACAGTGGAATAGACTATTCCAATGGCTCGACGCCACCATCCATAACTACAAAAGATTCCAACACCCGCTCATCAGATGCGATTATGACCCCAGAGGCGTTTGCTACTTTCCTTAGATCTTTAGACAACGCTGCCATACTTAACCAGAACAGTGTGGTACATCACGATATGACGCGACCTATCTCAGAATATTTCATCTCCTCATCACACAATACCTATCTCATCGGCAATCAATTGGTTGGGGTATCGACCATTGAAGGCTACATTCGCGCTCTCCTTCACAGCTGTCGGACTGTTGAATGTGAGAAGAGCTATCATCCCTTTTAGCCTATGGTTAATCTGCATGTAGTGGACATTTACGACGGTTCCGATGAACCTATGGTATACCACGGAAAAACGCTCACTTCCAAGGTTTCCGTTCGCGAAGTTTGTCACGCGATAGCCAAATATGCATTCGCATCATCACCTTATCCTGTCGTGATCTCTGCGGAACTGCACTGTGGGATACAGCAACAAGATATGATTGTGCAGATAATGAAGGATGCATTTGGGGATGCACTGATTTCCGCCCCAGTAGAGGGCAGAGCCAAGATCACCTCCTTGCCTAGCCCCGAGGATCTCAGAGGCAAAATTATGTTGAAGGTATATTCTTCCCCGACATCATTGCACGTTCTCACATTATCTTAGACAAAAAATCTCAACATATCCTCTGGCAAAGACGCCGGACTACGGGTGAAGAAAGCACCGCCCAGAACAGCACCAGTAGACGACGACAGCTCATCTTCCTCTTCTTCAACCGCTTCCTCTGCATCACACGTATCACATTCAAGTCTACTAGGGGAAATCAAAGACCTCAAATCCAAACTTGCTAGGAAAGTCCGCTCGAAATCCCGAACCAAGCATAAGGAGATGTCATTCGCCTTAGCATCATTGCTTGTGTACACCGTTGGCGTCAAATGCCGTGGAATCGGCGCCTCGGAGCACTACGAGCCCGAGCATGTATTCTCAATCTCAGAAAATTCTGCGAATAAATATCTGAGTACCAGTATGCTCGATTTGGTGAAACACACCCAATCGCATATCATAAGGATTTATCCCAAGGGTACAAGGGTAGATTCTTCAAATTACGAACCACACCTATATTGGGCGGCTGGAGCTCAGGTGGTAGCAATAAATTGGCAGACATTTGGTGAGTCTCTTCAGATATCCTTACGAAAAGGTTGTCTGTACTTATAATTCGTATCGTTTAGATCTGGGATATATGATCAACTATGCCATGTTCCAACGCAATGGACGATCTGGATATGTACTCAAGCCACTTGCCCTAAGACCCGGGAATGAGAGTCTTCTTCAGAAACCTACAAAGCACTATCTGGATCTTACTGTACGATTGATTTAGCATTTTTAGGCTTAAAATTGATGATTGTTTTCAGATCATCTCTGCACAACAACTCCCTCTTCCTAAGGATAAGTCAGGCAAAGAAATCCAGTCGATCGTAGATCCCTTTGTTGAGGTCTCTGTACATATTCCTCTTTGGACGCATTCGCCCTTCGTGGCAGATGAGGCCGAGGCCGAGGGTGCAACTTACTCACCCCCCTCAAATATCACCACTTCCCTAACCACCTCGCAAAATCCACAAAATTCACAAAAGAACTCTCAGCCTACGACCGCTCGGTCTATATCATTCAGTACTGGGTCCGTGAAGAACAACGGATTCAACCCGGTCTGGCAAGAAGAATTATGCATACCGTTCGATTGTGTCGGTGGTATGACCGATCTTATCTTTGTAAAGTTTGCGGTCAAACAGGAGAGGAAGAAATTGAAAGATGAGGCAGATGAAGAGCCGATCGCGGTTTATTGTTCTTCATTAGGTTCTCTTGAGCGCGGTCTGTCTTCCTCATTTTCTATCAGCGGGATACACACTCATAGTATATGTGAATACAGGCTTTCGATATTTGCCGTTGCATGATTCTCAGATGTCTCCTCATCTCTTTTCGACCTTATTTGTAAAGATAAAGATGCGGAATATCTAGAGTCATGGGGTGATCTGTCCCATAAAGACCTTGTTCAATTTCTGGCATTTACCATATGAAGCCAGAGTATGACCAACATAAATCTACCCACAGTCATCAAACTACTAGCTTCTTGATTATCTGTACCCACAGTTATACATGCATCAATCAATCTATCTATCATGTCATACCCCTACGATTCGCTGATTCGGCAAATGTGCATTTTTGACAAATACTTCCTTTCTCGACCCGGGCTCGACGGGTCGTATCCTGATGCTTTTGCATCCTTTGTGGATGTTCTGTGGGTGCGACCAGGTACTAACTACCATGGCGTTGGGGCAAGCTCGGTGAAAAAGGCGAGTGTTGTCCTTTGAACTTCCACCTGTTATCAAATACTGATATATGTGTACGGCGCGAAGTAGGATGAATATTAGTTCGAATTTCTCTCCCACCTTTGCATTTTTTGTTCTGCGCCTGCTTGGTTAGAAACTGAGGATCCACAGGCATTGTACATTTTCCATTCCCTTTCCTCTAACAATGATGTCGATTAGACTCAGGCTGTTTGCTATCCTTTCATTCGCGTTATATTCAATAAGATGCTCCTTCGCCATCCTACACAATGTTACTTACGATAATCTGGACCCTAGTGTAACTTACCTGCCTCAAGGTGGGGACGGCTGGGATGTAGATATCAAGGAGGGTTTCGATTATGAAGGCTCTCATGCAGTAGCCTCCGGCGACCCCGATGCTTCAGCTGTCTTCCAATTCACTGGTAATTATTCATTTCAGGCAAGTGCTCGGAAGTCACTAATCAGGGATACTACTTCTCTTCCAACGTATAGGCGTAGCAGTGTACTATTTCTCTCCGCTGTGGCCTTACAACGTTTCCACTGTGGTATCCCTCGACGGTGGAAACAATATTACTGTAAATTTGATGGATATGAGCGCTACCCCCGCAAGCGTTGGTTCTCCCCCTACAGCATCTTCTGCAGCAAGATCTGGATTCACTGGACTGTCCAATAGTTCACATACGTTGAGTATGTTCGTGTTACAAGGTCTCAACTATAGTGATCCAAATGTCAATGGGTATATTGTCGTCGATGGGTTCAAGTGTGTTCCTCCCATTACTTGTTCAAATTACGATCTCATTTCGGTCTCATGTATAGCGTGACCATTGATGATGGAGTACAAGAAGTTCAGTCGTCCGGTAGCAGCGGAAAAAATGTTGCAGCAATAGCTGGCGGTGTAGTAGGAGGCATTGTCGGTCTCGCTGCTTCGATCGCAGTATTTTTCATCTACCATCGTCGGGTCACAAGATTGCGGGCGGGCGGGAACCCATGGGAAGAGAAGGGAGTTCTGGAAGAGAACTCTGCGCCAGTCTATGGTAGATCAGGTGAAGCACCGTACACCGATTTTGGTCCCCCGACGCATCGTGATGCATCGAAATATTCTGCAGGTTCGGCAGTTGCTCTCACCCATCAGTCAATGTATTCTCAGTCTGAGGCTGGGTACACCACGGTATCAGCCGCTGCCCCGGGTGTGACCTGGGCAGCGAGCACTGATTCTGGATCTTCGTCACAAGGTAGTGGAAGCACTCCGTCGGGCTCTGTCGCAGGAAAAGACTCGACTTATTTCAGCGAAAAGCGGTTGCAGCGATTGACCGTCGCTAATGAAGAACCGCCTGCCCCTCCACCCTATGCTGCAAGGTCTGACGATCAAGGAGAACTGGAGAACGATGTCTCAATTTGATATGGACCTTAGCCTTATTTATTTCTTTTGTTCGCCTAACTATACGACTCAAATTGAAACAGGATTGACAATTGTCCAAAATATACTTGTTGACAGATCACATTCAAGTTGTATGTATATGTATTATTTCAAGCAGAGACAGGCAGAGACCAGCTTCAATGCCTTGACTTATCATAGTCATCAAGCATTCAAATACACACTCCTGCCAAATTCAGGTCCTTTTCCATTGACAGGGACGCATGTACAGTCATGAAGTGACTGGCTACCTGTGTAGGCTGATCAACAAACTCCCCGGGCAGGCTACCTGCGCGGAATTCAGACGCGAAGGTGCCGCTATGGTGCTCATGGGCATCTGAATTCATACTTGCTTGGGACCGGTGGGGCTGAGAATAAGGGTCGGCGGGATAATGGGAGAACTCTGATTGGTAATTCTGGCGGTAGTGTGAGTCCGAACGATGGCTTGCCTGGCGGGACGACTCGGATTGGTGTCGAAGAATAGTCTTTTGGAATGGAACCCCACGAGGAGCGCCGGGCAACGGGCTCCCGGACTCATCCATCTCACCGATAGCAGGAATAGAGAAGCGTCCCGGAAGTCGTTCTCTTACTGCTGCATATGCCCAATTCGAATCGTCGAAAACTGGAAGCTCAAATCCATATGGAGGAGCATCCCCGGGGTAGGCCTTCCAGCCCGCATCAGTGAACCAATCATGGGTGATTGAGCATCCTTGTAAACAGGAAAGTGTCGGATCTCGGGAGGTAACGCGTATAGCTGAAATAAGGCCAGCAGGGTTCCACCCTTCTGGGGCAACTTTGTTCTCAGCATATACTGCGAAGACAATGCGAGGACCCTGAATATCATCGACTTCGAATCGCTGAGCAGCCATGTATTGAATCCCCGATCCGACAAAACGACCGTTCACATAGAAAGAATAATAGTCATCGGCAGTAACGAGAATGGTTGCGGATGCGAGAGTGTGTTTAGGCGGGAGATTCACAGTCAACCGGAAGGCTCGGGCCCCAGGGGGCGCTCTACCATCATTGAGCTCACCGGTCCAGATCCACCTAGCAGGAGCAAAAGATAAATCGTCGCGTCCTGCGATAGCGATAGCATCAGTAGCATACTCCCTAGTAGATTTGACTGGCATCCAAGAGCTATCGTCGTATGATAGCCCGTGGAATCCTCCAGGGACGTTTGATTGTCTACGCTAGGTGGTATCAGAAACCAAAGAAGACATGGTACTATCCATGTAAGTGATTATTGCAGTGAAAAGGAAGCCGGCAGCGTTATTGACGTTCCCGTTGTTTGTAGCGTTGACGGCAAAAACATTAAGATGAGGTCGAAGGAGAACGCAGAAACTTCGAGCGTGACCCCAGCCAATCTCCGTTGCAACTGGCTCACCATTGACCCAGAGTGTAGCTGCGTCGTCCGCACCAAATGCAATCGTCGCGAAAGCTGGTTCACGTCGATCTGGGGCGATGGAATTTTTGCGAAATGCTCTACTACGGGGAGGAGCCTTTCCATCAACGCGGGCGTCCAGATCCATTGTGAATGTGCAAAGCTTAACGTTGGATGCTCGCTGAGTCGATGAGCAAGTTCTTTATCGATAGTCGGGCACGAGAGGGCGTTACTTGTAGAAGGTTCATGGCACTCTGTCGTGATGAATGAGTGACGATTGGAAGATATCAGAAAAATAGAGCATGCCATCGGGGGGAAAGGCCAGGGTAGTAATAATCGAGACAAAAAATAGACAAGCCGAAAATAACAGCATTTTGCTGCTTGCAGTAGTGTCAGAATTTGTTGTATGAGTTTAAACGAGGATTTTGAACACTGACCTTATATATCTCGGTTTGGTGGGTCAGGATGCTGCAAGCAAGAAATTTGTTCGTGGTCTGCCAGTCAATCGGTCGATATTGAGTACCCTGGCCTTCATGTTCATAGTCCCAACCTTTGGACAAGCGTCAGTGTAGTCTTGATCGACCCCAAAGAGGGATGCCAAAGTTTTATGAGCGTTATGTCCCCCGACCAGTGATCGATTCGCTGCTCGCAGTATGTATGGTCACAGAACGGAGGAGAAGCCTGCACACGTTGAGCGCCAACAAACTGGAACCAAGTTTCTATGTAACCTGACCTCATCAGAGAGCGTTCTGAGTTCTCCGACAAAGCAATTGTACCGCAAATGCTTCATTTGCCATGTCATGTCAGGTATGTAGAAGAATGTGTAGAGTCTGCGTATTTGTTCGCAGTCCGTTGGAACAGGTTTCTTCATAAGCTCGAAATGAAGTCGACGTCGGCGCTAACCTGTGGTTGGGTCAAAACAACACGCCGGAAAGATCTGTTGTTGATTCATAGCGCGCTATGTACATAGTTTCATTCAACACGTAAAGAGGCCATTATACCCTCTCGGAATATGGTCTCTAAAGGCGTTCTTGGTCCAACTGATACTACATATCCATCTGCATTCGTATGTGTGATAATTCTTCCGTCTATAGTCCATCCCGGAGAATATCGTAGTTTCTTATCGATCCGTTCCAGCAGATCTTCATACTCCACAGGCAAAGGAATTGAGAGCACGAAAGAGTTGTCACCGAAATGCAACTTTACGAACGTCGATCGGTAGTTACTCAGGTGTGAGTTTTCAGGGAGGAAATTATTCTGAATGTCAGCCAAAGCGCCGTCGTAAGTGACCGCTCGTTTTCTCTGAATTAGAACGGCTGGTGACAAGGGCCCTTGTACATCCCCCCACTCGCCTTTTCCTTGAAGCCCTTGAAGCTCGTGGTACCATTTTTGCATGCCGTCGTGATCCGGATGCAGCAACGCCACGACATGACTTTCCATGGATAAAGCAAGCTCAAAGAAAAGCTGCGGACCATTGTCTATACGCCTAGAGCTCAGAAGTTATTCAATGAACATGCTCTTACAAACCCACCTTGTACGCGCCTAAATTCAGATCTAGTGACACTTGTAATGTTATGTATAGGAATATGATCCTTGATATAAAGCGTGTCATTTCTGGAGGGCGGAATAGAAGCCGAAGACACCTTGCGTCTGCCTATCCTAGAGCTGTTAGGCGGTGGAGGTGGCAGAGTCTTATCGCAAAGAAGAAGTTCGTTCTCAAACAGAAACACATCGAAAATTTGCAAGAGGTCATTCCTGCGAGTTAGAAGACGGTCCTCTAGGATGAGCTGACCTAGGCTGTTAATGCTCAAATCCTGCCAATCCATGATCCGGGTCTTCAGCGCCTCGCAGATTTGATCTGACATGGTTTTCTTCTTTGCTTTCGAAATGATGTCCATGACTTGTTGGATACAAGCCACGCCAAGAAGTAGTTCATCGTGGTACCGGTGTTTGCGGGTCGTCAAGGTAGAAAGTAGGATGAGTTCCTAGGCAACGATTTTGACAGTGGTACGTGTCTACTGGGAAAAACGTGTACCTTCAAGAATCCGATATAATCAGATAGACGTTCTAAAGGGGCTGCAAGGAGAGAATTCACGTCCTGAGACGTAGCTTCAAAGCTGGGAATCTCCAGGAAAAAGTAAGCTTACTGTAGGGACATGACATAACGGGGACTCACCTGTAAAGACTCCATGTCAAAATCAGCTAAAGCTGGTTTAACAAGAATCCAGTTCACGCAATGGATTCTTGAATTCATGGTGATATCCATAGCCTGTGTAAGGTCTGAGTTCCAACTAACGTACTCAACGGAATGTCGACTCCACGTACATGCGATATAAACGGGGCTCCCCAATTCTGTTCCTTCCATGGAAGTTGAGCAATGCATTCAAGTTGAATGCGAAATTTGCGAGCAAACACAAACATCTTTTTTGGAAAGATTAGAGAAACAGATTCGGGATCCACCATTCCAAAAGTAGCCAGAACACTGGAAAAATTCTTGAGAATAAATGAGTGACTAGACGGTATTTCTGAGTCAATGAACACAGTGCACCTCTAATATTTCCATTTTGGCAACATGATCGCGCTCAGATGTCAACAGATTCTTTACTGTACGCTGGAAAGAACGCTGGAAAGATTCGTTGCTTTCGTATCGCATTTCGCTGCCATTGTGAGAATTCAAGGGCTTTGCAAGACCTTGAATCGTCTTTGCAGTCAAAGCCAGTTGGTCAAGTACTACTGAAACAGCATTCAACGCCTTGAGAACGACATTCATCATGGGAAAATTTGAAGGGCTTGTTGGGGGGGCATACCTTTTCAAAGCCAGCTGTTGATTCTGTGGAGGACAAGACGTCGCTGATAGTGAAATGGTCACATTGAAATGCTTGATTAGCACGCAAAGCAAATTGCGCTATAGCGAGACGTTTTGTATAATCATCATCTGGTGAAGGCGTGATATTGAGTTCAATGTGAGGGTGAATTCTGCTGGGCAAGAGATTGAACAGATAGCAGAGTGGAAGACCGGAACAAAGGAGTTTGCGAATACATGCCACAGGGTCGGATGAGTCAAATAGAGCCTCGGAATGGGTCGCAAAACCTGGCAAGGTGAGTAGCCGCGTTTGCAGGTTCAAGCATTTGGTGTATATTCTGAAATTCTTGTAAGAATTGTTTGGCTTCGTCGAAGCCGTCTTGGAATCCAACCCAGGCCCTGGATGCTTCATGTGAAATATCGATCGCGAAGTCATGCGTCGGACCTTCCGAGTGAATTCCGAGTCACTGGAAAAATATGACAACTTTCAACGCCCATGACATTGCAAAGGCAGCCAAAAGCGCCTTTCAAGAGGCTCAACTAATCCCATCTTCTGAGCGTGTAGTTGCTCTAAATGAAATTCGGAAATCTTTGGAGGCTCATAAGGCGGAAATTATTCGAGCAAACGAAGAAGATTTAAGGGTGTGTAGGCTACCACTTCACTATGATTTTGTAGATTAATCTTTATGATATGCGCTTCGTAGGAAGCAGATGTTGAAGTCAAGGCAGGAAAAATGTCAGCAACTCTGCTCAAACGACTCGATTTGAACAGGGGTGACAAATGGGACTCAATGTTGCAAGGAATCCTCGACGTTGCAGCTCTTCCAGACCCCACTGGAAATGTCTCGTATGCTTCAGAACTTGACGATGATCTGGAACTTTATCGTGTTGCCTGTCCGATTGGCGTTCTTCTTGTCATTTTTGAGGCGAGACCAGAGGTCGTGGTTAATATAGCGTCTTTGGCGATAAAATCAGGTAAGTGCCTTTTCTTCTGTTGATATCCGTTCCTTCATCCCGACAGTCAGGTAATGCCGCAATCCTAAAGGGTGGGAAGGAGTCCAATCGCACTACAACACTGTTAGCGAAAGCTATATCTGCTGGTCTTTTGAAAACCGCAATCCCTGAATCGTATATCCAAGCGATTCAGACGCGCGCGGAAGTATCCTCGCTACTTGAGCTTGATCAATATATTGATCTAGTCATTCCTCGAGGTAGCAATAGCCTAGTGAGGAACATCCAAAACAACACCCGAATTCCGGTTATGGGACATGCAGATGGACTGTGCTCGGTCTTCGTCGATGAGCACGCCGACGTGACGAAGGCGGTTCGAGTAGTTCTCGATTCCAAGGTAGGGATTGTGATTGATCATCAAGCTTAAACTCATAATACACAGATAGACTATCCTGCGGCATGCAACGCGTCAGAAACGCTCATTCTACACGAATCCGTCGTATATACCATTTGGCCTACTGTGGCAGAAGCACTGCTGAAGGCAAATGTCAAGCTTTTATGCGATTCTGTCAGTCTTGACGCTTTGAAGCAACTTTCTCCGAAACCTTCGAATTTCGAATCTCTTGTCTCTCCCTCGACGCCATCTTCTTACGACACGGAGCATCTTGATCTAATCCTCTCGGTCATTGTCCTTCCATCCATACAATCCGCTATCCAATTCATCAATTCACATTCGTCTCATCACACCGACTCCATTGTCACAGAATCAGACGTTGCTGCGTCTACGTTCTGCCGTGGTGTCGATTCAGCAGGGACATATGTAAATGCCAGCACTCGTTTTGCCGATGGGTTCCGATATGGGTTTGGAACGGAAGTCGGAATCAGTACCGGTAGAATTCATGCTCGTGGCCCTGTTGGGTTGGATGGACTGGTCACGTATAAATACATGATGAAGAGCAAGGCTCCTTCGGGACACATTGTTGGAGAATTTGGAACAGGGAAGAAACAGTACAAACACAAACCACTGAGTGTGGCGACTGTTCCTTTCTTGGAGTGATTACTTGGTGTTGGTCAACGACTGGCAGTAGAGGAGAGGGAGATGGCAAAACTTGAGTTTTTTCATAGCGCATTGTGTATGACCATGTACAGGGTATATCATATTTTGCTTAACACGATCACAGTAGAGCTAAAACAAGTTCATAGGATGTTAAAGTAACTCAGGCTCTACTTGACGTAAGTGAAAAATAGGATATTCGGGGGATATCCGTGCATCATGTCTTTGACCTTGTTCGCATCGCTCGTGTCCTAGAACCTGTGCGCAATGCAGTCTCCGGCTCCGTTGTAACTTCTTCCTTAATTTTCAGCGTGGGAGCTTTACGTGGTCTACCTATTCTCGTTCTTGTCACCACAGGTTGGTCTTCACTTGCAGATGTTTGTGCGTTCTCCTTGTTGACATCTGTTTCTATAGCCGGCTCGGGTGCAGCAATCTTTTTGGAGCGTCCTCTTGTTCCTGGAGTGACAGAAGGATGTGAGGTGTCTGAGGAAACCACTATTTTTTTGCTACGAGCGGTAGTCCTCGTTGTTGGCAACTCATCAACCTCTTCTTCCTTGATGACTTCCGGAACAATTGCAGCCTTCGGACGCCTCCCTCGTTTAGTCTTGGCCATTGCTACTTCTTCATCGTTCGTGTCATCAGTCTCAGCTTCTGATACTGGCGTCTTGCCTCTCGCTCGCGTGGTACGGGCTAGAGGCTTCTTCGCAACTCCCTTGGAAGACGAATCCGTGTCAGATTCTTCCCCCCGTGTCCGGCCTCCTACCGCGGTGCGTGTGCGCTTGGTAGGAGCTGGACCTTCATCCTCACTTGTGCGAGTATCAGGTTCTGCAGAAGCTTTCCGCGTGGATCGACGTAGTGGCAAGGGTGTGTTGGTGGCGGCAATATCCTTTTCACTGATTTCTTCTGATGAGGTGACAGCTGCCTGAGCACTAGGAGGCTTGGAGCGCGAGCGCGACCGGCCACGACCGGTCGTGGCTTGAGGTTTCAACGACTGGGCATCTTCGGATTGCTCGTTTCTACCATCGGTTTCCCTACGGACGTCTTGGGAAGGAGCCTTAACAGGTAGTTCTGTGTCATGAATCTCGACAGTCTTCATCAAGGAAGATGTCGAAGAGGTCGTCATTATTGTTTCGAGCAGTGGTTTTGAGGATTTCTGCAGAGAGTCCTTGTTAACGGATTAATCAAAATATATAAAGTACAACCGACTTTTACCTGTGAAAGTTCATTGTCGGCGACAGAAGGTGATTTCCCAATTCCTCTCAGGACTTTGCCTCGTTTTCTAGAGCTTTGTTCGGATTCGTTGTCACTTTCTTGGTCCTCTTTCCTCCCAAATACATCAGGTGAAGCCTCATCATCTGCTAACGAAGGTGTGTCAACGAGGTTTTCTCTAACATCTTTTTTGGGAGCGGTTCGGGTCTTGAGGGGGGAGATTGTGACTACAGGCGAGCCACCGAACGCGTCCCGACCCACGTCAATCATTTGAACGTCATCGCCATCGCTATAACTTGTCGAGGAGCCAGGATCAGCGGGTGGAGCGACAACAGGCGTTGATAGAACTGCTGCTTCGTTTTCGAAGATAGTTGGTGAGAGTCGGACGGGCAATTTCGCGGGTGAACGTAACAACGAAAATTCCTCTGCATCAATCTTAGTGTCACCAAAACGCCGCTTCTGGGGGGAGGATAAGGACGCCCTTCTCTCCGCCTTCATGCCTTCCACAGTCTCTTTCATTTTTTCTAAGAGGCTTCGGGTGTCGAGTTGATCATCCATGTTATTTGCTGCGTGAGACAGTCTCCCGGTTCTTATCGGTGTCGGGCCAATGGTCTTCGTAGGTGACATGCCTGGAATACCACCAGAGAAAAAGTTATCAGGCGTACGTAAGGCAGATCTGCGCCGTTCTTGAATAGCTCGTCGCTCTACTTCTGAAAGTTGATTCATTCTAGGAGTGTGTTCACGATTTGCATCAAGACCATGAGATGGCCTGGTAGGGGAAGAAGGTGGGGATGGAACGACAAGGTCTTGTACTTTCCATGGTTGTTCCTCTACCTTAATTCTACGGGGTTCTCCTCCACCGAGTGACATTCTAGAACGATTCGGCAAAGCAGAAGAGGAAGGACTCAAACTAAACCGAGGGTTCGCCGATGTCTGACGTTGAGGTTGAGGGGTGTTGAAAAGTCGACGAGAAGGGGGAGCAAGTAGCGAGGCATCTAAACGAGGGTAGAGAGGGGCCGGATTTTCTGTAGCTTCTGTCTCATCCTCGTCTTTTACATCTGCTTCTGCATTTTCGCATGTAACATCAACATTTCCCGTTTTGTCGGTTGTTGCGGTATCTTCGGAATCAACGTCCATAAGATCTTCAGGAAGAGGTGATACGCTTTCTTCGTCTTTAGTAAGAGTCTTTGTGGGAGAAGTAGAGCGGCGGAAAGGCCAAATTCGCTCCAGACTGGCCTTCCAAGTTGGTGATGTTCCTTCCTTTCGATCCTCCTTTTCTACCACTACCCTCTCATTGTTATTCTCTGATTGAGGGTTCTCAGTTTCATCTTCTTGATCATCTTCCCCCAGAACGGTGCCGAAGACTTCGGCCTCTTCCTCTTGTTCTTCGAGTTCTTCTTCGCGATGTAATTCAGCCATTACCATACGCTGAGCACTTCGAATTAGCACGGCTTTGTGCAGGGTGGGTCGAGATCTGCGAGGTGTCATCGGTGGCTGGGGTGGCAAAAGGAGGGGAGGAGGAGCTGGGATGTATCGGGATTTCGTTGGGGACTTGCTCGGGTTCCTGCGAATAACTGGAATTGGCGAAGTGGATTCGACAACTGGAGGGACCTCCACGTCCTCCAGAATAACAAGATCTTTGGCCTCTTCGACCACACGAGGGCTATTTCCTTCTACAAGAATAATTTCTTCTTCCTCGGCTGCATCCTGTTTATCCTCGGTCGCGGAGTCAGAAGTGATTTGAGTGGGAAACAGCGATCGCGAATGCGGGGCGGATATGTGAGGAGAGGATGTTCGAGACCGAATAGAATATGGTTTAAGCGGGCTTTGCAAAACGCGCAGGTTATCCATCGCGTTGGTAGATGGTCGAGGAGAAAAGACTTCTGCAGATTCGATCATGGAGAGACGGAGGGCGCGTCTTTTCGGAACTAAATAGTCATCAAAGTCAACAAAAGATATAGAGGGCCGTGAAATGACTGCTGACGCGTTGGAGTGGACAGTAGTTGTGCCCGGAGCTCCTTGGGTGGATAGGTGAACCTGAACCGCTTGCCATGTATTTCGACTTCTGAGTTATTGGTTAGGGGTATTGTATTCGGAGAGAACGGGGAAGCACTGGGGAAGACTCTACATCCATCAACAAGTAGTCCTTGTGATCCCAGAACAACAAGGAAGGCCTGGGCATCAAGACTCGTGAGATCGATATTCTTAAAGGCACAAAATGACACTTACCTTTCGTTCCTTGAAAGTGATCTTGCAGTGTATGGAGCTCACATCTGGATAGTAGAGTCGAACCCCACAATTTTGATCTCGACCAAAAGTGAGGTTGTCAGAATCAATGCCAAAAGCTGTCACAACACTATTGGATTCATCCTGTTTCATGAGAGACATCGTTCCATATCTGCCAATTTGGCTACTCTCCCCAATAGGAGAAGACGGAGAGTTCATTTTGGAAGATAGAATAGAGGTCGATGTTGTGGTTGTGTTTGAAGGTGTTTTCAACATTGGCCACACATGATCGCGTGGCTTACATCATCTGCATTGACTGGGGAGGTAAAAATATTGCGATATACTGTACATATAATTATAACGAAGTAGCGCCGGTGAACAGCAGGGCCCGCTACCAGTCAATGTGTGTCTGTGTGAGCACTAAGTACAAGATGGACTGAACGCAGATGCAGGGATGAGTAGTAAGAGCTAGTAAGAGGTAGTGTTTGTAGAGGTCTGTAGTACTACAATGGGACCACACCTTGATTGGTGATGGCTAATGTACTTGTATTGTAGATAGAAAAAGCGGCGCGCATGGGGCGCGCCACATGTAGATGCATCTGCCCAACCCAGAGTCTCCAGCTGTCTCCAGCAGTAGTACTGCAGTAGTATAATCAACTTGAAAAGTGAATGACCAAAAAAAACTGGGTCTACTAAACCCTTCAACCTCTAAAGAGGTAGTGGGAATTATTCACTGGAAGTGATAGTTTTTACTGTAAGACGAAGGTTGTCAAGAGAGAAACACCCAGTTTTTGTCACCAGAAGATGATGGTTGTCGAGAGCGAGCACAAGAAGTGACTAATCAACTGACAGTAAAAAGATCGCTAAAAGGGGATATATTACTAAAAATGATGACTAGGATGGATATATTACTAAAAATGATGACTAGGATGGATAATTTGGAAAAATTAGGGTCTACTAAACCCTTCAACCTCTAAAGAGGTGGCGGGAATAAGATACGATTACTGGTCCTTCTTGTGCAGGGTACTGGAAATGCCAATTATCACACTTTTAGGAGCACTGGAACTGAACGATATGATTTGTAAGCCAGGAAGAAGAGGAGGTGGGTGATATTCGCTGTCCTCTTTGGTAATGGATTCGTCTGCTGTCACATTTACAGTCATCCAGCCGTGCTTCTGTAAATCCTCTAAGAAGGATGTGTAATCCTCATCGAAAGTGGTCAGAGCTTCTTGTATCAAGGTTTTCATCCCAATTTTTCCTGTCTTCATAGAAGAAAAAAGTCGGGTTATTTCGCAAGCAAGGATCCAAGCATGTAACTGATCCGCCAAATTATAGCCATGCTTTAGGAGGATATGGAAAGAGGGTTTTGTCCCAAGATGCAAAGAGCTTTTTTTGTCCAAGCAGAGAACATAGCGTTTATGCCGAAAGATTTCCATGATGTCAGGGTCAAGGCTACAGGTCGTAAGGCTCGAGCCCATATCGCAGTGTCCGATGACAGTTCCAGAGGAAAGGCTTAGAATGGTATTTGAATGCGCAAGGATATGCTCTAAGGATGCAAGGTGGGTGGGGGTATTAATGAAGCCAGGTTTGGACTTGAATGCCATCCAGGCCAAGCATGCACGTTGCCGGTTTAGAGATCTAAAGATGACGCCACGAACTCCAATATAATTAATGAGGAGATGAAGAAACACCATGATGAAGAGGACTGTATATGTCGACCAGGGAGTAGTGAGATATGGCACGGTTATGGTTCCGATCTGAGAAACACATCAATGACTCCGGAAGTTCAAAGAAACTACGTCTCACCAGCATACCCAACAGAGCAAGAACCGTCTCTTTACTAGAATCTTTGGCATTCAGATCCCCAACATCCCCAGTGCCTTCTAAAGGAGTTGCAAAATGCATCGTAATAGCCGTTTTTGAACCACCGGCAGCAATGCCGCATAGAGCGCGCATTGAGGCGCTGAAGCAGAGTGTGTATACACGTAAAGGGACTGTAGGAGGAAGGAATGGTATTACTGCCACAAATGTTGGAACGTGTGCATCATATAGAGAAGCGAGGAGGGGTGAAAGCGTGTCGATCACGATCGCAGCATCGTTGAGGAGATCAGCAAGAAAACGGTATGTTTTGGCTTCAGGGAACAAAGAAGATCCGAAAAAGAAGGCTGCTATGATGGCTGAAAATGAAGGAATTTAGCCACGGTGAACCTGATTTTCCACATCGTACCAACTTGTCAGTCTGTTGGAAATATCCTGTAGGACGGTGAGCAGTAGAGCGTTCGTGGAGGATGCAGATGCATTTCCGACTCCGTAACCTGGTGAAAATAAGATGAAGGGAAATCCGTTTTTGGAAAGAACCACCTCACCTTCCAGTGTTGCTCTTGATGATAACAAGCTCGCTAATGAACTGCAGAAAGCTTGAGCCGCGTTCAAAATTTGATAGCTAAGCTCAGATAGAGTTCGTAGGTGGAATGGACCAGTAAAATTGTGTTGAGTACACGTACCGAAGGTAGTCTGAATTTAACAGTTTTAGAATCGACTAATGTTGGAGAGGTAAGGCAGGAACACACCGGGAGAAACACTACGTGGATAACCAGCTGGCAGGAACACCTTTGTAATGAAACTTAGGAACGATGCTCGAGAAGTGTTGCCTTCTATGTTTGCGTCGAACACCACTTGTCCAATCTTGAACCACGGTCAGTCTTGGTGATCATAAAAGCGGATAGGATAGCGACCGTCGAAGGTTTTATTCTTATTCGAAAGACGTGCCCAGCTTCATCTCTTTCGGTGACCTCCATATTAATATTGAGAGCAGTTCAGTGATGACACCGTACACGTTCAAGTTGAATGAACGGAATTCTCACGTTTACCAAGTCATCTCAAACCTTCTCGAATACTTGTGAGATGGGGACAGCCGCAAGACGTGATATTTATCAGACGCTATGCTATGCTATGAAGTGTAGAAGAGTTCATGAAGCCCCCGCATCCAACTTTAACTTCTTTTCCGACCCCGAATCCTCCCCGTCATTCGCTTTTCGCTTCGCAGACGATCCATCGGTAGTCGGCGCTTTCTTCTTTCGAACCATATTCGTCAAGTCGTTGACAACAGCAGCAGGTACCAATGGGGAGGATTTAGACGCAAGCTCTTTGTCTAAGGCTTGTGCCGCCAGAGCAGGAGCACTTCCCGCTAACGTTTCATTCGGGGCCATTTTAAGCTCTTCAATCTGACCGAAAACGCATCATTCACAGATAAGGGGAAAAATAAGAGTAGCAAATATTCTATGCTTACCCTCAAAGCGAGCTCTTCCTTCAACTCAGCAAGTTCTTTGAGTTCACCCTCTATTTGTGTTGCTGACATATTTTGAACCGCATCGCTATTGATTCCAGCTACGGCCGAGGCCTTTCCTTTACCTTTACCTTTAGGATCTGGTTTCACGTCCTTCACCAAAGATGAAGGGTGCTCTTTCGCCAGTTTAAGCTCCCTTAAACGGCTTTCGATACTTTGGAGAGCTTGATCCGCGTGCTTAATAGAATCCGAAAGACGGCCAGGTGTTAAATCGAGCACGATACTGAGTTTATAATGTGCTTCCGCTATTTGACGAGATGACAAAGGGAGAAGTTTGCTCTTTAGTGTTAATCCGACCTCATAATCGGTAATGCCTTGATCGAATTTTTCTGGCATCGTCTTGTCCGTCGATGAATGTCTTTTGTGATGCATTTGACACGTACCTGTCTCCAACGACACGTCTCCAAGTGCTATATAACAGTCTGCAAGTTTTAGAGCCACATCTTCATTGCTCGTATCCGCATCGTGCTGTTTATCATAAATCGCCCTCGCTAGATCAAGAACCTCCCAAGCCGCATTGAAGTCATCCTCAGGCTCTGCGTCCTCATCGTCATTGTCGTCTTCTTCTCCGGCTGCCGCGTCTGCTTCCGCTACCTCTTTAGCTGCCTCAGCAAAAAGGTCCACTGCACTATCTTCTGCACCTTCTTCAGCATCGCCTGAAAAGGATAGAATGGGACCATTGCTACTGGAGCCTGTTAAACAAGGTAACTTGAATCAAAGAAGCCACACAATGACTAGAGACTGGGCGTACCTTTGTCGTCTTCCGCACCTTCTTCCTCCGGCTGATCTTTACCAAGAACAGAAGTCTGCGAGATAGCGTTTTCTAAAAGTGACTTTCCGTATGCGAAGTACAAATCCGCGATTTCGGGGGAATCTTCGCCTAATGTTCGAGAACTAGATATGAGACGCGCCGTAGCTGATGTTAGAGAGGTAATATGAGATTAAAGAAAAAGCGCGACGTGCAGGTGCTCTAGAGCAGTGGCATAATAATCCACCGCTTGCTCATACTTTTTGAGCGCGAAAGCGCGTTTGGCGTGTTCAATGGCGTTGTCAGGTGTAATATCGGGTACAGGAGAGTCTCTTTTGGTGTATCCTGTGTTTGAGGAACTTTTGAACGCGAAAGTCAGAGTCTGGATTGTGGGAAAGGACGGAACTGGACGCACGACATGATGAGTGGTGCACAGGCGATAAAAGTTAAAAACAAAAGGAGCTGGCCATGGACGCGATCAAAAAGGTCACGAGTGATGAATCGGGCCGCCTCCCATCGCTTTCCGTCGGAAACAAAATTTAAATACTACATAAGTAGGGACAGCACGACTGTCTATACCTTCATCGATTTACTGACTACAGAATAACTTACATAGTACATGGCGGGTATGTATATGGATGGTATCATTATCATCGAGCTCCTCAATATTTTTCTCTCGTATATCTTGTATGTCTACCTCTTATTGGTGCTTTATGTGCCCCAGATGTGCCCACATGTTTACAGAGTTCCTTATCAATTTGTGGGTTTTTCGAGAGGTTTGTTTGGGGTTAGCCTATATATGTCCATCATGTCATGTCAAAATTTTGATTCGATTGAGGTCGTTTTTGAGTATATACAAAAGGTGGATGTCCCCCGCGGAACAACACAATGGCCCCCTCAACCTCTGGTGCTCTGCTACTGGCGACTTTGGCTCTTACTACAATACTTGGTAGGGCCCAGAGCAATTCAACCCTTCCTGTATGCGCGGAATCGTGTGCGGTAAGTTACTGCTGGTCAGGTAACATATGAAGGCTTGTACTAATGACACGGACAAGGTGGTAGTTGGTGCGGAGGTAGCTTGCAATGTGTATGTGGATCCAAAGCTCCTACATAATATACTCGCTGACCTATCCGATGTCTGCAGTGATGATGGATCCTGCTGTACCAATTCTGCCTTCATTGCGGATGTCGAATATTGTGTGAACCTTGATTGCACGACTACTGAACAGCAAGAAGCAACCTCGTATTTTGATTCGTTTTGCGGAGGTACACAGATTTGGTCTTCGCCTTGATCAGCCTTGATCCTTTGTCCTAAAATCCAGCCCTTCAGTTTCTTCGACTTCTGGTACCTCTCCAGTATCAGGCTCGACATCGGCTACTGCGACAACAGCCAAAACTACTGCTGCTGCCTTTTCCCTGACATCTGCAGCAGCTTCTGCCACAACTTCTTCATCTGGTTCGGGACTTTCTGGTTTTAACGGTAGCTTGGGATGCGTTGTGACACCAAACGACTTGATAAAGATCGTCGTTGCTGTTGTAATTGGGGTAGCTGCCACGTCCCAGCTTTAATTCTCTTTTCATCACTGCTACATACTGTACATACATACCTACAAGGCGGCTGCGGCATACGTTATTTTTATTTACAAAATTCAAATGCCCAACCGGACCGTGGCTTTGATTCCATCACTGTGATCTGGTCACAACTCCGGCCGAGGTTGAACCATCGGGTTTGAACGTTTGAACCGTCATACATCCCTAGACTCATAGACTGAGGTAACGTCGACTTCACGCCTTTGGCGTCTTGCTCGTGCTTCGAACAATTCGTCGTTTGTTGCTTCGTATAACAAAACAAACATCCTCTCTTTTCCGGACAATATTTACAGAACACTGACAACTTTCTTCGGCCATGTCGAGTTACGACAAAGTGGTCAAGATGGCTTGTAAGCCGAAAGCAGCACCTCCAAAAGCCAAGGTGAGCTGCTATCTATGATGCTCTGGCTGATTCTTACAGTGCTTCTAAGTATCTGGACCCAATCATCGCTGCAACTTGGTCGGACGACGGTGCTGTTCATGATGTTTGTAAGGCCTTGTCGCCGAGATTCAGAGAACCAAACTCAGTGGTATGTGTCTATAGCTCATGCAAACGGTGACTATGCTTACATCCACCTTCTCTCAGGTCGTGTTCAAAGCTTTGATTGTACTGCATACGATGATTCGTAACGGCGCGACGGACAATGTTCTATCTTATCTATCTTCTTCAGAGGTTCTCCGACTTCAGAATGTATCAGCAGGAAACTGGGAAGGTGCGCCAAGGGATTATCCAAAGGTGATGAGCTTCTCACTCTATCTTTCAGGCTATGCTGCTCCTCAAAATCTCCAAAACTACGCTGTGTATCTCGACTCGAGAATTCGTGCATACCGAGATTTGAAGCACGACGCAATCCGAGTGCAAGCCGAGTCTAATCGGGATATGCGAAACTCGGCTTCTGTGGAAGAGGATAACTATGCTCGGGGAAAGAAAAAGGATATTTCAGCTTCAGGGCCTCAACGAAGTAAGACGATTATGGGTAGGAAGCTGCGAGTGATGACTGTTGAGAAGGGATTGTTGAGGGAAACAAAGGCTGTTCATAGGATGATCGATTCCCTTGTGGAATGCAAGGTACGTCTTTTTGTCAATCACGTTGATGATTTGACTGACGGTTCAATCAGTTCTACCTAGACGACTTGGAAGACGAACTCACTACTACCGCTCTACGAATGCTTGTCAAGGATCTTCTCATACTCTTCCAGGCCGGGAACGAAGGTGTCATCAACGTCCTAGGTGTGTTTAATGATCTGGCACCTTCCAAGCTTGACTGATGGTAATTGGATCACTAGAACATTATTTCGAGATGTCGCATGTTGATGCAGAACAGGCCCTCGCTCTTTATAGGCATTTTTGCAAACAAACTGAAAGGGTCGTAGAGTATCTCGGCGTAGCCAAAAAATTGCAGAACATTCTCAATGTTCCGATACCCAATTTGAAACACGTCTGTATTTCCACCCACCCAAACATTTCACTTCCCCTCTGATGTATCTTCGTGTCAGGCCCCCGTTTCCCTGGCCGGTGCGCTCGATGAATACCTCAGTGACCCCAACTTTGAACAGAATCGCATCGAATATAAGACGAACAAGGAAGCGGCACAAAGAGGACGGGGTACTGGTTCTACATCTAGTAAGCCTGGTAAAGGTAAACTTATATCTGAGCCACGACATACATGATATTCAATGTGTCTTCTAGCTTCCTCTCCAGCGCCACCGTTGCCTCTCAGTACCCCATCCCAGGCCACTCCAACAACGTCACCAACACCCGCGAATACTCAAATGGAGCCAAATAAGGCTGTTGCCGACTTCTTCTCAGGAATCGAAGAGGAACAGTCAAGTCTCTTCAATCCCCAAACCAACAGGTATATTCCATTATGGTCATCATTCAATTGCAAATTCTGATTTTGTCGACATACTTAGTCCAAGCACTGCTTATTTCCAACAGCAAGGAGCTGCCAACCCATTTACACAAATGGGTATGGCCCCCCAGTTTGGACAGCCTCAAATGCAAGTTCAACCTACAGGAGTCGTTGCGCCACAACAAGTTTCCTTCCAACAAGTCCCAAATCCGTTCGGAATGATGCAGCAACAATCACAGCCTCCGTCTCACCTGCGCTTGCAACCTCAGGCCACTGGACATCGCCCATTCTCGTCTTTCCTTCCTCAGCAAGCTACTGGGATGCCGCAACAACAAAACAGCTTCTTACAGCCGCAAGCAACGGGTGCGAATCCCTTCCGTCAAAGTATGCTATTGCCGCAGACCACTGGGATGGCTATGTTTGGTGTTGGTGGTATGCAACAACAACCCCATCTCTTTCCACAACAGCAATTGCAACCTGCATCTTCCGGGACTCTGAATGGAGCTCCTAATGGTCTCTCAGCTGTGAATGGTCTTCCCAGTGCACAGAGTTCATCCTCGCTCGGATCTTCGTCGTTTTCTTCTTCTTTTATGTCAGCAGGCCCCTTCTCTCAGCAGTCCTCGCCTTCACCGATAAACGTTCCTGCGCGTCCTGCATCAACACCATTGACAGCTTTTGGTTCGACACAAAGTTCCAGTGCCACATCGCCACCACCAGCCCAGCCAGTCAAAACTCATCAGACTGGAACGAGAAATCCGTTCGGGCCTATTTCGACTCCTCCTCCACCTGTTCCCAAACAACCCTCGCTGATGGAATTAGCACTGGGGATGGGTGGTCAAAATGGGAACATGTCTGTCCAACAACAACAATCATCGCAGCAGCAGATAGTGCAAGGTGCGCCACAACTTCCACAACAAACAGGATTTGGAAGTTTTTCGTTCAATCTGAGTGCGCTCAGTCCTGGGGTGTCCGACATGTCCAGTGTTGCGTCTTCCTTTTCTTCTAGAAAACCGGATAGCACTGCGACGTCAGGCCAAGCCTCTTCGTCTTCAGGACCTTTCAACGCCCTGAACTCCCAGAACACCTCGACGACAACGACAGGATCCACTTTCTCCGACTCTTTATTCTCTTCCTCCTTGTCATCTCAACCAACAGGCGCCACGAATTACTCTTCTCCGCCTTCCATCTCCTTTTCCTCTGCAGCGCCGCTGAGGAGTCAGACCACTGGGTTTAATGGACTCAAACCATTCAAGCCATCGTCATCATTCGGTGCATCGTTGCTAGAATCTTTGCCATCTATTCCAGGATCCTCCCCTGCTACACCTGCAGTCACCGGGACTCCGTCGATGTCGCCTCAAGGCCGCAATACTTCCGGTTCTGCTAATGGTCTACCCAGCGGGACTTTCGGCAGTCAACCTACAGGACTTGGTCAATCGTCTACGCTTGGTTCAACTGGAATAGGATCCACCCTGGGTCAAGGCCTACGGCCACAGATGACTGGAGGAGGGGCGAACCCTTTCCGCGCTTCTATGTTCAGCACGATGCCGAATGGGGCCAATGTGCTTTCTATGCCTACAGGCATCGGGGGTGTGGGTAGTACTGGAGGAATGCCAAATTCGACATTGATGGGGGGAAGTATGTTTGGATCGTCGTTCCAAAACGGCAATCCTCAACAGCAGCAACAACACCACCAGCAAGGGACATCACTTATTTGAGGAATACTTAACACCAGGTATACCTGTTCTCATTACTATACGTCTACGATATCTTTTTCCTTTACGCTCCCTGAATCAATTTGGAATACTCATTCTACAACGAAGATCGTTTTCTTATCCTTCCCTTTTTGGTTTCCTATTTGGCTTTCACGCTTTCAGTATCCCATCCATTCCTTCATCTTTCTCCTCTGCACTTCCTACAGTAAAATCTTTTAGGGACATTTCAGTGCCTTTGTACCAATGTCTGTAGCTACTTATCATAATTCTACCATCGGGGTGGTGCTACCTATCTGTGCGCAGATAATGAAGGTGAGTGTTCTGAGTGTTTATGTGCAAATTCGATATCCTACTGTTTCTTTTCACGCGCATTGCTAACCGCATACTAAATTACACACTAGAAATACATATTCAACGACACAATGTAAGATATGTAGAGCTTGTATATCTGGATCTAAATTGTCCCTAGCCCAAAACGTGGTTATATAAAGGAAAGGTATCATCTTGTAAAGGTCGAGATGCAAGTCCCTGACACGTACGTCTAACCCAGCAAATCTTCTTCCTCTTCTTCATCAAAGCCAGCCTCCCAGCCTCTCGAGCGTTCAACTGCACGTTGCCAGTTTGTCCACTTCTTCTCACGGATGCTAGCAGCCATCTCGGGTTTGAAAGTGCGGGTTCCTTTTGTGTTGACCTCCGACAAGCTTTCGGGTTTAGTGAGATCCCAACCGAACAACCCAATCGCAGAGCCGGCCAGGAGTGCAGAACCAAGAGCAGTAGATCTATACACAGTGAGATAAAGGACCAATGACGGTAATAACAAGAGAAACGTACTCCCTCATTTCTGGTCGGATAACCTCAGTACCGTTTAGGTCAGCTAGAATGCTCATAGCTAAGTCGCCGTTGGTCATTCCGCCATCGACTTTAAGATTCGCCACATCCTTGCCAGAATCTAGGACCATACTCTCGATGATAGCCCGCGTCTGAAAAGCGGTGGCTTCCAAAGTAGCGCGTGCGATATGCGAAGGATTGGTGTACTGGGTGATACCTGGAGTATGTTCGTCATATACGGCTAATGCATTTGTTGAAAGAGATAGAATACACTCACCAATCAGCAAGCCGGTCGCAGATGAGTCCCAGTAGGGTGCAAGGAGACCAGAGAATGCAGTGACAAAGTAGACACCACCACTGGTTGGTTCTTGGGCTGCCAAGTCATTCACTTGTGCAGAACTAGAGATCATACGCATCGAATCCTTTAACCACGTGATAGCACTTCCGGCAGATGAAACTGGATACTGTAAGTATACATTAACAGCGCCCAGAGAAGATACTTACTACTTCCTTCCAGGGCGAAAACAGGTTTGCTGTTGGGTCCCGGTTGAAAAGCCACAGTACTGAGTAATCCATGACTGCTCTTGACGATTTCGTTCCCGGTACAAAAAAGAAGGAATGCACCGGTGCCATATGTGCATTTGGCTTCACCCTTGGATAAACATTTATTTCCGATTAGAGCAGCTTGTTGATCGCCAACCAACCCGCCAATTGGTACACCGGCTAGTGGACCAGCAGCAATATGGCCATACGTCTGAGAAGTAGAAACAACGTCGCCAACGATGGATTGACGAAGACCAAAGAATTTGAACAGCATTGGGTCCCAGTTTAATGTCGTTGTGTTGAATAAGAGCGTACGTGCTGCATTGGACATCTCAGAGACGTGCAAACCTTGCTTCACACCACCGACCAAGTTCTGCGATAGTTCAAGTATTTGGAAACATAAAAATCGAATGAGAACACACGTAGACAAGCCATGATTCTAAAGTGCCAAAGCACATGTCATCATTTGCATGGGCTTGGGCAACTTCCGGGTAGTTATCGATCATCCAGCGAACTTTAGTAGCAGAAAAATATGTCGATAATGGAAGGCCAGAACTAAAGGCAAGGATGAACATAATGATCGACACAGAGTGAAACTACGTACATTTCCCGCAACGCATCAATACCTTCCTGACCCTGCTTCCATACGCCGGGTGTAACTTCAATCCCCTTGGTCTGAAGGACATGTTCATAGTGAGCTACGAGATTTTTCGTTCTTGAGTCGTCCCAAACAATAGCATTACAAAGGGGTTTGCCAGTTTTGCGACTCCAGACGAAAGCAGTTTCTCTTTGATTTGTTATGCCTAAAGAAGAATATTGAGCGCCGTATGATGAATACTGACGCCCGACCAACCGATGACCTTTACACTGTCCTTCGTGAAGCCCGAGGCAACTAGAGAGCTAATAGTTTGTTCTATGCAAGCTTCGGCATGAGCTTGTATTTCTAAGGGATTTTGCTCATGCCACCTAAGGATAAGTGGGGTAAAGGGCATTTATCAGTGCGGGGAAATGCGGGGCGTGAGCTTGGCGACGTACCCTGGATTAGGGTAGTATTGGGGAAATTCAAGTTGATGCTGAGCGACTATTTGAGCGTACTTGTCGAAGATGATGAACCGAACCGAACTATAGACGACAACGTGTAAACACAGACATGGCCAGTAAGCAATACATGAAATATCCAGCCTACGTAGTACCACAGTCTAAAGAGCCCACAAATTCACCCTTCTTAAGTGACATGACAATAGATACAGGAAACTCGCAGAAAAGACAGGAAATTGACTGTGGTGATGAGTGTGAGGAGTAGGGAGGAGTAACTGTGGATCCGAAACGGATAAGCCCTTTAAAGTGACATCGAATTTGTGCAAATTTGTTAACGGACGGTTAGCGACGGCAAAAACTGCGGGCCGAGAATATCCACCTGGTATCAACCAATCAAAGCAGTTCTCCGCAGTATTACAGTGATATGATTTCATTGGCTCGGGAGATCGTTCCGCATGATTCATTTATGAGTTCACTCGATTAGTGCCAACGTCCGGACAACGGCCGTTGCGTACGTAGATATCTCCTATATCGTTCAATAATTATGGGATATGAAAATTGTCCTTCTCTGCCTGGCTCCATTCGATTACCGGTAAGGGATGTGCTTCGGTATTGAGAACCCATTTGTCTAACGGTATCGGGTCTGTGTCAATGAACATGAGGTATAAGTATTTGAGACTGGGAAATCGAGGGTTAGTGTAACGTTAGAATGAAGCGCTATTGGAGCATACGTTTCAGCAAAAAAATAACTATGGAATTGCCCATTCTTAAGCCGCGTCAATTCAGCAATATGAACGGAACTTACCTGGGCATGTCATCGTCTTTCACAGCAGGTAAAACCTCCACTGTTCGCAAACTGGCATATCCTGAGGGAGTTTTAGTATGGCGCTCTATTGATTCAAATATTTTCCATCCTCTGTCTCGCCATTTGTTATTACCCGTTGTCCGCCAAAGTATGTAGAGTGACTCGAGCGTCTGACAACATTATCAGTTCACAAAGTATCCAAGCAAATATGATAACGCATTCACGAACCTCCGGTCTCAGTAAGTAACCAGACTTCCTGATGGAATAATCTCTTGCTCGTCCACTCCCTCGCAACCTCTCTGTCTCTGTGTAGATAACGGGTGTCTTGTCACCAACCCCCGGGGGTGCACCACGTGCCCCGGATGCTTTCCATTTTTCGATCGCGTCCATCCATAAATATCCTCCACCATCCTTGAAACCATCAACAGTTTTACCCCACCGGTCGTCACCCGCAGTGTGCATGACCATTTCATCCGGGCCCAATCCAGTGGGCATGTCTGCATATGAGAGCCAACAGGTCTGAGCAAGGCCTTCGGCTGCCCACATGTGTAATGATTTGAGATTATATCCCGCGAGTAGTTTGTAACCTTCTCCAGATATCCCAAACATCGATTCATTGCCAATCTCATTCAAATCTATCCCGAGACTTGCAAGATCATCAAGAGGAAGAGTGTGTGCACCAAGCGCTAGGAGACCAGGTAAAAAGCAAGACAAGTGTTCAAAAGTATGCGATGGCCGCCCTCTGTGCTCGTTTGTCGAGAAAGTAGTGTCTGTTACGTATAATAGATGCCGCTTCGGTGATAAGAATAGAAGTTCTGCGATTATGTGCGTAGTAGCTCGAAGATCTGCGGGATAATTGAGCTAGGAGAATCGAAAAATACCGATAAGCATACACATTATCAAGTTAGCCTTGTCGACCTTAGCAGTCAGAAGATACTGCTTGAGCAGATATTCATGTGTACTATCGGCTTGCGCGCCTACAGAAAGGTGTGCTAGAATAAAAAAATGTAAGACCTTATACATGCAGATGAACTTGGTCACACAAACTATCAAAAGGCTGAGCAGAGGTCAGATTCCACCTAATGGGAAACATTCCCCCGGTTTTATGAAGATCCGCTTTATCCAATGCCCTGATCACAGTATTGGCCTAACAGCAATGAGTAATGCTATTCGTATTTTGAACTTCTAAAACCCTTACCCTGTCCCACCATCGCTTTTTTCCAGTAAACTTTGCGAGGGCCGTGTATTCCATCTGCAAGCTTGCCATTTCAGCAAGTATTCCAATCTCGGGGCCAACTACATTTCCACTAAGGTAAAGGTATTTAGTTAATCGGAGGATGGACTTTGAAACTGGGGGGATCACGGTAGGACTGGGGCTGGCACCCACACTTACTTTGGGTTTACCCCAAAAAGTGGAAACCCACTAGGGGTTGCGAAGACATGATCTAGCTTCTCAGCAAGCTCATCCGCACGTCTAAGAAGAAGGTCGTCTTTTCTAAGAGCATACGCAGACAGCAGTCCTCCGAGGTATCTTATCACCGTCTCAAAAAAAGGCGCAAATTCACCCTAAGCACTTTGATCAGATAGGGGACACCGCGAAACGTAGTTGGCAGCACATACATCGGGCAGGCTGAACACAGTCTTCTCTATGAAAGGCATTGCGCGGTTGTATTCATTCTCCAGACCCATAAGTAGCATGGTATCTAGAGAATCATACATTGTGACACCCCACCCATTGAAGCTGTAGATGATCATATCAGTTCAAATAACATTTGAGAAGAATGCAAAAGCGCACTTGTCTATAAAATCGTTCGAGAGGGGACGAATTTCGTCGTGGGGTTGAGCATATCTTTCATAGCCATGATATCCATGTAAGAAGGCAAGCTTGACACTTTTTGCCCTTCCCCGCCAGACGTCTGCTGGCGTTTCATCGGCTGGCAAGTAACTTTCCGCTAGATCGCCAGAAAAAGGATCTGCCCAAGAAAATGAAGAATAGGTGGGGATTGGATAGGTAGGATTCACGAAGCTGTACAGAACATAGACCGAAGCAATTAATAGGCAGCCATAGAGAACGCTGCGAAAGTAAGGTCGATGGCGTATTGAGCGCAAATATGCGGAGAGAGGATGTGACCGATACATCTCAGCGACTTTCTGATAGTGATTCATGAAATAAGTTGAGTGAAGAAGACTTCATGCGACCAACAAGGATAGGACAATGACGGGCGTCGCAGCGTCGTTACAGTCATGAAAAGCGCAGCTTGCTGGAGTAGCCACGTGGACAAATTTCTATGCGACCTCGGACTTATCAAACCGGTCAAATTTGGCAATCTACACCAGGACCAGACCAAGACCATGATATCTTGGAGTAAGTACCCACTCGCCGTTCACAATTGTCCAGAACGCAGATACCAAGGGCGATCGGATCGAATACATGTACTCTAAGTCGAGGACTGTCAATCACTCCGATTTAAACTACTTAGTGTGAGTGGCACAATCGCCCCCCGCATTAGAAATGTGTGTTCCATTAATGTAATCTAAGTAGTGATTGTACAGTAGGGTAAACTGTTTGTTCGGGAATCGGACCTAGCCAGACTATCCTATCCTATCCTATCCTCAGCCGACTCGAAAGTGTCTGCCGTTGGGGAAACTAGTCAATCACACCGTTCCGGCTCGTGGTCGTTGTAAAGTGATCTAAAGTCTCGACTCAGCCGAGAGAAGATGATCGCAGTCAGATATACATACGGATGGTTCTTGGTGTTGTCCCACAGCGTTCTGTATACGCTGAAGCACATATCGTATGTTCGGTATGCTAGCGCGATTTGCAATAACGAGAGAGATAATCTCTGCATCTACAACTGCCTGCGCACTCTCTTGACTACTATCAGCAACGTCCATTGCAAACTGAACGAAGACATCGATAGGATTCAAGCTTGGGTTTTGGGCTTTGATTGCTTCGTAGAATGTTGTCGCTGTCGGTAAATGGTCCACTGGTACACGACTGTAAGAATCAAACGTTACCAACACTAGGTGGTGGAAGAACGTCCAATATAACTTACGACAGAGGATGTATTATTCGATAGAAGAAGTCCAATTTAATGTGATAAGGCAGCAAAGTGAGAACATGTTCAAGTGTGCGTCGAATGTTACCTCCAAATGCAATTATTTGAACGAGATACGACATCGATATTGCAGTGAAGCTGGCACCGTCATTATCTAGATCGCTAGAACCAATTGCAATAAGTATATTTGCTATTTGTGTTAGAGAGATAACACAACAGTGACTCTGAATTAGATGCTCACCAAAAAACCAACAAATCAAAGGACAAGTCAAACATATCCTTTTCACAGTTGGACCGTAGCTCCGGCATGCTCAAAATGGCAGCAATCTCGGAGAGTCGTTCAATGATTTCATTTGACGACGTTGTCCGCCACCACTGCTTTCGAACATTGGGAGTTTGTTGAGTCATACTCAGAGATGTTGGTCTTAACGGCACGCTAGGATTGAGTCTCGGCCATACCAAACCTAATCTTTGGGGAGCACGCTCTATAATCCAACTCCGTTGGCATGCTAGAAGAATGCCGATAGCCTCTTGGACTGCGGTCACCACAGCGGGAGCGAAAGTGCAGTGGTCACAAACGGCGACTAATATGTCAAGAAAGCCAGATTCTATCACTGCTCGACAAGAACCCTCATGTTCTTGTGCAAGGCGCGAGATTAGGTTGATGAAAGGGAGCACCTCATGAGTTTCAGAAGGTAGTAGCGATGAACGATATACTGCTATCAATTCCAGCCGCGCCTTCGTATCCGCTTCCACTACCGATGACGTTTCCGAATACCTTTGAAGTTGTTTCAACAACATATGTAAGAGTTTCCAAAGGGAAACAGGAGAAACGGGTCGTACCATAAAAGAGGGATGCAGGGCATCATCTCAGAAAGGAAAATGGTAATTTCCTCCTTAGGCCATTTGACCACGCAAAGCAAGAGTTGACTGGCTTCTCGACTACCAATCTGCATCATGATTAATCTCAGGGCCCTCTGGCGAACTTTTTCATCGTAAAAGTCAAGTCTACGTTCATGGTTGTCAATGATATACGGAAAATTGATTAGACTTACCGCGACAGCTCCAAAAGATCGTCATATATCTTTTCCAGTTGTTCGGCAGACGCAGGATACTTTGGCGATGAGTTTCCGGAATTTAATCCAGGTAAGATCGCATTGATTTTTGCTAGTCTCCATCTCACTACGAGCTTCTCCACCCCGCGAAGGCTGGCTTCTCCCAGACTCTTGATTGCTTTGCCAGATAGAGTTCCCGGCCCCCACAGAGTAGTTGCGGAACTTTGAGTTTCATTTGTCTCGTAAGAAGTTGTAGTGTTGGTGCTGTAACGGTCGCTATCCAGCACTTCGTCTGCGGTTCTAGCTCGAGGTGGTAAACGCAATAAGGTCATTGACAGACTTTCATCCTACATCAAATACAGTTTCCCAGGACTTTTGATTTCTCAGAGGATAAGATGAGATGTGGCGATGAGAGCGGGCGCTTATCGCCTTTGAACTACACTCTCATAGATCTCATCGTCGAAACCGTCTCTAAGTTCTTTTGTGTGAACCCACCCTCCCTTCCCTCTGCAACTCTAGTGTCTAGTCTTCTGACAAAGACATTCCAGGCTCAGCCAAACCGCGTTTCGTGTGTTTTTCCACCCGAGCGGGGCTGTGTCCCAGGTAAACCTCATCTACTAATATTGAGCACTTCACAGTGCTCCTCACATTCTACATCGAGCTCGTTTCAGCGAATACTTGCCTTATATCACAAACTGACTTCTAGTGGTGTAGATAATAAAGAGAAATTTATTTTGGAATGGGCAAGGACTCTTAAGCACTGTTCAACGCATAAGGCCACAACTCTCCTCAAGACGATATTATTCTAATCGAGGGCGAAAATAAATTTAAGAGGTGAAAGATGAGACGTGCTCTTCAACGACCTTCTTGATTTTTCCTTCGAGCTCCGGGGTGATGTTTCCACCAGAAATTTCCTCCAAGAGAGCACCTTGTGAAGAGGTGAGGTGGGAACGGAATTCTCCCTCCCATCGGGTAATTTGGTCAACCGGGATAGAGTCAAGCTGTGAACCAGGTCAAAATTATATGAATAGGGGATATCGATATATACTCACCAAACCGTTGACACCGGCGTAGATGATGGGAACCTGAATCTCAGTAGAGAGGGGTTGATACTGGCCTTGCTCTGCAAGACGGGATGAGATACAGGAATCATGGTCATGGAATGAGACATACTCAAGAGCTCAGTCAAACGGGCACCACGGGAGAGGAGGAAACGAGTTGAGGCATCGAGATCAGAACCAAACTGAGCGAAGGCAGCGACTTCACGGTATTGAGCAAGGTACAGCTTGAGAGAACCAGCAAACTTCTTCATGATTTTGCTACGAAGACAATTAAGTAGATTAACAATAAAAACGAATTGTACTCACGTTTGGGCGGCAGATCCAACACGAGAGACAGAGAGACCGACGTTGATAGCAGGGCGGACACCACGGAAGAAGAGCTCAGCCTCCAAGAAAATTTGACCATCGGTAATGGAAATGACCTATGATACAACTTCAATAAATTGCCAAGCTGAAATGTAAAAAAAAACAAACGTTGGTGGGAATGTAAGCAGAGACATCACCACCCTGGGTCTCAATGATAGGGAGAGCAGTGAGAGATCCTCCACCGAATTTGTCACTCATTTTGGCGGCACGTTCGAGTAAACGAGAATGCAAGTAGAAGACATCACCAGGGTAGGCCTCACGACCAGGAGGACGACGGAGCAACAATGACATTTGACGGTAAGCAACGGCCTGTTTAGACAAGTCATCGTAGATGATCAAAGCTAGAAGAATTTGAGCCTAGAGCCGAATGATTCGCCGTTGAACGCACCGTGTTTGCCATTATCACGGAACCATTCACCCATAGCACATCCAGAGAAGGGAGCAAGATACTGCAGAGGAGCAGCTTCCGAGGCGGTCGCAGCAACAATGATCGTGTACTTCATGGCGTCATTCTCCTCAAGGGTCTTGACAAGCTGAGCAACAGTCGAACGTTTCTGGCCCACAGCGACGTACACACAGTAAAGCTTCTTGTCTTCGTCCTTACCATCGTTCCACCTCTTCTGGTTAAGGATGGTGTCAATAGCGACTGCAGTCTTTCCAGTTTGACGATCACCAATGATCAATTCACGCTGACCACGACCAATGGGAACCATTGCATCAATGGGTTTGAGGCCAGTCATCATAGGCTGGTTGACCGAACGACGAGGAAGAATACCAGGTGCTTTCAGGGAAGCACGACGACGCTCAGCGGCCTCAATGGGACCCTTGCCGTCAATAGGGTCACCGAGAGCGTCAACAACACGCCCAAGCAAACCAGGACCAACAGGAACATCGACGATTTGACCAGTTCGCTTGACCGTGTCGCCCTCTTTGATGAGCCGGTCATTACCGAAGATAGAAACACCAACGTTGTCGGCTTCCAAGTTCAGACACATGCCACGGACACCAGAAGAGAATTCCACCATCTCTTCGGCTGTGAAAGAAGGTAAATCAGCGTTGAGAACATCGGAAGAAACCGCTCTTACCCTGGACGTTTTTGAGCCCCCAGACACGACCAATACCGTCACCGACACCTACGGAAACGCGTTACTGAAGTGTAGATGAGAGAGCTATGCATGCACGCACTGAGAACTCGTCCAGTCTCCTCAACGTTTCCGCCAACGGAAGTTCCTGCAATGCGAGACTCGAGGATTGAGGAGACCTCGGAAGCAGCTGCCAGTGACGTGTTTCACAACCACAGCAAAGGAGAAAAAATAGAAGAAAAAATAGCAACAGTTAGCAACCACTGAATACAACAGAGGAGAATGTGCATGGACTAACCAGGTTTTGCGGTAGCATAGGCGCGAGAGCTCTACATGCAGAAAAATTGGCCTGGTTAAAAAAGCGAGTCAAAAGAGTATGAAAAAAGGGAAGCAAACCTTAGCAGAGGCGGCCAGCGCACGAGTACGCGCAGAGTTTCTGAGAGCTATTCTATGCATGGGATTCTGGTGGAAGGAGAGAAAGGACGTCGAATTGAGCGAAATGAACGTCGTTTGTTGGGTCGATTCCGGAATGGACCGAGTTCGTGGGAATACAATAAATTTGTAAGCAACTGCAGATCAAGCGCCCGAAACCAGTTGTACATAAACTTTTTGAACTCTCCATTCGCCGTAGTGGCCAATGGCCAGTTTATTCAAGCAGCGTTCGTGACGATTTTTCCCCATTGAAAGCTCTGCAGTCTCACAAAGCCCCTTGTCTAGCTCAATCACTATGCAGATCCTTCTGTAGAAGCATACACGCTGTTCCATATACAACCGCTTCTGCGCTCGACCTCATTCGCTCTCAGCCTTCTCAGTATGTCGTAGCCACTGTCGTTGGTCGAAAATATGTGCTAGCACCGCGGGATGTTCTCACAATTCCGCGCCTACGCGATGTCAAAGTTGGGGATGTACTTGCTCTCGACGAAATCCACGAATTGGGCTCACGAGAGTATACTTTACGCGGAAACCCCACCATTTCTCCTTCGAAAGTGAAGGTGGAAGCCACAGTGGTAGAACATACCAAGGGGGCCATGGAGTTTATATTCAAGAAAAAAAGGAGAAAGGGTTACCAGAAGACGAAGAAGCATAAGCAGACGTATACACGACTGAGGATTGGAGATATAGAAATTCCCTTACCTTCAATACAGTCTATAATATGATGTGTGTGCTTGTTATAGAGCCTGCATTCAACCAGTAATGGTACAAAATACTAAGGTGGACAGTTGTATACAAGTTGAAGTTGTAATGAGTATTATTACTGAGTACTGTACCTGTTCCATTGGTGGCTGTGTCACCCTTGTCCGCAACTGCCACCCTTTGCGATCTTCTAATTGCAAATAATGAACGTTTGGGCGAGTACAAATTTGAATCAAGCACGACTCTTTTTCACAGACTAATGCCGAAGTTTAGACTGAGCACCGAAATCCGGAGGGTCGCACTTATTGGTTCAATACCGGAACCAGAGAAAGTGTCTGGGAGAAACCAGATGGTGAGTGTAATCAAGTTGCGAAAGAATCCTTACTGACTACTGCCATCTATAGACCTCAAATCTCCCTTCGAGGTGAGCTGTGATTATATATGAGTGCTTCGATACGTCGCATTGAAACCTTTTACTCAAGCGTGCTTTGAATCAAACCAAGTGGAAGGAATACTTTTCAGGTGGTCGGAAGTACTACTATAATGTATGTGGAGGCACTCTGAACGAAAATCTACCTTGTTCGTCTCAACTATTTGTTCTAGACCGAGACAAAAGAATCGAAATGGGACATGCCTGATGAGCTCCTACTAGTTCTTGAGAAGGTGGAGAAGGAGAAAGTGGCTCCCCTTGCGTGCGTATCAATTCTCAACAAAATGAACTACTTCACAACGTTTCTGCAGTGGTGCGATCACAGCTCCTGGATTTATACCGGTGGGTAGTTCCACCCCCGCCATCCCATCGTTGGAAACAACAACAAACGGAGTAGTAGGAGCACATACTGGCGCCCTTCCTCTTGCCTCGTCAACTGTTCTTCCGGCACGTCCCAATCTTCCTGAGGACCCTGTCATCCCACACAACGGATTTGTGACTGTCGAAGAGGGAGAGAAAGCCTTTTCTCACCTTTTAAGGAAGGCTGGAGTAGATCCAAGTTGGACCTGGGATCAAACTATGCGAGCTATCATCACGGATCCATTGTATAAGGCACTAAATACATTGGCAGAAAAGAAAGCTGTTTTCGAAAAGGTAAATTCACCCAAATGATCACATATCTACTCACACCATATTGATTTTCAGTACACGACCAATCTGAAAGTTAAAGAGCAAGAGGAGAAGGAAGCAAGATTAGCCAAGCTACGTCCTGCTATCCGGAATATGCTCAAAGGAAACCCAAATGTGTTTCACTATACGACTTTCAACACTGCAGATAAGCTTTTCTCTCAACACCCTATCTGGCAGCAAGCCAAGATTGAGTCCGAGCGTAAACTGATCTTTGAAGAGTACGTTGCCGAATTGAAACAGCGCGAAGTGGTGCGTGACCCGAAATTTTGGAGAAGCACACGCACTGATATGACCTTTGGATCCTTATAGCAAGAAAGTCGTGCTGCACGTTCTCGAAGTGTGGCTAAAGTTGTCAATTTATTCAAGCAGCTCGATGTCGATGTTCTTACTCGGTGGAGGCAAGCTCACAATCTCATTCTCGAATCTGAGGAATGGAACTCGGATTCCGAATTAAGAAAGTTGCCAACTCTGGATATTCTTCTGGCTTTCGAAGACTACAGTCGGGTTCGGGAGAGAGAGTATGATGAACAGACGCGTCGGGCTCAAGTTGAAAAGACTAGGAAGGAAAGGAAGGCCAGGGAGGCATTCAAGGTGCGCCCGCTACGCTATTGTAGTCGTAATTATGTCGCGATCCTTTTTCCCCCGCTTATAGGAGCTTTTGCAATCCCTTGTCGCCTCCGGTGACATCAAAGCAAGGACCAAATGGAAAGACGTCTACCCAAAATTTAAAGATGACGACCGATACATCAACATGCTCGGTAATCCAGGCTCAAACCAGATCGAGCTCTTCTGGGATGTCGTGGATACTCTTGATCAAAAACTTGATGCGAAAATTGCTATTGTCACGAATGCAATTGCTAAAGTCGATGGACCAACGAAGGGCGACTCGGAAGGCAAGGAAGATGATGACGCCCCAGAACGTTCTGGTCTCAGTATAACTGCAACCACGAGTGAAGAAGAATTTTTAGGCGTCGTAAAGGCCACTCTAAATGAAGATGTCAAAAGTCTTAGCAAAGAGGAACTTCATCTTATATTTGGCACGGTATGTGCTTCATGCATGAGGTTGTTCTTCATATCTCAATCTCGTTTTCAGTTGCATGACGCTGCTGTCAAAAAGCAAGCTGATGAAAAACGGCGAGCGGAGAGGAAGCAGAGACATTTGCAAGAAGACCTACGATATGCTCTTAGAAAACTTACAGAGCCATTGGATCTCAATCTCTCGTTCGAAGAGGTGAGTTCATACTGGGCGCTGATATCTTTCCTCGAATTCAAGTTTGTATATATAGGCTGTACCTCTCATCGAACATCTGTCCGAATTTCAAGCCATTGAAGACGAAGAAAACAGGCGAACTGCCTTCGCTAAATTTGTTAAGAGACAGAAAGTAAGACTTCCTTCCCATCAAAACTCATCTTGTACTTATACATCACCAGGAACGTATACGTGAGGCTGCTGGCTCCGAAGACGGTGGCTCAACTACGAGTCGAAAACGCAAAGAGCCACCTCGCGCCGAACAGAGCCGTGAGCCCGAACGAGGAGACCGGGATCGACGCGATCGTGATCGTGACCGTGAATCGTCTTACCGGGAGCGTGAACGCGGCAAAGACCACGAATCTCGCAACTCCCGTCACTATAGGCATGATGACTACGACCGAAGGGCTTCGAAGGATTACGATCGAGACTACAGATCCAAGCACCACGAGAAGGATGACCGTAGACGAGATCGAGACAGAGGTAGGAGGCCGGACTATCCCTCTAGAGATTGGGACGAGTCCCAGTATAGGCGGGAAGAACGAGAAAAAAGTGTCTCTTCTTCGACATACAAAGACAGAGATGAACCATCCAAGTCGGAGAAACGAGAGATGGAGGAACTACCCATTGATGATAGAGCCGAAAAGGTCAGTAGGCTACACGATCGCTCCTAAGTTAGTATTGACAGGTACTTGTAGCGTCCTCGCTACGATGAGCCTGCGCCTACCGGAGCAAGTTCTGCGAGGGAGGATACTCCTGAGGAAGGTGAAATTTAAAGGACTCGTATGTACATACATAGTCTATATACTTTAAATGGAAATATCACTCCGTTGTATGCGGGCGACGGGATTCATCGGAGTTCGGCTTCGGCGCGGTTCGGCTCATTATAATTTCTGATTCATAAATGCGGGGAAGCGAACGCCTTAGCCGATCCCCAGTTTCTCCCAAGGCTCAAGGTTGCCTACGTTCAACCTCTCCTTGTTATCTCTCTCACTCTGATTCTTAGCTACTACTAACCGAAGGACATGGTATGCTACTCACCTGTTCAGAAATTCAATCAACTTGCCAATACTGTATTCTTACTTACAGTCTGCGTATCCTTCTTACACCATGGGAGGGCTTTGTACAGTCGGAGGAATCACAGGATTCATCAGAACTCGCTCGATTCCTTCCCTTGTTGCTGGCGTAGGGTGAGCTACAGGTGTAATTTTGTAAATACCTTCATCTATTCAGTGGGCTTCCTCCTCGCTGTTGGTAGAGTTGGTGCTCTTTACTTGTACAGCGCCGATAACATTCGCAAAGGCGCTAACAATGGATTAGAAGGTGCATTAGGTGTGTGTCTAAAAATGCTACTTATCTTTTTTCTTCATGCTCATATGCCTAACAGGTGCATCTGTTCTACTTCTCCTTTCGTCTCTTCCCCGAGTGAGGAAGGGACCTATCCCTGCTCTTCTCACAGTCACTTCAGCTGCGTCGTTGTTTTATTACGGGAATGTCATCTACAAACTTGGTGCTTAAAAGTTGGCTTGAAAGCAAATATTTGTAACTTGGATGTCCTTCAAGAATCAGAATGTACATCAACTTGAATGTACTTTGCATGTACATATACCCCACTCAACCTGTATCTTTATTCCTCTTACAACAGATGCGATTGTTGTGAAATAGAAAGCTGGAAAGCACAGGAGCTGATATATGTATCACCCATGGACCGACGACTGGTCTGATCGGCGGACCGCCTCCTTGCATGATCCGCCACATACAGAACCGTACGGCGAGCGCCGATTGCGCCGGTCAACTATGCATTTTCACCTGGAAATTACATGGACTCGATTTCTAGATGTGAATTATTCTGTCTGCTCTGAACAAATCAAGTTTCAAGATCTCTAATAAGGCAATATCCACTTCTCTCTGAGTTTGTTATCGTTGCTATGTAACGCACTCATGCTATGTACACGCAGGCGCGCGCGTCCGTCCCGCGGAAGTGATAATGATCTTTCAGTGTTTCCTACCACGTCCTCACTGTTGACCTCCAACCCTTCTTGACTTTCTTCAAGGGCGTCCCCTCCTGAATCTGGTTCAAACCATTTATGGTCGTCTATTTCTCCTCCGTCGACCTGCCCTCCCTCTTCCTCCTTTTTGCCGCTATTCCACATGTTGTTTTTGCATTGAACAATGTTACCATCTCCCATACCTCTTCCAGCATCGACTACAAACCCAATTCAAGCGTATGGCTTTCATCTGACAGTACACTCGATTACTCCGAATCACACACCACAACTACCACCAAAGGTGCTTCGGCCAGCTTTACCTTTACAGGTGAGTCCTGAGGCAGAAGTTTTTTTACTACTACTTTCTCATTACCATTGGAAGGTGTCGCAATATATTACGCGGCTGCTTCGTGGCCATACCCTGTCAGTGCAAACATCAGTATCGATGGAGGCTCGGGCACATTTGTGGACTTGCATGACTATCAGAGCGCTCAGACAAATGGAGGATCAGCGTCGGCAAGTGCGACAATACATTGGTTTCGAACAGGGTTGAGCAATACGTCTCATACTATCGTTGTATCTCTTGCCAAAAATGCTACGTATGCCGTTCTAGACGCTTTCATGTATGTTCTGCTTTCTCGCAGTGGGATTTAGATAGTGACTACGAATTCTTAGATATACTATCGACGACGGCGACAGTGATGCGCCAGATGATGGTCACACGATATGGCCAATAATTTTAGGGTGCGTTCTGGGCGGTCTTGTTCTCGTTGGCGCTATCATTGGGCTTGTCTTTGTGTATCGTCGTCGACAAAAGAAGAACGGAAAACCGATATGGGACACGCCTGTTCTTGACAATCTGATGACACCACTCGTAGCCACCCAGGCATCTGAAATACATCCCTTGGTAGCCTCTGACTTCGGCGACCCCCATGCCAATAACCCTTCAAGCTCGTCCGGTATACGTTCACAGACCTTGGACTCATCATTTTCCACGGATTCTTTACAAGATGGGAAATATTCCGACTATGTGTCAGCTCCACAACTCCAGTTCGTGGAGGGAAGTAGTCGTTCTGGCGTAGGATCGACAATAGTCACAGCATATCCGGATGAAAAGAAGGTGATCAAGTCGGACGTGATCCTCGGTGTCGCGAATCCTGAGACGGAGGAGCTACCCCCACCTGCTTATAGCGAACACCACGAACATTAATGATTAATCTTTCATATCTGAGTTTGGCATACATCAGGAGTAATTTATTGACAAGTAGTGTCCAAATTTGGATAAATATGGTCAAGCAATATTTATGCATTAAGTATACGGTTAGCATATGTGCTTGAAACAAGAGAAATAGCTCTCATCAACCTTGCTGTCCACCTCCGGACACCGTCTCATCGTCGTCGTCGTCATAGTCATATTCATCATCCTCATCTTCATCGAATTCCCCTTCATCCATAGCTTCTTTCAGCTGCAATCCGGTTATGAATATGTCAATTTTTTGCCACGGCACACAAAGATACACACCATTTCAATCAACTCATGACATTCGTTGAGATGAGCCATGATGGTTCCTTGACCCTCTGGGATAGAGCCATCTGCACCTATGAACTTACCGTCTTTCCTCCGCGATTCGATTTGGTGCAGCGCAAGCTGATACTAAAAGATACAAATACAAAGTTTACGGTGGCGAAGATGTAGTGAAAAGATGCCAGACAGTCAGAAACGGAAGTCAAGATTTCCTGGATTTCCTGATTAGTTTCTGATTACGCACGGGATATAGATCGCGTGGGCTGAAGAGGCCCCCATATTTCAGAACTTCATTGAGACATTTCTTGACGGTAGAGAGTTTGTTAGCCTGGATAAAAATTAACCTGTGTGCAGAATAGTGGACAAACAAGGGGAACTTACGATTGGGGTCAATTCTTCCGACACAGGCTCGCTAGAAGACAATAGTCGATAGATGAGACCATAACATCGCCGAAGCAAGTATAGCAGCACCTATACAATCTTTATATGAGCCAAGAACAATTATTTCATCACAGCATGCTCCTCACATATTGGCCTTCTGGCCGATTCCCTTCCGAATCCAGAAACTTTCCGTCAACTCTCATTTTGTCAATTTCTTGCAAACTGAGCGAATAGTTCCAGAGGTCTGTCTCCCGCAGTGACCAGCGGTGGGTGAGAACAAGACCTTCCAATTCAGCTCGTAAGTCAGAAAGTCGATCGTAAATTGGTTTCAAAGAAGTAGGAACGTTCTTGGAGTCCTCATTTGCTTTGATTTCTTGAGCTATTTCGAAACATTCCTCAAGGAGCGATGTACAGATGGCCTGAGAGGCTGGAACGATGCCCCCGGGACCCAAAAATTTACCGTCTACTCGTGTACTGTAGCGGGAAGTAGGGTGCGGGGGTTGATGGAAAATTATGATAAAGGATCGGTATGTTGAGCATGAGACCATTGCAGTAAAGAAGCATGTACTCAACGAATCGATTTTGCGAAGCTCCTCCTGTAGCGGTTTGAGATCAGCCTTGTGAGAGCCTTCTTTTGCCGCGAGTGCAACCAATTTTCTTCTAATTGTAACAAGCTTTTCGTGCACCGGGACGAGTTCTACCGAGATAACGGATAACGACTCTTCCAGAGAGCGAACAATACTATCTGATCATGAGATAAATCAGTACATAAAGCCTGTGTAACCGATCGAAGGCGCATTCCGAGCTTCACGAACCACATTTGCTAAGTTGACGTTCCAGCAATTTCAAGATGGCCTCCGGATGCTTTGATTCGTTGGCATCACGTTGGAGAATCTGTCTGAGGTCTGATATTCGTCTTCGGAACGGTGCAAGGTCAGCTTCGTTATAGACCGCAGATTCGTTCATATGATTGAGGATTTGCTTAGAAAATGATAAACATGAATAAGGCAAGCAGGAATAGTCATATTACCAACCCGCATAGATGCAATCTGAGAGTAAGTTGCCGGCGCGTCTTTTGTTCTGCCAATCGTGAGGTAGAACAAAGAGAGAAGGCTGAAAACATCGGCGAGTGTAGTATCCAGTCGATTACCCTGAGAAGTAGCTTCATCTCGCACATCATTCAACTTCGTGACTGTTTATTCCATCAGCATATTTGACCCGATATCCAAAGATATAAAGATACTGGCCTTGCTTCACCACTGCCTGGTATAACGAATTAACGTCCGAGGGCTTGATGAATTCTGCGCGATTTTTCTTCAAAGCTGTGAGTCGATTTCGTATACTTCGCGGTTCGAAATCAGCGGCAAGTTTTAGTCGATGAAATAGACAAAGCCTACTTGACCAATGCCTCAAGAATAGGAAGTTCTGCAAATGACGACATGTCAGCATTATTGATCGAAAGATAGGTCCTTAGAGCATCTCAGACCTTCCTGGGGTACAGAAGCAGCCATTCGTCAAGAATTCACTGCCTGATATTGAAGGAGATGTTGAAAGATAGGTAAAAATGAATAAACATCCGAATCACTAATACTTGTGTGCAGCGTTTCAAGTTCCCACGCCTGCGACTTAAGCTAGAAGCGGCCCAAGCCAAGATATTTCACTTCTTGGAGCCAAGGCCAAAATTTTCGCGTAGAGCCTAGAGGTAAGATAAGGACACCATCAGTTAGAATCGTTCTTGGCCGCCAAAGTATGGTCAAGGGAAAATATAACTTGAGTGAAATTCGCTCTTAAGCACGTGCAACGCATTGCCTTCGGACTTCAAATTCGATCTTTCCTAGCTTGGACAACCACCAACATCTTCATCGTACCTTTTGCTAATCATCATGACCGAAAAGATCAAAGAGGTGAGCCTTACTGCGTTCACCCTCATTTGCGATCTTACTTGAATTCAGAAAATGAACAATTTGCGCCTCGAGGCCGACCAAGCCATTGAGCGCGCAGAAGCAGCCGAGGCTAAGAACAAGAAATTAGACCAATTGCTTCTCGAGAAGGATCAAGAGATTACCTCGCTTAATCACAAACTCTCTGTCGTAGATGAACAACTTGAGAAAGCAGAACTCAGTCTGCAGGAAGCGAAACGGGAGAATATGGACAATATTGGTTCTAAAACCACCAGTGAAGGATTGCAGCGGAAGATACAACTGCTAGAGGAGGAGCTGGATGCCGCCGAGAAGAATGCCAAGGACACTGTTGAAAAGTGAAGCATATGATATTCTTGACGGTGTTTCGTTCTCATCGCGTCGATTCTTTTCTAGACTCAGGCAGGTGGATGTTAAGGCGGAACACTTTGAGCGGCAAGTGCAGCGACTAGAGCAGGAACGTGAAGTATGGGAAAAGAAATACGAAGTGCGAAATATCCACTCATATGGTTGAAGAACTCTTCTAACCTGCCATTTATAGGAAGCTCAAGAGAAGTACTCAAAATCGCAGAAGGAGCTCGACGAGCTCGTCCAGACGATGGAGGGACTCTGATCGATATGTCACTATTCAATCCTTGTTATCTTCTTGCTCCCCGCCTTATATCACACTGCCCCCTAATCTAAATCGACCAGACCAATCTTTCCGTAGTTCTTTCTGGATGTTACGATCAAGTTCGGATAATATGAAATCACTTTACTTTCAAACACCATTGAATCATTGACATGGTTCAAAACGGGTTATACAATCTAGAAACAATTTAACCAGTCATTTACACTTCGATATCCATTTGCCAACATGTAATCAAGATTTGAACGTCAATGAAACGGAATTGACGCAGTGCCGCTCGTCGGTCGGTGTGGGGAAGCCCTCTCCTTTGAAGACATGACCAAGATGTCCTCCGCAGGCAGCACACGTTATCTCCGTTCTGACCATACCGAATGCACGGTCTTCATGACGGTTGACTGCTCCAGGAATAGCTGAAGATGACGAATTCAGGATGAACACACAAAGCGAACACACAGACCAACGAACCATCAAAAAATGCAGGCCATCCACAACCGCTCTGGAGTTCGTACTGTCAAACCCAGTTTGACCGATACAGGGTGACGCTCACCTTGAATTTAGTAGTACTCTTATACAGAGGAGTTCCACAAGCTGCACAGTCGTAGACACCTTCCTCGTAATGTGAATCATATTTTCCGGTGCCAGCAGGCTCAGTGCCCTTCTTTCGCAAAACCCTGAACTGATAATCATTGAGTACTATACAAACACGATCAATGCGGAAGATGCTGACCTGCTCGGGAGAAAGAATTGCTTTCCACTCTTCTTCGGCCTTAGTCTTGGTTTCAGCCATGATGTTTCGAGTTTGGACGAAGGTGAATATCGGTTTCGGAGAAATTGTAGTGGTAATCAAAGATAGCGGGAGAGTGGGAAATGACAATGTCGCAATTCGAACAAAATTAGGGCTTTTATACCGGAAACCGATACATGTACTAGCTAATCTGAACATTGATAAAGCACAGGTTGAGTGTGACCAGCACGAGATGAATTAATCATTCAAGTAAGCATATGTATAATACAAGACAGTGCTGACATCAGAAGTCAAAGCTGTGTTGAGCAAGACCGAAAGGGCGAAACATCCCAACAATGATCATGAGTTTCGTATCGAACTCAAACGCTACAGTATTAGATCACAGAAAAAATCTTTCTTGAGAATAGTTTTGATAAGAATAACGATACTTTGCGCAACAAAATCGCTCGTAGCTCATCAAGACACAGGAGTGCGATCTATAGCGGAATTTCGGAAGCTCGATTTATCCTGCATTGAATCTATAGCACTAGGTAAACATGAGTATCACTGACAAGACTGACGGTTCGCACCATTGTTGGATTTGTACTCCATGATTGTCGAAGGTGGGAGATGAAGAACTTTCCGAATAGTATCCCTACGAGAGTAGTCTATGAAACTTGATCGGGCCAACGGTTAAATCCAGAATCACGCACCGTATTCTCTCTCGAACCTTAACGTCACCATCCAAGCGATTCCACAGACTGATGATATCCTCACTCTGTCGTACACTTATTGTGCACCCACAGATCTCAGGTAGCTCCGCGCCAGAGTCACTCCCATCTTCCCAGCTTGCAGCAATTTCTCCATTCTCCTCCACTTGTCGGCATTTGTCAAACTGATCCCCCAAAACAGCCAGGACGAGATCCTCCCAAATGCGATCGGCGACTCCTTTTTTCAGCCGGATAATCCACTTACCACCTGATATGTTGACCGGGTCCTCCCAAACGGGCCTACGGATCCCGTCGTGGAATAACAGGTAGTCCGTAGTCGGTTGGAGTGCGGACGGAGGAGCAAGATGCGTCCAAAGCGACCAGAACGATTCAACCTAGATTGAGTACTTGGTCACTACTTCAATACGCTTTATCGATGATGGACGTACGGATGCAAAGGCGGAAATCTTTTTTATTCCTTCCTCGTAACTGACCAACTTGTTGCCTGGCGCACGTTGCTGCCGAAACCAGAATACCCAACTAAAGCATAGCAGGTAGGTCTATGCAAAAAATCTGAAAGAAATGAATCACGAACATACGTGTTTCTTAGAGGATGAGGTTCGGAATCTTTCGGCGAAGAACCATTGGATGTTTTTTCCTTGGAAGTGGATTGTTCAGAACCAGGGATGATTGAGGTAGAAAAATGTTTAGAAGATGGTAATCTGGATTTAGGTCCAGCCTGGATAGATGGCGTTGGTTGAGTCCCTCCTGGCGTTTGCGAAGAATTTGCAAGAAAACGCGATTGGGAGTAGTTGGAGAAATAACTATTTGCCATTTTCAGTTATAAGCTGTAGAAAAGGCTGAATTTTTGGCTTGTCGTTGTAGAGACGAGAAGGAACACAAATGTTGGTTGATTTACGCGGTAATATTGAAACAAAGAGAATTGAAAACCTTGTGGGTGTTGGTTGGTAGAATTAAGCTTACATAATTTCCTCGGCCCTCTTGTACAGTACTAGTAGTAGTACTGGGTCAGAACTTCCGCTCTTTTCGTTATGAAGCTCACTCTAAAGCCAGAATGGCGCCTGTGGCCGTTGTCTTCTTTCCTTGGTGTTCTCGATCTCAAGACCGGTGTAACTATCGCGTTATTGTTTGCAGTCAGTGTTCCTGCTCGCATTCATTGTTTCAATCTCATGATTTAATTCAGGTCTTCAATAAAGTGGCTGGTGTATATGGTCTCATTGCTCTTGCTACTGGTGCGGGTGGCTCCTTTTCCCAGTTCAGTCTGTATCTGTACTCCCTCTTCGCCCTCTTCGCCCTATTCTATGGTTTAAAGGCCGTCGGGCAGGTATGTATGTCCGTCCTTTGGTTATTCTTCTGTACACGGCTCACAGCTTCCTCCTACTGCTCAGGAGGATCCAAAGAACACGCTATACTTTGCACATTTCTTCTTCGCAGACCATGTTTTCTCCACTGCCTGGACAGTCTTTTTCGCTGTCGTGTGGTGGTTCCAGACACCTCATGACGGACGTCGAATGGCCAACTCGCCAGCACAGCTGCAGATCATCAATGCCTCACCTGGATACCACAACATGACTGATGCACAGCGTGAGTTGGCTGCAGAACAAGTTTGGAATCATGAAAAAGGCACAGCACTGGCCGTCATCATCTTGTCATGGCTTTCCAAAGTGCGTTCCGATCAAGGCATATCGAGTTCCGCTGAATTTTGAATTGCTTTTCTGAAGATATACCTTGCCCTTCTTATCTATTCGTATGCAACGCATCTGCGAAAAGGATCATACCGGGCCCTTTCGCGAACGCGAGTACCTACTGCAGCATCTCCCAACTATGACGCTGGGTTGGGATACCCAGACGATGAGGAGGAAGAGACTGAAGACTTCTATCGTCTTCCCCTCCGAACCCCAAACACAGGCAACTCCATCTCGAGCTTCGCAGACTTTATAAATGCGCCTGCAGGACGTGCCCGCCCGCAAGCTCCTTCCATGAGCAAATTGAACGGATCTGTTAATGCTGAAGAGGAGGAAGAGGTCCTATTCGACGAGGATGAAATTTCCCGTGGATCGAGTTCGCGAGGTCATTCAAAAATGGGTACCGATGAGAGCAGCGCAGAGGAAGAACGCCACGGCTTCGGACGTACACGATAGCATATTATCCCTCGTTCATAGTACCTGTATTGAACACCGTCGTTGTAAATCATAGTACTTTCCATTTAATGTCTTATCCCCACTCTGAGTCATCTGCAGCTTTAAACGAAGGGAGACGTACTTAGTTTGGAGAGACAAATGCAATTGATAGGTAATTTTGATACAAAGCGAGTGTTATGGACATAATCGAAACAATGGAAAACAGGGAATCCAAGAGATTAGGTATAGAAGATGTACGGTCTATATGAACAACAAAATCCTTACAAAATTCAACAATCCGAAAAAACCATGCATAGACCGGACAGAACAAGTGATCGATTATTGAATATTCAAGAAAGATACTATAGATTATAGTAGTGGAGGGTATCACAGCAACTCCCTAATTCAACTGCCATCAGCTATCATCGAGCCCTACTAATGACAACGCTCACCGTACGAATGTTCAAAACTTTGGCGCAACAACAGGAGACTTTCCTGACGGTGGTCTCATCCTGGAAACATTTCTAGAAGCAGAATTGCGATATGTCATGCCTGTCCCGACGCGAGATTTGGGCTTCCCATGGTCTGTCGGAGTTGAAGGCGTCGTCGGCGTCACAGGTGCACTGTGTGATGGAAGTGAAGGAGTAGATGGCATGCGAAGTCTACTTGACCCTCCATTCAAGCTCGGAACAGGAACGGGTAATTGCCCGTTGACATTCATCACCGACTGTTGGCGGGGTAATTGTAGTTGTTTGAGGGGCCGAGGAGAAGTCATTGCGGTAGGGGATGTGGAATTCAATGAGGACGAGGGCGTAGAATTGATGCTCGTGTCCGAAGCGATTGAAGGGAATGAATGAGTAGAATATGAAGAACTTTCTAAAGGTTTTTTGAGGCTCGATTTCCTGATTGAGCTCGGAGCAGAAGGTCTGCGAATACTTCCAGTTTTCGGATTGGGTAGAGAGGGAAGCATTTTGTCTATGTTTGGGTGAGAACGACCAGTGAGTGACGAGGCTTGCGTGTCTTCCAATATATCATCATCATCTCTAGGCGTGAGGGGGATAGAAAGGGAAGAAGCAGTTGAAGAAGGTGTGAGGATGGCAAGTTCGTCTACGCCATAACGCGACGTGGAGCCTGCGACGTCAGAAGCGGAGGAGCGAGTAGATGCTTCGGAGCCAGGACGGGCGAATCTGTTCCCTGCGCCGGATGTTTTGGGCGTTCTCTCACCAGAGGTCAAATGAGAGATTGAAGTCTTCATGCTGAGTGTAGACGAACTACTTCTAATGCTTCTGGTTTCACCGTTGATGAAAGACTTCTTTGTGGAACGCAACGTCGGAGGAACATTTGACCCTTTCCCATGACCCACGTTCATCTCCCCGAATTCGCTAATTTCATCTACTTCATCCAAATGGATATCCAATGTGCGGCTCGAAAAGCTTCGAGATAATGGGTTGTAGTTGGATCGGGAACTGTGCGAGAATGTTGAAGATCCAGTAGTGGGGGAGGGACGAGAAACCGAGGGCATGGATGCCGACGCACGAAGGTTACCGTAGGACTTTGACCGCATTCTTGAACTTACGAGTGAGGCCGAAGACGAATTTCGTGAAAGATTGAGCGACGACAGCCTTCGGGTTAGTGCGGAAGGAGCACCCTCGTCTTCGCTATTTAACCGAAACAAGCATATGGTTAGAAACAGCGCAAGGCAACACCGAGTAATATTCGAAGCGCTACTGGCCATGGCCTCTTTTCGGACTCACCTATCGCTCCAGCCCAAACCCGTGGTCAGTCCAATACCTCCTCGCAGTAACCGCCCATCCTTATGCCTTAATCTTCTGGAAGAGGTGTCCCGCGTATCTTTGAACAGTCCAGACTTGGTCTGAATTGAGGCTGCAAAAAGAACGCAAATCAATCAGAGGGATTATGAAGACAGACACGCGTAAAGTGAGTGACCAGAATCGAAGATCGACAGCACGGATAAACTTTACTTGAAGCCGATGAACTTTCGAAGATTCCATCTGATCCAACAGTGTCACATATATCGTTCACACTCTTCCAGCTAGCCCCCAAATTTAGCAGGTCTTACTATCAAACGTCCATCATCGCTTCTCATATCAAAGATTCGGGGGATAAACTCGCGTCCCATATCCACCCTCAAATATCACAACTACTCGGAATAAATGTAGATGAAAAAATGTAACTCACTATTCGAGGTCATACTCATCATACTTCCTGGCCTTGCCCCTCCATCCGCACCCACCGAAGCAAGAGAATCGACAGAGGCTGACGCGGGAAGGAGTTTGGAGTTGGCTGATAACAACCCATGCCGTAGCATCAAATTCCTGCAGAGGTGGCCGTGTCAGTACAACATGAAGTGCAAGCCACAATCAGATGCATGAAAGGTAAGAGTGGATTGTTCGAGATATGTACAATTCGCCACAGCTTGAGCAATTTTCACATAAAGATCGTAATGATCCTTTCGAACACGAGGGTGTACAGAATGTGGCGTTCAATGTCGAAGAGGCCTCCAAAACCTGTCCATCAATTCGCTCTGGCTATAACGAGTTATATGGAAGAGCCGAAAGGATTAGGCATGCGATGCGTTGCCATGTTCAGTTTGATGGCCAACTCTACCTTTAAAAAGGTTGCCCATCTTAAAATGCGACTTTTATGCCCCCCAAAAGTCCACACGCGCTTTTGACTTTGTCCTCGTGCACAAGTCCACAAATCCTCGAAGGCAACCTTTCTGTTTGTACTACCAACGCCAGTCCAAAGAACTGAAACCGAAGCGAAAGGGGAAGGAACAAGGAAGAACTCACGGTAACGGGGTATGTAAATCCAAACTCGAATCACTTGCATCGCTATCCAACCCATCACCGTCACTTTCGACGCCGTCTTTATACGTGCCAAACCCAAATCCATCTCCGTAAGAATGTCGTCGAGGAACATTTTCACCTTCAGATTCAGAGCCTCTTCCATCTAATTCTCGCTCAAGTTTCTGCAACTTGGCTTCTACGTCCTCGTTGTGACCAAGTCGTCTACGGGACTCTTTCCGACCTCTGCTTAATAGACTCGGTCCACCAAATTCATCGTACCCATCGTCCGAACCGACACCACCACTCTTTCGTCGCCCGATGCTTCCCTTGGTACTACTAGTCCCGATCGAACTACGTGTCCTCCTTTTCATACTCAGACTCCGCCTCGGTCGAGGTGTCTTTTCCAGCAACCTTTGAACGTCTGGAGAAGCTCTTCCGTCGTCACTGTCAGCAGTACTCGGATTGTCAGCCACCGACACCGTAGATGCCTGAGATGCTTTCCTTCGAGGTCTGTTGGAGAATTCCGCGGCATACGGCACAGGCGGCATTGGAGGCCAAGCAACGTCTGCAGGGGGCGATGATGGCGAAGCGATGCCTGAGATGAGCCGTTCCCGATGGCTCCGGCTTCTACTGCGAGCAGATCGAAGCTCGCGGTGAAGTGACCTATGAAGGTCAATTTCTACATCAGGACTGTATGTAGCTGACGACGAGGGTGGAGTTGGATAGGTTGTTGGTGGAGTAGGAAAAGTAGCTGGTGGAGAAGGCATTGACGGAGAAGGATCAGGTTGGGTATAGGTGGAACCAATCGATTTTGAAGGGCTGATTGAAACTGACGGGGAGATAATCGAAGCTTTCAAGCTTACGTTATCAAGGTTATCCATCGAGATTCTAGCCATTCTCCTCAAGCTAGAACGTGAATCGGATCGTGAAGGAACAGATGTGGTAAACGAATACGGAGGAGGCACGCCTCCTCCAGAAACACGGCGTGTCTGGAAGGCCTGAACGACTGGAGGCTTAGTAGTGGGCACGTCCCATTCACTCTCAGCGCCGTCGTCCCCTGAGGGTAGATCGTGCATGGAGATCTCGGCAAGCGATTCATTCGGACTAGCTGATCTGACAGGCGGCGGGACAGGGCTTGGTTGATAGAGGGGAGAAGGCGGAGCGGACCATTTTATGGGCGTCGATGCCGCTGAGGAAGGGATTCTCTTCTGCATGGCATTCGCTTGTTGTAAGGCGAACGGCGACAGCGGAGGTGGTGTAGGAAACTGAGTGGACAATGAGGATGGAATTTCTAATTCATTGTCGGTGTCGGTGGGTGAGGGAGGCATGGGAGATATGGAGAGACGCAATGAGGTGAGCTGTACATCGGAATCATCTTCCTCATCAATGCGCAGACCACCATAAGCCTGATTCGTGTCCTCTGCATCTTCAGTGGTGACCTGGACCTCTGGCGGTTTTACTCTGCCAGAGCCTTTGGAAACGCGTCTACCCTCCCTGGTTTCCAAATCTCTGTATCCATGGCCATAAGCATAACTTGCGCCGTTACTCCGAGCACTCGCAAAGCTTGCCACAGAGTCAGGTCTGTCGTAACCTCCATTTCCGGAATGTGAGGAATTTATAGAATACTTTGAGCTACGCCTGGACTGGAGAAGATGAGCAGCTTCATGGTCAGAGATTCTGGAGCGACCGGGCACGGGTGGTAAAGGCCCTCTTGGTGGAAGAGATGGTGGAGGATTGCTGCTCGTAGAGGATATTGATGACACCGAAGACGATGGCGGAATAGAAGATGTACTAGAAATTGAACTAGAAGGCTCATTTATGGGCTCGCCGATATTAGCATGATTGAAAGAAAGGCTGCTTGGTGTCCTAGGTGTAGAAGGTGGGAGGAAAGAAGGTGGTACTGGGAAAGACTCGAGTAAAAGGGGAACTGAATGGCCCATGCTGAATTGCCCGTCGACAGGCTGAGTTATTGCTGGTATAAATTACTCGAGATCGGTAGGTAGCAAGAAAGAGAGTCAGTGTACGGTCTGCATGAGAAGAAGATGAAAAGACTTGGTGTGAATCTGTATGGCCGGCGGTTTTTGTTTCCGTGCCACGATATCGGACCTCCTAAATCAATTTTTTATAACCAAGGCCGAAATTTTTTTCTCGAAGTCTTGCCTATTAGACTGTTGGGTTGATGTTTGCCCCCAGAGACCATCAACCTGGTTCATCTGGTAAATGCATTCAGTCCAATATCATCATGCCGTCGCGAGCATGTGTTCAAACTCTCTTTTTCTATCAAATAAATTGCGCAACGCTAAGTAGGCAACACCATCGCAGTATCATGTATCATTGAATGATATCAAATTCTCAATGGAATGATGGGCGAATATCATGCTCAACAGTCACGATCTATCGATATTCTGATTGGGACACGCTAGTGAAAGGACTATAACCTCCCGCCTGATACTCCGCACCAGCTTCGTCTTCAACTGAATTCCATCGATCCCTTCTTCGATGTGCAGACCAACGCCGCCACGACAGGACCGAAAGTTACCTCCGTCCGGTAAGACCGACTCCCCCCCTGCTTGACTATCTTTTGCTTTTATGCCGCCCTGAGGTACTCTTGGAGTACTCTCCATTAGTCTCCATTAGACCACTGTACGAAGTCAAAAATTCAGAGGGAACTATACAGGAAACAGTCTGGGAGAAAAGTCGGAATAAGCTTGGGACCGTAGGTTTTCGGACACAACTCGGGACGGGCAGGGCAAACCGTACACTCGGGGGAGCTTTCGATGGTCATATTTTGAGGAAAGAGGAAGAAAAAAGGTTACTCATGATCGAGATAGGTTCAAATCGTTAGTGGACCAAGATTCAACAAGTAATACCGCAAGTTGTCAGTAAATCGTGACCAATGTGCTTTTTCACATTTCACATACATCGTTATCTTGCTTTCAGTGTTGTATCCAAGGAAGACTAGTACATATTAGGATACTGAAGGTTTTTTATGTACGTTGAGATCAGATTGAGAGAGCGAAATGCCGGCGGCAAATTTTTAGAACGAAATTGATTCCATAGCTCTCATTTACCTTGTCCAACGATGCCTCCCTCACGTTTCGAGCCTTCAATAATCAAAAACAAAATAAAACGGGAGGAAATAGCCAATAAGAACAAAAAGGCCAAAAGCCAGGACAAACTCCAGCGACGATTAGCAAGAGCCAAGTTGGAAGCAAATGATCCAACCGCGAAGAAAGTGAGTATCCGTCGACAGAGTATTACAATACACGCTTCCCTAACTTGTACCCTTAGAAACGTCTGAGCACAAATGTTCCTCGGACACTGGACAACATGCGAGAGTTCGATCCTTCGTTCCTGACAGCTGATCCTTCCTCGTCATCTCAGACTCAGGATGGTCCAAGCTCATCCTCCGGAGAACCTTCCTACGATGAGAACGCTGAAGACCTTGCCTCGGATCCTTTTGCTGCCTATTTTAACTCTGAAGAGGACCCTAACATCCCACCCAAAGTCTTAATCACTACATCGCCCAAAGCATCGAAACCGACATACGAATTCTGTGATGAAATAGTTGGTATTTTCCCTGGTGCAGAGTTTATTAGACGGAAAAAAGGGAAAGGGTTTGAGGTTGGGAGGATAGCTGGCTGGGCTGCGGGGAGAGGGTATAAGCATATGGTTGTTGTGAATGAAGATATGAAGAAACCTAGCGAGTATCACTCTCCATTCCTGCAATCACATTTTTCTAACTTACAATGCAGACGCAATCACCCTCATACATCTTCCAAACGGTCCTACTGCATATTTCAAACTGACCTCCATAGAACTTACCAAACAGATCTACGTTTGTCGTCTTGAAAACTCAGGCATATTCCTCGATGCTGACCCCGGGATTTTTAGGGCCATGCACGAGCGACACCACACAATCCGGAGCTCGTTCTCAACAACTTTGTGACCAGATTAGGACACACCGTTGGACGCATGTTCCAAACCCTTTTCCCCCCTTTACCTGAATTCCAAGGTCGGCAGGTTGTGACCTTGCATAATCAACGAGACTTTCTGTTTTTCCGGAGGCACAGGTACGCTCTACGCATCAACATTACATCTGGTACTTAATCCCTGTTACTCTAGATATGCTTTCAGATCACCTGAGAAAGTCGCTTTACAAGAAATCGGTCCACGGTTTACACTTAAATTGCGATCTCTAAGGAAGGGCATTCCTGCTGTATTCAATCTAGCAGAGGAACCAAAAGGCCTGGAGTTTGATGTCGATGAGTCCAAATCCAGCGCAGAGGAAACCTTGGATTCAGACGAGAACAAACAAAATGCTTTTGAGGCACCAGAAAAAGTCGTCCCACCAAAACAGGATGATTACCTTTGGAAATGGAAGGTAATGTCAAGTTTTTTTCCGATAGGTCATGGGCTAACTTTGATTTCCCAGCCGGAGCTTGAGACAACCAGGCGCACATTCTTCTTGTAAGTTGCAAGACCGGAAGACTGGATGTGGCTCAGTATATACGCATTCATGTTTTTCGACCAAAATAATGCTACTTTCTTACATACATACAAAATCATCAAGTCATAAGTCAGGATTAAGGTCAAGGTCAAGGTCAAAGAACTGAGAAGGACCGCCGCGTAAATCATGTCGATATGGATTGATACCAGGCTCCAGATTTTGAGTAGGGGAAGCTACTGGTGCTACAGACAAAAACTGTCAACAACTAGCAGGTAGTGCGGGGCATTGAAAAAGATTATACCTTGTCCAACTGAGTGAGTTTCACCTAGTTGACCAAGAGGAGCCTCTGCATTGAGATGCCCACGACGCATTTTTTCCTCGTTAGGGAACGGAGGGAAGAACATTGGAGGCGGTGGTTGGCCGGGCAAGCTGAGATCTGGCATGTTGGGGGGAGCGGAAGTAAATGCGCTCAAACTTTGGGCATAAGCCAATAGTTCAGGGTACGGTATAGATGCTGATACAACGCATGAGCCACGGCCAGCAGTACAGTACTAGGACGAGATAAGTGATACCTTTCTTTGCTTGTTCTATACTCTCAAGCCTCTCGTCTGCCTCCTCGATCATTCCATCTAATTCCCTCTTCTCCATCTCCAGCTCGATGCAGATCTGCCTCCATCGGGAATCCAATTCCAATATCTCAGCTTTCAGACGTTCTATCTTTCTTTGTTTGATCTGATGTTTGTATGAGAGATTCACAGCGGCAGCAAGTGCCTGGTCGCAAGCAAGGAATGCATCTACTCTGGGCGCAGGCGGTTTCACTTGACCCGGTGTTAGTGATAGAAACAACGTCTGAGCTAGTGTCTCCATCTCATTGAGGGGTCCAAGCAACATTGACGACATGGAGGCCCCATTTTGAGCAATGCCTTGGTTCGAGGTCACCTTGGGGAATGAAGCCATGTTTATTAGCTTCGGAAGCGCCGATGATTTTGCCGCCCGGTGCTTTTGTTTTCCTTCGACGATGGCTTCCGCTTCGGATTCGACAGAACGACTTGTGCGAACATGGATGGCTTCGGAAAGAGAAGAAGAAATAGTTAAGGCTGTATCAGGCATGCTCCGTCGTTCGTCATGATCATATTATCCCTCCTACAATCGCAATGTGACAGAAATCTCGAACGGATCGACCTCCTTGCTCAATGTTGTCAAAGCTCTGGGAGAATATCTGACTTCTGAGGAAGATGCCCTGCGAACAAAGGGTAAAATGCGCTTCCCTCTGGAAGAATTTCAAGCGATTAATCTTTCGATCCTTAGGCGTTGAGTTTCTGTCTGCCGTTCTCGGTCGTTGTCCACCAGAAAAGCTGAACCGTCAGGCCGGTACGATCTATACCAACTTTTATGCAGACATAGCTCAAAGAGGCATAGCTAGGGTCCTGACATCATTTTACTGTAGCAAGCTGGAGGACTCTGAGACTGTTGTCCCTGCACTAAAGGGATTGGTATCTCTCACCAAAATGCCTTCCTCGACGTCTGAAGACGTCCCCAGCATATTAGACGCGTGGGTCTCCTTCATTGCCGAGGCCTTTTTTGTATGAGCTCACCCAATCCTTCTACAGTATCTTTACTCATATCAAAATGAAAGGGCTTGTTCAATCCGTGCGATTTTTTGTATTCACAATTATTGACACCCTAATGGCTCGACATCGACAAGGTTTGCGTTAGGATATATATAAAGCGCTTTTAACTGACTATGTCCCTTCAAAGTCATCAAAGACATGAATGATAGCTTCCTTGGGCGTTATATTGCTCTGGTAGATGGAGAAAAGGACCCTCGGAATTTACTCGTTGCTTTTGCTATCGATCGAGTTCTTCTCATAGAATTTGATATCAATAACTTCATTGAGGTATGTCAAATTCTGTTTATTCTGAAATAGAACTCATACTCGACAAAGTCACTCTTCAATATCACATTTTGCTACTTTCCAATCACCTTTCGACCTCCTCCGAACGACCCCTATGGAATAACAACCGATGATTTACGTCAAGCCCTTCGCAAATGTTTAAATTCCACTCCTGCGTTCGGCCCATTGGCTATCCCCGTCTTCTTGGAAAAGCTTGCAGCTGGATCACCTACCACCAAGGTAGTAATCTTCTTGATTTCTTTCCAAACTGCGCAGCTCATGCTTTTAAAGCGAGATACGCTTGAAAGCATGTCCGTGTGCTTTCCTGTTTATGGCTCTGCATTAGCGCGCAGTCATGCTCGAAAACTATGGAATTCTTTGAAGCTGGAGGTACGCGTTGTCTTGCTTAAATATCCAATGTCTATAAACACTGCACAGATATTTCAACCTACCGATTCCATCACCGAAGAATTTGCGCTCAAGACCACTCAAGACCTCGTCAAGACCATCTATACCTCACAGACCGCAGATGGTACGGACAACGATATTGAGGGTCTGGCCCGAGACGCTTGCGAAGAATGCATCGCGATCCTTCGAGAGCCTGAGAAAAGTCAGGCTAAACCTGCGATCAAAATTTTGTGTGCGTTCATGTCGACGACGCGTTAGTCCCTTTTTCCAATGCCTCTTGAAATTCCACTCATAGAACGTCGTGTATAGCTTCAGTATCACGGTATACTGTTGCTCAAACAGCACCTTATCTGGTCAAGCTCTACGCACATCCTGATAATGTTGCAGCTCGGCCATCTATCTTACTACTTCTCTCCGACTTGATAGCGGCTGCGCGGGATTCGATGGCTGCTAATAAAGTCGACGATTCAGACTCACTAGAGACGCCGCTCAGTCCTTACAAAGATGAAATACTAAGCATCGTATCCTCGGCTTTGAAAGTCTCTTCGTCGCGAGATCCTGCTCTTGCATGCTTGTTAGGATTAGTTTCCACAGAAAAGCTGGTATCGGATGAAGAATTGGGCTTTATTGTCCACAGTGTAGACGAGATACTGTTAGAAGAATCAGATGAAGCTGAAGAGACCAAGTGAGTGACCCCGATTTCCCAGATTCTATGTCTAGACTCGAAACATTCTTTTCAGTGCACCTGCCCTCCAACTTCTCGTCACGATCTCGCAGAAAGCGGTTCATCATATCAAAGAACAAACGCTTCCTTTACTCTTTAGCATGTTACCAGAAGACGCACCAGCACGGGATGCAGCTTTGGATCGCGCTAGAGCATGGCGAATACTGTCTGCTCTAAATACTGTTTGCAGACCCCTCGAACTTTTCGAGACGTTGGTGATCCGCCTCACCACTAGATTGGACTTGCTCTGTGTACCTTCAGAGACTGTACCGCTTCCTGCGGACCGTGAACCTCGAGTCGCGTATGCTCATTCGATTTTGATCACTTTACATCAGACCCTCCTAGCCAAGGTTGATGATGGACACGCAGATGTAGCAAAATACATTGAAACTCTCGTTCCTAGACTTTTCAATCTCTTCATTTACTCCGCACTGGTCTCCAACGAAGTCAACCTGATTGCTACTGATATACGGCTCATAACTGTAGCCGGCCAAACTATCGGTACCGTGGTACAGAATACTGCAGCTCAGTAAGCGTTCCGAGCCTCGTTTGATGATATCCGACGCTGACCATCCTTGTAGAAGACAGGATTCCTTTATACAAGCGTTGTTTGCGGCTTACATCGACGGAGATATCAATCGCATTGCGGAAGGATATCATAGGTTACCCACAACTAATAGCTTCTCCCCATTGAATGTGAGTTCATATGTATCCACTTTGAGAGGAGCCATAACTACAATGACAACCTCAGGATTTGTCACCGTTACAGCAACGAAACTTGGTCATTTTGATGGCTTCAGCGGTTGTACCGCTACACAAGGAGGTACTTGATTATTTACCATGTGAAGAATTTGGTCCTCCTGATTCTGCCCACAGATTCAACTACCAGTTTCCAACCTGAGCGTGTTTTTGGGAAACATATTGACTTGGAGCCTTGCTGAGGTCGAAGCCGTCGTCGATCTCCAACGGGAATCTACCTGGAAAATGATATCTGCTATCCTCAATAAACGTCATGCAGGCAGCTTCACCATTTTTGCTTGATAACATACGTGACCCTAACATGGTGCTTAGATGCCTCGTTTTTCATCGAAAACATGCTACATGAATTTTGGCCGCGGCATATAGCTGATAGATCTGCATCTGCAGAAAGTCGCAATCGTGCAATCCGTCCATGGGTTTGGGTAAGACGTTGCGCGCAATCTTGGATTCAGATTAAGCTCAGCATGGATGCGTTTAACACAGATCTCCAAGGCTCTTCTTGTCTGCAACCATGCACAAGCATCTCAATTCGCCGACGTCATGTTTCTACTTTTTGACGACGAAGATATCAAATGGAACGCCGCCAAATCTTTCGGAGACATTGTTCGAACAGACACAATCTTGACCAAACAGAATCACGCCTCAATCAAGGTTTGTTGATATCTTTGGAGTATCCATGATGATCGTTGAATTAGCAAACTTCAGATGTTGTACGCGCAGCGCTTTGTTGGTCGCACATTGCCTCGTATCATTGATGGCGCAAAAGACCCAAGCGGTACGTTGACGAGATTGTTCAATCTTCGTTTAGCCAAGCTTATATCTCTCAGAACCTGGGAAACAATTATCGTATCTTGTCGCATTGACCTCGTTGATTAGTTCTATCCCAAAAGCTTTGTACTTTCATGAGATGGCTACAGTACGCAAAACAGATTCGTACCTTTATAGATCTGTCCTAATCATTGAATACTCCAACAGTTAATACCGCTCCTGGTTAGGGGACTGGACTTACCAGATCATGATATCCGCTGCCAAGTTATCGACACCTTCCTCGCTGTTGCAGAAGGCGATTCACCTGATATCGTATCCGACCACGCGCCATCGCTCATAACTACCATGCTGAAGAACAGTTCCGTGGAAAATATGCCTTCTGTTGTACGTCTTGTGTTGTTTAAATTTGGCATTTCACGAATCGTCGCATGATTTGCAGAAAGTACGGGTATCTGCCCTGAGATATCTCGGTGTTCTGCCTAGTATCGTACGATATGATGTCCTACATCCTCTCAAGGCAACAGTGATAAAACAATTGGCGGTGTCATTGGATGATCCAAAACGAGCAGTCCGTAAAGAAGCCGTAGATGCTAGGTCAGGGGATTCTTCTATCATATTTTTCATGTACTGAGAACTGATCCTTCTCGCCCCCCTCAGAACGAAGTGGTGAGTCCTTTATAAACATAAATGTTCTCTCAACTCCAACGTGTTGTTCTCTTCCAGGTTCAAGTCCAGCGGTTAGAAAATAAGTCTAGAGTGACTATTCATGATTTTGCGTAGACTTGACTGTTTCTAGGTATATCATGTGAATGACGGTGGTACACTATGTAGAACGAAAAGCAAAAGTTTGGTAAAGATGGGTACGAAATGAACAAAACCTCCTTCTTCCTTCCTATAAGTAGATCTGTAGAGCGACAATAGCAACAAGAATCGGTACTCGTCCTCTCATCCTGAAGCCATGATAGCCTTAGTCTTCCCCCCTGCGTCTGCAAGAGCAAGTTCAAATGCCTGTAAATGCTCTTCGACAATCCGCCGCCCATCGACCCTCTTGTGCCCGCTTGGTCGCGGGGATGAAATATATCCAGGAGAAGCATCCCCATCTGGTGTATCCGCCCCATCCGAAATCCCTGCCTCCCATCTTTCAATTTTCAATCTACTGCGCTCCGCACTATCCCAATCTGTGCGCCAAGTTCCTAATTTGTTCTTCAGGGCTCGGATTTTCCGTCCAGCTTCGGTTGTCGCCGCTCCGTTCACCTGGGCTTGTTCGGAGATTGTGGTCAGAGAGGTAACCAGAGAGCGGGTGAATGAGCGGAGATGAGCTAATTGGGATATAGTGGCTGCTGGGGTGGGTGGGCCCAATATGGGTGGCGGAGGCGGAAATGTATATTTAACAGGTGTCAATTCTTCTTCATAGTCAATATCATCCTCGTCTTCTCCGTCCCTATCGAGCTGATGTGGATCCGCATCCCATTCCTGAACCCGAGACCGTCGAGGTGGTTCGTCTTCAACGTTGTCGATTTGAGGATGAATCGACGCAGGAGTTGGTTTCTCTTCTTCGTGTAACTCATGCATGCCAGTAAGCTCCTCCAGCTGTCCCAAAACGTCCTCACCCCCGACTTGACCAGCAATCTTCCGGAATTCCCGCTCGTATTCTAAAAGTTCCCGAACTTGACCTTCTCTATCTCTTGTGGTCTCGTCTAGCCTTCGAATAACATCATAAGCCATCTTTTCTAGTGACAGCTGCTGCGATGCAGAAGCGATTGAACCAGGTTCATTGTCGAGATGCCTGAGATGAGAGAGGAACTTGTCAGTGGACTCTAAGTCCTGAGCAAGCACTTCCATCGCGTCCTGCTCTGGTCTCTTGGATTTCTTATGTCTCGTCGCAGAAGGACTGCCAAAGACAGGATCATAGTCTTGTTCGTCACGAACAGCACGGTGTTGTGGGGTATCTGCAAAAGATGTATCCAACGCATCGCGGTGATTCAATTCGTCGGCAAATGATGGTCCTTCATTACTATCGACAAGCAGTTGCGGATGGTCACTATTTGAATGATGAATGTCTTCGTCGATGCCTTCCGCGCCTTCATCGTATTCTATCCCGAACTCTTCTGCTAATAACCTCGACCCAGCGCTAGGCTCAGGCATTAGGGCGGCTGCAAGCTCATGAGCTAATGAAAAGCGACTGTTGCTGGCATCCTGATCCATGGTCTGGGCTAGACTGGACGAAGACCGCAAAGACGTCGCAGATCGTCGGGAATTAAGGCTTTGTCGCGATGGTGACCGCCGAGGACCGGTAGATGAGGATGCAGACAAAAACTGTGAGCTAGAAGAGCCGAAAACATCTGAATTATCGTGTGTCATGACAGAAAGAGAAATCTCAAAGCAAAGAAGAAAGCCGCGGGTGGACCTTGTTGACGCGTAAAGGAGATTCGCGTTGTTGGTCTTTCTCACGGACATGCGGTTTTGTAGGTCAAAGCGATTGTCTAGAATTTCAGATGATGATCATAATGATTCACACAATCTACTTTCGCCACGAATTTCAATTACAATGGCCAGTCTGGTCCAAAGACTCTATCGAGTGAGTAACCCTGTAATCAACTGTAATCCTTACTTATTGAGGGCCGAATCTCTTCATGTAGATCTTTGTTCCCCCGAGCCAGCCGTCTAAGGTTGAAGACTCTTCCAATCCACCAATTAAATTTGGAATCCTTGGAGCAGCTAATATAGCTCCTCCTGCCCTTCTCCTTCCTGCAAAAAGCCACGCAGAGGTAATTGTATACGCTGTCGCGGCGCGAGACCAGGGAAAGGCCGAGAAATTCGCAAAGAAGCACGGTATTGTCAAGGTTTACGGTGGTAGTAATGGTTACCAGCGTATGTCTAACCTCTGAAGATATGTCAATTGGGCTCCATACTGAGTTGTTTGCAGAGCTTTTGGATGACCCAGAGGTTGACGCGATCTATAACCCGGTACATACCCTCTGACCTTTCGAGTTTTCATAGCTTTGAATCAACTCACACATACACGTCTTCAAAGCTCCCAAATGGCCTTCATTTTGAATGGACCATGAAGGCTCTCCTTGCAGGGAAACATGTATTATGCGAGAAACCGATGGCTGACACAGCTGAAGAGGTGAAGCAAATGTTCGATTTAGCTGAGAAGAAGGGATTGGTATTGCTCGAAGCGTTCCATTATCGGTGGGTAGACCAGAAGGTCGTCGTTGCTGTGAATTTCAATTTCAAGTTGGCTTACATCCTTGAAATCTTTGTTTATTTTCTGTTATACTCAAAAAGTTTTCACCCTGCTATCCAACGTGCCAAAGCTGTCTTGGACAGCGGCGAACTTGGAAAGATTAAGAGCATCGACCTGAAGTTCACGGCTCCTGCTGGCGCTATGAAAGACTCCGATATCCGGTTCAATTTAGCTCTGGGAGGAGGAGCAACGATGGATTTGGGCTGTAAGCTCTTCCGCATACTGCATGCATAACTAGGTTTCACCCACCTCTCTCCAGGTTACAGCCTCAACTGCATCCGGTACTTATCGTCATCTGACCCCACCTCTGTTGTCTCTGCTATAGCCCTTCCCCTCAAATCTGCCAACATTCAGGAAACCAAGATCGACCGAGCAATGAGCACCACACTCGCTCTTCCAAACGACGTCCTCGCCTCCATGGAAGTCGATCTCTCAATGCCATGGGAATTCTTCCCACCCAAACTTTTCAAAATGTGGGTGGTCGTCAAATGTGAAGGTGGCGATGTGGAAGTTCAGAATTTCGTGTTGCCGACTTTCTGGCATTCAATTAAGGTCTCGAACAAGGTTGGCGGAACCACTACTAGACGCGTTGAAAAGGTATATAAATTTGCCGATGCTCATATCGACGATCATTCAAAGGCTTTGGACTTGGGGGAGGACTGGTGGTTGACTTATCGCTACCAGCTCGAGGCTTTTGTCGATAAACTCAAGGGTAGAATACCACAGACATGGGTGACCAGGGAGGATTCTATTGCAAATATGCAGTGGATCGAAAACATCTACGAGAAGGTTCGTGTTATGCCGCTTTGTGATTTTTCTTTCGAATGCTGACAATGTGTTCAGGCAGGAATAGGATCCCGTCCCCGTTCCAACTATGTATTGCCTGCCCAGTGAATAAGACTGCAAACTGCCCTCAGAGAGGGTGAAACTTCGAACTTGAATCAAAAATTCTTCATTATGCTTGGTCACCAACCTACCAGTGAACCTATAGCTCCTTCTAATCGACCGTAAGACCCTGGTAAGACCTACACATCCAATCTTATATCTTGAAACTAGTAAGGTGATTGAGCTTGCTCAAGCTTTCCCCAGAGCCAAAGGATATTACCAAGCCTGAGCAATGGGAGCAAGAATGTTATGCGGCCTTCAGCGCGTTATACAATGTGTGTGAGCTTGTGTTCCAGGAGCACAACGCGAAAATGTTGAGGGGATCACCGAGCCACGAACTGTAGGTACGATATGCCTATCGTACGGTGTTGAAGATTCTGTGCCGTTGGATGAGAGAGCTGGAGGTCAGTGATGCAGTGTGATCATGCATCAAAGGAGAAGGACTTGTCGAACGTCTTTTTGGACAAATTCGAAGTATGGGCGTTTGGAAGGTTCAGCAAATTGATGGCCGGATGTGGCAGACCTGCCCGCCCCACAGGTCTACCCTTGCAAAGAAAGCCCCGAAGAGTAGGGCGCGTTGCATCTAAGTACAGTATGTACTTTGTTTTCATATGAGCTGACAGACATCTGCCTTGCCGCATCCCGCCCGACCCGCCTCTACATAGTTTTACAGTTTGTTATATGAGCGGCAGCAGGAGCTACTAATTGTTGGAGTTTGTTGTTCGGACCGCCCAGAAGTTATAGGTACACAAGTACATACAACGAATCTACGAGACAATGTGTATGCTTGTGTATGTAGTTGCTAGATTATCTCTTCTATACAGTCTTTATGTCCATCGTCGTTCGTCGTCGTCGCTCAGAGTCGTGCCTATCGCGCTCTTCGCTCCTGTGAGGCATCCTGTCTTGTCCTCCGTCATACCCGTTCTCAACACTAATATGTATATCAGAATGACTAAGACAAAAGGAGAAGATACAGCGACGCGTCACAGACCCACGCCTACCCACGCAGACCGGTCAAAACTATTGAGAAACACCCGCATTTGCAGAAACGTAAAGACATATGTACATATGGTGACTAAATCATATTGACTAAGAACAGCTAAGAACGCGGGATAAAATGGTCGAGGCTAAATATATCGATAGTTCGAACTTCGCTGTATATAAGACACTTTCAAACTTCTAAATAGGGGAATTGCACTGCGGACCCTTCGACCACCACTGAAAAGGTAACGGGAAAATCAAACAGATCAACCCAGTCAACTTTCGCTACGAATTATAATGGCCAGTTTGGTCCAGAGGCTATATCGAGTGAAGTTGGCCCGTAATTAATAACTGCAGTCTTACTGAAGGTTGAATCTTCCCATGTAGGTCTTTGTCCCCCCGCATCAGCCCCCCAAGGTTACCAATCAGCCAATTAAATTCGGAATCCTTGGAGCAGCCAATATAGCTCCTGCTGCTCTTATTATTCCCGCAAAAAGCCACGCAGAGGTAATTGTATACGCTGTCGCGGCGCGAGACCAGGTAAAGGCCGAAAAATTCGCAAAGCAGCATGGTATTGGCAAAGTCTACGGCGGCAGTAATGGTTACCAGCGTATGTTTGACCTCTGAAGAGATGTTGCTTGGGCTCCATACTGAGTTATTTGCAGAGCTTTTGGATGACCCAGAGGTTGACGCGATCTACAACCCGGTATTTCTGACGTTGGAATTTGCAGCTTTGATTCAACTCTCACACATACACATGTCTTAGCTCCCAAATGGCCTTCATTTTGAATGGACCATGAAGGCTCTCCTTGCAGGGAAACATGTATTATGCGAAAAACCGATGGCTGACACAGCTGAAGAGGTGAAGCAAATGTTCGATTTGGCTGAGAAGAAGGGATTGGTATTGCTCGAAGCGTTCCATTATCGGTGGGTGGACCAGAAGGTCGTCGTTGCTGTGAATTTCAAGTGGGCTTACTTCCTTGAAATCTTTGTTCATCTTCTTTTGTCATACCCAAAAAGCTTTCACCCTTCTATCCAACGTGCCAAAGCTATTTTGGACAGCGGCGAACTTGGAAAGATTAAGAGCATCGACCTCAAATTCGCGCTTGCTGCTGGCTTCATGAAAGACTCCGATATCCGGTTCAATTTCGCTCTGGGAGGAGGAGCAATGATGGATTTGGGCTGTAAGCTCTTCCGCATCCTGCAAGTATTACTAAAGTTCCAACCACTTCTCTCTAGGCTACAGTCTTAACTGCATCCGGTACTTGTCGTCTTCTGACCCCGTCTCTGTTGTCTCCGCTACGCCTCTCTCACTCAAATCCGCCAACATCACTGAAACCAAAATTGACCGAGGGATGAGCGCTACACTCGCTCTTCCAAACGACGTCCTCGCCTCCATGGATGTCGACCTTTCAATGCCCTGGGAATTCTTTCCACCTAAGCTGTACAAAATGTGGGTTGAGGTCAAGTGCGAAGGGGGAAATGTGGGAGTACAGAATTTCGTGCTGCCGACTTTCTGGCATTCAATTCACGTGTCGAACAAGGCCAGTGGAGGTACCACCACTCAACGTGTTGAAAAGGTGTATAAGTTTGCCGATGATCAATCAAAAGTTTTGGACTTGGGGGAAGACTGGTGGTTGACGTATCGCTACCAGCTTGAGGCTTTTGTCGATAAGCTCAAGGGACGAACACCACAGACATGGGTGACTAGGGAGGATTCTATTGCCAATATGCAATGGATCGAAAACATCTACGAGAAGGTTCGTGTTATGCCCCCTTGTCATTCTTGTTTTTTCTGATTTTGACAATGGACTCAGGCGGGAATAGGCTCCCGTCCTCGTTCCGACTACGTATTGACTGCAGAGTGAATTGAGTAACTCTTTCTCTGCCTACATTAGTACACATTGGACAAAATAATTTTGCACTTCTTCATAAACTGGCTGAGCTTGCTTGATCTATGCTCAGGACGGACTTGCCCACTGCTTTAATTGTTCCACCTCAATTCACAGTGAACTGACAGAGACTTACGGGAAGTCATAGTGAAGTAACTCAATATCTACATCTTATTTACGGTGACCAAGATCACCCAACAACAAATTATCTATCAACCTCGTCCCATTAACCCACATTGCTCCGCTCAAAATGACCGTAGACGCGTCCTCTCCCCTAGACTGTAGTGTGACTTCATCCTCCAAGACTTCGAAGTCTTCAGCATCGTTCATCTCTATATAATCAAGCTTTATCTCCACCTCCATCCCTCCCCCATCCAAAGTACCCATTTCCGTATTTCGAACACGGTGTATTACTTCCCGAGCAGCATCCACACACTCCTTCTTGCTCTTCCCCTCGAGGAACCAGCAGTGTTCTGCGGCCTTGAGCGCGTTATACAGTGTCGGAGCGACTTTGCGTCCGGAAGGGGATAGATATGCGTTCCGGGAGGACAGAGCGAGGTTGTCGAGGGGATCGCGGGCTGTAGGCACGATGTGGAGATTCTGTGCAGAGGGATGGGAGAGGAGGAGGTCTGTGACCATGCGTCGTAGGAGGAGGGCTTGTTGGATATCTTTTTGACCGAAATAGGCGTTCGTTGGCTGTTGTGATGATTAGCAACACCAACACAAAAAAACAGTGTTCTGTTTTAGTTTACTAAACCACGATTTCAATTCGGGACAAACCCACCTGAATTACATTAAACAGCTTCGTAACCACCGTCGCTACTCCGCGGAAGAAACCCGGTCTGCTCTTCCCCTCCATTTGCTCGTCGGCGTAGCCTTTGACTTCGACGAACGTCCCACGTTGTAGACTGGCGTCTTGCGATATACCATGAGGATACATCTCGGAGACGCTAGGCAAAAACACAGCGGAGGGTCGTCTGATATGGGTCGGTTGCCCGGTTATCGTCGAGGTCGAGTGGGTGTTCGGTGTGTTCGACACGACGAGGTGTTGTTGTTGAGCAAGAAGCTTTAGATCATGTTCCAGCGTACGGGGATACGTCTCGAGATCTTCATGTGGAGAGAACTGAGCGGGGTTGACGAATATGGAGAGGACAGTTAGGTCGTTTTCGACGAGGGATTTGCGGACTAGGGAGATTGTATTCTTATTAGTCTCGTATTCAAAAAATCCATGATGACAATTCATATCGATAACGGGAAGTACATTTAGATAGTCGAGAAAACGCACCAAGATCTAAATGTCCTTCATGTAAAGCACCCATCGTAGGAACGAATCCAACCGACCTATTCTCCATAAACGCCTTCCGTCTCCATTCCCTGTACGAAGCAACAGTAGTGTATATCGGTATATCCGATTCCGAATACGCCTCGGGCTGCGTGGATTTCACAGACAGCGACGCAGCCGACTGCGGTAACTTCGTAGTCGCAGTACCAGACATTCTGCGAGAACGAGATAGTGACCCCAGACGATATCGATAAGAGCTACCAAAACAGCTCAAGGAGCTCAGGGAAGTGAAGATGGTGGTGTATGGAGCCCGACGCGGATGCGAGATGTAGCAGCAGAACATAATTTAGCTAATGTTAGTGTTAGCACATAATATTAGACTCCGAACGAAAAAGGATAGGAAACAAATAGAGACTCGGATGGAGAGGCATTCGTCTCATCGATGACAAGAGGGTTGCGCCCTGAACGATAACGTAATACTAATACTAAAATAGCCGCGCTCTCCCGAAGTACTCCCGGTCAATCATAATTTTGGAATATGTACACGGATTTACAGTAAGCGTTCAGATCACAGACAATCCACAGGAATCCTCAAATGCTAATATCAATTTGTACCACTGTTGTACATTGACGGGTATCAAAGAAACTTCGGTGCAACCAATCTGCACCAATAATCCCAAGTAGTTGTACTTCCGTACTTGATTTGTCCTTTACACTTTACAGTGACCCCCCACTCTGTCGCGCCCCAGCTCGGATACGCATTATGACCGAAATAAAAAGAAAAAGAAAAAGACAAGCAAGCCCCATTGGATCCGTCCGTGTACATATCTCCACTGGTGTTTTTTTCTTCGTCACTGGCAACAAACACCCTTGAGTTCGTCACCCTCACCCCCACCCCCCCAGCAACCCGCCACCCCCACAGCAACACTTCACCCCCATGGCAATGGCAACCACCTCACCCAACACTCGACCCACTTTCCAACGTAAGAGCATAATCATTCGACGTCGTCCCACTAATCCCACTCGCATTACTCCCCCTCCGATCAAATTTATTCCTCCTCCCATGCAACACATGCGAGTATTTTGACTGCGGGGGTATAGGTGCGGAACGAAGAGCGGGGTTACTATAGATAATTTTGCAGAGAAAGAGAGAGGATCAGACGAGAGAGGATCAGACGTCTGGGGGTTAATACCGATAGTATAACACACTCACTTTGCGATCAAAGTAGGCCCAGTAGCCAACCTCGCGAAATTACTCGGGAACAACGGATTCCCAGGTGCACGATCCCCCACGGGGTCGTAACCTCCCTCAGAATCATACCCACTCCCCGCGCCCCCAACAAGGTATCCATGAGACCCAATGGAAGTAATAGACCCCGACGACCCAGTCCTCGTCAACCCCCCTTTACCACCAAAACTCTGACTCCGAGTAAGGTCGCCAAGATCACCGGCACCCCCGATGGATCCCCAGCTCAAACGCTTCGAGTTCGAGTTCGGGTCGGTCTTAGTCCGGGATAACGAGCCGCTTCGACTGAGTGAGCCGGTGAGACCCTGCGATTGACTTTGGCTTTGGGAAAGCTGGGAAAGGGGTCGATAGGCGAACACGGGGGAAGAGGTCGTGGAAGAGGTACTGGGAGTAGGTGAGGAGGGAAGGGATATACGAAGACCGTGAATCTGGGTCGGGTCAATCGCTGGCTCGGGTGCCGCCGCAGAATTGTCATTATCCAAAGTCTCACTCTTTTCCTCTTGTTCTTTTTCTTTCTCTTTCTCTTTTTCGTCTTCTTCATCTTCCTCCTCCGCGCCCTCTAGGATGTCTCCCAACGCATTCGTACTAGCTCCATTGCCTGCCGAATCTGACAACAAAGCAGGGAGGCTAAGCGGGGGTGGATACAAACCAGGGGAGCCAACAGAGTTTTGGCTCGGAGAGAGGATAAGTGGTTCGATGACCACTCCCGTTTCAGGATTTGGACCGGATGTGGCAGAGGTGAAGGATAACAAAGATGGGATGGAGGATGATAAGGAAGGGGAGAAGGATCCTGGTGATCCTATGGAGGAGCGCGAATTCGTTTTGACGTGCCTAGTGGTCGTCGTCGTCGTCGAAGCTGAAGTTTTACTTGACACATCCTCGCCATCAGGGATGGGTACAGCCTTGACCTGTTGACCTTCGTCGAAAGAAGTCGTTGGGGTAGGCATTTGCTGCATGATTTTAGGAAGGTCCGGATCTCTTGCAGGGGATCTTGACTCCCTCTGAACAGGCGTCGGGCTCTCAGTTGTATCTCCCGAACCTGAACGCTGTGTATGCAACATCGATGCTGCAGCTGCATTAATCGGTATTGGGTCCGTCGATGGACTTTTGATGAAAGCAGACGCCGGAGCGCTACCACGATCATTGTTAGGACTGTCCATAATCGCATCCCAGCCCTCCCAATAACCTTTTCCTTTCATACCTCCATCCTCCATATCTTCCGTTCTGGGTGTCTTTGTCGACCCGGGAGTCTGTAGATCTCTATCCGACTCTGACTCTGACTCGGAAGATTCGAATACATCTGCATTCATTTCCATCTCCAAATCGAAATCCACGTCCAACTCTGGAGGGACGCCCAAAGCGCCTTTGACTCGTTCCCAGATGAGTTCCGAGTGAGATAGAATACATCTCCGGATCTTGGCGACCCAAATTGTGTCGGGTTCTTGATCGCGAGAAGTATCAACGATGAAAGCAATAAGACTGTCGTACGTCCATGTTGTGGGGTCAATAGGAATATCAACACCTGGAGTTGGAGAAAAAATACTTCTTGTAGGAGAATCGGACGGGGAAGACTTGGATTCCGGATCAGGATTAGCTACAACGAGATGGCCGGTTGCTGGAAGCGAGTCTTGTCTCGGGAACGTTTGTTTTAAAAGCGCAAAAAGTTTACGTGTCGGGGTAGATTCTATGAGCGCTTTTACTTCCGCCGAGCGATCTATGAATGGAAGATACACAGACGGATGTAAAGGCGTGAATGTAGCCGGTGTTGTACCAGTACTAATTCCACTTGACGGAGACGACCGTGGGGAACCTGTAAAGTGCGGTGACCACCTCTGGTTCAAAGGTGACGTCATTGTAGGTAGATGCGTGGGATGTGTAGCTTGATGAGCAAGATCGTACAATTGTTCTGGTGTCAATTTGGGTTTAGGCGCTGCGTATCCCGACGTGGAACTCCGATGACCGCTGGGTGACGAAGGTCTGATCCTCGATGACGTCGAAGGTGACGAAGGCGAGGGTGTCCTAGCTCCTGTCCTGTCTGACTGAGTGCCAGGCCTCGCAGGTCCAAATGTCGAAAATGCAAAGCTCATCCGAGGACTTCCTTCTGCGCCTGCGCCTCCTTCGGGTCTTCCACGAGGTCCTGCGCCTGAGTCGTTGTTCCCAATCCGACGATGCGGTCTTCGCTGTCCTGGGCCAGGAGGATCTTTGAGCGATATAGTCCCATGGTTGTTATTGGAAAATGCACTGAAGATGTCGGATGGCACGACCTTGACGATGGTCAAAGTGCTCGTTGAGAGTCGGTTGGGGTTCAAGTTGATCTCACCATGTTTCGCGTATGGATCCTGAGCACTAACAGATCCTCGACGCGAAGAGAGACGACGGCGAGGCGTCGTCGGTGAAGAAGGCGAAGTCATCGTGGTGGTGGAATGGAAGTAAAAAAAAAGAAACCTTCGCTTGATCAATGATTTTTTTCTGTGCGCGCAAGTAAACGAGTGATCATATTTTATCGCATGAACGTTTGAACTCCATCACCTGGTCTACGTAAAATCGTTGTTCCGCTCCTTTCCGTAGCCATTTCAAGTACTTGGTTGACTCTTTCCAAATCAAGTAAATCGCGAATGTTCTAGAGATGAGATGTAGAACAACCGAGACAGGTGCTAGTAAGATCACAGCCAGCTCGAAGCATGCTCGCTGCCTGGTATAGGCGGTCGCTGCACATGTAATTCTTTCTCCAGTTTCCCCGTGGGGCGACCACGTGAGCTGGTCCAGGGCGACCGACGCGCTCATGTGTCATCATCTTGCTCGATTTCGATCATGAACATTTTGCGGAACTTTGTGACTTCAGTGAAAGTCAGTGGTGACGCCGTCGAACGCCGTCCAGCCTCGCATTCAAATCAATATCCTGCCATCCTAGACTCGAGTTCCAAAAACCAACAAAATGAACCCTGGTAACCACGGTCGGTCCACATTGCTATTATTGGACTCTCCCCTTCATCTTGCGTTCCTGGCATGAGCTTTTATGTGAACATAGGATACCATCTGATCGTCAAACTGAGCTTGTTTCATGTCGCAAGTCGCAAGAACTCAATCTACACAAGGGAAAAATAACAACCTAATTCCGAAGAATATGCGGTGACCTCATGCATGCAACGGCCCCCCCCCCCCAAAAAAAAAACTCATAAAACCCAGCGAGTTTTATATGTATGTATGAGAATATCCTCATCTACATCGACACTCAAATGACTATGAAATCCCTCAATGTGTTCGGCATCGCTACTACTGTTGGTCTAAATATGATGACTGTCAGAGGGTATTTGCAACTGCCGTCTGGAAATACCTCGTTCACCCAGTATTCAGGTTGTGGAAGTCCTGGTTAGTGTTCTTAGTCTCCATCGTCGTGCCCTCAAAAACCTCTTTGAATAATATTACTGACGAACTGTCCACTGTTTATTTTCTTTTCTTTATTATCCTTTATTATCTGATCACGATCCCCTCATCTCCGAATTCCATCCGAACTTTCAGCTTGCGGCGTCACAGCAACAGGGTTCACTGCAGCCATCAACCAGCTGGCTTTCGGTTCCGTGCCAGGTCTGGGAGCCGGAGATGCCTGCGGTAGATGCTTCGCCCTCACCGGCGCTGCTGACCCGTACTCCCCCGCGTTCACTGGACCGTTCAATTCAATTGTCGTGAAGGTCAGTACCTAACATACATCATTACCAGAGACATCATTACCAGAGTACTACTACCGACATACCGACATTCAAATAAACCATACCCATTAATTCGACCAAGAATCTTTGACTGATACCCTTCGATGTTGTAATGTAGGTGACGGATATGTGCCCTGTGGAGGGAAACGAAGTAGGTGTTGTTTCAGTGGATGATGATTCGTCGTCGTCGTTCGAATCAGTATAACGCGCCCGCTCATCATCGACATCTCTTTTATTGTGATATAGCAATGGTGTGGACAGACGACCTCCGACCCTATAAATTCTTTCGGAACGGAATTCCAGTGAGTACAATATATTCCAACAATGTTATTGTGGGCCTGGCTCCGAGGCAGAACTACGTATAAAACAATTCAACTTCAACTTCCAATATTGAATCCCCACTCCTAACCTCCACATAAATCATTCATCGAACTCACACACATCTTTTTTTCTTTTTCTATGTACACAGCTTCGACATCTGTGAAGACACCGGAGGCGCTTCAGCGTTCTTCCCATCCGGACACACCGCACTCACCGGCTCTTTTACCGAAGTCAGCTGTAGCGAGTGGTCGGGTTCAGATGGAAGTGATCTCTGGAACGGGGCGTGCATCAGTGGTGAATCCGCTGCTCTGTGGCCGGGGGGAGTCGGGTGCGGGAATCAAGGTGAGTTTTCTAGTACTTGGTACCTTGGTGCTCTTGGTGCTATGTATGGTTCGGGATATCATGATCGAGGATGGTCATGGAATGATTTACATGGAATACTGACTTGGATATTTCGTGTTTGTGTATTGGGATACTAGGAACGTCGGTTTGAAAGTTTCAAGAAGACAAGAAATAATTCGGAGAGATTCGGAGTCGATTTGGAGATGGGCTGGGATTACTAGGGATTAGTAGGGATTACTGCTGATGATGATCATTGAGTTTTTCAAAACTCGACCGCTGCCGCCGTCTTGCTCTTGTTCATGAGTACACATAGGTACATACATCATGATATATGCGACAAGCTTTTTTTCTACAATCTGCTATGATGTGAACTGAGTAGCAAAAACGGCTCAAAATGGTAGGAAACTTGAAAGTACCAAAAAAAGTTTTTTTTTTTTTGCACTTTTAGATGATGTTGTTTTGGTTTTAACCTCAAAAAAGAAAAAAAAGAATAACATGTCAAGAAATTTACCTTCCAGGTGGCCAAGGGTGGACACTATGATGCGTGGACGGTAATCGGTCGGCGGTAAACGCTCATGTTGGGTGAGGTCTGGTGAGGTTGGGTGCCATTTAATCATTTCGAAACTCGTCAAAAGCCTCAGGTACTAGTCACACAGACGTTCACCCTGAGATAAATGAGACCAGAAAGGATGTACGAGGACATACGAAATGGGACGCAATTTGAACAGATAAAAACCAGAACGAGCAAGATACGGAAACCTGGAAAATAGAGAAAAAAAAATTGTCAACTCTGAACTTGCTGAAGAATCCGAAGAATTTGCGGGGAATCTGCGATGATCAAAGACTAAAACTGAACAAGACTGAGCAAGACTGAGCAGACGGCGTTGAATCAAAAAACCATGATTTATAGCCCCTGCACCCCTAGATTCCTTCAGTACTCAGTACTCAGTTCCCATCTGTTCCCATGTCCTCAGGCTGGTCGCTAAATTGCTCGGAAAATTGCTAGTAGATTCCTTCCGCTGAAGGAGAATACCAGCTGCGTCTTTGAATCTTTTGAGCGTGATTCGGTCACCGTAGTTTATACAGATTTCGAAAAGCTGTCAGCCTGAGGTTTGGAGATGCATGTCATTCCACTGTCACTCCTTTACACAAGAAATAGGCCAGGTAGTCTCTCGACAATAAAGCAATCCCAACTCCGGGTGAACCGGAACCTCTAGCAAAATAAGACTATTACATCAGAATCAACAACTGGAAAAGTCAGAACTATGTAGTACTATGTAGCAGTATGTAGCCTACATAGTGAGGGAGATTACTCACAATGGCCGGAACGTTGACAACTACTAGGAAGGAAGTAAGGGATATTATATGGCTTGGTCCAAGATCAGTACACCACACAGTCCGGGGATTATCCTGGCGTGGCTCCTCGCCATCGTCCCCGGGACGTGAGGGGCACATCTGCAAAACCTGTATTTTCAGCTAAGGGTCTGAAAGTGGTCAAGAGCACTTCCCAGCAGTGAAAGCACCCAGAGCATGTTGCTTTTGGTGCTTTCAGCACTGGGATCTGCTGGGATCTGCTCTCAGCCCTTAGCCGAATATCCAGGTTTTGCAGATGCAGGACTTCGACGAGCTCAGGAACATACCACTCACCACTAAGAGAGTTCCACCCCTTGGTCTAAATCTTGTCATGGAAGCTTACCAGTATTGTCCATGCAATGTTGGGCGCAGCGCGCGAAAACTTTGAAGTGCGTACAATGTAGTCACAGTAGGCCTGCATGAAATGACTGACAAGTACTGGGCCTTGATCAAGTTCCGATTATTCGTCGACTGACCCTTTTATGGTCATCATCTATGTATCAAAAACGTCACGATCCCCTTGAAGCTTGAGCTGGAGCGACTGTAATGGGGGGTTGTCGCGAGGAAAAGGATCGATATATCCGAGACTGTCAAAGTTCCATTATCATTTGAAGCATTTTTAAAGTTTCGACCAGGGACCGTCGAGGAGATTTTGGACTCACTTGAGCCTTCATGTCGAATAGACCGTGACGCAAGATGTAGCTCCGAGTCGAGGTCCTTATGCAAAAGCTAAATCAGCGAATAGTGAAGTAAGGGAAGTGCATGTAACTGGAGGCAAGATGATTTCTATGTGGGCGAGCAAGTACCCCACGGTGTCGTACTCGGATATTCGGATATTCGGCGCCCTTTTGCATTTGCCAAACACACTCGAAGCATGAAATAAAAACCTTTTCTGAAATGAACTTGAAAGAGGGATATGCGGGGAAGGATTTATTAGTCGGTGTCTGTCACTGGGAGAATACCATCCACATACACATATGATAGCACCCCGAATCCGAAAAGGTTGCGGAGTATTTGCGAAAGTTCGGATTGTATAAAGGGTGTCCAAGGAAATGGCACCAGCCAGTCACTAACCCTGTCATGAGATCCTTTATCATCTTGCTCAGCATTGTGGCAGCCGTCCACGGATGGGTGCAACAGCCCTCAGGGAGCACTTCATTCACCCAATACTCGGGATGCGGAAGCCCTGGTGAGTTCATTTGTCCGACTGCTCTAACTATATATTGAGGAACTGACGCCGGTTTTTGTTCAATTTCTTAGCATGCGGAATATCAGCTTCAGGATACACCGCAGCTATAAATCAATTGGCGTTTGGTTCTTCTCCTGGGTTGGGGGCGGGAGATGCATGTGGACGATGCTTCCAGCTCACCGGGACGGCTGATCCGTATTCGCCCTCCTTCACGGGGCCTTTCAAGTCAATCGTAGTAAAGGTAAAGATTGAGTTGGTTTCTGAAATGAATCATAGTCATTCGAACGTGATTTCATCTTCGATGATCTAGGTGACAGATATGTGTCCTGCTGCAGGAAACCAGGTCAGTGGTTAATGAAGCTTCAATCGAAACCATCTTGGAAACTTGGCATGAATGACTGACATCGCTCTCGCTAGCAATGGTGTGGTCAAACCTCATCCAATACATTAAACTCCTTTGGAAAGGAATTTCAGTAAGTTCAAGCTCAAACCTCTGTTGAACATGAAGTTAAATGTTCATGGAAAATGTGATAGTTTCGATATCTGCGAAGACACTGGAGGGGCAGGTGCATTCTTCCCATCCGGACATACCGCACTAACTGGCACGTTCACGGAAGTGAGCTGCAGTGAATGGTCGGGCTCAGACGGAGGAGCACTTTGGAATGGAGCATGCATCAAAGGCGAGTCTGCGGCGTTGTGGCCGGGAGGCGTCGGTTGTGGAAACCAAGGTACGTTGAACCTGCGGAATGTGTAAGTGTGGATTTCTGACATCTCTAAACAGGAAGCTCTTTATGAATCTTTGCGTTTGTTCTATATTCGATGGCGTCACAAGCCCTGGATTGTTTTCCATCCGATGTAAACACTATCTTGAGAAACAAATAACAGTCAAATTGCGACTAGTCTAGCCGAATTTCGTCTTCAGGAAAGGGCTTTAGAAATATGGAATGAATTTTTGGGGTGACATTGTTCTGAAAGTGCTAAAGATTGCAACGAGTGAAGCTACGGATGAGATTGTTGAAGTTCAGTGATGTTTGAGAACTAAGTTCTCGACGGATGGGGCGGAGGGACCCAGTGTCAGCTGCCCACTGTGCCGAGATAAGTGCTGGATAAAGGCGTGGGAATGAATCATTGGTGGTTTGAATGCCTTCTGCATCGTTGATGTCCGCATGGGCGAGCATAGCTCAGAAACACTCCTCAAGATTCAAGGATTGCGCGAGCTTGATTATTCCGAGGCTATATTTGTCTGGCCTTTCTACTGCCACGGACGATGAACTGATCTCAAAACTTGGTGTAACTCACGTCGTGTCGGTTCTCGATTGGGCGCCAGAGTTTCCAGCATCAATTCCAGTTCCTAATCGACTGCATATTAACTTATCAGACTATTCGACCTCGAATATTCTTGCCCATCTAGATACCACGACGGAATTTTTGAAGGCAGCGCTTGAAGAGAATGAATCGAATGTTGTCCTGGTGCGTTATACATTGTATCCCCAAGTCATCTACTCTGATATTTAAGCATGCAGGTTCATTGCTTTCAAGGTGTTAGCCGCAGTGCGACTGTAGTATGCGCATACCTCATCTCAAATGTTGGTATGACTGCCAAGGAGTCAATCACCTTCGTTCAATCCAAGCGTAAAATAGTGTCGCCTAATAATGGCTTCAGGAAACAACTTTACTTGTATGCGATGCGACTTCGAGATAATGCCCTCCTGAGTTCCACAGTTGACGCTGAAGCCATGGAGGAGAATACTAAAGTTGTGGATGGTACACAAAGGACCCCAGTATCTCTGGGAATTTCATCCGAATATCCATAGTAGATGCTTTTAGACAGTAACCCATGCCCCTGCAGTCCTTACACGATGGAAATTAGCTCAACTTTCGCTCATTCTCCCATTAATGTACCCCTTTGGCGACATTACACCTTGCTTGTGTGACTTCCACTTCTCACTTGCCTAGCAATGTTCTTTACATAATTAGTTAAATCTCACAAAAAGGGCTGCATCCGGATCCCTTTTGCCCTATAAGGCGTAGATGTGACCCTGTTCCGCCGTCGGATCGGACAACGACAACTTTAAAAGGAAATTTTGCACGAGCGCTCGAGTTTATGGATGTTCAATGACCATAAATTGTCCCCCCCGGGGACACACGCCTTGCTTGTGTGGTTCCGGGCTGAGAAAAGCAAACTAGCCATTATTATATAGTGTTGGTTGAACTGTATGAAGATAATATGTGCTCTATACATTAACATTGCAAATTTTACAGCTCAGGCAATTTGTGTGAACTTCACCATTTACAGACAATGCCTGGACAATGCATTCGTTACTACGAATATTGTTTGCTCTACAACGTAAACTACCAATGCCTCGACAAAAGCACATTGAAGAGTGTAAGGTGACTGGACGGCGGAACATCACATGCACAATGTGAGGTGAACGGAAGCAAAAGTATTACAAAGCATGGAATTGACAGATTGTAAGGAGAAAAATTGTAAGAGCAGCACAATATTCAAAGGTTGTACAATAACAAGGGCAGTAACAGGGAAGAAAACCATCAAAGGTTGGATGATAATAAGGGCACTAACAGGAAAGAAAACCACAAAAAGGGTGGTTGAAGGAGGTTGTAAGGGAAGACTGAAATCTGTAAATGAGCCAAAATAGATTTTGGAACAGGTGAGGTAGGTAAACAATGAACTGAAAGGTGTTGGTGTACTTGAAGAGGTGTGAATGAGCAAAGGTGAAGAGCAGAAGGCTTAGGTGGTGAAAGGGCCAGCACATAAAACCGTGAGAAGATTTTCGCGCGCGCTTATAATATCGAGTAAGAAAGGACCGTTGCAAGCAAGGTGATTGTTCATCTCTGATACTGTTTGATACGGTATGCATCTGAGCCCTGTCTGCGAGACCCTGCCTGTTGGCTGCTGTTGGCTGGTTATCTCTTCTATTCCTGTCACGACTCAAGTACTCAAATACCCACCACCAAAGTACTTTTATTTCCCTGTTTCTGTGTAATCGCTTTGAAAGAGATACGAGTGGGGCATATTGGGGAAGGAGGGGCCGAGCTGGGCCGAGACGTTGAAGAGAGGACGGAGAGACACGGGCACGTTGATGTAACTTGTTATGTAAATCACATCTGAGATTTGACCTATCCTGGATCTTGGACAGCCCCTGACAGCCCGTTGCAGCCCGTTGCTCGCCTCGCCTAAAGGCTAGTATAAAGGACGTCGACTAAGCATTACTCTCATCAGAGCTGGTCTCTCTTGAAGTCCTTACCCAACTTTCTCTGATTCATTCGACAATGCTTCCTTCCCTCAATAGCTTTTCCTTCTTGCTGTGGCTCAGCCTAACTGCGATTGGTGTCTTTGCAGGCCCTACTAGAAAAGGGGGGAGTTCTAAATTCAATGCAAGCGGCTTTGACAGTAGCAAATTGTTGGGTTATGCATACTACTCCGTGAGTGTCACTCCTATGCTCTGTCTGGCGGGTAGTACTTGATTATTGACTACTGCCCAAGTCAAAGATGGGTATGGTGGGAAATAAACCTCAAATTGACATTTTCCCTTCTTACGGAACGGTGTAAGTTTGTAAATTTCCTGAAACGGAATTTTAGAAAGCTAAATTTCCACCGTAATGACGCAAGGCCGCAATACGCGGAAAATTGCCAGAAGGTTAATCAAAATTTGTTCTCTTTTTCAGCTTCATTCTTAATATCAAAAATTACTTCAGTGTCTAGTCTTTGATGATAATGGATGGGTTAAAAAGGTAAATACTCGAGTTTTCTGGTGCCCCAAAGTTGATGTGTTGGATGATTGCCCTGAAACAGAACCGTGGCACCGGACATTTCTCAATCCAGAAAACTCTCGTCGACGATGAGACTTATGAGACGCAGCATACAAGGGTACTGATTATTCTGAATGCCTTGTGGCATGAAGCATCTCTGAGGATAGAATGTCCTCAACGGGGCGAGCCAGGTACAAAGATTTTTTACTTTGACTTATCCTTGCGTAATTTTGAATTTTCCAACGTTCGCTATACACAGGATATGACTATGATGAGCCTGTTGATTGGAAAAGGCTGGGTATCCTGTAGAGTTAGCCAGAATGTAGAGTCGGCTGGACAGTAAATTAATACTTCTCGAACCTTAGCGCACTTGTTACAAGCTGCGCGTTCATCCCAAAACATGATTCATGGCATGGTTGCAGCAAGGATAGAAGATAATGTTGTTAGTATTACGCAGCAGAAGTTTTGCACCGCCACACTGCTAGTGTCTTCATAAACTTTCATGGATATTCTGCCTGAATCCAACGATCAATATGGTACCAAACAATACTGGTTCGTATAACCATCTAAGGTCGCGTTAAGGCACCCTTTCGTATACCTAATCGACTCACGATCTTGTAACCATCTATCCAGGAATCAGAGATACGCTCGGTAAGTATATCGTCCCCTCCATCCTCGACTTTATGCTGAGCGGCGACTACCGTCTTCAGGGAAGCCGACGACGCCTCTTTTGACTGGTTCAAGTCATACTCTGAAATTTCAGACATCCTTCGAAGCCTCATTCCAGATAAACGTTCGAGAATCCTTATGTTGGGATGCGGGAATTCAAAGCTATCTGAAGACGTGAGTATCGTATCTCGAACTTCGTCCTAAACTTGTGAAAATTCACGATGTGCACTGTTCATTTTCACTCTGTTCAGATGTACGATGATGGCTACCACAATATTGTCAATACCGACGTTAGTTCACTATCGTTCAATACTGGACAACACAATACTTAAGATTCGCTAGTACTCATCGATCATCGTTGAGAAGATGAAGCAAAGGCACGGAGACGCGAGACCCCAAATGGAATGTGAGTCAGCATCCGGATCCACCATAGTAATGCCGATTTGGATAGTAGGAAACCTAATCTGCAAGGTTCTGCTAGGGCACGAAATGGACGTTAGAGACCTGAAGTTCGACGATTCTAGTTTTGATGTAGCGATAGACAAGGGTACGATGGACGCAATGATGACTGCGAAAGGGGATATTTGGGTATGTCAACTACTTCGTATACTCGTAGCGAACTAACGCGCCTACTGGTTATGCAGAATCCACCCCAGCAGGTTGTTGAAGATTGCACAAAAGAAGTCAGCGAAGTGATACGGTACGCTTGCTTCGACTACGTCTTTCTATAAAGTTAATGCTGTCACGGACGCAGGACTCTTCGAAAAGAAATGGGCGTCTTTATATATCTGACCTTCGGACAGCCTCATTTTCGAAAACGATATCTGACAGTCCCTGGAACGAAACTTGAAATACGAGAGCTAGGCGAAGCATTCCATTATTATTTATACATCCTGCGTACTTGATACTTGACGCGCGAGAGCGTTCCAGTTCTAAAACTGATCCCACATTTGTGCACAATTTCAGAACAAAAATTTTACATTCTTATAAAAATCCAACATTGGGTTTTCCCCGTTTCGCAAAACCGTGCGACTTAGGTCTGCGTAAGTTTCCAGGAATTCTGCGTGTTTGAAAACGCTGGACATCCGCTCTCCAACGGGGAGCCCGCTTGCCGACGAGACTCCATCGAGGGGATTCCTGCGGTTCAGACTCGGAGACTGGTGCGAGGAGAAAAAGTCCGCACCGAGGGTAACCGACTGGACGCTGGATGCTAGTGGTGTTGAGCGATCAGGTATGGGGTCCAGAGAAACGTAGGGTTGATAACTCCGTGCAGAGTCAGTCGAAGGTTGAGAGAGTACATATTCATACATATCTCTCAGGCGCTCAAAATTGGTCGGGAAGAATATATCGAAAGCGCCTTGATGAACAAGCATCGTTTCACAAGCTACCATAGTATTTTGCACCCTTGTCTGCACCACTGGTGCGTTCACACCAGGGATGGTGTCCGATAAGCTAGAAAAATCTGACAGGAGAAGGCGATGGCGAGGAAAGTGATCTCGTAGGGTTCGGAGAAGATTCAAAAGACGTGTTGGGATGTATTCTTCTCTGGATAAGTTGGCGGCGAAGGGAAGATTTCGGTAGAGACGTCGTAATATTGGTAAGTTTCTGAACAGGGGTGAAATAGGGAGGGGATGCCCTAGCTTCTGGCGTAGCTCAAGGAAGGAAGATATGAGAGGGTCATTTAGCTGGGTGTACATTGTGTCAAATTCTCCTTTGCTGTCGATGGTTACATAGCCTTGATACGGTTGGAGAGTATCAAGGTCATAGCGAATAACATCGTGTGCAAAGTTATCCTATTCAAAACTATCAATAATTTTCCTGGTGCGGAAGGGGGCAGGCTACTTACGACAACCTCCATAGCTAGGAAAAAGCACGGAGCAGGTTCCCGAGTGCCCCAATGAAAGATGCTTTGATGTACGACCTGAACACCTGGATGCGACCGACGGAGTTTCTGCCTCTGTTTCTGTACCAAATTCTCACTAATCTCAATGATAGTGTAACGCGTCCGATCGTAAACAGAAGGATAATGACGATGTAGAAAGTCGAGGATGTTCATAGCTAGGGTCCCGTTTCCTGCTCCAATTTCATAAATGATGAAATCCTCGTAAGGGAAGTATTTGAGCAAGTATTCAGAGACGAGGCATTGGCCAATGGCTTCTCCGTACCACGGCTGACTTAGAAAGATCAGCAAGGGGAAGATATCGAAAACTCGTTTCAACGCACCTTAAACAATTCTGTGGGAGTATGCCACAACTGCCTCTCCGCTTCGTATGCTGCATATCGTTTGGTTACGACCGCGTCAAATTCCACCGAATCCCTAACGACAGAAAAATCGACCGGCCGTTCGTCCCAATCAAATATGGTTGCCTGCTTGGAAAAGTACCCGTAATTAGGGTTATAAAGAGAGTCTTCGATAAAATCCCGAACGAGCATTTTCACACTACGTGGAGGATGAGCGGATCGTCCAAGGTCGTTGGCGGTGACGAGCTTGAACGTGGACGGGTCTTCGGCCGTCAAAGCAGAATTGAATAACGGAGACCTATTATAATTCCACTTGTCTTCATGTTCCTCTGGGGGTCCCTTCTGACGCTCTTTTCGACGAGCTGCAAGCGCAGGTGCAGATATGGAAAAAGAAGCAATTCGAAGGCTGTTTGAAAGCCCAAAATGAGGTCTAGACAGCAATGAAATACATCGAGATATCCTGCTTCTAGCAGAAAGCATAGACCGTGTATAAGGATTAGGCTATTAGCCACGAGAATAGAAAAAGCAGAAACAACAAATATTTGATTTACAAACAGTCATCGTGTGAAAGTTGATTTCTCCATGCGACGATGTCCGGTCATCGTCCACAAGAGTCTTGGGGCTCATTCAACTCAAGACACTCTACAACTGTGCGAGAAGAAGAAACTTTCGAGCTTAGTGAAAACGGAAATCTCCAAGGCAATGTACCAAAGAAATTCGCAACGAAATACAAAGACGGCAGCTCTATCGACTGGTTGCACGAGGAAGCACTCGAACGTGAACGAGACTATGTGAAGAAGTCACAGAAGAGCATTCGTAGTCTGCTATCAATTTGGGCAGACTCTGCACGTGTATGGCTGGTTGTGATATCTACAGGTATCGGAATTGGTGTGGCTGGCGCTTGGTTAGATGTACTCGTCAAATGGTGGGTTGAACAAATTACTGCCACGCGATTGTTCTGAGCTTCCGTAGGTTAGGGGATCTACGCGAAGGTCGCTGTCAAGAGGGTTTCTTCTACAACCAGGTGTCATGTTGTAGCGGGCTAGATCGTACGCGCACATCCGTGATATTCAAGGTCCTTATAGCGCTGATGATTGCGCAGCTGGAGAGTTTTGCACCGACTGGCAAACTTGGAGCGAATACTTTAACGTGCGGAAAATATTCGCGCAGTCACTGTTACAGTCGTCGATCTATGTAACATTGGCAGTGCGTCTTCCATTTGTTGCCCCCGACGCGCGACGTCTAAAGCAGTACTGTGGCAGGTAGTTTTCGCTGGCAGCGCTGCCCTTTTAGTGAATACATATGCACCTTAGTAAGTATGTCCAAACTCTACATCGGTGGGCTCTCTTGTAATCTATTCATAGCGCATTCCACACAGGAAGTACGACGCACTTCATCAATAATACTTTTTGCACGCTAACCTATATCCTTTAAAGTTCCTGAGATCAAAGCTGTAAGTTCCTCTCAGTGCAAAAATATATGGTCTATCTGAATGTCTCTCACTAGATTCTTGGCGGCTACGTTTTTGACGCATTTCTCACTCCCTGGACGCTTCTCATCAAAGCTCTTGGGTTGGCACTCGCAGTAGCTTCGGGGTTGTCACTGGGAAAGGAAGTGAGCATTTGTAATAGCTTTACCCCTTTCGTTGCTCATTATGACGAAAGGGTCCTTTAGTCCACGTAGCTTGTTGCATGGCGTACATGCTGTCGCGGTTGTTTAAGCAATTCAAACATAGTGAAGGTATTCAATGCAGCCAGGACAATTCAACCTCTGTTCTTACACTGATCTCAGCCTTCCAGCTCAGAAACGCAAGATCCTAGCTGCCGCGGCCGCGGCTGGTGTGTCAGTAGCTTTTGGTAGCCCATTGGGTGGCGTCATATTCTGTCTTGAAGGTTCGTATACATGCCATGGTTTTTGTCTTACTATGGCTTCCGTGAATCATTCCCCTGTTCTCTTTTTTTAGAGCTGGATACTTTTGCTCTTGAATCGGATGTTATGTGGCGGGGGTTTGTGGCATCCGCTATTGCAGCCGTATCTCTACAGTACATCGATCCATTTGGTACCTCGAAGCTCGTTCTTTTTCAAGTGCGTTTGAGGGTTTATCATTATTCTCGATTGTGTTCTGAGAAAAGATGTTTAGGTCACCAGTGGTGGAGATACTTGGAGGGCTTTCGAACTGGTGAGTTCCGGGCAGATGACAAGGTATTACTTGTGGTGACTGTCTGGTCAGATTCCTTGGTTGACCCTTGGCATCATTGGTGTAAGTGTTTAGTTTGCCTGTTTCCTGTATAATAAAACTTATTTTACCATTCAGGGCGTCCTTGGGTCTCTTCTCATCAAACTCAACGTCGAGATCGCGCTTTACCGTAGACATAGCGTGCTGAATGAATATCCTATACTGGAGGTTGCTACAGTTAGTGCCATCACAGCCGCCATAGCATATCTTGTTGTGTTTACCCGGTCCGTGCTCATAGCTACATTCCTCATAGGCGTTGATTGACTTTCCATCTGTTTATGTAGCGTGCAATCTTCCGAACTAGTTGCAAATCTATTTCAAGAATGTGATCCTGCAAGAGGAGATTACCATGGTCTATGCAAGTGCGCCAAGGGTCATAGAATGATGGTTGAAATGCTCGTTTACTTATTCTGTTGATAGCCCAACAGCAATGTGGGAGAACGTCTTTCTGTTACTCATTTCAGCAGCCATCAAACTGGCTCTTACTGCATGGACATTCGGAATGATGGTGAGCTTCGGAAGCCTTCGATTGTAGAAGACTCATGAGGCTTTGCGATACGTAGGTCCCTGCTGGTATCTTTTTGCCCACTATCGCGATAGGAGCTTGCATCGGACGTGCTGTAGGGATGTTGACGTGAGTGTTTTATTAACTCTTGGTAGTAAACCTCATTGATTTGTTATGGTTAAACAGTCAATCACTTCAAACTACGTATCCCAAGGCATGGATTTTTCTGGCGTGTCCACCAGATCCTACCGTACGATGTGTCTCGCCTGGCTTCTACTCTGTCATTGGGGCTTCTGCAATGCTAGGCGGCGTGACACGAATGACGGGTGAGTGTAAATCGATCGAAAGTACACACTCTGACTTTGAAGTAATGAAGTCTCTCTTGTGGTGATTCTATTTGAGGTGAAGCATAGTGCCACATCATATACGGTAGTACTCATTACTTCCTTGCAGTTGACGGGGGCATTATCCCATGTACTACCAATCATGGTTGGCGTCATGACTGCGAAATGGGTTGGTGATGCGCTCGGGGAAGATGGAATATACAACGTCTGGATTAGTATGAGGCAGTATCCCTTCATACCGCCTGTGGACTACAATGATAAAGGGCGAATAGCTGCGGATGCGATGAGGCCTTTCGGGATGCTGAAAAAAATTCAAGAAGGTCAAGCGACACTGCAAGACATAGGTATGCTCAACAATGCGTTGTGACTTCACATCTACATACTCTTCTGGCAGAAAATTTAGTCAATGTCCATGAATATCATGGGTTTCCGGTCGTTCGAGGAAGAGAATTGATAGGATATGCCACACGCGATAAATTGATATCCTTTATCGGTTTGTTGAACGCCTTTTCATGCCTTGGAGTCAGTCTTACGATATATATGTCTCGTAGAACTTAATCTATCCCCGGAGACAGCTCGGAAAAGATGCCGATTTTCCTCTCCAAAACACCAGCTTACTCCTTCAAATGACAACACCATTGATATTCTTGATTTAACATCTTGCCTTGAAAGATCAATTCTTCATCTTCGTAAAGAAGTGCCTCAAGCATTAGTGGTACGCATGTTCCAAAAAATGGTGAGTGTGTCCCGTCATGCTCGAATCATTTGAACTGAGGATGCGTCGTTTCAAATAAAGAACCTGCATCAAATACTCTTTACTCATCGAGGGCAACTCGACGGGATGTTGACAAAGCCAGATGTGGTTTCTTTGCTGACAGCCCATTTTCCGCACGCAGGTGCACTTTCGTCAAAGGGGGAGTCACAGTAGGAATGACGATGCAGACATTCAGTATGAAATCCTATCATAGTACACTCTTCAAGAGGCACGCATGCCTAGTCGCATTATTCGTTATTCAATGAGAAGTTGACAGTAAATATTCTGATATATAGTATACAGCCATTAATCTAGGAGGATTTTGGTCTAAGGACTGTAAACACCCTTTCATGTGCTTACCCTGGGTGTCCCAATTTTTTATGCTCCATATGCAGATTTGATTTCTGCCCCGGCTTCACTGAATGTCAAACCAAGAGAAGTCTTCTAATTGTGCTGCAGTCGGTCGGTCATCTGGGTGAACCCGTAGCATAGCCGTTAGCAGCTCAAGCAGCGCGGCATCGTAAACGTTGTATATTTCCAGTATGCGCTGCAAGCTTTCGCGGTGATCAGAGCCGATAGAAAGCCGAAGGCCTTCAGCGAAATTTCATCAGAGTGAATGTGCGAATTGATGAGATCGAATTCTCCTACCGTGGCGTTCATTGAAGAAGGTCGTGTAGTGCAGCCCATGAGAGAAGTAGGAGGCAAGTCGTTCAATTTCGTGATTATCCACGAGTGTGCCAAAGATACGGGCCAAATGATATTGTTCCGCGCTATATGATACAATAGGTCGTGGTCTGAACAAACGCTGACCGGTCAAGAGTTCAAACACCTATTTTGAATAACATCATGACACATCACTAGAGAAAGAATCAAGGTTCCACTTACAATACAACCAAGGTTCCATATGTCAGCCTTCGTGTTCCAGGGGCAACCTAAGAGAACTTCCGGGCTACGGAGTGCTTCTGGTTGAATGAGACGGTCTGGGTGGCTCTCAAGAGGCATAGCTAAGAAGACATTTACTATGAGCTACACGTTTGAGCAATTCAGGGAGTTGGTCTGACCTGTACCGTAATCAATAAGGACAGCGTTCTCGCCCTTTAGAACATGCTCAGTATCGAAAGAATCCTCAGGAATTCTGAACAGAATATTGTCCATTTTTATATCTGGAAAGCTTGAGTGAGAGCTCGAATACAGATGATAAAACGCTACCAGTATGTACGGTGTTACAATCGTGCAGCGCCTGCAAAGCGCGTAGAAGTTGACGAGTAACATGTTTGACCACTGCCGACGATAACCGATGTCCTTCCACAGAAGACTGAAGGTCAAGAATGGAAGGTCCAAGTGCATCGTTCACGATACAGAGGTGTTCACTGTTTTGTGGTCCATGAGAGGTGAAATGATCATGTAGGCTGAGAAGATGTGGTACTCCAGGATGCGTTGGCGGCAAATGAGATATGCGTTCCATGACACGCAATTCAAATGCATGAATGTTTTGGAGGGACGTGACATGGTCTGTAAGGACCTTTATTGCCACATTTTTGCGGGGTCTGCAGAGGGTATTTCAGTTTAGTTTGGGACATCATGAGTTTGTCACATACGCAGTGGCGTCTTGAGCAAGCCAAACCGTGGCCTCTTGTCCTCGACCCAGACACTGCAATATCTTATAACGACCATTGAGGACATCTTGAATTTGAATTTGAAGGTGTACCTCAGAAGGGACAGGTGTGCTGTACAATCTGAATTTGGCAACGGATGAGAGGCTTCTTAGCCTGGTGAGAAATCCTAACATGTTGGTTTGTATACAAAGGGTTGGAGAGGGTTACCCTGGGGTTGCTGCTCATATACATATTTCACTCGCTCGAAGTACTGATAGTATCATGAACTCGAAGCACCTTCCTCCACGGCAATATGATTCTAAAGAAGGAAGTGCCGCCAAAATGCCGAATGACTCTTGAATGCGTTCAGCTTTGTAACCTCTTTCATTATTACCGTCAACTAATACACCGACAGTGACAGTCTTCTTCATCATGTCTAAACATCACCCAGGTATGTACTTCACTATCCGGGCATTTCTTTTTGACTTGAAGTCCACCTACTCCAGATCTCATAATGTGTAGGAGACAACCAGGAATCGGTAAGCTTTGCGCTCACTATCACAGCGTTTGTGGGTCCATTCTGACTTTTCTTCGTGTAGCTATTGGGCGTCTTTGCGAAAAGTGCGATGGGAAATGGTGAGTTTGCGCGCCAGGTTCTCGAAGAAAGCTCTGAGTCTCATCGAAACCCGTATAGCCCGGTATGCGATTCGTACGTTCGCCCGGAGACCCTGGTACGCATATGCGACGAATGTAATTTCGGTACTTACGGTGGTCGATGCATCATTTGTGGATCGCCTGGTGCGTCTTTCGTCACTATTTTTCCTCCTTCTTCTCATACACATTTCCTTCTAGGAATCTCCGATGCGTATTATTGTGCTGAATGTACAAGACTTGAGAAAGACCGAGACGGCTGTCCCAAAATCGTAAATCTGGGTGCTAGTCGGACAGACTTGTTCTATGAACGCCGACGTTTAGGTGTGTGTACTCATACTACAAATTTTCGATTTATGACCTCTTTTCGTTCAGGGTTCAAAAAAGGCTAGTTGCTTAGACTTTTCTTATCAACTATATACATGTATACATATCACTGTCGCGTATCAAAAAAAATCGTTATCTGATACAACATGTCCCGAGAAGTCACAAAATCCTAGTCAGTAGCGGTGTACACAAGGTTCTTGAGGACAGGAACGGGCTTCTCTGTGTTGACAATGAGATTCCTTCGCAAGTGTCAGTAATTGAGATGAAATACCACTACCACTGTGTACATACCCCAGAATTTGCATGTCAACCTTACACCCAACAACGAATTCAGAAGTGGCGCACAAACATATGCGACAGACTCACCAAGGCTTTGAAAACTAGGAAGACATGAGAGTCATTGTGGGTATCTATCTTCTCGCAAGTGCTGCATAAATCTTTCCCACAATTTGCGCAGTGAAACCATGCGCCTTGGATTTCGGTGTAACAACAATCACAGCGAACCTTGGGATGGATTATTGAGAGAAGGTAGCCTATAGACCATTTCAATGTCGATCGTTAGGGGACAACACATCCATTATGTACCTGTCGGGTTTCCAATGTCATACACGGCAGATGAAGGGCCTGCAGGAACTTTGTAGCTTTACATGAACAATCTTCAGTAGATTCTCATGATTTGCATGTAAATCCACTTACAGTTGAGGTATCATCGGGACACTCGACTTGATGGGCAGATCGACTGGCCTAGGGAGTTTGAAGAACGCGTGCATGGGGTTGTGCACTGTGTACGATGCGTCTTCACAAGAAGAACACTACGAGTGATAATTAAATACAGGAAAGGATGGAATCGGTGCAATGGGCAGAGAGTATTTACTAGATTGTATCCCGATTGGGGAGCCGGGCAGTTTGCACATTGATATCGAACTCCGATTATGATCTATTCGTTGGGATGAGAAAGGCCAAGTATATACGACGATAGAATGCTGACTTACTTTTTGACAAGCATCACATGGAATTTCGTGGCTTTCAGGCTTGTTCCCCATCCCAATGACTGTGCGAGCGTATGATGATATTTCCGACGTTGCTTGTTCTACGCGGTTGACGTTTGCGGGGTTTTTGGTCCAGAGGTTCCTTGCCTTCCGACTGACGGATTGGACCTAAAGTACAGTTTATGACTGATCAAAATCTGAATGGAAATCGCTCACTCCACTATTGGAGAGAGGAATTGTAATCTAGATGACGAGAAAGTCAACGTATCAGGGTACGTAAAATTGTGCAGCTATGTACCTTGATTAAAAGGTGGGAAGAATGGTGACCACCGTCTGCTGAATCGATATTACCAGGAAGACCATTTGAATCGCAGTTTGAACATATATCGACGGATTCGCACTCCACGCAGTGGAAGCGTGCCCCTACTATCTCCAAACGACAGCTATGATTAGCGAGAACAGTCAATGCAAGGCTTCGTAACAAATAAGAAAAGATGGAGCTTACTTTACACATTCAACTCCTCGGTGCACATTAGCTAGGAAGGATTTGAGAGAAAGGTTCACAAGCCAACACCATGCTTACATGGTTCCTCAAAATCATTGGACGATTTCGGATAGGTAACGTCAGAATCACTGGGAGGTCTTCCTCGTAATACAAGGAATGTGTGTACAGGATGAAGGTCGTGCACTTGACTAGAAAAAAAAGATCGGGGATCGTGAACGGAAATAAGGATGAAATTTACCTATAACAAGCTCGACATAATTGGTATCGTTCACATGATACACATTTGTACATCATCTGTTGTGGCGACGATTTGGCGCTACAGGCAGAGCAGATCTCCGTTTCCTTTTCGGTATGAACTATGAACACTATATCAGAGGCATATCAGATGTATGTGAACCAGCGCTGACCAATATCGTCCCAACCGTTATGCCCCCATATTTTCTCCACGTATGCGTGCCGCAACTGACCCTTCTGTTTAGGAGGAGCCCTTCTCCATTGGACGGCTGCATCTTTGGGGGAAGATGATGAAAGATTACTTGTGGTTGGAGACGAGCCTGGTTCATTCATAGCCTCGATAGCATGCATGTGACCCACTTCGTCAATACATTCGTAACAAAGTTCGTACCCAGTTGCCATCCGTGGAGAAGTAGGAGGCACTAAGGTGGCAAAAGAAGTACTGACACTTGGTTGAGGAGGTAATGGCCTGCGCTTGGAAGGACTTCCTACAAATGTGTTCGAGGAACTTGAGAAGTTAAGAGATAGCGGTGAAGTATAGATATTGGTTTGAAGTGGCGTAGGGGGATATGTAAACGGTGGGCAATCCCTACCTTTACCCTTGTTAGAGGAAGTTGGAGACGATATGTCAGAACCGGTTTCCTTATCTCTACAAGTGTAACAAACATATTTCACATAATTAAGGAAGCGGCCACACCCTGAGCAACAAGTCAGGTTCTCCCCGCGCGGAGGGTCCAAGTTTTGAAGAATTTCTGCCGGAACGATTGTTTCGAGAGAGGGATCGGAGCGATGAGTATGCGGAGGTGGCCGAAGAGCCGTAGCATCCTGCTGCGCTGTAACCCAAGCCCATTGCCTCGAGGTGGGACGTGGTTTTCCATTTATTCCACCATCAATGCTGGGGTCTATTTCAAAACCTCTATCCTCAGGTCCAGTCATTTGGGATTGGGAAGCTTCTGAGTCGTACTCATAGTAGTACCGCCCAGTCGGAGCACGTTGCAGCGACAAGGGACCTACTTGGTCCTCCTGCTCAAGTAATGAAAAGGATGATTCGTCAGAAGCAGAGGAGGCAGGTAAAACTCCCAGCGAACGTTTCGCGCGCTCGTTCTGTTCCTTCAACCAATGTGTACCACGTTGATCAGATGCCAAGGGATCGTAGTCGGTACTGGCAGCATCATTTTCCAACCTCAACCGTTCCAATATTCCATTTGGAGACTGGCCGTTGGAATCGGCAAATGGGTCCTGGTTTTGTCTCGAGATAGACCGCGCGGGCCCAGTGGAACCAGAGAATGCGTCCCAAGAAGATTCACCCGAAAGCTGTGAAGCACGTCCATGCAATGGTGATGATACCCGATTACGAACAAAACTTCTGGTAGATAGCCGTCCATTATCCCGAGAGCTGACCGTGGCAGAATCATCGTCTAGGTCCCTGGCACTGAAAGCAGATGACCATTCGCCTACATCTCCATTTCGACTCCCATATTCTTCAATGCTGGCTATTGAACCTGTGTCGGACAAACTCGGTCCTTCATATTCGACTTCAATTTGTACAGGAAGTGTTATCTTTCTACTTCCAAAACCGCGCCCAGAGAATATAGAAGATGCAGAAGACGTGTGCGCGTCATCTGCGGCGTCTGCAAAGTAGGTTATCGCCCCTGTGAGTTGATCATCGGTCCATATTTTCAATGTTTCTCCGTCATCGTCCTTGTACCAGATGTCAAAGGAGGAAGCGGATAACGAAAAGCATTGCACGATCTACGACAAAAGAAACTTTGCTTTGACGATGAGCCGCGAAAGTTATTACACCAATGCGTACCTTTTCCCGTAAATTATCAAAAGTGCATCTTTGAGCACTCTGAAATGTGATTTTTTTGTGATTTTTATTGAAGGTACATCGGACTACCAGTTTTTTATCAGGGTTATGTTGGTTCATGGGAGCGTTCATAATGAGATACAGTGACAGATGAACATGGTCAAGGTCCAATTCTGGAATAGAGCTTTGCGCAGCAGGTTCACCTGACTAATGTTCCCGCATTATAAACGCCTTTCCTGAACGTTTACTGCAAGCACCTTGATAGGTAAGTGCATGCGACGCATTAGAAATTCTCTATCGAACAATCCTCAACTGTCTACCATACGTGTACCGTCCGAATGAGGATCTTCGGATTTCAAACGTTTCGGCGCATCGCTTTCCTTGCCACCCCTGTTTACTAGTACACTCTGACTTTCGAGCTTTTTCTGTGCGACAGCTTTCTGTGACTTGAGTTTGCCCTGCTCTTTCTTCCCACCTCCTGAACCCTGCGATTGTTTTCGGGTATTGGTCTTGATGTTCTTAGGGATACCGGTTGCGGGCGGCGCTGTTTCGCCCGAGCCATCCTCGTCATCATCGTATTCGCCAGTGTTCTTGGGTAATGATTTGAGGGAGGAGTAGAAATCGAGCGTTTCAAGGTCCTCGGAAGATGCTGCTTCTGCGTTAGCACCGATTTTTGTCAATAGGTGTAAAGGTGAAATACCTTTGACCAGACATTTTCCATTGAGCGCATCTAAAACAGGTGAGGAAAACGTCGATGAAACATCCGACAACTGGAAGCACTCGTCGTAAGGCTATCAGTAAGGTGAAAGAATTACGTTTACACGGACCTGTCCATCGACAGCAAGTCTCACTACTCGTATCGGGCTTCCATCCTGAGAATGATCCCGATTTTCTGACCAGTTGAAGTCCAAGTTCACCCAAATCTGCTGGTCGAAACCAACAGTGAAATCTAGCACTGGTTTGCCAAAGTCTACTGCGTGCACCAAAGACGGTGAAGAAGGGTCCCCAATTGGATAGGAGACCGCGAATAGTGCTGTACCTCTGGAAGCAAGTCAATTGTTGCATTCAATGCCTCTGGGATCACTCACCCAGTAACAGTGAACAAGATATAATTCGAAAGTGTACTGATTTTCTGAACCGCGACAACAGTCTGTTCTTCGCCATCGGGTGGAACAGAATCCCGGGATTCAGTCCCTTCTCTGCTTTGATCCTTTTGTTTCTCCGCAGACTTTGCGAAAGTTGTTCTTTTGTAGGGTCTCATTTTTACTTTGATGTATGGCTTGACTGAGTCCAAGATTGAAATGTCCGCTTTATGCTTTCCAGAAAGCCAGTCCCAAAGTTTCAGTTCGGCATCACCTCCACCAGAAATAAGGATATCGGGTTGATCAGAGGGGAAATGTATGGCTGACACAAATCTGTACAAATGAATCAGCAACCATCCTCGCATTCTTCATGTACAGGCGCAACTGACTGAGTATGCCCTAAGCAGAACGACTCTATACAAAACCCTTGAGGGTACCAGCTAACGCGTATGTGCTCATCACGATCCGCGGTGACAATGTATTTGTTGTCTGGTGTCAAAAGGAAACAGGTTAGCAGAGATGTGTGACCCAAAACCAATGTTCCATCTGAACTAGCCACATGAGAAGCAAGAGAACTCCGAGGAACTGGTGGGTTTTCATGGACCTTCTGCTTTTTTGCTTTCCGTTTCTTTGAAAATGGCTCATCCGTTGGTTGTGCGGCATTCACAGTCAAATCAAGAGAATTTACTCCGCCAGGAATAGCGCTGCCTTCGTCGTGTAAGAGCGTAGAGGAAGATGCTTGGGATTCGGAGGGAGGTATGGGGTGTAATGGGTAGCTGTTTACCATGAATAGTGGTCAGAGGCTAGTATCTGCTACACGTACTTGAAGACATCCCCAAACTTATCTGCCACGACGATGGTCTGACCATCAGCGGTGAACGCTGCGCTGGTTGGCCTTTTCGGAAGGTCCCTGAAATATTTCAGAATCAGTTTTTACCCTCATGGCGCGACGTTACAAACAAGACAAACCTTTCATGTAAAAGTTCAAGACCATCAAGCTTCCAGACTTTGAGCTTTTTATCATCAGCCAAAGTAGCTAGATGTGTGCTCGAGTTATCCAAAACTGCACATCGAATCGGTCCCGATTTTTTCAAAGATTCCTGTACATTGGCAGGCGAATTGAGCGTCGAGAAGAGAACAGCTCCGGTTCTTGGCAATGATCTTTAGATCGCGGACAAACAGGTTCTTGTAAATCACTTACGAAGTGTCTATGACTTGGATATGAAATCCAGAGACAGCGAGAACTGGTATACCAGAACGAATTTCGAGGTGTGAATAAGGAAAAAAACGCGAAGACATGCCGGCGGCAAAAGTACCAACGGCGGTTTTGGGCATATTGACCATCTCATCTCCAACGCGTTATGAGTTTTAAGAAAAGGTACAATCCAGCCATCCTACGCCAAACTTACTCACATCTAATTCTCCTTGTAGTAAATTGGACCTTTTGGTGCGCGTCCGCTATGCAAATCCACTACCTCCGCCGCCCTGTCCACCGAAACTCCTCGATATACCCACAAATCCCATGCGCTATGCTCAACCTGAATTCCTGAATTCTATCGCAAACAACACCCCTTTACCAATGATAGTGGATGCAGAGTGTGGGATGCCGCTGGACTTGGGGAAATGGGAGTCACTTTGGGAAGAGAATGCTGATGATTTAGGTTGGTGGCATTTACCTCCAAACGTCTCAATGCATTACACTACTGGTCATTAGCGTTAAACCCAGATCCTCACAATTTACCCAAACTTGATCAAAAGGATGAATTTCTGACATATGATTCTGGGTCATCATCTACTTATATGAATGGAAACCATACGGGATCAAGTACACCCTCAGCTGTCCCTGCGTTGGGGCAAGTTGCTTGGTTGCGGAAAACGGAATACACCAGTGACCGAGTGCAACGCTCTAGTACGAATGAACCGTGTGTGATATCATTTTTTTCTTGGTCCGTATCTGACTGGTCAAAATTCCAGGAAACATGTAGCACTTCCCCCAATCGACGTTTCTAGAGAAGCCCAGCTCCGCGATATTGAAGCCTCATTTGTTGAATGTAACGAGAACTTTTCACTAGAAGAACTTCGGCATCCGAACAAACCAAACGTTACTGCAGTGGAGTCGTATGAGATATTACCAGATAGTGAAATATGGGCAAACCAATATGATCTGTTCCGCTTTGCAGAACGCCCTGGGGAAAGAGCGGCAGATGTGTGTGCTTCCTTGCGTTTGCTGGAATCTGGTTCCCTGCTAAATTGTTGTAGGTTGAAGATCCAAGACTGGACTGTGCTATTCTTCGGCCTATGAAATCCGACCACGACTCTTTCCTTGCATTCTATCTGACTGAACAAGATGAAGGCGCGCTCAAGTTCAAAGAAATACGCAATTCCGTTGAGCCCTATGAAATTCCCGAGAATGAAGAGGTGTGTATCGTGTTCTGGATGTAATTGTATGATACAACTTTTTTTCAGCCAACGGTCTTCAAATTCGTCCGTGATTATGAAACTGTTAAGGTCGAACAAGAAGTACCAAACGAGTTTCTCCTTATTTTCGAGGACGGCGGATCGACTTCGAATTTTGATGATCTGGTCAACGAGGATCGAAAACCAGCTAAGAGGCCAAGGGGGGCATACTATAAGAACATCGAGCGCAAGATGCTATTGAAGAAGAAGCGTGCAAACGTTAGTAATATTTTCTTCGCTAATTACCTGCCTCTTCATTGATCCTTGTCTCAGGCTTATGAACAATACGAGGACAAATGGGATGTCATCAAGGTTACTCATGTCCCCATGAGTCAAGAAGAGGAAGACGAACGCGAAGAAGCATTAGCTGAGGTCATGGACCCTCTGTTCCTCATGAGAGGAGATGCAGACGCTGATGGTGAAGTTGAGGTGTATGAGGGACTCGGCGGCCAAACGTTCCCTGTGCCGGTGGATCATATACCCGTTGAGACGTAAATCTGAGCTCACACCGTGGGCTGCGATTGACCACTGCCCATTTGGATTGATATACATATCGTTTGTTCGATATCGTACTGAACCGCAAGTTCAATTTATGTGTTTCTACCTTCCGGAAGGATGTGTATCAGACACCCACTTCACAAACTCGTCGATTGTTCCGACATACGTTCAGTTCAATGCACAGAATACATACAAGAAAGCTGGTAAACATCTGCATGATGAAATACGACCCAGGTACGGCCACAGACTATGGTATCCTGGAGGTATCGCGCCTCTCCGTCTCGAGGTTCGTTCATGTTACGTCATAGTCTGAAAGATCACGTAATTTAGCGCTCATGGATATCCTCAACTCAATCGATAAGCGCTTTGAAAAAAAAAAACTTTACCTTCGATACTTATAACAAAGAGAGCATCACAAATGACTGAAATGAACGTAGTGGCCATCGAGAAATCGTTATTGAATGGGCACTGGGACAACTCTTTTCCTCATACTCCGTTGGTGGATGTCGCTCAAGCTGTTGTAAGAGGCCGCTTCGGCGAAGCTCTCACATCTTCCTATGCTCAACAATTATTTCAATTCAGACTCGCCGATACGTTAAAGAATTCCTTCAATATATCTGCGTCGCTGATGCAGGATGGACCACAGAACGAGCTTTTGCGCTTGGCTCTCGCCGTAGCCTGCCTTCACGCCTTCCTCCAGGTCAACTGGACCGGCCCTGATCTAGACTTCCAGCCTCTAGATATTTTATCGCAAACAGAATCTCATGATCTTTCAAACGAAACTCTCAATGGACTCGCCATCTCCGAACTTGCGCTTGGTGGAGAACCTGCATATCATCTTGCGCAGCATGCAATATTTCTGCGTCTCGCTCAGATCCTCTTGGACGCTCCCTACCATCACTGCCAGACTGCCATTTGGTGGCGTCTGCGAGCTCATCTTGTTCACCAGCAAGTGATTGACGAACCCGTAATACTTCCGGATAATGATATGACGACCTTTGAACACTGGCAAAGCCCATTTGCCTTGGATAGTCCTGATTTGAATGGCCGATTGCTTTTAGAGCACGGCTTACTACATCACATATTCCAGCAAGATAAAATTGCAGCTGAATACTTCGTCAAGGCAGCTCGGGCTACCGATCTACAGTACGAACTGACTGGTGCGCTTGGTAAGCGTACCAAGTTTCAGCAAACCGAACTCAGTCAGCTTGTGCTACTGGCAGAAAGTCATCTCCCAGATGTGAACCCCGAAAAGACGGAGGTCTTGTCCACGAATGAGCCGGACCAAGCCGTCGTTCCCGAGACGCTTGCTCTGAATGATGATACTCTGCTTGAAAAAACCGAGTTCACATCATCCAGACCATTAGCTGATCCATCCTCGTCTTCTCTCTATCGTATCGATCCCTCGAATCAACCGCCGCTACACCCATTGGACCAATGCATACTCCTCTCCCTCTGTCTCAACGTTCGGAACACTTCCCCTTTGCATGGTCTAACCTCCGAGCAAATGTCTCCTTACGTGGCCCGGGTCATCTCTCACCCTCGCAATTGGACCATACACACAATGGCACTTCTTCTCCGCTCCAGACTAGAGGCTAATCGTACACGAACAGTGGAACGCTCCACACTACAACTACAAGCACTCGTAGACCAGATGCCTGCAACTGACGTTGAAGCTGCTCCAGTCTCTGAGCGTTTACGCTATCTACACTCTATATCCCTTCCTCCAAAATGGGAACTTGAACGGGAGCTCGCCAATCGCTTCATTAGTCTCGGAGTGATCAGATCAGCCTTGGATATCTATGAGCGTTTAGAAATGTGGGAGGAGGTTGTGAAATGTCATGTATCATTGGACCGACCGGATCGAGGAATTACGATCGTAAAGGATCTGCTTGCGGGAAACAAAGTCGAGTCGGAGGCCGTCATATCGCGGGAGAAAGCATCTGGCACTGTGGATTCTATGAAGAGACTTCAAAGGTTCGATTCCGTCAGGGAAGCAAAATTGTGGTGTATCTTGGGCGACATCGAGCCGGAACATGCCGTGGAACACTACAAGCGGGCTTGGGGAATTTCGAAAAATACCTCTGGTCGGGCTATGCGCTCTTTGGGCGGGTTCTATTTTGCGAGAGCAGAATACGGACTCGCTAGGGAATGCTTACAAAAATCCGTGAAAATTGAGCCGCTACTTTCCAAGTCCTGGTTCATTCTTGGTTGTGCTTGCATGCGTTTGGAGGACTGGCAAGGTGCGAAGGAGGCATTTGCTCGTTGTGTAACAATAGACGAGGAGGACGGCGAGAGTTGGAGTAATTTAGCAAGCATGTATTTGAGGATTGAACAGTCCAACAAGGATGGTGATTCTGCAGTGCGTATCCGAGGATGTTTGTCGTCGTCTGTTACTGTATTAATAATCGTCATTGTCAGGATACCACCGTTGTTTCTCATGATAACAAACAACTCGCTTTTAGAGCGCTCAAGGAAGGTCTCAGAAGGAGCTACGACAACTGGCGAATGTGGTCTAATTACATGATCATCGCCGTCGACGTAGGGGAACTTGCAGAGGCATGTCGAGCCTTAGGGCGCGTTGTTGAAGAGACGAGCAATCAGGCAGGCGGCGTCGTTCTTGACGAAGATGTCCTCGACCGACTAGTCAATGCCGTTACTCGCGCACCTTCCGATCCACAGGAAGCGGTGGCCATCTCAAATAGCGACCAGGTTCAATATTCATTGAACCCGAACGAAGGACACGGTCTCTTACCTCGTGTGCTTGATTTATTCGACCGCATCATTCTCCCTCGTGTCTCATCCACTAGAGTATTCCGTGCCTATGCCCGATTACTAACATGGATGGGACGATGGGAAGATACTATGAAGGCGTGGATGGACGCCTACAGAGAAAGTGATGCTGGGAAGTTGACGAGAGGCGAACTTGATACGGTAGCTGTAGTCGGTGATGACATGGGAAGGCGGGTATGGAGAGATGCAGTCGGGGAAGTTGAAGAGATCGTTGATATTCTCCGGAATGTCGGCGCTCGGCTAGCGAGTAGTAGTGCAAAGAAGTGGAGATTACAGGCGAAAAGTGTTGTTAGAAGCTTCATGGCGAGGACCAGGGAGAATTTCGAGGATGATTCTGAATGGATCAGACTGGAGGAGTTGCTGGATGGGTTAAAGTAGATTATTTGCATCCAATTGGCATCAAACTACGAGTAACATTATATGAAGCTGGTATGAGCAAGGTAAGTAGGTAAACCAACACAACTGTAGAGTCGTAATTGCTAAAATACACAAGCAGTTTAGTTATATGTAGATATTGAAAGGGGAATATTTAAACTCGAGCCAGTAGCTCCGGATGTTGACACTTTGGAAACTGGCGCTCAAAGGTGTCTCTCTGCTGTGAAAGTGATTCAGCAGCGGACTGGTTCAAGTCTAGGGGAATATGTCAATAATAGATTCACGACTTTGAGCAAACTTCTGGAAGGACAAATGTCCTGGACAATCTAAGTACAGTAACACCTTTATTCGCACATGTAGGGAAAATCAATTGAGCAAACAAGGGTCAATTCATGGATGCTGGTCGGGTCGGGTCAATGTTCCCCAGTCCCGAGCGTTGACTAGTGTTGGTGACCAGACGAAATCAAATGAAGCTTGATGATTCCAGTATTAGAGATTACAGTCATATTGAAAACGCCTCTACGTAATGCGCCAACATCGAACTGCCCATCCTCCTCAGGATCTGAAGAGCACGAGGAAAATGAGGAACCACTACCAGAAGAGTAGTCTCGCGGGCCAGAATTCACGATGAGTGAAGAAAGTTTCGTTCACTCATGGGAGAGTCCATTTTGATTCTATGTGAGTATTCGGACTCTTGCCAAAGGTTGAAAAAGGTAAACGAGAGAACTCCGTTCACTAATAATCTGCATCTGGTAGACTCGCCGCTGCTGAGAAGGAATACACGTGGCTGAAATGGCGGGCGCCGTCGCAGAGGTAGAAGACAGTCACGCACAATACCCTTCTTTGAATTTCATCCATTATGTCGTCTCCGACCCCACCAAACTTTTCTGCAGTTTCAATCGAGGATCAAGTCGGCAGAGATAAAATATTGCCAGTGAGACAGACGGTCGACTGTGATGGCTACCAAGAACCTGTCTGGGTGACCGCAGGATATTCGGATGACACACCCATTCTTGTTCGAGCCGAGTACCATAACGGCCTCAAGGCGATTCTGGAATGGAGAACAAATTGCTTGAGAGCAGGGCAAGGGTTTTATATTGGCTTCGTCAACTTCAGTCGCCAATTCATGTGCTACATAGCTTGTCAGTGCAAATCTTGATCAACCGCGATAGTCATTTCGAAGAAAATTTGGCCAAAGATCTTCCTTATCCAAGTCCCTTTCAGGGTGACCAGGAGCCACCGAAGTCTAAGATGTGGCTATCCGTTGTCGGAATGCCTGGAATAGGTATGTATCGCATTGGATCTTTTCATCCAAATCGCTTGAATATTGCTTATGGTAGGCAAATCACACTTTCTCTTATATATCTGGAATCTACGACGAGCGGGGAAGCTCCCCACTCTCTATATCGCTGGCAAGACCGACATACGCTTGTTTGTCAACGGTCAAGAGTATTCCGGTACCACCGCGATGTGGCGCGTACCACTCTACGACCGTCACCTTTCCGGCGGATGGTGTCTAATCGATTCCAACGAGGAACAGGACCCTCTCCCACGAAATCTGCTGGAATCATCGTTGTTTGTAATCCAGGCAGCATCGCCTAGAGAGAAACATTTCTCCGAACGAAAAAAACGCTCCGGGATCAAAGGTTACTACTACATGAAGGAGTGGACCGTCAAGGAGCTCCTTTTAGGGTATTTACATGAACCAATTGACTCTTCGCTCTCGGACTCATTCAAGACCATTCCTTTTAGGCGTCATTTCCAATCATTCGAGCAATCACCCAACTATTTGAAGTATTTTTTTGCCTTACTTGGTGGCTCCGCTCGTGAAGCTTTTAGCTCTGAGTTTCTTTCACCTGACGACTGTTACCAGAAAATGAAAGAAGATCTTCAGAATTTGGAGGATTCAAAACTCCGTGACATATGGAGCTCGAAGTTTAACGCACATACCATGACAAACAGTATTGAGGAAGGCATTTCTCATAAATTCTTTTCAGTTTTCCCGTACGACGATGATATCAGGTCTAAAGCCGCGGTTCGAACTCCATCTGACAAGATATTGGACATGATTATCACAGAGTACGACCGTCGATTCCACCAGAAAAAAGTCGACATTTTCTCGCAATACCTAATTGCAGCAGGTGTTGGATCGAGATCGATGGCAGCGGAACTCTATGATACGCATTTTCATGAGTACCTTCTCCGCCTTGTCAATGCTGGGTCCGTCCAGGTCCGTGCAATGAAACCTCCGAGTAAACCACGACAATCAGCCACACAAAAAACCCGGGAATGGTCGACATCAGATTCTTTATCGACATTGGCAATGCCCGGTTTAATTGCATTATTAGAGTTCGACCATGATACAGTGTTGGATTTCAGGCAGTTGGAGTATAAATATCTGAAACCCACAATTCGATATTTTGCTACTTTCCATTCTCTACTTGTTCTATCAGAAACGTCGGTGATTGCTTTCCAAGCGACCATTGCTGACAAGCATGACTGCAGACCAGGTGGTTTGGAATGGCTTACAACACATGGCATCGAAGAAATTCATTATGTTTATGTTTCTCCTGCAGCGGTTGAACATGCGACTGTTGTTTTACCAGGAGACGTACCAGATGATCTTATCTATCCCACTGCTTCTTCAGGAACCCTGCAGTTCAGATCTGTCTCTCATATGTATGTCGATTTCACATAACACTCTATATTGAGGATCTCCCCGCCTGTGGGACCTTGTTGAAAATCCTTTGTCCATTCTGTATATACTATGTGGTGAAGTCAGTATCTTCATGTATTTTCACTGGACTTTCAACCAGCTTCTGGATCTAGGTGGTCCAGGGCCGTGAGTGAAAAAGTATAACATTCATTGTTTCTCAAGCATAGGGTATGTTCAATGCTTGCATCTCCTCAATAAGGTCAGGGAAGTGAGCAAGGGTTTTGGGCACCATAGGTGCTAGTCTATTGAGGTCTAAAGCTCTCGAGGCTGGCCCTCCATTGGCTGCATGTGGAAGTATGAAGGAGGTGTCAGGGCATAGGAGCATGTAAGGAGCTTTGGGGAAGTCTGTTATGTTGTGCTTGGGGCCAGGTAAGACATGACATTCTGGTTCTACTGATTCTTTCATCAATACTTGTTATGTTAAAATCTCTCCTGTCATAAAGTACACAGCCCCTCCCATTTTCCTTTTCTCACCATCTCAATACCTTTACTTGTACAATACATCATCCCATCACTATCATGTTCCATTGATGTCAATCCCCCATTGATTACTGATCCACCTGACCTACCTTCTCCTTCTACTGGTAATGAGCACTCCAACCAGCCAATCTAATACACAATATGTGAGTTCATTGCTATCAAATTTATTTAATAGCAAGGGGTAGCGTTGGCAAAGGTTCCGCAAAGCTTTGAGAGCTAAGTAAGAAGCTTTGATCAATCAATTTGAATTGTTCTAAGGATTTGATATATTCCTTTGATCAAGGTAGATTCAGCACGGTTTGTGCTTTGATTGTATTGATATGGGTATATCAAGAATTGGGGTTTTTGAATCAAAGTAAATTAAAACCGAAACACACAGACCCCTACAGAGGGCTAGAACTATGTGCTGGCACAATCACACAGTATGATTTGCCCTTAAGACCAACAACTGATCCTAAGTTTGAAGAATACCCAACAACTGAATATAACTTCTTGCAGTCACAAGGAGCAGAACACAATGTTCCTATACTCACAAGTGCCGGGCCCGAATGGCTGCTAGTGAAGAGGCTTCAGTCTGGCAGGAGTGTGTCTTTCCTTTTTACGGATTAGCACTGCAACATTGTCCCAAAATCACTTGTATTCCAGATACATCGGATCGCTATTTATACATACAGAATATAGAGTCGCACAGTACAATTAATTTAATACAATAAACGTTCGGAACTGCAAGGAAACTTCTACAATTGGTCAGATACCATTTGTCATGCCTTGCTTCTCCGGACCTTTCCCTTTCCTTTCCAGAGCTCCGGTTCATCACTTATACATGTTTCCGATATTCTATGCACCATCCTTACGATCTTTACTGTACATATTACCTGTCACTCCAGTAGCCACATGACATATGTACCTGACAGCCTCATGTACAGTATATAGGCTGGGGACTCCCCTCGGAGCTCCCCAGCGTGTTATTGTCAAATCTTACCTGGAAACTCTTCCTACCTGGCTTGTTCCCTTTAGTACAGTCTACTAGTACTTGCTAACAGGGCCTGACACGTCTCAACAGTCATATATTTCCTCATTATCTGTTTCCTTTATCTCTGTCTCACCTCAACTCTGTTTCTCCTCTCTGTTTCCTATCTCTGGCCTCTTTCTGTCAATCCTCGTATTGTCTACGCCTCTACTTCGACTCACCATCTACGTCGAGGCTCTACAATTCGTCCTTCATCCTTTGGAACCTCCCATTAGGTTCCCAATTCCGCTTTATTGCTCCCTAAGCTCCCCACAGCTTCCCACTCGTATCAGCTACACCTCCCCTCCACATCGAAGCGGTGGTTACGCGTTACGTTCTACACCTCCAGGACCCTCTATTAGGTCTACCCAAGCTCCACAACTACCCCTGGTTAGGCTCCCCTCACCAGTATCGGCACTATCCCATACCTCCTCATACGGCCTAGGCGGCTACTGCGTTCGCTTAGGCCCAGTCTGGGTAAGACCAGAGCAGGCCTTCTGTGCCGGGGCCTCACAAAGACTATAAGTACGTTGAATCATGTGCATCCGGAATGAATCGGCAACAAAAGGGAAGATATCTCCCAACAGTAGGTGCTTTAGAATTTATTTAATCTTAATTGTTTAGAGAATGACTTGAATGGTGTTCACCTGTTATTGATGCTCTACATATACTTCAATTGTTTGTCATCTCATTTTAAGAGCATGTACACTGTGAAGCTGTGCCAGAGGCCACAAGGTGTCTAAGGGCGGAGGGTCAAATGGGACAGTAGTGAAGTTATTAACAACACCGCCATTATGCCGCTAGTCCCCAGAGATCAAGAGTGGAGAAGTAGGTAACCAGGAGCAGCCAAGTCAGAGCGGCGGTAACACCGACAACAAGGAGCAAACCAAAGAATGTCTAAGTCCTGAGGTTAGAGTAAGGAGACCTTCAAAGCGATGAGCCTGAAGACTTAAAGGACAAGAGAAGAAGATCTAGGGTGATCTAAGTTAATAATTAAACTGAGGAACTACAGTATAGTACAGGCAGTATTTATAGCTACCAATTGGCTTATTGGGGCAGAGCACCAGACTAGCTACTAGGGGCTATTGTCAAGTCCATGCCTCGGGGTCCTATTCTGAGATCTACCTTTTATTGTAATCTCATTCTCATTGTTCTTTCTTGCTACACATACCCTTTCATTCTAGTCTCTCCTTATTGTCTTTACTCTACCCTGCAGGTACTACTCGTATAGCTCCTAGTAGCTAGTCTAGTGCTCTGCACCAATGCGCCAATCCGTAGATATAAATACTGCCTGTACGCTACTGTAGTTCCTCAGTTTAATTATCAACTTAGATTCCCTTTCCAACTTAGTTCTCCTCTAAGTCTTCAGGCTCATTGCCTCGAAGTACTCTCTACTCTAACCTTAGGACTTATAAGTTCTTTGGTTTGCTCCTCGTCACTGGCGATACCACCGCTCCAACCTGGCTGCTCCTGGCTCCTCTCTTCTATACTCTCGATCTCCAGGGACTAGCGGCATAATGGCAGTGTTGTTAATAACTTCACCACTGTCCCATTTGACCTTCCGCCCTTAGACACCTTGTGGCCTCTGGCACGGTTACACAGTGTACATGATCTTAACAGCTATACATATAGTACTTGCAGGGTAGAGAATAAGACAATAAGAAGAGACTAGGATGGATGGGAATGTGTAGCGAGAAAGAACAATAAGGATGAGATTACAATAAATGGCAGATCTTGGAATACCAAGCAGCGGAGCTGTCAAGTCCATGCCGCGGGCCTCCATTCCGCCGCTCGGTACTCCGAAGATCTGCTCTTATTGTAATCTCTCCCTATTGTTCTTTCTCGCTACACATATCCTTTCGTCCTAGTCTCTCATTATTGTCTTTTACTCTTTCGTTCTAGTCTCTCCTTATTGTCTTTTACTCTACCCTGCAGGTACTACTCGTATAGCTCCTAGTAGTTAGTCTGGCGCTCCGCACCGATGCGCCGTTCCGTAGATATAAATACTGCCTGTACGCTACTGTAGTTCCTCAGTTTAATTATCAACTTAGATCAACTTAGATCTCCCTTCTCAACTTAACTCTTCTCTAAGTCTTCAGGCCCAACGCCTTGAAGTACGTTCTCCTCGACCTTAGGACTTTAACGTTCTCTGGTCCGCTCCTCGTCACCGGCGATACCGCCGCTCCGACCTGGCTGCTACTTAGTTCCTCTCTCTCTACTCTCGCTCTCCGGGGACTAACGGCGTAACGGCGGTGTTGTTAATAACTTCACTACTGTCCCACTCGTCTTCCGCACTTAGACACCCTGTGGCCTTGGCACGGTTACACGGTGTACATGATCTTAACAGTATAATTAAACTCTATCCGTTAACGTCGTACTGACATATCATTTTTTATGCCTCCGAAAACTCGAGCTCAATCTAGAGCTAACTCCGAAGAAAATACTTTCTTCACTACAGCCCAATCATTTGCCCCATTCTCCGACTCTATCTCTGCCATCGGTCAACCACGTCGCCGTAATCGCGGTTTCGGTCCAGCCACAGTTCCTACTACGTCAATTCTTCCTGAAGCCATGGAAGAAGATCAGCAATTTGAGTACAGCACTTTGTACACCGGTGACGGACAACCTGTCCAAGTCTTGACCCCTCGCCGTGGACAACCCCCCGTGGTCGCTCCGGCTCGGGGCCGGTCTACTACTCGAATTGATTCCCCAATCCTCCAAGCCATAGCCCGCCGTACGGGTAAACAACCCCAACGTCGCGCTGCTTCTGAATCTCCTCGTGACCCACCTCCTCACTTCGATTTGGACACTGGAGATCACGATGATCAAGACCCTCCTGTCGATCCCGACGATCCGGGTGCCGACAACAACAATGACGATCTGGATGACGACTCCGGCGGTTTACCGCGTGGTGAGCCTGGTGACCCCAGTGGGCCTGGCGGTCCCGGCGGTCCCGGCGGACCTGGTGGTCCTGGTGGACCTGGTGGTCCTCGTTCCCCAATCTCTCCTGACATCCCCAACGAGCAACGAGCTATGTTGGAACTCCTCTCGGGGTTCAAGGGTTCCATTGAGACCCTTGGTACCGTCCTCGCCGCCCTCGGCCGCCCTTCTGACAGCTCTGAATCCAAGAG